CCTTTAGATCTTACTCTGGTCCTCACTTGCTCTGGTTTATCCTACTTATCCCTAGCGCACTGGAGTTTTCAGTAGCCTGCGTGGCAAAGACATATTCTCTAGCGAGAACTCCTTCCATTCGTTTCAGCCATTCTGGACGATTCAGCCCCAGAAACGCTATAAAGCTCTTTCTTCTGCGCTGTGTTATATACCGAGCCTTGACCGGGCGGGTTTCCAGGCCTTAATCTGACCCTACATTGGGACTTACCACCTCCGTACTGCTCGTCACGGTGGAAGGTCGCAAATTTATGACGGCTTAATTTGATGACGCATTTTGCTCGGTCGAGCCTTTGAAAAGAAAGGCCACAAAACAGAGGTGTGTACTCCCTTGAAGTCTGCTAGACTTGGGACGTTCTCTCATGTATAGTCGTACATGCGGTCCTAACCTTGCGACTCTTTCACAGACTGCTACGAGGTTTATTGGCTCCCAATCAAGATATTGGACACCAGTTGTTTTGGCATCTTTCGATAGCTCTTGTTAGAGGTGTGGTGTGACAAGTCGTTTGCCGCTGGGTAGAGGACTGAGCACTTGCACTGGGGGTTCGAGCCGAACAATCCGAAACGAAAGCACGATGTCGTCGACTTATTATATCGGACCTTTCGGGCGTATGTTACCTGTTGGCGGTGGTCTCGCGGAGCAAGAACCGGAACGTCCAGCTAACCTATCAGTTCCGGGAACCCACCCATATCAACTTCCACCGCCACGCACTTCGGCGCCATTGCAGTTTGGAAGCGACCCATTTCTACGGCCATGGAACCGCTCTGAGAGGGGCGACGAAGGTGAAGAGATGCCAGGCTATTCGAGGGGCCCAGGCTACCAACAGGCGAACGAGCAACTCCCTTCTGTTAGCCAGCTTCTTACCCCAACAGCGCAGTTAAGCCGTTCACCATCACCTTACAACCCTCGAAATTTTGGAATAATCTTACCTCGAAGCGAAACAGTGGAGCCGCCTGAAAGATTGCACCATAACGAGTCTAATACTCCATCCAAGGAAACGCGACCAGTATTATATGAAAACCCTAGGGCAAATGTGGATTTGATGGCTTCGCCGCAACCTCATAGCCTACCTCCTATATCTCACATCTCGACTCGTGCTATTGGACGTGATACCCCAGCATATCTAAATTTCAACCCGAATCCATCTCGCACGTCATATCCGCCTAGCCTGCACCGCCAGTATAGTGATGAGTCAAACGACAGAACTCCGGTAGCAACCGCCCCCGATGCTAGCAGTTTAGGGTTATTCAACGCTACTGGAAAATCGGCGAAGGCACAAGTTCGTCCGCACGTCGTGGACGAGAGGTATATAGATGGTGAAGGGTTGTGCTATATATACGCGGATGGGTCCCGCTGCCCTAAAATCATTGACGGCATCCCGGTTAATGCCAACTGGGGCATTACGAAAGCCGGTAAACCAAGGAAACGATTAGCCCAGGCGTGCCTCACATGCCGAGAAAAGAAGATAAAGTGTCACCCTAATTTGCCAAAATGCGACCAGTGCCAAAAATCTGGAAGGGAGTGCAGGTTTGAGAGCGCGTAAGTATTCAGGCGACGCAGGGGAGGACTACGAGCGTTAATTGCTAACTTGATCACAGACCACGTGGCCATCGTGCGGCCTCAAGAGCTTCACAATTCGCGAGGAAATATGACATGCGAGACAATCCTACAATGGGCAACCCTAACAATGCCGGTACCACTAGCTCACTATACGCTGTTGCGAGGGCTTCAGAAAGTTCGAGTTCCCTTCCGGGGACAAACTCCCAGTCCCCTTTATCTGATGATTCTATGCTTACGCCTTCTGCGGTGGATAGCAACCGTGAGAGCATTACCGATTTTGACCAACAATGTGCAACTAGACTACCGCAAATATCTTGTGGGAATGTGAATATGCTGAGGCATTCCACAGAGAGTGCCAGCTCGGGTTTCACGGACTATACCGAGATATTAACAGAAATCAAGGATCTAGACTCCCAAGATTCACTGGCGAACGACTGGAGAGTAGATCCTCATACGGCCGATCCGGAATCTACCATACATTTTACCGAAATATATTTTACATTCGTCAATGATCACTTGTATTATATGTTTCCACGAAGGCGATTTCTGCTCTGGTTGAAATCATGTCGGACCAAGTCACTTGATGATGCAATGCTCATCTATTCTATCATGGCCTTAGGATGTATTTTCTCCGACAGGCCTGATAGGATAGCGGCCATGAAGAGATACTCTCGCACCGCTCGGTATGCACTCGAGCATAGCCAGCACAGTCTTTCCTTACAGCTTGCCCAGAGCCAGATCATAATGAGTCTCTGGTACCTCGCTATCGGGGCGCTCGCGAAGTCTTGGGATGCTGCTGGCGCTGCAGTGCGAACAGTGTGCGGCCTGCGGTATAACGTTGAGATGGGAGGAGTTATCGTGGAGCAAAGCCAATCCTGCGAGTACGGCTTGCATCCTCAAGCCCTAATTGAATGTCGCCGACGAACTTTTTGGATCGCCTTCTTAACTGACGTAAGTAGCATATCCAGTTGTGCTCAAAATCCCCTACTTTATTTCTTGCTTAGCATTTCTAAATATTTCATAGCGCCTGTCATGTTTCTATGCGCCTTCAACTACCTTCATCTCCTCTCAGACAGCATTGTTGAGACTTCCTTGCCGCGAAGAAATCTACGAAGCTCAAGAGTACACGACCGTGCCGTTTTTCCAAAGCTTTTTGAACCAGGTCCCTTCCCATGACAATGAAATGTCCGGTTTGAGTACAATGGCACTTTTGATAGACGTCATGTCCATATGGGGAGATATTTCGGACCATGTGTTCCGGCTATCTTTGATCCCGGCAGAATCGTACTGCAAACTTTTTGAAGATTTCTATGGTACCATGGTCCGTCGGTTAGACCAATGGCTTTCAAGACTGCCGAACTATTTGACATTTACCGCGATGAACCTGGAGAGAAGTATTCAGGGGAGGAAAGTCGATTCATTCATGTCAATACATCTCTTATACCATGCTGCGCTATTGAAGCTGAATCGATACGCACGCTCGCAGCTTCTGCGACCGGGGATGGCCTCGAAATATGTTCACATCGCTAGGAATCACGCGGTGGAAATTCTTCGGTCCGCGCTCGCCCTAGAACGTTATGTCTCTGACTACAACGCGTCTCCGACGACAACAGACCCAGTGGATTCAAAAGGCGTTTTGATAAACCCCTTCCTCGGTTATGTGATACTGTCTGCAGTTGATGTTCTCAGTGCCGGTGGACTAATGATCGATCTTCCGGAATGTATCAACCTGCTCCATGGCGGACTAGAAGTCATTCGAGACCTCAGTTTCTTCTGGGGTAGCATTAAGCCCTTAGTATCACTGATCAAGACACGTTTGGATGCACTTACGGAGGCCTTTTGTCAAGTGGATTCCGGAGGAAAAGTGGCCTTCCTCCTGGACGGGCCGTCCCTGGATAGTCAGGTACAGAACGAAGTTCAGAAACAAGATTCATCCACCAACGAGGACTTGTTTCATGGAGGGCTTCCATGGGAGCAACTTTTTCTTGCATTTGGGTTAGTTGATGTTCCGTTCTCGATGCAGAACATAGTTTGGATCAGACCCCGAAGTTGAGAATGAACCCCGTGTTGACCGTGATGATTGACACGTAAGATATGTAACTGTTCGATGACACAGAATAAGCTTTTTACTTAATATGGGATCTTGTTTTGAATATTTCCTTGGGACTTTCACTCTATTCTGAGGTAGTAACAGGCGCTTATGGCATTCCCAGAAATTCTAACGGGTATGAATTCCAGCATGAGCTATAGATAGTAATATTCTGATTTTGCATTTAAGACAACATAGAGGCGATCAAAACCGGTATTCCCCACCACCGACCTTAGTCTAGGGTTTCCCCGGATAAAGCCTTAACTGGCCTGTTCGCCCTCATATGATCCATAACCTGCAGGTAGCGAATGCGTCAGGTCCGAAAATCATTTCAATTAGCTGCCTTGAGAAACATCCTTATGTTTATCTATTTAAACCTTGCCCAGGGGTCGTCGGGGTAAGAACCTTAACCAGGGGAATCGCCTGCATCCAGCAATATCTCCCTTATCTTCCTCTTTACCCTAAATTATTTTTTACCGCTGTCATATTAATCGTCGTCATGAGGATGAATACTCCGTTGAAGATACTAATTTAGACATTAAGGAAAACCTGTTGAGGTTGACTTGCGTGGTTGAGCAGCACCCTCCAGTGAAGACTCTCATCATGCTGGGAGAAATGAAAACAAATGCTTAGATAGAAACTCGTGCAGATAGAATTCAAGATAAGAACCATGCAATAGCAATAAAAACATGAGCTCGATATATTCCCAATGTTTCCCCAAATTCGTTTTAGTATTGCTAGGGGGCTGATCCGGAGGGCCGAGGAGTGTGATGCATCATACAACTACACCGAACTACTCCTTCAATCCTTCGCAACAACCTAGACGTTGAAGCCACTCGAGTCACTCTTCTCGCGATTTCTTGAGTTGATTTCTACATGTGTACTAAGGCACTAAAAGGATACTATTAATTGTCGAATATGAGTTGTATAGAACGTCAGAATTTTAACTTGCTTGGAGCAATCAACAAGCAACCGGTCTGGCATATCAGACCCATCCTCAGATCAATGAAGAAAATGGACAAAGGGACATGGTCAAAATTCTTATAGTGAATATTCGGTCATAACGTCTACATAGGTTCATTAAAAGGTAAGTGCCGACCACTAAGTGAAAGCATAGTGAATCACCTCTAGACCTTCATAGCCCTAACATCTTCACCAACGTATTTGGGCCGTTGACATATAACAATGAACGTCGTGTCAGTGGGATTTGGTTTTTTCCCCCTATCCCCATCATTCGGCATTCATTATATGCCTACTCTTTCGTACCCTATCCCATACCCTATTTCACACCTAGGTCTCATACAAACCTACAAGATGGACGACCATAACAAGCGTGTCTCAGACTACTTCAAGACCCGCACCAAAGGCCAGAACGGTCTTTGGAAGGACATCATGATGACCCTTAACAAAGACCACTCCATCATACTCGGTGATAACGACTACCTCAACCTCGCCCACCACAAGGACGTCCTCACCAAGCAAGCCAACGACCTCATCAAGTCAACATCCAGCGACGCCAACGACAACATCCGCTCCTCAGCCTTCCTCTCCGAGTTCGACCCTCACACTGCTCTCGAAAAGGACCTCACAGCCTGGTTCGGCAAAGACTGCTACCTCGCCCAGTCCGGCTACGCCGCCAACGTCGGAGTCATGCACGCCGTCTGCCACCCAAACATGCACGTCTACGCCGACCAACTCCTACACATGTCCTTCTACGACGGCCTCGCATCCCGCGGGGTCAAACTACACTTCTTCAAACACAACAACCCCTCCAGCCTCGAGTCCCAGATCAAAAAGCACGGACCGGGCTTCATCCTCGTCGAATCCATCTACAGCACCACGGGCTCCTTCGCACCCCTCGAGGCCATCGTCTCCCTCAAAAAAAGACACAACTGCATCCTCCTCGTCGACGAGTCCCACTCCCTCGGCCTCTTCGGATCGCAGGGCCTCGGAATCCTGCATTCCCTCAACCTCGCCCCCGATGCAGACTATGTCACCGCCAGCCTGGCAAAGGCCTACGCTACCCGCGCCGGCATAGTGTTCAGCTCGAACGCGCTGTACGTCCGCGAACGCTCATACCCGTTTATATTCTCCTCCGGGCTCGTGCAGAACGACGTCGTGCGCATCCGCGCAATCTGGGAAGCCATCAAAGCCGCCGACGCTCGACGCGAACGGCTACTCAGCATCTCGACATTGTTCCGGCGGGAGATGGATAAAGTTGCCCCTGTTGCGGGTGGGTTAAAGCATACCCCTTGTGCGATTGTCAGTGTGCATATGGAGAACGAGGATAAGCTGGCTGAGCTGCATCGGTTTCTTTCGGATAGAGGGATTCTGGCGGCGCCGTTTTTGGCGCCGGCCACTTCGCCAGATGCGCCGCTTTTGAGGTTTTCGTTGCATTGTGATATTGGGGTTGAAGAAGTCCGGAAGGTTGTGGGGGCTGTGGGGGAGTGGTATTCTAGGCGTAAGTCTAAGCTCTAGCTAGGTTTCTCCTGGATGTTTTTACTGTGTTACACAGCGCCAAAGTACCTGGAGTAGGATAGGCAAATACATAATAGCTAGTCCTATAGATGGGATTTATAGGTATCTTATTGTCGATAGTGGTTGATCCGCAGTTTACTATTGTACCTGTGGAGGGTGCTGATTGGGGCCGTTGCCATTGATATTGAACAGTAACACCGGAGGGCCAGTTCCAATTGTGTTGTTGTTTATACGACTTCAAAAGTAATTGCATCCGAGTAGAAACGACTTTACTTTCCGTAAACCTCGATACATACTGCTGGTTCAGTTAACTCGACGTGTTTACTTTATCCAAGATGGCCCCTGTCACTCGCAGTGCCAGTCGGAATGCAGGCAATCAGCGCCCACTAGCTGCTTATGTTAACGGTGGGAAAGATCGCTTTGGTCAAAAGTACGTCGCTAACATCCGAAATAGAACTCCACAAGGTCAGCGTTGCCGCGAAGACCAGGTCGATCATCTTTGGCATAGCGCCTACAACCACGCCTTCATTCGTGGTGATACCTCGGTCCCTGTGACCTTTCAAATTGAGAGAGAGCCGTATCTCGCTCAAAACCGAGAGAAACGTTCGAACATGGCTGTTGTGAACATACGCAACAACGCTATGCACAAAGTTATCCTTTTTGAGGCTAAACGGCCTGTCGACCGTAGGGGCAAGGATCCCTTGCCAACTGACCGTGAATGGAGGAACGTCAGGTCGCAGTTGGAGGAAAACATGCTCCTGGCACGACGTTCAGACGGGGCTGTTCAGGGTATGTACGGGATAACAGCGATTGGCATATGGGCTCGGGCCTACAAGTTGTCAATTGGCAGTAACCGACTCCGGGAAGCTTACCGGTCCCGGAACGACCAAAAAGCCATGTTCCACGCGGTAGATGATAGTGTATACGTCCAGGGGCTTCTAAAGCTCTGGGCGTATGAGATCAGAAGTGGCCGTAACTAGTGAGTTGTGGCAGCTTTCCTTGTGCGACGACGAATGGAGGAAGCACTTGGGACATCCATATATCCGCGGGGCCAATTTGGCACTGTGCGTTTTCTTTCCAGGACTACGGGCCTGAAGTCGTCGCTTGTCACGTTAGTGTTTCCTCCCCCTTCGGGGCATTCTCTCTTCGGCTTGTCCGGGGGCAGGAAGTCTTGATCAGGAGTCTCCGTTAAGGTCAACAAGTTCCATTCTGCTAACAAGATGGCAATTCGCTTTTGTATCCTTTAGAGCAACTTTTCTACGTCCAGTAGTCCTCTCGGGATCCTCTGACACCCAAGTCTACAAGTAATCGACCCTAGATTGCGTTTTGAACCTCTCAGCATGGTCATGAACAGCGGGGGCCAGGGACTGAGAGTAACAAACCTCAAACGTAGCGACAACCTCAACTATATCCTCCATTTCCATTCCAATATCAAATGCACATTTATCATTGGCATCAAACCCGAAAGCTTGTGGCTCATTCCTGCGGGAATACGCCATGTTCTTCGACAGCACTCCCAAAGACGAGATCTTCTCATTGAAATATCTTATGCGGAAGCCACCGAAATCCTCGGGCTTTGCGTTGAAAAGTATACGGACGCCATTGCCATCGAACGGACTCTCGGGGGCCGACTTTTTGGTTTCGCCCCCGGCATTCTCCTGGCCGTAGTAAGCGTCCATTTTCTTCTGCAGGTCCCGAGGGCATATGTTCTTTGATTTTTTGTTTCTAGTCCCCAGGGTGATGTTTTCATGCTCTTTGCTGATGAACTCCACTGCTAGGATGTCCGTCTCAGTCTCGAACACTTTCCAACCTGCCTGGGCTTCGTCCCTCTCGTGGACCGTCTTGCTCGATACCATCGTCACACCAATCTTAACTAGAGAGGGTGAAATTTTGGCTCTTTCAACTCTTCTACCTGTGGCGCATGAGTCATTGTGATAATGCTGTAGTGCGCGCCCAGAGAACCACAATGGTGATTCCTGCAAGCCATTCTGCGCAGCAAGGACATCCTTTATCCACTGGACAACTTCCCAAACCTTGACGGTCGTCTCTAATTTGTTCCCAATATTCATGGAAGCATGGTAAAGAAGCCCCCAGTCAGTATATTGACTTTGGATCCCGCTTTGATCAAGGTCAGTAACGCCGCAGGCGATATAATCGAGGTATCCACGATCAGCGTCCCGTTTGAACCGTGACTTCCAGAAGAAGTTATCATGGAAGACGGTGCTCATTGCTCGTGAGACTCGACGCAGATCCAGGAATTCATGGCTGGGAAGTAAAAGTGCTACTTTTTCGCGGATTTCGAGAGGCAGTCGTCGGAAAGGATCGGTGGGGTTAGAAGAAGAGCTGGTCTTCTCCTTCATGGAGCTGGAGGGCTCAGGGAATTCCCTGTCACCCTGGAGGAATTCCTCCAGGGTCTTCTCTCTGCAAGGGTGGTACTGGCTGGGATCAGAATATGCAGGATCTATACACGCACCACCATAGTCAGGTAGCACTTGGTTAGAAAAAATGCAAAAGGCAGACAGCACATAATGATACCTACCCCTCGACGGCGGTACTTCACACAAGACTTCATACAATTCTCGCAGATTAGGCTTACCGCTTGGGTAAAGCTTTTTCTCTGCGTATTGCCAGCACTGCTCATGCACAATGAAAAATTCCTCGCTTGGATTGGAGCAACAATGCCGGCTCTCCCAGGGCTTCAGTGGGCAGTTGGGGTAGTCGTTAAACTTGATTTTCCTATTCTTGTGAGCCCCCGTGGCGACCTTGTTGTACTTGCTGGCTATCCCCGTTAAGCTTATCCATCCATGGGGTGTGGGATGTACTTTTATTGATGAGTATGGTCAGTGAACCTGTTGACATGATAGAATGCAAAGCACCGCGAAAAACCACTGGCAGAAGAGGTTGAGAACTTACGCACGCGGATTGTGTCAAGCCAGACTGGAGACGGCGTGGCGGTGGCACATCCGCATAGTATGCAGCGAGTGAAATCGAGCAAATGGTCGATGTATAAGGCCATTGTGTGCTATGCCAGGCGGAATAGTCGCGTGAGGATAGTGGGAAGTTGCTGTCTTGTTAGAAGTATCCAGGACATGACGTATCTAGGATGGACGCCAAAGCTTGTTAGATGAATAAAGTTAGGATCATGCGGTCAAGATCGTGCAAATTCTATGGGCTGATTATGGACTGATAGCTGGCACATGAAGTTCCAAGGATGCAGATGGAATAGTACCAGGTACCGTTGTGGTCATGCAGTCATACTAAGTCCATGAAAACGACAGCCACCCTAGGTTAGTGTAAGGCACTGGGAGGTGCCGAGGTCTAGCAACTAATAAGTGAGGTCAAACGATAAAGAAGAATGCATCACTTAAAAGATCTAAAGAGGATCTTCCTAGAGGCAGGTCGGGGGCGGACCGGTCCCCGTGTCCTGCTGATCAGGTCATCCATCCGATTGATCCCCTTCTAGATCAAATCTTTTTGCTCTCTTCCACCCATTACTGAACAGCGAGCTCGATTATTAATTCCTATGAACGTAGGTATTGTATTCTAAGGCTACTCCATTATTATATTCTAAACTCATCCTGCAAGACATTACTTTATATTTTTACTTTTCCCCCAAAAGTTTCCAAGGCCTGCTTCCTTATCTGTGCTGTGGTTACTTTTCTACCTGCTTCAATTCATGTCAAGAAAAAGAAAAACCTATCTGACGAAGATATCTGGCTAGCCACCAGTTGTGTATGGCTTTTTGATCTTGCAGTATGACGTGAAATGATGCCCTGGCCCTGGACTTCAACCTTTGCCTGGCTTTATTGTACCTATTGCTGTCATTGCTGCATTGTGTTGCCTATTGTATAACCCGGTTAACCAACAACCACAATAGGGCAGCCCTGAATAATAAATAACTCTAACCATAAGTGCTAGACAGTCAGGTAGATTAATAGGAGACTTTCTAAATTATCTAGAATCAATGCATAATAGCGGCCGACTTGAGACCTCCAATTGATACCACTGTAACCTTTGCTAAGTAAACTAGGTATATATAGCAGCTAGAGTAATGAATTCAAATGCATAGTCCACATATTTACTAGTTTCCGAGTAGAATTGAACTGGCACTACCGGTGCCGTACATTATCTTTGTCCATTGGGAACTACGACCTCGGCAATATCTAGAAAATGCCGAACAGCGAAGGACTCGAGACTGCAATATATATTAATAGGACAATTTATCACCATTCTCATTATCCTGGCATCAGAAGCGCCGGCGCATATACCCCTCGTTGATACCTGAGCTCATAAGGCTCGAAGGTTGAAGTCTGCATCTGACCAAAAACGGTTCAAAATCCTGCATCCTGCCCAGAGACCAAGGCCCTATAGATCGACAAACACAGATCGAATTAGAAACCTAAACTATTAGGTCGATACCTGATCTAAGCGCCGTGATAAAGCCCACCCCAGAGTACAAACATCATTGGTCGATCTGCGATCTCACAAAGAGGAGAGAATCTCCACCGGCCGTGGGGGGCATATCTGACACTGACAGCAACAGTCTAATCAGATCATGAGACAAGGTGCTAATAACCATGCGCTCCACTGCAGAAATGGAACCAGGATTCAGGATCCAGGAAATTCCAAAATAGTGGGATCGTGGCTTTCTACTGGCAGATCCTTAACCGCCGGCACTAAATTCTGACGAGTTAACGGCTGACAAGCTCGCAGGAGAGAGGGGCAGGGCCTAATTGGTATGACGTGGTCGGGGATCGTCCTGAACAAAGTGCTTTGTTTTAGGTTTGCGAGGGGTTTGACGAGTTTATTTTGGGTTCATGTTTTGACGTTGAGACTGCGTTTGGGATCTGGCTGCTGTCCACTCGAGATAAATGGTTGTTATTGGCTCGGGCGAGGATACGGTGAAGCAGGGCGGCGGTTAAATGAGTACTATTTTTTACTGCTGCATCCTGTCAGAGCTCAATGGTGAGTTTGAGTTTAGAGTGTGACGTGGTCCTGGCCGTGGTTTGATGGCTAGGTGAGAATGGACGCGCGCGCTCTAGGGCTATTATGATCGTATATCGGTTTGGACCGTTGACTTTTGATCGGATTGATGTGGATCCTAGTTAGTGGTATTTTATCATTATGCAGGGGAAGCGTTCTACAATTCTAGGGTATCCACACGATGTACGAGGAGTATCAGAAACAATGGCAACAGCCCAATTGGATATGAGATGGTATCTGGCGCCCAATGACCTATATATACTATGCGAACTCACACCCGCGCTGTCCAATCCAACCAATGTAAATACATGAAGCGAAACGAAAAGAAAAAACAGTTCCAAGCGCATGCAAGGTCACAACCCTAAGCGAGTAGAAACGAAGGTAAGCTTGCATGAGAATGGACGTACCACCCGAGCCAGCGGATAGGTACGCATCTATGCGTGGTTGTGACCGTGCACGCGTCGGCGCTTCTCCTTGAGCATGCGGGACTTGACCTCGACAGCCTTGACAGCAAAGTCGCGGTTCTGGCCAGGGGTGCACTGGGTGCCGCCCGACATGGCTTGGACTGCAGTCCATTGACCGCTGGCGCAGCGCTGGAAGGAGGATCCTCCAACGCAGTTCCAGGCACCCTCGTCGGTACAGGCGCCGGAAAGAGCACCCTCGGTAGACCCTGAAGAGCCACCGGGCGTTGAGGTTGGGGCGGCGGTGGGGGCAGCAGGAGAAGACACGAAGGTCGATGAAGCGGTGGGAGCAACGGGGGCGGGCGCTTGAGTGGTAGTGGTCTGTCCGGTTTGGATTGGGGCGACACCGGCAGCTCCTCCGACGCTGACAGAAGCGGTGGGCGTTGGCTCGGATCCAGCACCACCATCTGCAGAAGTAGGCTCGGGGGCAGAGCCGCCGCCGCCGCTCATGCCATCACCTCCCCAGGTAGGTGAGCCAGTGTCACAAACACTGCTGGCGTCTGCGAGAAGGTGGCTCTCGTTGAGGGATTCAACATCGTCACCGGGGTTGGGAAAGCGAATGGACTTTTTCTCTTTCGTTTGACAACCGTTGATGTTGGCAATAAACAGAGGAGGGTATTCTTCAGCACGCTTCTTGACAGCAGATTCATCCGATCTCTTCGACGAGCCACCCCCACTCAGAGTAATCGGAGCACAGTTCATGTACATCTCACGGTTCCCAATGCGGTTGAACCAAGTCCAGGCGAGGGTATATTTGCCATCCTCGAAACTATCGGGAATGGTAAAACTAGGGGTGAATGAGCTCTTCGCACCCGCGGCAGTTCCGCTGTTGGTGTCGCCCTCATTCGGGTCCATGCAACCACCCTCAATAGACTTGATGACGCTCCATTTCGTGTCCTTGGTAGGCTGTCGGTCCGAAGTGATACTGATCTGACAAGAGCCACCACCGTGGGTTGCACTACCCTTGAACTCAAGTTGTTGGGGCTGACCCTTAGTCATCTGGTTCTCTTTGGTGACAGTATAGTCGGTTTCCTTGCAGGGGAAGTTGCTTCCATCCGCCTCGATTGGAGAGTTGTCCCAGGACTTGAAGTTGTAGGGTTCAGGGTTGACAAGGAGCATGTGAGCATCAACAAGGGAGGAGCCCAGGAGAGCAGCAACCGCAAGAGCCGACTTGGAGAACATTTTGATGGATTTCGGTCGATTCGATAGCTGATAATCGTTCGACAGTTGAATGAATGTGTATTCTGACCGTACCAGACGAATCAGAATATATATATAGACAGGAAGTGGTAAGAAAGTCTGGATAGGAGTTAGTCAATGTACATCATATGTTTATATAGTACCAGTGTAACAAAACGACTAGTACATCGTTGGCGAGAAAGTATCCAATGCGGACAGAATCGGGTTGCTAAAGGAATACCTTTTCTTAGGGCACGATAAGGGTAGCCTGGGTTGACGAGAAGACGAATGGCTCGTTGTCACTTGATGTCTAGAAAGGAATGTCGGTGGTCTGCCACAGGCAAAAGCACCAAAAGGTTTGAAAAGGAATGAGACAGGAACTAGCCTGTAGAACTGTCGAACGAATTCAGGTGGAAGGATCGAAACGCGCTGCGTGATGGAGAAGAAGAGAAGGAAACAATTCTACAACGAGATCGAAGGGAGTCTTATATCTGCCATCTCGCAGCGTCGCAAGCACATAGGAAGTCTTCGATCCTAGCCGACGAAGGCGCTCTGGAGTGGGGGCCTCAGGGGGAATCATGGCCATCAGGGACCCTGAGTTGCATCGCGAATGGATGCATCTTGCAAAAGATGAAACAGCCCGCATCGGAGGTCCACTGCAGACCAAGAAGGAGGATGGCAAAGACAAAAGTCAGAAGCGAGGATGATGTTCTATTCGGCCACCTTTGATCTCCGCTAGGCCGCTTTGGGCGCTAGTCCCGAGACAGGGATGCTGGCCAGCCCACTCGCTCTGAAGAATCTCGACCAACCAGGCTAAGTCCGTACCGTCAATACGTGTATGCGACAGGGGTGCGCACTGCAAGGGAGCGTATTGGACGGTACGGCAGTTCGTAAATTCTCCGCGTGGGAAACTTTCGCCTGAGACTGGGCGTGTCGCACCATCTGGCCGTTCAGAGGGTCAGGGCCCCAAGTGCCTGGTTCAGCAGTCCACCGTCAACGTCAGATTGGCTGACGGAACGGCTGATCGGTTGCGAATCAGCACTCTGCATTGCACTCTCTGTCGAAAGATCTTCCTGGTTTCAGGCCAGAAATTTCGGTCTGGGTGTCTGCAGCGGCACAGCCATGGACGACAGCATCTGTGTTACATTCGGCAGGGTCCAGCTTTGAGGAGTCCCTCCCATGTCCACGGTTGGGTATACTTCCCGCTCTTAATCCTCCCGAAGCGAGATTATCACATCCCACAACTGATGGATCAAGAGTTTCTAGTCCTCCAAGCCATGTAACGTGTGTCCATCACCGTAATTATTATTATTGCCAGATGGACCGAAGAATGAGATGAAGGAGCGACTCCAACGATCTCCACGCCACGGGCGATTCGGCTCATCCTTCAGCTTCAATCAGATTCACGATTCACCCGTCATCTTCGTCTACTCTTGCTTCACGAATTCCTTCCAATCTGGGAATAATCGGATGGCTCCAGGCTTCCCCGACCAAAAGGCGTGGGGCGATCCGCGCCAAAGCCTGAGCCACTGACATTTGCTATCCGATGGCAACAGAATCACACTTCCCAGATGGGTCATTATGGGGGAACATTGCCGTTTCATGCTGGTGGGCTGGCTGTCAATCACTTTGGACGGCGAACTCCGGATACGATCCCTACTGCAGTCCACTGCTGCCTTGGGTCGAGGGACTCCAGAGCTCTGAGTGCCGAGAAAATAGCTACAATTTTGTCGCAATCCCCGATATTTCTCTTACTCGATTGTAATTGAATGAATTCAGCCGATCAATTGTGGCTGAGGCAATGACTGAGCCTCCTCAGCAGCATCAAGTATTCAAGACGCTATTCAGTGGCGACGCGGTGTGGCAAACCAGACCTGTACACATGTACTTTTTACCGCCGCCTGATCTTTGACACCTCACCAATCGTCGCGCCGTCCATCAAGACCTTCAGCTATTGGAGTGGCCTTGCTTGTCAGGCGAGGGATAGTTGACTTATCAGGCGGAAAAGATTTGAGGTTGGGAGTCAAGGCGGCAACTGAATCATGTTCCAAACCTTGAGTCCGCCATCCGTACCTTGCGTACCTTGGTACCTGATTCCGTTCCCGCACAGGACTCCGACCGTCCAAAGTTTGCGATGAGAACATGTGTGAACCCATGGTTGAGCCCGTCTCCGCATTTGAACCCAACTCCCGGGAGTCTTGGAACCGGTTCGGTTGTGGCCTTCTCCCTTCACAATCGTTTGGTTCTTCATCTGTAAGCGAGCGGGTTTGGTTTCAGGCAGTTCCGGGTGTGAAACAGGAACGACCGAGTTTATGAGCTTGACGACTTTGAGTTTGATTTGGTACGACCGTGCGACCATACGGTGGACACAGAGAGTCGAGACGTCGTTCGAAAAGAGCCGACTGGCTCAATACCTAAGCGAGCGCTCTGGCAGACTTCGTGTTTCAGATACTGAAGTGTCCCCGCATTGAAACTCGAAAAGAGGAAGCCAGCCAACATCCATATTTCCTGTCGGCGACCTTTACCTTGTGATTCTCTTGTGATGTTTGGTTCTTCTAGCTCTGGGAGAGCAGGATTAGTAAGTTATAAAAGCTCCTAGCTCGGCTCCTTGACAAGACGGTTGTCAGTTGTCGCGATTTAAACAACCAGCCGTCACCCCAGTGGCTTTTCGCTACAATATCCGGTCGGTACTTGATATTGCGTCAAGTGCGACTAGACAACTGTATGAGACAATTCAGTTTACGGCCCCAACCTATACCTAAGTGCACAGTGCAAATTTAGGCACTCAGCCATATGCTTAATACCTTGCGAGCCTTCTTGACGTTGCCATTTTGCCCACGAAGTCGGGCATTGAGTTACCGATTAGTATCATGGTCGGCGGCACCATCCGCCGCCAGTCCACGGCAATTCAGCCTCAACAACAAATACACTATGCTCATGTTCATATCAATACGTTGTTCTCCCCCAAGAGTCTCACCCTGTTCCTTTCCAACTGTTTCACATTGCTGTGCCGCAGAGCATTCGGCGGCAATCACCAATTTTCTCCACTCCCGATAGGACACGATTGGGCGCTGGAGTCACTCATACCCTCGTAGCCGCCGCCGAGCCTCGTCTGCTTGTTAACTTGACCAATTCTACAGCGCTAAGATGCTAAATTTGGTGTTCTTGCATGGCGAGTGGCAGGGTTGTGTGCGACTTAAGAATGACTGGCCCTTCTCTGGGCCCTTGGAGCTTCAAAGTTCCTCGCTCAAGTAAATTCCCCGTCGCGTCACGATGGTTCAACATACAGAAGGGAGGCCATCGCTCCCTCTATTCAAAAGCTCCTCATCAGGAAGCACTCTGCGATCGGAAACGACCCATTTTAAATCAGCTTATTCCAACCAAATTCCAACCGATGCACAGAATATCTCGGGTAAAATATTGAAAAGGCCAGCCGGCTCTATTCTAGCGCTTGTTCTCGAAATAGTCCTCTGTTTAGTCGCACTGTGCTTCATAGGTAACCTTACTCTCGCTCACGGATACATATCTCGATATACTAATGGCCTAATAGCGCTCGCGCTGGGGGCACTATGTATCAACAACAGGCCGACGGGCGATAGGCTGGGGACAGTCATGGAGGAGGCAATGAAACTCGTACGTAAAGAGCACAGCGGCGAATCAATACTCTCCTGTGGACTCTGGCTAATTGGGATAGGGGCCCACGATATACCCCATCATATTCGCTGCATTACTTTCTAGCTCGCTCAAAAGCATTGGTCGATACTGTGCCCAGAAATCTGTGAGGATGTCGGTGAGACTGCCCTTCCCCTGTCTATTTTGAAACCCTACCTCTAACGTAACGATTCGGCTTTTAGACATTATGGGCATTGATGAATACCAATTCGACTTCGGACCCCATCAAACATCTTTACAGCATGCCGCTCTCTCTGCTCGTCTGGGGTCTCCTCGTCCTATGGGCGATGTCCCCTCTTGGGGGTCAGAGTGCCATCCGGCTTCTATACAAGGCCAACTTGACCGACATCACCCACCCTGAGCTCCGTTACTGGGATAACGGTCCGCTAGGGTCACTTTTTACTTACACGGGCATCATGGTGGGCAATGACGGTTCATGGCCTTTGTCAATGCGTGATCTTTATACGGCTAGTCTCATGCAAAGTATTCAAATAAAGGAAGGCCCAGTAGACCAATGGACGAACGTCAAGATCCCTCGCCTTGAGGCGGGAAACGAGTCTGCGACCACTACTGACGGCTGGATGCCTGTCGGCAACACGACAAAAGTTGAGGACTTTACCTCTCTGTTTGGAATGCCTATCATCGGTCTTTCCGAGGTAAAGAACAAGGGCGACGTTCATTTCAGTGTTGAAACGATGTATCTGGAACTATCTTGCTCCCCTTTTCGTCACGTGTCGGCTATAAACTACACTTCTGGGCTGACAATACGCTGCAAGGATTGTTTCGAGGATGGTATGACCCAGTGGGTTCGTGCTCAGAAGTCCCTTGGTCTTCCTGCGGATGAATACATACCTGAGGGGAGGAATTACGATTGGGGAGACTGGGTTCCCACCACCGATCACCCCGTAATCGATCAAAACAACCCAAATAACACTCTCCCCAGGACAATACAATTTATATCCACTTTCCTGACGTCGACATCATTAGCCACCTGCCAAATCACCCAACGCCCGGTGGAGGCCTACATAGAATGCATTGACAAAAGCTGCGCGGCTACAAAGATTCGCCAATCCACTACAGACCACCGCAATAAGAACTTCACCGTGATGGATTACTGGGGTGAAAAAATTCTCAATATGATCACAGCCATAAGTTCCGGAAGCGCCGCAGCGGACGACGTGATGTGGGGGTCTAGCAGCTCCGAACTCTTCCTAAATGACTCAAGAACCGCACCCATTAAAACGGGAATTGGTGGTATTCCAGATGGTGTTAACATGTCCACTTTCAATAATACCGGCCTCTTCGCCACCAGGGCCTCCATGCTCCTCAACACAGGTCTCCAGGCATTCATGGCCCCCACAGCGTTCTCCGGCAACTTGAAAGCAGATAATCTAAGTTTCTATGGCAAGCCTCATATTCCCAGCAATGGTCTCTTAACGGTTGCCAACGAGTCCGCGTGGAAGGACTACGACATGAATATCAGAATGTACCCGCCTCAAGTGGCTAACCTCCTAAACTCGGGCACGCCCTTCATCGGCGCATCCACAAATGCCACTTTAAGGAATTACACGGAGGTCTACAAGCCCGAATATGTGTGGGTCGTTATTCTTATAATCTCATCCTTTACGATTGTTGGGATAGGCATAACTGGCCTATGCTTTCGGATGAAAACAATAGCACCTGATATGTTTGATTGTGTGATGGGCCTGACGTATGACAATCCGTATATCTTGCCCACTGGGAACAATTATGAGCCGCTTGACACGGATAACCGACTTAAAATACTCGGTAACAAAACGGTTCAGCTAGGTGAACTCAACGACGGTCAGGGGGCTAAAGCTGTCTTTGGTGAGGCGAGTTTTGTCGCGCCGTTCCGGATGGGGGTTTCATATCATTGAATTACGGCCGCTGTCTGGCTTCATTCTCTGCCATTCGTTCGGGCCAGTATGAATGGTCACCTCTAGCAATGTTCTTAGCGACGAGGATTCGTGTACAAAGTTTTACTTGCAAGTGCCTAAGGTACAGGCACGAGGTTACATGGTTCGTTTGAGAATGCTGACAGGATAGAAAAATAGTCGCCAGGGTATTCTTTCAGGAACCCTGTGTGACAGGCATTTCTCAGCGTGAATATATGAAACACAGCTGATTGGATATAATTATTCAAGACAAGATTATCTCTTGCACAATGAACATCTCCCGTGGTGTAATGCGACCCTACACTACTAAGGATCTCCTACCTCAAGTGGACTTCATGTAATTTTCGGGACAATATCGAGTACTTCCTCAAGAGTGATAGCAAGCATCGCCCCATTCCATAGTGTCCTCTATTCAGGGCGATCATGTAACATCCATTCAACAAAGCATGTGTCTCTCATAGTTTCCAAATCCCTGTCAATCACTGAATAATGTCAATGCCACTGTCTGCCTCCCCTGTGCGACATTGGGGCCAGAAAATGGGGAGGCAGTGCAACGTGTTTCGGGATACGGAGTGCACCACTGCTACTGAAGAGCATGTACCCACTAAATTAACGAGGGGTTAGCGTTGCCGATATTATTCTGAAGAGAAAACTGAGATGGTCTCGACTCTCGATTCGGTCGATTGATTCGATTCTCTAGATTCATGGATTGTCGACTTGACGACACGGCATGGCCGGGCCTAAGGGAGATAATGTCTAAGCCACTGTCCACCTCTGGTGTTCACATGGTGAAACCTGCCCAAAGCTCCAACTTAACTCTATCCTGTACTTTTTTTCTTTCTTTCTTTTTAATAGGGGATGGGTGACTACTTCCAGATCTGAACATGATCATCTCAATATCTGTTTTCTGTCTAGAGATCTATCTACTAGTGCATATCCGATTGTGAGGCGGGGCTGTGTAAGTATCCTGAACATTCCTTTAGGCGTCTATATTTCTGTTTCGCAAGAAGAAAAGAGTTTTGATCGTTGTTACAACTTTTGCCACAGTACCCCAACTACACGACTCGCGCGTATCCTCGGGGGCTATGGATTTGACGTTTGAGATTGGATAGGTAGAGGGGCGAGATCCCTCATTTTCAGCCCGCTCAGGTTCCTGGATCAGCGAGCTTCAGCTTCACTTCGGTCCGTAAGGGTGCGGTCGATCCGGATCCAACGGGGATATCCAAAGAGTCACACCAGACCAGTCTGTCAAATTGACCGCGGTGGATGTGATGGCTATGCTCGCGGAGTCACAATCCTTTAGGGATGACACGCTGCGCGGCCGTATTATCCAAAGAAGGCAGTTTCACACGATGTAGTACCAATCCTTCAATATACCGACTGGGACGACCGATAACTCACTTCTTCCCCTTCTTCTTCCCCTTTTCACCACCGGCCTCTTTTTTCTTTTCAAATCCGCCCCTGACCAGTGCATCCCGTCCAGCAGCATTGATGATCCGAAACCGATCCGGCCCCAAATGCACACCACCGTACCACCTTGTCACGACGACGACAACATCCCATACATCCATCAACTGCATGAGATGGAGCAGTCGCCCGCCCGCAGCCGTCTCCCCGTCATCGTCGCAGTCCTGGATGATCATCTCCGTAGTTGACGCCGGAGATGACCCTTTCCCGCCTCCTCCTCCATCCTTTGAAGCGGCATGTGACGCCTTGCTTAGCTGTCTAATCCGCCACGCACTGATATTGTGCGTCGCAGACGCCACCTTCTTATCACTCGCAAGCAAATAATCCAGGTAAGTCTTCGCCTGGTCTAGACTGGTAACGTGGGCCGCGCGCGCAACAAAGACAGATTTCTTTTCGGAGATGACCTCGGAGAGGATCCAGGGTGGTGGTTCGGAGAGACCCATGCTCTCGTGCAGAGTGAGAGTGGCAGTGGTTGCGGTTATACTTTCGACGCCATCACCATTGGTGTGTGTAGTCGCTGCTGCTGTCTCTGTTGATGTAGGATTTGTGCTTGCATCGTCGGTACCGATGCGCAATTCTTCGAAAGTCTCGATGGCTTCGTTTATAAGTTCAAAGAGGCAGACTGCGCCGGGTTGGTATGTCCGGCTGAGAATATCCTCGAGGACATCGATGGCGATTTTACCCTCCCCGCGTGAAGCTGTAGATGCGGTCCCAAGTATTCGAGGAGCGGTATCTGGGTAAGTTGCCTCAAAGGCGAGGAGGAATGATAGGTTTGCATGGTTCGGGATTTGGAGTTTGATCGTTGCCGCTGCTTTTGTTCCAGGCGAGCTCGAATTCCCTAAGTCTAGCGTTGAGATAGAGCTAGATTTGGACGTGTCTGATATCGTAATAGTATCCGGGTCGTAGATGGCATTAATGGCTTCGATTTCCTCTGCGAGGTCGGCGTTGAGATCAGACATTTTGTGAGGGGCCGTCCAGACAGACACCTTTAACAATACTCTACCACAGCTCAATTGTCGAGTGGTATGTTTAGACGAATATTAGAAGCAAGAAACTCTATAAATCCATTTGCAATAGTGCACTGCTAAAGGTCTCAGCGGGGTGGGTTTAGATTGAGTTGTTGGAGATTTGGACGCGGTGTTAATCTCCCCGCAGTGCATAATTTTACAGTTTGTATAGTCGCGCTGTACAACCTTGATTAGTAATGTATAAATCAAACATAATGCTGCATGAGATGCACATCAGAGCTGAAATCGACATTCCGAACATCAACCCCTTCATGAATACAATTTAGTCAGGTTACAAGGTATTGCTGTCTAGATTCATTTCATTATTTCATTATGTACTCCTGTCCATTCGCATTTCAACGCCAGATTCATTTCAAATCTAGCACCCCATTCCCATGAAATTCACAGACGGCTCTACCTGCAGGTGTTCCACCGCTTGTGTCGTGTTATCATCCTCAAGGCCATCGAGGTTCTTTCTCTGCCAGAATGTTCTAAACCCGTCCACCAACCGCTGAGTGACCGGGACCACATCATCCGCAGGCATTGCCGCAAAGCACAACCGGAAGTACTGATAACCACGAGCCTTGATTTCATCCGTTGGTGAGAACATCGTTCCTGTTCCAAGGAGACAAAGATGCGGCTTTTGTATCAAATGTGTCCATAGGGCTTTTGCTAGCCTCTCGGGTCTGTACTTCCGACGCAAGGGGTGGCTGTCCAAGCCCGCCTTGATCCAAATGAACATTCCTCCTGTGGGCCAAGCGAAGTCGAACATCCGAACCTTATCCAGAACCTCCCATGAGTCTTCCTCATTATTCTCGCCCAAGGTCAGATCATCCAGTCTCTCAGTATCAAGCACGATATATTTGCCCTCTTCCAGACCACTACACATCTGCTGCATGCGGTGCTCGTATCCCGCGCGCAGGCCCTCAAGCCAGCGAACCCAACCGTCCATCTGCCAACCTTTCTCATCGCCGTTGCCCTTCCGTGCATTGATGGACTTGTCATCTGATTGCTGGCCAAGAATCATTTCAGCTACCAGGGCTTGGACAAATCCTGAGGGAGCTTGAGTGGTTGACTCTGCAATACGAGCCAACCTTTCAATTACAGCTGGCTGTGCTGTCATCCAACCGAGACGGCAGCCTGGCGCAATAGTTTTGGAGAAGGTATCAAGGCGAACAACCCGGCCGTCGGTGTCGAGCGACAGATACGAGGGCACAAGAGAATCAAGAAACTCGTATCCAGAAGACTTTTTGCCAGCGTTATAATTGCGCGGTGTCAAATGCGGGTTAGTCCGAGTGTTTCGGTATTCAGCTTGCCTTTCTTGGGCTGACGGGTATTGCAGGTTCCAGTATGGATCGTCTTCCACGATGACGATGTCATACCTATGACAAATAGCGTAAATCTCCTTACGGCGCTCGACAGACAAGGTGCCGCCGGTTGGATTTTGGCCGATACTTGGGGCGAGTAATTAGCCGACGAAGCAAGCGTCATCGATTGAGTTACTCACGTTACGGTATACATCAAATGCGGACGACGGCCTCGGCGGAAATCCCAGTTTTCCAAAACATCGTCCAATCCTCCCGGGCCATGCGGCAGCATACCCTCCGTGTCCATGGCTACCGGGACGATGTTGAGTCCTCTTGGTTTGGCAGCCTGAATGCCATTCATATACACATATTCCTCACAAAGAATTCCTTGACGAAGGTGTACCCAATCACGATCGGGATTCCACGGGTTGGTGAAGGCTTCAATGGCCTTAGAGAACCCGTCAGTTGCGCCTGTGGTCATAAGGGTATCTGGGCCACCGGCATACGGAACGTTCGGATGAAGATGTTCACGAACGAACGTATTCACAAATGTCGCCAGAGGAGGGAGACCTTCAGCAGTGCCATATTGCAAGGCTGTTGTGATATCAATCTTCTGCGTGATGGCGCTCTGGGAGTCTTTAGGTACGGTTATCCGTTCGCTCGACTGTGGATCCTTGGCCTTTCCACCTGGAATGGTTGCAAATCGCTGAGAACGGGCGGCTGAAGCTTCTAAGGTATCGTACGGAAAATAAGAGGCATTTGGCAGTCCTACAGTCATCAGATTTGTGAGAAGTCAACCAGCTAATGTTGAATCAGAGGCCGTACCGCCCGCCAAGTTGGCAATGCCGGGGATGAGAAAGTACTTGTAAAAGTCTTTCACGGCACTCGGCGCACGCCGCTTGGTTATGTAGCTGAAATGATGGGACAAGTCTACTGGAGGCGACAAAGAGGCCATTGTGAATGATGTCTTTGCACTCAGCTATGGCCGCTGATCAGACTGTCAACTCATCGCCTCCCGGCTCCGGGTTATAAGGCTGCTTGGAGTTGTCTCCAATTTGCTTGATAAGCAACTGGAACCAAAGAACGGCTCATTTCCACAGCCAATGGCACCATCTTGATAGCGAGACCTGCCCGCAAACGGTTAAATTAATGGGGAACAAAGAGAATGTGGAGAATGAGATAGAGACACCGCCCATCATCTTAATCTCCAAAACATTGCAAAGGTTGAGCAGGGCTTTGGGAGTAGAGACTAGATTGAGGACCTGAAAGCAGGATAGCCGTTAGCCGTTAGCCGTTAGAGAGTTTTAGTATGACGCCCACAACCGCCGCAACAAAAGCACTGTATGCACGGGATGATCTCTCCACATCCTTCTTGTGCCTGACCGATATCTCGTCCACTCTCCTGCAGATCCGAGGCTGCAGGTTTATTTTCTTTTTGTCCACCAGAATGATCCAAACAACTTATATTTTCTTAATTTGTTGCCTTGAAGCCTTCCCTGGTGATCGGAATGGCCTGCCGATGACATAAGCACGATCGGTGCCAGCTCGCCACCCTCCGCATGATCTCGTCCGCTTACCGGTCTTCCGCCCTCTTAACTCTCGACTCGACTCTCTCCTTCCTCATCGCTCATTCCTGGTATCTCGACTATCTTTATCCAATCCGCATTCATTATTCGATAGCCGTGAATTCGCATTGATTGCGCTCTTTTGACGTTAAAATAGGCCTTTCCACTGGTTGAGAGGGTCTGTTCTAGACCAGCCGGCAATCCCGCCTCTTGGCTGTCGATAATCTATATCCATCGTTTTTCTCCGCTCTTTCGTCGTTGATTTGATCTGCTCCCTAAGGTCATCTCAGGATGTTAGGAGAAGGCCCAGGTGATGGTTCTCGGGTGTATATACCTCCTGCGGTAGAGGTTGAAGACCAATCCGACGATCCCGACGCTCCCGACCTACTCCCTCACCATGTCGACACCGGTCCTACCGTACTTCCCGTCTGGTTACGGGAATCCTCGAAATCTTTCCGCTGGGGCTGGGTCCCTTTACCGATTCGAAAGGCTGCTCGCACGACCGCTGAATTTGTCAAGGGCCCAGACCCGCCATACCCGCTCTTGTTGAACCCTCTGTTTCCCCAGATCCAGGAACTGCCTAGGCGGTACCTGGACAAGTTTTTCCCGAAGCGCAAACATAAGGTGTCCCTACTTCTGCTCCTATATTTCGCTTGGTTCCTGCCGTGGGCTATCCTATTTCTACATTCTCGATCCGCGGGTTACATTGAAGGCTACGGGCGGCCTATCACATTGTCTTGCTCGAGCACCTTTTGGTAAGTAGTTATATCCGGGTGCTTATGTCGCTTATTTCTAACGAATATACCGCAGGACACCTGGTAATGGTTGTGGACTCAATGGAAACGATTGCCGTCCTTTCACCGCAGCGGCAACACCCTTCCGATGCCCAGCCAACTGTCGGGACGCGAAAACGATCGAACCTTACGCCTTTGGTAATCAGACAATCAATTATAGGGGACTTGTCATCGGAGGACCTGAGCCGGGATCGGATGAGCCTGGCGTATATCGTGCCGACAGCTTCATTTGTCAAGCCGCCCTCCATGCAGGAGTCATTGATAACGATGGTGGTTGCGGCGTGGCCCAATTAGAAGGAGCTGCGCATTCGTTCCATGCATCCAAACAAAATGGAATCAGCTCGCTCGGCTTTCCGTCGACCTTCCCCAAGTCTTTCAGCTTCGTCGAGCCGTCGTCAGATGCCACTTGCCCGCAGGATCCACGATGGCCCCTACTAGGTATCACTATTGGGGCGCTCGCTGTCCTATGGCTCTTCTGCTCGTCCCCTGCGGTACTATTCTTGAGCACGTTCTTCATGCTTTTTAGCCAGGTGGGATTGGTGTCTGATCCGCCGCCTCGGGCTGACCTGGCCGCTCTTATGTCCATCTTCGTCGCTCGGCTTCTTCCCGCATCATTCGTTGCATTTGTCTTGTTCAGATACTGTGCGCGACCACTCCTGACGCCTCTATCGTCACCTATCTATCAGTTCAGCAAGACATTGCTCTTCTTGCCCCCTGCGTTCTTTGGCGGTCTGAACAACTATACTTTTGCGAGATTGATCCCCCTTGAGCGTCTGACGCCGCATGATATTCAGCAACAACCTGGTGCGAAGCTCGCGTTATCCATAGTCATTCCTACCGTCCTCGCTATCATCTTAACCCAAACCCATCAAATTCGCATGGGTGGCTTGATGCCACATTACTTGAAGGTGTACGGAACGATGGCGCTGATCCTTCTGATTCTACTCCCACTCCCCGGGCTTCGCCTTCGCATTCACCATTATATCCTTGCGATCCTCTTGATGTACGGGACGGCTTTCCCCACTCGACCGTCATTAGTCTACCAGGGGTTGCTGCTTGGCCTCTTCATCAACGGTATTGCCAGGTGGGGCTTTGCTTCCATCATCGAAACGCCCGCTGCACTTGGCGAACAAGCACCAGGACCTGGTGGGCAGCATGGATGGTGGGGAGGCACCTCACCTAATGTCAACGATAACTCTGTCACAATTTCCCTCCCAGATAGGGGCTCCGGCGAGCCCTATCATGGCAATGGCAACATTACGTTCACGCTATGGGAGCGAGAACGCATGGACAAACTAGGTGTGGACGGAGTCTCGGTCCTAGTCAACGATGTTGAGCGCTGGCGCGGTTACCTAGACGAGGACCCCGCGGGAGAATTCACCTGGCATCGCCACGGCCACGCCGGCCTCGAACTACATCACACATCCTCAATTGACCGTGATTTCGAGGTCCCACCCTCGGACCTCGAGCTCGAACAAATCCACCCCAGCGGCGAGGACAAGCCCGAAACCCTCTTTTTTCGCTTCGCGTTCCTGAGGGGCGCCGAGGCAGGGAAGTACGGCAGTGCTGGGATCTGGCTCGAGGAAGGGGACTGGATCTCGCCCCCGCCGCCGAAAAACTAGATCTGTCTCCTTTTATTTTCGTTTTATCTTTATCGGGAGTACTGCGTACTAGACCGGGATACTATACTCCACCTATACCCTACTGTGTTTGGGTTGGATACGAACACGATCAATTTGGTTTGGATTTGCATATCATGAGTTATGAATGAAATTAGTTTTATGTAACCGTCAACACTATATACTATACAGTAGCAGTAGTTGTATTCCCGTCACTTTCCACAGGTACCTTGTCTGGGTGGTGGGTACTATTGAAGCCGAAACAGCGGGCGGTGAAGAGTCGCGGCCCCGTTTCTCAATTACGTATCCGCATCAACACCGAGAGCTTCCATCTGCATCGCATCTTCCTCAATCCATATTCCTCCCATCAGACTCCTTGACATGATCCACATTTAATACACTCTCAAATAGCACTAATAATGGAGCACGCAGACCCCTTTCTTCAAGTCCAAGCGTAAGCACCGCCTCCAAAACAACATGCCACGCTAGCTAACAACCAAACCCAGCGATGTCCTCTCAACCCTCGGCACTACAAGACCCTTATTCTCCTCATATCTCCGCATCCGCTCTCTCGCAAAATCCCCCTCAAACCCTGAGCTCCAGCAAGCGCGCTCGGAGTTAGAAACAACTCTTACAGACCTCACAGCGGACCTCGACGACCTAGTCGAGAGTGTCCGAGCCGTCGAGCAAGACCCGTACCGTTTTGGGCTAGATATAGAGGAAGTACAGCGCCGTCGCAAACTCGTTGACGATGTTGGCAAGGAGCTCGAGGATATGAGGGGGGAGTTGGTGAAGGTTATTACGAATTCTGATGCTGCTGCTGCTGGAAAATCCAAGGGTGCAGGGCTTCCGAATCCAGCGGAGTTCGATGATGATGCTGAGGGGCAAGGAGATGATTACTATGCCGAGATGGAGCAGCAGCGGCAGATGGAGCTTATGCATGAGCAGGACGAGCAGCTAGATGGTGTGTTCCGGACGGTAGGGAATCTGAGACAGCAGGCGGATGATATGGGGAGGGAGTTGGAGGAGCAGGCAGTTATGATTGGGGAGATTGACACGCTTGCGGGTCGGGTTGGGGGAAAGTTACAGAATGGGATGTCGAAATTGAAGTGGGTTATCAAGAAGAATGAAGGTGAGTATCATTTTTGCTCATTCATTGCATTGCATTATTTCAATCTTCATCTTTCATTAAGTGCGTCTTCCAAATTGGGTCTTTGCTAACTAAGAGATTAGATACGATGTCGTCGTTTTGCATCGCGCTCCTGATTTTCGTGCTCGTTTTGTTATTAATACTAGTCATTGCCCTGTGAATACGAGGGTAATTTTGTTGTTGAGAAAGTTGTTTTTTTTTTGGCGCGATTAGACCTTGGTCTTCTTGCGGGGGTGGGACTCGTCTTCCTCGTCATCTTCCTCGTCCTCATCGTCGAGTTCGTCAAAGTCGAAGTCCGGGGTGTCGTCGAAGGATTGGACTGTGAATGTTAGCTGTGGTCGTGCCGAAGAGACAGTGCAGACATACCATAGTATTTCAGGGCGTTGGGCCAGAGGTCATCAGCGAGCGCATTGGCCAATTCAGGTCCATCAGGGAAGGACTCAATCTGGTCAAAGTCATCATCAACATCCTCGTCATCGTCAGCCTCATCATCCTCGACGTTCTCTCCCTTGAGGATCTTCTCGAGCTTCTCGTTCTCCTCCTTAGTGGCCGCCGCGGATTGTTCAGCGGTCACGTCGCCTCCACGGTAGCCGAAGAAGTTGAAGAAGCTTTGGCCGGAGGACCCTCCCATGGGGTCATCGTCCTCATCCTCTTCTTCGTCAATAGCCTCGATCGCGGCGAGCTTCTCAATAAGCTTCTTGAACTCGGGCAGCTCCTTGCGGTCACCGCCCTTCTTCTCAGCCTCGTACAGGTCGCAGGTGGCATCGAGCAGACCCTTGGTGACATCCATATCCTTCTTCCAGTTGATGCGAACGGGCTCCGAAACAAGGCCATCCCAGGTCCTCTTCTTACCACTAGGGGTGGTCAAAACCTGCTTGCGCCAGTAGAAGTCCTTAACAAGCTTCTTGTCCTCAAAGAAGGGGTTGTTTTCGCCGGTGTTGAATTCGAATGTGAAACGAACGCTGCGGGGCTCGCCCTCGCCCTTCTCATTGACTTCGAACCGCTCGACGGTCAGGTTGCTCAAGGAAGATCCAAGGATGGCTGCATCAGAGGAAGTGATGTACTCGTCGATCTCGCCGGGCGCGTTCGAGAGCACGCGAATCCAGAAGTTGGTCTGCACTTCAGGGTGCGAGACGATCTTGGCGCGCTTCTCAAACAACGGACGGAAGGAGACGATGGACTGGCGCACTGTTTTGATTCATTTTGTCAGCGTACATGTACAGTAAGTATCTTCTAGATCGTTTGTCGCAAGGTGTTAAATAGCTAGGTAAAACCGGCCACGAACGCGCCGGATCAGAGTCAGCTTACATTGCTCAACCTCCGCGCGGATAAACTGCTGCTCCAAAACACCAATATCCTTAGCTACCTCAGGGGGGACAATGGGCTCAGAGACGCGCTCCGCCAGGTCCTGCTGTTGATCGTTCGACATGGCGCTGTTTGAAAATTAACAATGACGACACGGGCGCGTAGGGATGTCGATAGCTAGGTAGCTGTAAGCTGTAGCTGTAGCTGTAGGAAAGGATACCGGGCAAGTATCCAAGAGTTTCAATTGAGAAACAAGTATTGCAAAAGATGGAGACGAAGTAGGAGGAGTAGTAGTGTAGAGTATCAGGGGCCGGGGAGAAAAAAATCTGAAAATTGCGCCTGAGAAACTAAAGTCCGGCGACGGGATTGGCTTCGTCACTCTTTTTCCATTTCCGTTTTGGACGGGGTGTTGCTGGCTGCTTTAGGTTGAGCGGGACTAAAGCGGCGGGCGCACTACATTTATTGTGAGCTATCTACTCCTTGACCAGGTGCTGGGGGTTTGTTAAGGTTATTATCTTCATGATGTATCGTTTTGTGATTCGTATCGAAGTATCTGAATTCTGAGTTTGGTCCAATGACACTATTTGATGGTCGTATCTGGCGTTTTACCACGGCATTCTGCATCATATGTACACCCAGTGTTGGGCATGGATGATCTGGAGAATTATTGGGCGCTCAATTGGATGGATTTGCTGGCTTTGCAAGCCAATTGTGTTCATCAAATTCATAATTCATGTGTCATCTTTCTCTCTAGGCTTTGAAAGTACTGCATTCCAATCAAGTTTATTTGAGAATGCGACTGCCATAGCACGGACAATCTGCGAGATGTACTCGTATGCTTGGGGATATTTTAATTATTCCCGTAAATATATATTTCCTAGCCTTGGGCCGTAGGATGGCGTATGTAATGTGAAAATTCATGATTGTGGGAGTTTGGGGTGAGGTAGAAGTACTCTCATGTACATAGGAATTGTCAGATATATATTTACTCAAGATCCCAACAAAGACAAAATGCTACATTGCCAAAGCAAGCTCACGTACCGAAATCGAGAAATATATCAACTTAGCAGAAACCATGAAATTTGCTTGATGCCGATGACAGACAGAGCCTGGGTCATTGTGTATCACGGGGCCACTGCTTCTTCTCGCGTCGCTTTGGGGTATCTTCCGCCACTTCACGCCCAACTCTGGGGTCTACCCAGTATCCGCAAACTCGAGCTGATGTTCGAGAATTTTTCTGTTTATGGATATGATTTCCCGGAATTAGGCCGAAGCCATTTTTTTGACACAGCTCGCGAGTTTTATGATTCAGGTCTGAAAGTCGAGCCGCAAAGACTCAATCATCAAATCCAACTCAGCATGCGAGCTACTTCAGTGTCGAATCTTTCCTGCCATCAAACATAATTCTATTCCAGCCAAAGAAGGAAAGTGTCAACGACGTCCACGTTCTTGAGGTGAGGAAAGAGTGGCGGGGACGAAAATGTCTCAACGGTACACTAACACCAAGTGGCTCCAGATCTCCTTGCCGCATCCACAGAAACGCATTCCGTACGTAATATGGACCGCTGCTGAAAACTCTCTGCAACACCACGAGAATAATAAGAGGGGCAGACAATGCACTTACCGTTCCTTTGAATTTCCGGTTGGATCTTTTAAAGGTAAACGAGACGACGATAACCCCGCGATTCGGGATTGCATTCTGGTCCAGACTCTTATCTCATCCGCGATCTACGCTTGAGGTGCCTGAAAGATTTTCGAGTTCGCCCCATCTCAACGCTTCAGTTTGCGCTACCTCTGACATTAGGGCTAGAGAGCCGCTCTTTTCTTGTTATCGCACCACCGAGATATCTCACTCTCTTTCCTGCCTTACTTGTCTTTCGTTAAGTGAGTGACTTGCCGTTTCACTCAAGTGATCATCTACAGTTGCAAACATGGTTGCCGCCGATGATATCATCCCCGAACTGGCCGAGGGCCAGGCAGAGCAGTCAGTCCCCGAGTCGCGGGTCTTGATTATCATGACTGGTGGTACAATTTGTATGCGACCATCGCCAGCGGGGTTGGTGCCTGCTCGAGACTTCCAGGAGCAATGCTTAGCGCGGGTGCCTACGTTCAACGATGGATCGCACTCGACAGTGATGGATGTCGTGACCAACGACGCCGGGGACATCAAAGGCCACCCAAGTCTGCGAACCCCGATGACGGCATATGGACGACGAGTGAGGTATACCGTTTTTGAATTCGATGAACTGCTGGACAGTAGCTCTATCGACGCCAAGGGATGGGCACAAATTGCGCAAACCATTGAGCGAAACTACACATATTTCGATGGGTTTGTGGTGCTGCATGGAACAGATAGTCTGGCATATACCTGCTCCGCACTGAGCTTTATGCTGAAAAATCTCGGAAAGCCTGTGATTGTCACTGGAGCACAGGCTCCAATGCTAGAGCTACAGAACGATGCTACAGATAACCTGCTGGGATCGCTGGTTGTGGCTGGCCACTTCATGATACCTGAGGTCTGCCTGTATTTCAACAACAAATTGCTTCGTGGCAATCGGTCCACCAAGGTAGCGGCAAGTGACTTCAATGCATTTAATTCGCCCAATTGCGCGCCGCTGGCTGTGACAACATCGATGCGCACGAATGTCAACTGGGAAATTGTAAACCGGCCTAAAAGCCTCGAACACTTTAGCATCCAGACCAACCTAGACACCACTCATGTCGCGTGCCTGCGCATATTCCCGGGTATCAAGCCGGAGATGGTGGATGCAGTATTGAAGCTGGATGGTCTTCGTGGCCTGGTCTTGGAGACATTCGGCGCCGGGAATGCACCCCATGGTCAAGACAATGCCATGACCAAGGTCTTTGCTGACGCGATTTCTCGAGGAATTGTCATTGTCAATATCACCCAATGTGAGCATCCGTGGCGTCAGGAAAACGATCAAGGTACTAACCCAAGTAGGTCTTACTGGCAGCGTCAGCGCAGTTTATGCTACTGGAATGAGCCTGTCCAAGGCTGGGGTAGTCGCAGGGTTGGACATGACTACAGAAGCGGCACTGACCAAGCTTGCCTACCTGCTTGCGCTCCCCAGGGCAACACCCCAGGTGGTAGCAAACAATATGTCACTGTCGCTCCGTGGCGAATTGACGGAGTCGTCGCAGCCAGTGTTCCGCCATCCAGATGGAGCTCTGCCCGAGCGAGTACAGGCGCTCACAGTCCTGGGATACGCCATTGCCCAGGGGGACCTTGCTCGGGTTGAGGAAATTGTAAAGAGCGAGCACGATTGGTTGCTGAACGATGCCGACTATTCCGGAAATACTCCAGTGGTAAGTCCCCCCCTCCCTCTGGGTCCTTACAATGGCAGCAGTGTTGACACTACTCCATCTAGCATCTTGCAGCGACCTCACCATCGGTCGATATTCTGCGGTTCCTGCTCCTTCAGGGCGGGTCTGTGCATCTACGAAACCGCAACGGACGCACCCCACTCTTCCTGGCGGCTAACGCTGGGCTGTCAGAGCACGTTCTTCTGCTTCGCAAGTCGGGAGCGCATCTGCACTCAGACGAACGGACGGCAGCGCAGCTCCTCGCCCGACGGCGGCCCGGGACCTGGGGCCTGGCCGGTATTGGGCCACGTGAAGTCAGTGACAGGGAGATGGAGGAGGCAGGCGATGGGTACCGCGCGGGGTCGTCGCACTGGCCGATGGCAGGATCAGCGCCTTGACATACCATTAATGAATGATTGACCCCAGGATTATTACAGCAGCGATAGACTACGAAGTTATGCTTGCATGGAGTAGAATTATGCATTTCTTGTTTGCTTCCGATTCTGTATGAATAGACAGGGTTCCTCACCGAAAGTCGGGGTATGCATGGCAGGCACGAGGCGAAGACGATATAGTACCAAAATTAGCGAACTCTCTGGAAGCATTGCTGGGTGATCTGGTAGGGATCGGGGTCTGAACCGGCGGGACAGCCGAGCGTGCAGAGAGTGACCTCATGAAACTGAAAGGCTCATGGAACTGGAATCACGGGCTCCTACCCGGCAGGCCAGGCTAGCCCCAAAGAGGTTAATCAGGGCGTGCCCCTCCCGCGGAGATGGTTGATGCTCCGAGCGAGAGCTATCCCCGCCTCCAGAATTGCGCCATCTGGTGCATTCTAGTTGACAGATGGGCCACCTCCCAGGTGGTTTGTGATATTTAGTCTGTAATGAGCAAGATCACGATCACTGTTGTTGGCAAACACTGAACAGCGTGTAAAGTGCACTAGACACAGTGGATCCTACGGTCCCCAAGAACAAAGGAGATGGCCTTTAATTCGCTCAGTTTCTTGGCAACACCGTGGAAGGCCGCCGGGCACAGATTGGCTGGCTGGCTGAGTGCCGGAAGATTGAGTCGGAATTGTTGGGCTGTAGCCTGTCGCCTGTGCTTCATCTGCCATTATTGACATGATTGATTCTCCCAGGACCTTCTGTTTTGAGCAGTGCTGTCATGTATTCGGGATGTGGTGTATTTGCTTTTTATCCGCCCTAGAATCCCCCTAAAAGGCTTAGGCTGTGATGTCGCGATTGACTTCAAACCACAGCAGCAGCATCAGCTTGGCCAACTCCAGAGCTGCTGCCGGGGGGAAGGAGGCCACAGGTTTTACGGGGTGTCGCCCATCGCATGCTCCATCTGATACCGACTCTCGGCCCAGCAGAATACGTGTCAAGCTTCACGGCCTCAGGCAGACAGGGCCGTTACGTAAAGGAAAGGAGCCGCTGGCCAACGAACGAGCAGCTCTCGCCAACTTCGGCCCTGCGACTTTTGTGTGATCTTCGGTCTGGACTCTATACATTGCCTATGGACGGTGTGAGAAGAATGCCTCCTGCCTCCAGAGATTTCTGAACGGACAGTGGACGGAGGCAGTTCCTGGGCGCCGCAGACCGAAGATTGAAGTAGTTGCGCAACCGGAAAAAGAAAAGACATGAAGCATTAAAGTTAGTAACTAGATCGCTGCATGATCTGCTCGACTCTATAGACTGCGATTCGGTGACTGATTCGTATTACTCGATGCTAATATCGGAGGAGAATCGGAATGTAGACACTTGAGCATCAAGCATCAGTTGCCAGCACCTGACACTCGGAACCAGACCTCAGCCAGAACCAGACCAGACCTCCCTCCGTACCCACGCCTCGAATATCAAGTGATTCAAGCCGAAAAATTTTCAATCCTAATCGGGTTCGCATATCCACTTCGGCCTTGTTAGATCCTCTCATTATTCATAATTTCCATCCTTAGCTAACAGAAACCCTCACCTTGGAGGCACGCCGCCTGAGCTGCATCCTCGCGGAGATCATAACATCTCTTATTTCTTCTGAGCCCCTTCCTCTTGCACCATCGATTTCCGCAATTGCGGCATTATCGAATCATCGCTCGCTTGCCTATACTGCCTGTCGCTCCGGCCTTCTTATACTTCTGTGCTCCAGGTGCGTTCTTATCTTGATCCCACTCCGTCCTGCCCTTTCCCGCTTCCCCACGCCGCCCTCCTCACTCTCCAAGTCGAGACTCGAGAGACTCTGTGCTGCTGCGCGCTCCATTCGTTCCACTCGCTTGCTCCGACTGAGCTGTGTGTCGGATTCCACCTGACTTTCTCCAGATTCCCTCCGAGCCCTCCCTTCTCCATTAGGTCTCGGCTCCTGCTGCTGCTCGTCCACTACCCCGCATAATTTTCTATCGATTTTTTTCGCGGCTCCTTATCTCTCCGACTCGCTCATCGACCAGCATTCCCCTCTCGGCATAACGCGAGGATCAAGTGAGGACCAAAGGCCCGGTCGAGAGAGAGACAGAGACTTCGTCGGCCGTCCCAATGACGATGCAGAAGAAGACAATTGCCGTCGTGAACGCGACGGGACGCCAAGCGGCTTCCCTCATCCGCGTCGCCGCCGCCGTCGGACACCACGTACGCGCGCAAGTCCATTCCCTCAAGGGCCTCATTGCAGAAGAGCTCCAGAGCATCCCAAATGTCACATTGATCCAGGGACCCCTGTTAAATAACTTTGAGCTGATGGACACCCTATTTGACGGAGCTAACATCGCCTTCATCAACACAACGTCGCAAGCGGGCGATGAGATTGTCATTGGAAAGGCGCTCGCCGATGCTGCGAAGCGCGCCGGTACGATTCAGCACTACATCTACAGCAGCATGCCAGATCACTCGCTCTACGGACCATACCCGGCTGTGCCTCTATGGGCTCCGAAGTTTACCGTGGAGAACTACGTCCGCCAACTGGGCCTCCATTCGACCTTCGTTTATGCTGGAATCTACAACAACAACTTCACAAGCCTACCATACCCGCTCTTCCAGATGGAACTCATGCCGGACGGCACTTTCGAGTGGCATGCGCCTTTTGACCCAGACATTCCATTACCTTGGCTGGATGCAGAGCATGACGTTGGTCCCGCGTTGCTGCAGATCTTCAAGGACGGCCCTCAGAGGTGGAATGGTCATCGGTAGGTGTCGATCTTGACATTGGGTACCGGATTGTAGCTGACTGTCATAGAATTGCGCTCACCTTTGAAACGCTATCACCCGAACAAGTATGCGCGGCCTTCTCCCGAGCTCTCAATCGCCGCGTAAAGTACGTCCAGGTTCCCAAGGTGGAAATCAAAGTCAACATTCCAGCCGGATACCGGGAACAGCTTGAAGCCCTTGAAGAGGTCTTTGGCGTGCACAAGGCAGCCTACTTCCCCCAACCCGAATTCTCCCGTCCTGCCGCTGGATCTCCCAAGGGATTAGGCCCAGCCAATGGTAAGGGCGCCGGTGCGGGAATGATGCAGGGCCCCGGAGGTGTCATCTCACAACGTGTCACGGACGAATCCCGCCAGTTATGGCAAGGCTGGCGAGACATGGAAGAGTATGCGCGCGAAGTCTTTCCCGTGGAAGAAGAAGCCAACGGGCTAGACTGGATGCTATAACAGTGGGGAGAAATCGAGCGCTATCGGAAAGGAAACTCCGCCTGCCCAGGACGACCGTGCGAGCGCGCGCGAACAAATGGCGTTTCCCTCATAAAGCGGAACATTGCAGCGTGCAGCTCAGCTCAGTCGGTGAGTCGGTGGACAAGACCTTATCACAGCGACATGACATGATCCGAAGCGCGCGATTGGCCCGATAGGGAGGTTGCATATCCGTCGCCCTGCCTGCCAACCTACCTTCCCTTCCTGACCTTGTCTTATCCTGGATTCCCCTCAATCTCAGTTTCCCCACCGAAAACCAACCAACAACCTCTCGAGCTCGAGTTTTGTCTGATACCAAAACGACATCTAAATCGCGCAATTTTTCATGCATTCATGGCGAATTGGCTTTGGGTTATTGTTATACCTATACCTTTACTTTACTTGGAGCGAGCAAAAACAAAGGGCAAAAAAGCCAACCGTCTTCTACCCGGACCTCAAAGTCCATCCCGAAGTCGGAGTCGAATTCCCTCTATCTCTCTCCATCTTTCTCTCCCTTTCCTCTCCCTATCGGCGCTCCTCTCCACCCCCTAAAAATCCCTCTACCCAAAACAAAAAAGAATTCTATCCTACCTATTTAATGGCTTGATTATTGAGCAAAGAATCCATCAATCCTTTCTTCCTATCCATGCATATGAAGAAGATTGAACCTACCTACCTACTCAACTAGGAGTAGGATCTATAGGAAGGAAGACATGATGTTACGAACTTGCACCATGAGACACAAAAAGTTACACTCTTGATCTGATGTCACTTCAGGTTTCTTCATTCTTATTTCTTCATTTCATTTTCATCTTTTTCTTTCTATATATCTCTGGCGTTACCATATTCATGATTGATTTGATTTGTCTCGTCTTGACTCAACTCGGCCTGACCTGACCTGACTTAACTACTACTGGTGGCTGTTTGACCAATTCAGTGAGGATACCATATCTACAACCAATTTATCGTTCCTTCTCCTCTCTTCCACTTGGCCTTGCCACCTTCGCATCGTATTATCACCTTGGCTGGGACGGGATACGTACTATTTAACTACATGCTAAGGCAAAGGACACTTAATCAATCTATAGTCCGGGGTTTGAGTTTGAGGTTGAGTTTTATGGAGCCAGTGAGGAAAAGAAAACATGCATTCTAGACCGTCACCGTTCAATTCTGCTGAGCCTTATCTACATACTGAAGTCTGCGTAGATCGCCGATCCGAGCCATGTCGGATCGGATCCAGATCAATGAATAAATCAAAACAATGGGCAGATCCAGGTAACGATCAACCTGCCTTGGCGTGCTGTGATCTGTGGATATGCCAAATTGCCAACCGTGAATCGGTTGGGTGGGATGAACCTGCGGTGAACCATACATGGACAATGATATGGTATTATGTGGATGGCTTGATAAGATAATTGACTTGGCGGCCGGAGTGTCTGGACTCTGAACTCTGAAGTTTCTTCCTCGTAGATCTGGGCTAGAGCTGTATTTGCTTTTTTTCTCGTTAGGTCCTTTGCTCCTGCTCCTGTTATTCAAGCTGGCGAGGTTTAATAGATTGGAATTACCTTTCCTGAGGGGGTATCAAGATTATATCGGGTAGTTAGCTAGACTCTCATCTGATGGACAGACCTACTGCTTAGAAGGAGTTAGAGGCCTCCGTCTTCAGCTCCAGTCTAATCCAATATTGTTCTCAGAAGTCTGTCTATACTTCTGGGAGGTTTATATGGGCTCGATACTTTTGATCTGGATCTTGAATTGCGGTTGATTAGTGACATCTTGTTCCTCCATGTCAACCTATATTAGATGATAGCTGTCTAGGCATTTATAGAATAAATGGGAATATTTCCTCCTTCATATGTATGGCTCGGTAATATGTATATATTATAAAACAATACCATTCAGCCATCAAAATACCAATTGGCATTTAGGGATCCTTCTGTATTGCTTACATGCCAACAATATATTTTGGTCCATTTGAGCAAGATTTGCCAAACACCGTTACTGATGAGACTAACACAAAGAGTACCTGTTCCTAAGGAGTTTACAATAGCAAGCGGCCACTTATTGAGATACTATTTACTCCATAAGAATCTTTGTAGGTTGTAATGGATAACTACAACATTCGAACTGTCTCCCACCACGAGACGGTCATTTGTAGTTAATAAGTTCCAAGAATGCAGTGTTGCCGAGGAAACATTAACAACTGTGGTTTTCGCTTGTCACTTACAAGAATGAGGGCGAGAGTCCTGGTCGACTCCTGATCGGAAAGTTTTGTACGCATCCTCTCCAAGTTCCTTGTACACGCCGATCCAACTCTACAGGATTTGGCTTACGGCCAAGGCCATCAGATAATTTCCATCTGATACTACGGAACATGGAAGTGCCCTCTACTTTACCTTCCAGCCCCTCCGCAGGCGATAATGTAATTTCAATGCCGTTTCCTATCAAATATCGTGGCAGATGGCTCTCACCATAGTAGATGTAAGCCAACCATCCTTTGCGATGGTCTCATCTGGGCATATTCCGATTTTTGAAAAGCGCACCGAATGATGTTGGAGCATATACCTAATGCGTAGTAGTACTTGTAGTTGCATTAAGCAGACAGCAGCCATGCCCGGGCCTGTCTATCACGCTTATCCTGTGGGGATGGGGCGGTTTTTATAATCTCGGTACCTGGGGAGTGGAGATGGGTGTTGGTGGGAAGGAACGGCCCGTCTGTCTGTTGGTGTTGGTTGCGCCTTCCGCGTGAAGGCTAAAGAGAACGGACGGTGAACGTGTCACGAGGAAGGTGCGATTTTGAGGTTCCTGCCTCAGTTGCTTGGAATCTGTTTTGGAAGGAGCAGTATCGTGGGTCGTTCTTGCCCTCATAGTTGATTTGGAGACCCGTCAAGTGAGAAGGCGTGGTCCAGCAGCTCAGAATGCTGTTGTTGGGGTTGTTGGATTTGGAGAAGGCACGGGTACAACTAGGTAGGTACGGCGGCAGTGATGAGCTGGTCCAGCTGCAGTCGGACCAGACGAATATAATCCTTCAAGCGTGGGACCTTGGCTTTTTATTGTTCGGTGTCTCTCCGATTGGGCGTGTATGGAGAAGGGACCACCAGTCAGGGCCTCATCTCACTTAGGTTTGGATTCCGTCACTGGTTGAGGGAACGTGCGATGTAGATGGCTCGTATATTTGCTACTCTGGGGCATCGAAATCCTCCCCGCAGCCCCGACTCTCGATAAGGATCAGGACTTGTTTCACTTTGAGGCAGCTGTAAAATCTTAGCTGTAAGCCAGATCAAGCCGAAATTGAGGGCAGTGGTGGAAGAAGCTTCGATCTGGGAGGGGCTTTGTGCTGTTGTCCACTGACTCGAGCTTGATCATCGATAAAGATGTAGTTAGTTTGGGTCTAGTTGCATCGCGAGAGACCGTCAAGTTTCCCGGCATGGATATGCAATATGGGGAATCCTCTGTGTCCCGGGTGGTTGGCGGTTAGTGAGTCGGAAGGCCACGAGGGAAAGAGTTGTGCCTTGCCCTTACGCCTTACGTCTGGGGGAGAGTCACTGTGCCAGAGACGATACCGGGTGCTGAATTCTAATATGTAGTAGTAGTATTATTTGGAGTCCAGTTGTTGGACAGTCAAGCTTCTGCCATTGAAGGGTGGCAGATTGGGATCAACGGGAGTGATTTTCGGATCAGCTCAAAGAAGCCCAAATAGAATAATGATGCAGCCACTATTGGGAAGATCTGAATCTCCGGGCGGGAAGGTAGCAAAAGCGCCCAGTGCTCCACCATTCTTGTTGGCTTCATGGTTCTACAACGCCAACACCGAGGTGCCTTTGTTTCCTCCAACTACGGAATATGGTGTGGGCAAGTCGGAGAACGCGGGAGAAGTACTGGGCTCGTCACACTTGGACCACCCCTTTGTGTCGCACGCTGGTTTCAACTGGGTGGATTGACCGAGGTGTAACAGACTGGACGGTTCACTCGATGGTCGCGGATGGCGACCTGAAGAGCCGGAGGGTCGGGGTCGGGCGAACTTGGAACGCTGGAGTTCTTGTTGGACCTGATATATGCCACTACGTAATGTCCCGAGGTAGACGGTCCACCGTTCGTGCGGGTTTCGAGTTATGCCGAATCATTTTGGTTGTCGAGGAATCGTGAAGGCGGGCGACGGCGAGGAGAATAGAGGAGGGAGAAGGAAAGCTGAATTGATAGCAGCAGCATCTTGATAGATATCATGATTCAGGCGCTTTCCAAGCGCCTACTCGAGTAGACCATTTAAGTGGTCGAACAGCGAACGGTGACATTGACGACATGACTCCATCCAACTCCATGCCCGACCGTTTCATCCAGTGAGATTAGACATGGCGCCTTGGCAAGCCGCGATGTGATTCGACCCGTTCCTGTTTCAGGAGCGAACCCTGCAGTGCCGGCGTCTGCTGGGCGTGGTTCCGTGGATACGAGAGTTGGGCCTGCTGGCTACCCCTGGAGATCAGTCCAATTTCTGGGTGGAGTGCAGTGGGGAAGGGCAGACAGGCACAGCCTCTCCTGGCACTTGGCCCCCTTTGATGAAATTTCTGGAGCACGAGGGAAGACCCCTGACGGTGATCGATGAAATGATGGAAGTGGCAGCGTCAGAGTTGGGTTGCATGAGGAAGAGGAAGAGGAAGCCCCCCGCGCAAGATGAGTGGCGCCCGTCTGAGAAGATACGAGGTATACAGCCAGCACATTCGATTGCTCGACGGTGGCTTCTTTCTTCGACACCGCCAGTTCTGTTATTCGGATCATCCCGTAGAGTTTGGTCACATCGATAGTCACCATTTAGGCTCTTAGCAGCCAAGGCGGGGGAACTGAGAATAAGGACTGGGACTGAGACTGGGACTGAGATGGATCTCACAAGATGGATTATGTTAGGCTTGGATTTAATTAATTCTCTGAGAGCCAAAGAACGGGCAACTCGGCCGCTGATTGGCCTGAAATAAGATTGTTTGAGTGTTACTCCTTTCCCCTCGATCTCCATATCAAACGGCGCTTGGGCTGATTTTCTCTCTTCCGCTTCTTCTGCTCTGCTTTTCCTTCTGTACTCGTTCCAACTCTTCCCTTCATTTGTTTCACCCCAGTCTCTCGTTTGCTCGCTTGCTTGAAGGGTGTTGGCCTGCTGTATCGCCTCAGGTGCGTTTCTCCCATTCCTGCATGTGCCTGCATTCCTATCCTCTCTAACACTTTCCAGGTCGCATCCATTCCAGCTGCTTCATCCACCGCTCATCACCAGGTACGTTGCTTTTCCAGTGATTGTTTTGCACTGCACACTCCGTCGTTGTCGCTCTTTGTGGCATTCCTGGATTTCCGTCGGCTACGATGCGCTCGTTATACTGCTGTCTGCTGTTCGATCTCGCCATCTCCCTCGTGGCCCTGCAGGGGCTGTGGCAACCTCCCATTTCTGTACTGCAAGGGGCTCTCCCTTGTTTGCGCACCCGCCACCTGCGCCAGTCTTCCATTGGAACTTTCCTTTTACTGGCCACACAGTCTCGTCTCTCCTTGGCCCTTTTCGCGACCTGGGGGAGGAATGCGCCGCTTCCTGGTTTTCTTTGTTGTTGTTGTCCGTCCGTGCTTGATATTATCCTCATTCCCTGCCTGATGCAACCGTTTATCCCACTCGACAACACTCAACACCACCAGACAACGCCAATGCATTGATTCATTTCTTGTTACGCTTTATTGATTAAAGTCTAACCATCGTCCGAGGCGATAGCTTACAGCGCGACTGAGTCGTGAAGACCCAACGTCAAAACATTTCGCTCATTTGAACCCAACTTCGTCACTCCTTTCGTCTATTATCGATCACGATCATGCCCTCGAAGATGCGCCTTGATGCCAGCCTGGTCGCGGGTCTGGCCGCCTTCGCTGGCGTTGCCGATGCCTTCTGGCGTCTTCCTTGCCAGGGCCGCAGCGGTCTTGCTAGGATGGACCCTTTGATGGACCCCGGCGAGCCTTCGTACCACGTCCACACTGTTCATGGATCGAACGGTTGGTTTATCTCACAAGTTTGCCTTGTCTTCACGCTAAAGTTCATCCTTTTTAGGTTTTACCTGGGATGCGGACAGATCGACTCTGCTTGAGGGGTCCTGCACATCGTGCGCCGTCAGGCAGGACAAGTCGGCCTACTGGGCCCCCTCCCTGTACTTTGTTGACAACGAGACCGGCGACTCCGAACTCGTGGACGAAGTCGGAGGCTTGCTTGCGTAGGGCATCCTGTTCCAACAGCATCTTATTGTGAGACTAACCGGGTGAACGTGTCTTAGGTACTACCTGTTAACTGGAGACAAAGTTGAGCCGTTCCCCCAGGGATTCCGTATGATCGCCGGTGACCCATTCCGTCGAAACTTCACCTTGCCGGTCCCCGACCCGCCAAAGTCTGAATGGGCCGGAGATGCTATTTCACAGGACGCCCTTGAGCAGAAGGCTCTTGGCTTCAACTGCCTGAACTACGCCGGGCAAGCCGAGGATTCTCTCAGCCGTCACCACTTGCCTGAGAAGAAATGGCTTGACGAGAACTGCCCTAACGGTGTTCGTTTCGAACTGATGTTCCCATCGTGCTGGAACGGCAAGGATAGCGATGCCGACGACCACAAATCCCATATGGCCTACCCTTCGCTGGTCAACGATGGTGTTTGTCCCGAGGGTTTCGAGCACCGTACCGTTTCCATGATGTTCGAAACTATCTGGAACACCTATGCGTTCAAGAGCCGTGACGGCTACTTTGCTCTTTCCACTGGCGACGCCACTGGATATGGCTACCACGGTGACTTCATGGAGGGCTGGGAAGATGGTGTCCTGGAGGAGGCTGTCAAGACATGCACAAACCCCTCTGGCATGGTCGAGGATTGCTCCGTCTTTGAACTGCAATCTCAGATCGAGCAAAACCTTTGCTCCTTCGACATTCCCGAAATCCTCAAATCTGAGGAAGTTAAGAACGTCAAGGGTGGTCTTCCTAACAAACTGAAGGTCACATGGGGCCCCGAGCGTGCCTTCCCCATCGAGTACACTGATGGTCACGACGACTCGTCCTCGAGCTCCGCCGCCCCATCAAGCACCGATTCGGGTATCAGCCTTTCGCTGCCCGGCGTGGGAGACCTCGGCAACGTGTTCGCTGCCGACCCTAAGACCTCATCCAGCTCAACCACCGAGGTGCCAGCCCCGACCACCACCTCTACTTCAACGACGACCTCGACCCCGACTCCTACGCCTAGCACCTCTTACATTGAGACCCCCGTCACGCAAGAGATCGTCTGGGTCGAGGAGGCAATTGTTGTCTTGGTTGACGATAATGACAAGCCGCTCAAGACCGAGACCCGCCCCGTGGAAGTCGTTTCCACCGAGACCAAGACTGTTACCCGGACCTCTTCAACCGTTGTGCAGGTCCTCCCAACTGACACGGCTCCGGCCAAGCGTCATCATGACCACCTTGCGGCTCACAAGCGCCACAGCCATGGCCACGGACACTAAACTGGAACATTGGTACGGTATTATGACTCCATGATAGGCGTTCTGAGATGAAAACCTATTGTTTTGGGAGGAAACCAACCACATCGCTTGCGATCTGTACCTACAGTTTGTTTCTAAATTTACTTTCAAACATTTCGGCCGGCCACTTCCACACTCATTTGCACCCAGCTGCGGTCCGACCTTTTGCTTTCAGTTCTCGAAGATATTTTTGATAGCTACCACTTACTTTTTTTTCTCCAACCTCACCTCGCTCCTGTGAATACTCCGTCTCACCACCCGTCTCCATTCCGATGTACGTGCTCACGTCACTTGTTTTCCATGTGAAGTATTGCATGCGACTACGTTGTAGTAGGAGATCGCTTCTCGCCCTCACTACGTTCTTTCTCTTGACGAGAAAATGATCGGAGTGTCGGTACTGATCGATCGTGTTAAATAGCAAAATGTATGCGTTACGCGCATCTAGGGGCTACGGCTGAATCTCAGCTGCCCTGTTTACAGTTTACATTCCCATTCCAATATCATGTCCGTTCGATTGCCTCATGTCCTTATCAATGCTTGTTGGAGTATCAGTTAAACGAGTTGAATTAAGATGTCAGATCCATGTAGATCTTCATGTAGGCTACCGAAGACCGGGTTTCGTCACTCCATCCATCTACTAGGCTCGGACCTCTGTACCGATGTAGAATGTCTGGTATCTTGGTGATAGACTATAGCCAAGTCCCACCTACCGAGTCCCTGAACACGATCTTCACGTGTTATAATTCTTTAGGGCCTCAGGCTGTCTCTACTCAAAGCCTTGGACTGGCTAGGGTCAGCCCCAAGGTATGATATCAAGCTACCAACACAATCGCAAGTAACCTTGAAATCCGAAAATCAGCCGGCCAACCTGAAATACCCCTGACAAGCTCGGACCTCCACACACACGCCACGCACCGACCGACATCATACATTCCAATCGACATTCTAATCGATACTCTAATCGACATTCTAATTGACGCAATACACATCCCGGAACATTCATCCTATTCCTACATCGAGCCCGACCGCATTGTAGGTACTCTGTATCCGTACTCTGGGTAAATAGATCGCCACTCGCCACCTGCCACATACATACATCGTACATAGCATAGCAACCCAAACTCAATCCAGCCCAAAACAAAACAAAATAAACCCCCCACAGAGTCTCCCAACTTCCCTAAGTCTTAAGTGGCCAAGACCTAAAGCTAGGGCTGCTTAGTGGCTAGGCTAATCTAAAATACCGTTGCAAAAATCCCCATCGAAAACGCCTGATGTAGCCCGACATGCCTCTGGCCCCACATCTCTTTCAGATACCGCTCTGCGGCGCGGTTGTATTCTCGCCCCTGGTTGTCGAAGAGGGCCGGCTTTACGCTCCAGCTGCGGACGCGACGTTTGCAGTGGCAGCTGGAGGTTGGGGTTGACATTTGCGTTAACGTTGACGTCGGCGTTGGATTGAAGTTGAGGTTGAGGTTCGGGGTTGGGTTTGTGTTTGTATTTGAGCTTGGGTTCCTGCCAATACGCATTTTTATGCTCCTGCTCAGACGAATGTCCATTCCCATGTCTGCGTATGTGTCTGCACCTGCACCAGCACCTGTGTCTGCGCCCGCGCAGCAAAGGCCCGGAGAGTCCTTCCATGCGTCCCAGTATTCGTCTAGTGGGTTGGAGAACAGACAGTCCTCGCTATCTGTCCCGGGGTCCAGGTGGAAATGGCGATGGCAGCATTCATCCTGCGGGGTGAGTACCAGTTTAGCGAGATCCCGCGGGCCCCGGTTAAGTAGAAACCACGAGACGACGCTATACTCGTTTCTCGTGTCGCGGTGCCAGAGTTTAGGCCCGTGGCGGAGGAGCATCCGCTCTAGGAGTTCGCGGAGCATGCGGAGGGTGCAGTGGAAGGCGACTTCGGAGTTTTCGTCTAGGTGGTTTGCGCGGAAGTCGAGGCGGCGTTGGCCGATTTTGGATTCTGTTTGGGCCCATTTAAGGATTTGTGTGGTGTGGGCTTTTGATGATGATTTTGATCTTGCGTGGTCTGGTGGGAGTAGGAGTTTTTGATAGTTGCTACTATCCGGCGAGTCGACGATGTCGCTGTACTCTTTCAAGCGTTTGTGAAGCTTGGTTAGGCGTTTAGACATCGACGACGAGAGGGGTGTCTTTCTGTGAAATTGGCGCCCTCGTTTTATATCGCGTGAGATATCGGCCATGTGGAAGAGCACGTGGAAGCCTCGTTCTAGATGGTTGGCAAGTTTAAGTTCTGCCTCGAAGTTCATTTCATCCTTGTCGTCGTCGTAGAACGGTCCCCATACTGACGGGACGATCTGGCGAGACAGACAACGTGCGAGATTATGACGGTATAAGGATCGCACCAGGGTGTGCACTGTTAGTGCATTTTGCTTGCCGGTCCATGGGTTTAAGGTGAGTAATGGGTTGAATGTGTCGATGTCATGGAGGCGCATAAACCATTTGCAGATGTGCGGATCTAGGACCTTGATCGTGTCGAATGTGCTTTTGTTGACCAGGCAGAGCGTCAATATAGTGCTCGCATCGCCATTGATGATGATCTGGAAAAGGAGGTCGGCGATCAGGCCGAATGGTGGAGCGCATTGCTTTCTATGAATTGGTCCCTAGATATATTGGAAGGATTAGGGTCGCGTGCTTGGTTTCCCTTTGTAACTCCCTGAGGCCAGCACACTTACCATGATTCTTGGCTGATCCAACTCGCATTGCGTTCTGGGAGCACAGAGTAATATAATCCATTGGAGGACCCCCTCGCAGAAGTTCAGCTCCCACTGTATCGAGACGCAATGACCTCAATATAAAGAAATCCCGCAAATCCCGCAACTGCCAGAGCAAGATGAGGTATCATGTGCGACGGTATGACGCGTTGGCCGAATCGCCAGGCCTCCTTGCGCAGCAGACCGAAGCACCAAGAAGCGGAGTATGCAGGGTGCAGGACCAGTGGGCGAACTGGGCGTATCGATGGGTTATATACCATACGTGGAATGGTCCCATCCCTCGCCGGTTCCCTCTCCCTGCAGAGCTGGGGGACGTGCCCTGACATCAAACGGACTATCCTTGATTAAGAGGTGGCGGACTCGTTGGCTGCAATAGCATGGTAGGGAGGGAGGGTCCGACTGACGCCCGGTTCACAAGGGACACCGCGGAGACGACGCCTCTGCCGCGATAGCCTGATGAAGAAAAAATATGTAACCTGTGAGTGGCCTATGATAGGATCAGCAGATGCTCTGGACCGCTAGTTCTTTTTCGTTTTTTCCGCTGCTCCAAGAGCGGTGGCTCCAGGGCCTTACTAGTGGCTCTTGGGACAGTGGCATGGCGACGAGGGCACACCGCCAGGAACCGGATGGAGCTAGAATTTAGAAACAGAGCGAAAGATCGTTGAAGAATGAAGATCCGCTCCGGCTATCCAGGGTCCAGCCAGCACTGAGTTTGAGTTTGGCTGGTTCCCGTACGGCAGATCCTGGGGAGAACCGAGAGGAGTGAACTTAGTGAAGGTTCCCCAGACCGAACACTTTCTGCTCCGTTAAGTCCGCCCGACCGACCCCACCACCGCTGAAATTTTCTGGATGTCTGCCGCCAGTCTAGGCGGGCCTCTGATACATCTGCCGTGCTGGAGTTTGATTCATTCGTTATCCAGCCTTATCTATGAATTAATACTGCAATACTGCCCGATACAATGCCTGCGATGCCTGCGACGCCCGCGACGAGGAGCCTCCCACTCCCCGACGAGTGGTCGGACCCAGATGCCTACGTCGAAGCCCTCCTGTCGTTCGCTACGTCCTCCGACCTGTTCAGGCACCTCTGCGGAGGCGTACATATGCTGGACTTCTTGACGCGCGAGCCCGACCTCTACACCACGCTTCTGCCCGATGACTGGAGACAGTTTTTCGAACACCACCACATCGCAGACATCATCGACCTGCTGCTGCGCGACGACATCGAACCGATCCTAGCGGCTCACAAACAGGGAAATGCTGCAGGGCAGGAGTGGAGAGACGCTCCGGGCTTACCCCCGCTGTCGCTGCTGGAGTACATCTCGCAGATTCGCCGACTTACTCTGCGCAGGGGGTTTACGCCCCGCGAATCGGGCAAGGCCACAATTCCGCCGCGGATTGCTGTGGGGATGAAAGTGAAGAAATACCACGAGGTGGCGCATTTCTCGAAATACGTCAATTCACTGTGTAATACCGTGAAGCAGGAGCGGGGCGAGGAGATTTCGCATATTGTGGATTTTGGATCGGGCCAGAACTACCTTGGGCGGACGCTGGCTAGTCCTCCGTATAACAGGAATATTGTTGCCATTGAACGGAGACACCAGTTCATTAATGGAGCTAACCGTATGGACGTCTACGCGAGGTTGGCTGAGAAGAAGAAGGTGCGGCTTGACAAGAAGCCAGAGGATTGCAAGGTCTGCGAGGACCCAGATTTGGCAGTAGAGAGGCCTGACCCTCGGCCAGAGAAGACGGATATGTCAGGTACAAACAAGGACGAGACTGGAAATAATGATGATGTGGCAGAAATCAATATCTTCCGTGACATCAGCGTCACAGCGGACGAACTCGGCTCGTTCCCGAAAAGCAATAATGTCAAGAGGCCGGCCGCAGAGCCGGAGGGGCCACGAGGGGCAATGGACTACATTGAGCATGAAATCAAGGATGGCTACCTTGAGCCAATCATCAAAGACGTTGTTTCCCCTACGAGCGAAGGCCCAGCCGAGACGGAACGCGCCGAGCCGGCCTCGGATGCAAAGGTCATGGTCGTGTCATTGCACTCATGCGGGAACCTTGTCCATCATGGTGTTCGGGCCTTGATCCTGAACCCATCGGTAAAGGCGATTGCCATGATTGGGTGCTGCTACAACCTGATGACGGAGCGGCTTGGGCCTGCCACGTATAAGTTACCTGTCTTACGGACTATGCACCCGCGTCTAACAAAAGATGCCGTTGCATACGATCCACATGGCTTTCCAATGTCGAAACGCTTGGAAGATTTTGAGCACGACGGCGGGACCGGCGTGAAACTGAACATCACCGCTCGATCAATGGCCGTTCAAGCTCCGTACAACTGGGGTCGAGATGATGCAGAGGATTTCTTCACCCGCCACTACTACCGCACGCTCCTCCAGCGTGTCCTGGTGGACCGGGGGATCGTGCAAAAACCCTCAATACCAAAAGAACTCTACGGCGACGGCTCCGAGAACCCGGACAAAGTGGGCAACCCTCTCATTGTTGGGTCTCTGCGCAAGGCTGCCTTCACTTCATTCCAAGCATATACCCGCGCGGCGATTGTGAAGCTGAGCCGTGACCCCGTTTACGGCGAGAAGGTGAAAGCAGGCATGGCCGACATCACCGACGAAGAGCTCGACCGTTATGCTACGGAGTATTGGCCAACGAAGAAGAGACTCAGCGTGACCTGGACTCTGATGTCGTTCAGCGCTTCGGTGGCTGAAGCCATCATTGCCGTAGATCGATGGCAGTATCTGCGTGAGCAGGACTGCGTAAAGGAGTGCTGGGTGGAACCTGTGTTCGATTACGGCGAGAGCCCTAGGAACTTGGCTGTCATTGGGATCAAGAAATGAGCCAGCGGCTGTCGTGAATCAGAAACCATACGATCGATTCAATGATTAGGCCGTGGCTCCAAACGATCTGACATGGCCACGAGTCGTACTTCCCAGATCAGCCGGCCGGGCAAACCAGTCCAGATCAACTTCGTGAAGAGAGCGTCAGGCGATCCCATATCGATGGGTTGCGTAGATGACATCTACATTTAGACAAGATACCCGGGGCAAACACAATGCTCCACACTTAGACACTGCATACTGAAAAAAAAGTCTGATAGAAATCAATAGAACATTAAACACCATGATAAATCAATCTAGGCAGAGCCTTCAATTTCTCACTCCAGAGCAAGATGATTTGCTACCATCTTAATATTGTTGCCTGAGGATCCACAGTCTCGGGCGACCGGAAGCCGCGGGATCCGAGCAGACAACGACCAGGAGCTGAGCCGTCCAAGTCTTGTGTCTGAACGCACAAATCCGGCGACAGTGCAACGCGCTGTGCTTGATATCAGAGTATAACTCTGATTTTATCCACCATGGACGCAGATAGCGCCGATAGCGATGGGAAGGAGACCCTCGTGCGCCGTGCGGTATGTGGAACAGATCTTGTCTTGTCTTGTGTTGAAGTGAGGAATGGGGAATGTGAGTATTGGCATTGCTAACATTTATTGTATAATTAGTGCGACCAATGCCGACAGAGAAAGGTATGTCCTTCCTTACCTAGATACATGATATCTATGTCCATTCGGTGTGGCCAACTAACCAACGAGTGCAGATTCGCTGCGACAAGCGCTCGCCTTGCTCCAACTGCCGCACGTCCAAGATTATATGCAGCTCGACAGGAGCGGGCCAGAAGCCTCGGGAGCCGCGGAAGCGCGTCCTGATTTCCAACGAATAGTCAGTTTTTCCCTTCTTCCTCCCCCCTGTGTTTTGACTTTGTAGTGGATCGTGGTCTGATAGTTCCCCGTAGCGAGAAGAAGATTGACAAGCTCGACGAGCGCCTCGGTGGGATTGAGCAGATCCTCCGAGACATCAAGACCAGTCTGGGCTCAAATACAGGGTCTCAGCTGTGCGCGGGTGCGCATGCAACTCCTGTTTCTAGACATCTGAGCCCCTCTGGTGCGCAGCAGGAGTATAACTACGGCTACACCTCTAACCCGCAAGACGCAATGGACCAGCACGAGTCGAAGATCGGGTTCGAGGGCAATTCGCTGATGGCGACGGAGTCGGCGTATGCGAGTGACTTCTTGCAGATCGCGGTGTCGCGGAATCCGCTGCAGATGTCTGTTTCGAAGATCAATGCTGCGCTGTCGACGCTGAAGCAGCTGGTTAGTATGCAGGATAATCAGCCGGTTTCGACGAGGGAGTTTCCCCTTCCGAAACGGAGTAGGCTTTCGGATTGTGATTTGCGCGAGTTGACGATGCCGCCGATGAATGTTGTTATTCCGTTGTTGCGGAAAGTGAGAGGTATGTCTTGGATGGTTTGGTATGGCTGAGATAGCTGACGTCGAGCAGAGAGTTATGGCAGTACTTTACAGTCGTATTGTCCGTTTATACCATTCGATCGTCTGTCTGATAAGTGCCGGGAAGTGTACTTCAACACGGAGGATTACTCTGATGCCACATTCATTGTGGCGAATGGGGGACTGTATCAAATCTTTGTCGCCGAGAGCTTCATGTCTGAGGACCGCGCCGTGCGGGAGGAGTATCAGAGATATGTCGATATCTGCAAGCACAATCTCGACACGACGTTAGCGAACTTGCATCTTCTGATGCCGGCGACTAGCGATTCTATCGAGGCCCTTACGATGGGGGTATGAGCCCTGAAATAATAACCTTATGGACAAACTCTTCTGACTGAAATAGGCTGCCCATGCAATCGAAATCTCCAAGCCTTCCTTTGCATTAACATTGACCTCCACGGCATCCCGCCTGTGCCAGGCCCTGGGGTTCCACCAAAGGGCCTCATTGGAAAATATCCCCACCAAGGACAAAGAGCGGAGGTTGACTCTTTTCTGGTCAATATACTGCATGGACCGAGCTCTTTCACTTCGTTTAGGCCGCGCGGCGACTATCCCTGACTATGACATTGACGTACCTGTGTCATTTGAGAATGCCGATATCGCCGAACCGTGGAAAACCGCGTATTCATTGTGGATAGAACTCGCCACGATCCAGGGTCTGGTATATGAAAAGCTCTACAGTCCAGCTGCGCTACGCCAGGGCGAGATGAGTCGAGTAGCGGAGGCGCGCACCCTCGCAGCTCGGATGCGCGACCGCGTTATGCAGCCTTTCGAGGTACGTTATCACCTTCTCATAGGAGTTTGTAATGCTAACCTGGTCAGAACGTGTACGCTAATATGAAAAACGTAACTCCAATCGAGTCGCTGTATATCAAATGCGACGAGGTCTGTCGCTTCTCGCTCCTGACTCTGATCTACCGAGCCTTCCCCCCGCAGGCAGGCAAGCCAGGAACATTCATCGCGGAGTGCATTGAAACAGCTCGAGCGGCGCTTGAGTCTCACAAGTTGTGCATGGCGCAGCTATCAGAGGCAACCGCTGCCTTGAAACTCTCATATCTGCACTGGTGAGCATCCTGGACTACCTTATACTTACCGAGCGTCTCTAACCGCGCAGGTCCATTCTATACTCCCCCTTCGTCCCCTTCATCGTCCTCTTCTGCCACACAATTGAAGTCTCTTCATGGGTAGATCTAGACCGACTTGAAGAATTCGTCGCCTCCCTAAAGCCAAATTGCTCGATCTCCACTGCAATTTCCAAACTCCATCGCCTCTGCCAGGTCCTTAGCAACGTTGCTAGACTCTATGTCGAAGCCAAATCACAAGCACAAACACAGGAAGACCAGGCTCTTGCATCTGTCGGACACGAGTTCGACACGTACCTCAGCGCGCTCGGTCTCGCGCCGCCCGCGGACTATGGGGATACTCGTTGGACCGGCCCTACCGTGGCGCCGGGAAATGCAAATGCAAATGCAAATCCAAATACGATGTCTGGTGAGATGAACTATCAAGCAGCTCATGTCCAGAATATTGGCACGCCAATTCCACATATGACGCAGCTCGGGAACTGGTTTTCGGGGAATCAGTATATGATGGGACTACTAGAGGAGGATTTACCAATGTTCGACCAGTCGAATCTAGCTTGATAACATACGACATGATGCATATAGTGACTTGATCTATTCATGACGAGTATATACATACTTTCCTTTCTAGTGGCCAGTAGTCTAGATACACTTCCCTCCATCAACGACCATCTCCGTCCCATTAATGAACGCCCCCTCGTCACTCGCCAAGTAAAGGCACATATTGGCAACGTCCATAGGATCCGTCAGCCGCCCCAGCGGCACATTCCCGATAAACTTCTGCCGGTTCTCCTCTGTATCCTCCATTCCCGTGAACATGCTGAACAGCCCTGTGCCCGACAGGAGCGGCGCAACGGTGTTTACGCGAATATTGTGCGGGCCGTATTCCGCCGCGAGGCCTTTTGTTGCCTTTACGCATAGTTAGCAAGGTTAAGCAATACAATGGCCCAACGGAGGATGGATGGACGGATGTAGAAAAGTACAGAGAGAGGAAGAGGGAGGATGTAAGAAGGGGAGTACTCACGTTTGAAACAGCCCCCTTACTAGCATTATACCACACAAGACCCGGCCGGGGTCTATTGGCGCCCGTCGAGGAGACATTGATCACACTCCCGCCAGTTCCTTGCTCGAGGAGTTTGGCAATGACGGCCTGCGATCCGTGGAAGATGCTCTTGACGTTGACATTGAAGACGCGCTCCCATTCTGCCTCGGTGACTTCGAGGGTTGGCTACACCAGTTAACAAAAACACAACCTAACATAACATGGAGGATAAAGCAGGGAGCGTACCTTATTGCGATAACTCGTCCCCGCATTATTCACCAGCACATCCAGTCTGCCAAACTTGGCAACCGCAGTCTCAATCACGGCCTTCCAGTCCGCGGGACTCGTCACGTCGACTTTTTGGAAGATGATGTTTGTTGGGTCCTGGGATGCGACGCTCTGGCCGCCTGCTTCGTTGATGTCGGCGATTATTACTTTGCCGCCTTCTTGTGCGAACCGGGTTGCGATTGCGGCGCCGAAGCCGGAACCGCCACCTGGATTGTTGGATTAGTGTTAGAGGGGTTATGGTACCACAGTATGTGATTTAGGGGAAGGTGGGGAGACGGACCGGTGACGATGGCGACTTTGTTAGCTAGACGGGGCATGATGATGTTATTGTTGTTGTTCTTGTTGTTCTAGGGTAGGATGAGGTGAGAGATGAGGGATGAATGTATGAGATGAGTTAGAGAGAGAGAAGCTATAGGTATACAAGAGAGAAGAGGAGGGGTCCTTATCCGAGGTCGCAGAGAAGGCCGATCCGGTCAGTGCGAGTACCTTTGGATCTTCATTGAGTTGATGGCGGAACTCTTCCGACCCCGCACTCCGCACGCATGCAGCCTATACAACTATACAGCCGATGGTAATCAGAGTGAAGTGGTAGATGTACCAAGCACATACCCTGACTGGATGTTGCCTGTCAGGTGCCCGTACTTACAGTTGCACAGGATATCGCTCGGTGCGTTCCGATCCTGAACAACGGTAAATTTCTGCTTCGAGCGGCTGATTTGGTCTCTGGACATCTATCTCGTGGCTCTATTTGTGCCAGCCCAGACAATCTGGTTGAACAAGATGCGTGAAGTAACGGAAATGGGTTGGTTGAGATGCAACGGTGGTACATTAGCCCATCCACCATGCCATAGGAGGGCACTTAGGGACACAAATTCGACTTGCTTCAGTGCCCGGAATCATTCGAGGACAAGGACTCGACGGCATGTGAACGCTTTAATGTGACTCTTTGCTGCTGTGCAACGAGTCCTGTTCCGAGTGGTTTATATGGACTTCATACATAAGTATGAGACGTCCCATTGACAGACCTGCACCAAAATGCGTCCCTCAACCGGAGTAACCAGGCTCGTCGCGCTGACCGGTATCTGGCTGGGCTTAGCCTCTTCTCTTCCCAGCTCAGGCAAAGACGACCCAGATGTTATCACGCGCGATGTGGCCATAATCGGCGGCGGCGCCTCGGGCACATATGCCGCCGTCCGCCTCAAGCAACTAGGCCAGAGCGTCGTCTTGATCGAGCAAGAAGACCGACTCGGCGGGCATACAAAGACATACGACGACAATGGGACTCCCATCGACTACGGCGTGTGGGTGTACGCCAACACCACCGAGGCCCGCAACTTCTTCGCCTACCTCAATATTCCGACGACAGTGCAGAATTTTAATAGAGACCCAGGCAGGAACCAGAGATATGATTTCCGCACCGGCGAGTTTGTTCCTCCGCCGAGTGGGAACGTTACAGATGCGATGATGCGCTATGTTCTGCTTCTGATGCAGCATCCGTATCTTGAAGACGGGTGGGATCTTCCTGATCCTGTGCCAGAGGATCTTTTGCTGTCGTTTCGGGACTTTATAGAGAAATATGACCTTGCTGCAGCGGTGGAGACGCTCACGCTGTACGTCCAAGGACTCGGGGACATACTTGACTGCCCCACTGTCTATATCATGAAGTATTTCAACATGAACGTCGTCCAAGGCATCCAGTCAGGCTTCTTGAGACCTGCCAGCTTCAATAACTCGCAAACCTACGGCGCGGCTGCCGCAAATCTAGGCGATGACCTGTTGCTCAGCAGCACAATACTCCAAATGAACCGCTCTACTTCGGACGACAAGGTGGGCAAAGAGAGCACCACAGGTTCCAAGACCGACTACCCCCAAACAATCCTCGTCCGCACCCCATCAGGCCTTAAAACCATCCAAGCAAGCAAAATCCTCATAACAATCCCGCCGATCCTGGCAAACCTTAACGCTTTCGACCTCGACGCCCGCGAGTCCCACGCCTTCGCCAAATTCCGCGCAACCACCTACACAACTTCCATCCTCCAGATTACCGGCCTCCCCCAGACGATCCAGTTCGTCAACAGCGGCACAGACACCCCTTACAACATCTGCCCGGTACCAGGGACATACGTCCTCGTCCCGACGTCCGACCCAACCCTCCGACTCGCATTCTTCGGCGGCGGCGGTGGCAGCGACGCCGACACCAATAGCAAAAGAGGGGACGGAGACGGGGACGGGGACGAACTCCCATTCGACACAATCCGGCACATAATGACCGATAACGTGCTATCGCTGCGCAACGCAGGCTACGACGTCTCCGTCCCCGAGATCCGGGCCTACGGGAACCATTACCCGTTTGGATTGCGGGTGAGCGCGGAGGAGATTGCGGATGGGTTTTATAGGGACTTGTATGGGTTGCAAGGGTATCGGGGGACGTATTACTCTGGGGCGGCGTTTCATGCGCATAACTCTGGGGCGTTGTGGAGATTTACCGAGAGGGTTATTACGGAGTATGGGTTGGCTGGATGATGATTTCGATATCTTATGCGCTGAGGGTGGGGTTGAGCTTGGACAGACTGGTTTGTTGCTTTATTAGGGTGATTATTGACATGGGGAAGTAGGATAGTTGGCCTGTTGATATAAGGCAGTTATAGCGTAAGGTATGCAGATGTTGGCCTACATCTACACTTCATCTACTATACTTGTCGTGGAGGCATAAAACGTTTGACAACTTTATACAACAAAGTAGGCCACTCTTCATACTTCAGATCCAGACCAACCCACGCTATATACATACAGTACAACACCACCAACCAGCACGTATTAATAGATTAATCTATTTCTCTCCTGCACCGGAACCATCCGGTTCTCACTGAAGTTTGAGAATACTAGGACTAGGCCCAGGGGCAGGGTATATGCTTCCTTTTGGCTTTGAATGTGGCTGTGATATTAAGAGTGTTCTCCATGAGGAAATTTTGCTGTGGAGACGATCGGTCGTCTTTAGGGTTTGATAGCTTGATATAATGGGAGAGGTGGTTAGAGTATTGGTGGACTTCAAAACGCTTTCAACCCAGTTCAATCTATTTCCCCTCGTGAATAACAAGAGCCCCCGCTGGACAGAAAGAGAGCCAAGTTGGAGTAAGCCTACAAAACAAGACCGACATAGTTATGCCAAGTACATATTGGAGAACAGAGCCAGTAAACGCTTCATAACAAGATCCTCTGCGAAGATCAAAGCGGGGAACCCTGTAGAACGTTGCACTTGCACCGATACCAGATTGCGCTGTGATACGAGGATCCGAATACTCCGCTAAGCAAGGAGAGGGGAATCAACAACCATGATATATAATGGCCTTGACGCCATTCTCCTTGGGTACTGGAGTAAACAAGGTGAATGCTGGAACGAGCTAGCAAAATGGCGCTATCAGCGAGCACTCAAATCGCCGTCGAATGGACCTCCTTAGGGCTCGCCAGCGCATCGCTTAACATGTCCATGCCCGACCATGTTCTCCGCACACAAGCAGACCTAGGCGAACTGGACGCATTCTACAACATCGATATATCCCCGCGCCGTTACATAGCCCTGCACGAGTATCACCAGAATGAGCAGGACTTGCTTGCGCAGATTGACTTTGATGCGCTGGACCAGCAGGGTCGAGTGGATTATATCATGCTGCGCACGTATCATACGCGGCAGCTGAATAACCTGGATTTGGAGAAGGCGTCGCGGGAGGAGTTTGCGCCGTTGGTTCCATTTGCAGAGGAGCTGGTTGGGCTTCTTGAGGCGAGGCAGAGTGTTGAGACTCTGGATGCGAAGGGGGCTGCGAAGACGCTGGATGATATTAACAAGGCTATCACGCAGGTACAGGGTAAAGTGGCGAGCGGGGGGTTTAATGTCACTGAGACGACTGGGTATCTAGCCAGCAAGGCGATAACGGATCTCCTCGATCATCTGGGCGAGTGGTATGGTTTCTATTCGACATATGATCCCCTGTTTGACTTCTGGGTTACGACGCCGTGGACAACAACGAATACAACGCTTACCGAGTACCTGACAACCGTCGAGACAGAACTAGCAGGAATGCACCAGAAAGGCAAAGAAGACGCGATAATCGGCGAGCCGATCGGCCGGAAGGGCCTGGAGGTCGAGCTCGAAGCTGAGATGATCTCGTACACGCCCGAGGAACTAATCCAGATCGGAAACCAGGAGCTGGAGTGGTGCATGGCCGAAGTCAAGAAGCAGTCGCGGGCTCTTGGATATGGAGATGACTGGGCGAAAGCCCTCGAGCATGTCAAGAATGACTATGTGGAACCGGGGAAGCAGACGGCGCTTGTGAGAGACCTCGTTAACGAAGGGAGTAACTTTGTGACGGATCGCGACCTTGTTACTGTGCCCCCTCTGGCGAACAGTACCTGGCGCATGGTCATGATTGGCGCTGAGCAGCAGAAGGTGTCGCCGTTTTTCCTGGGTGGTCCGACGATCTATGTCTCGTATCCTGTTGTGTCGATGGAGCATGATCTCAAGCTCATGGTGATGCGTGGGAATAACAGGCATTTTGCGCGTGCGACAGCCTTCCATGAGATGTTTCCGGGCCATCGATTGCAGCTTTACATGGCGGACCGGTATAACAGCCATAGAAAGGAGATCTTTGACACGCCGTTCTTTGTCGAGGGCTGGGCGCTGTATTGGGAGATGCTGTTCTATGAGCGAGACGACTTCCACCACTCGCCTGAGGGAAGGATTGGGGCGCTCTGGTGGCGGATGCATCGCTGTCTGAGGATTATTTTCTCGATCAAGTTCCATCTGGGCGAGATGACGGCGCAGGAGGCGGTTGATTTGCTGGTTGACACGATCCATCATGAGAGAAGCACCGCGGAGGGAGAGGTAAGGCGATCGGTGGAGGGCACCTATTCGCCACTCTACCAGGCAGGATATATGCTGGGTGCGTTGCAGCTATGGAAGTTGAGAGAGATGGTGGTGGTGGATTCTGGGGAGATGGGCCAGAAGGAGTACCACGACGCGATCTTGAAGCTGGGCGTGTTGCCTATTGAGATGGTCAAGGCAGCTATCAGGGGCGAAGAGCTCTCGCGGGACTTTAAACCAGGCTGGAAGTTCTATGACTTTGATTGAGTTAGGGTTAAGAAGTAGGCAGAGATGATTCCTTAACAGTATCCAGCATAACCACAGAAAAGGAAATATATTAAACTATAACTATGAATTTAATCCCTGTTAGACCGAGTGAACAAAGAGATATTACTGATATTTAAGCAGAGCAGATTGCATGTCCGAGACCGATCCAAGTTCATTTCTTGGTAGAACAAGATCAGACATCATCGATACTCCCTCCCAACCAAGATGTCTTTACTTCATGATTCTGGTGCTTAACTCGGCCAGGTGCATCTCGCAAGCGGATCGAACATTCGTGTCTCCTTTACCACCGCCGAAAGATCCGCTGCGACAAGAAGTCTCCTTGTTCAGCCTGCACGCGCATGGGCGTCGTGTGCTGCTATCCTGGCCCTGAGAAAATTCCCGGCGGCCCCATAAGACGACAATATCTGATGTATCTGCACGGCTTGCACGGCTGGAGAGAACGGTCAGGGCTAAATGACAGAAACAACAACTTCAAATGAGTATTTCCGTATAAGATCGCCTAGACATTAGCCCAGCGAGTCACTTGCCACCTGCTACCTGCTATCCTGGATCGACTGCCACAAATAGCCTTCCTTCACCTTACCTTTTCCCCTTCCCGCCTAAAAGCTTCGCACTCGAACTGGGAACTGGCCATCGAGTATGGAACTGTAGAGATCTGCATTATACAAACACGGCAGACGGGGCCATCCCGGGTCTGGGGTGCTGCGGGGTGATCTTAGGCTGTTCCGGAGACTAGTCTTATGTGTAGGAACTAAGGATAGACTGCGCCCCAGCTTGGACGAAATGGTAACAAGTTTATCCCCTGGCCTTGTGAGATTGAGACTGAGCTCCTCGATAAGCGTACTAGTGATATGACGAATGAGAACATGCTAGGTGTCATGCTGAACGGTTGGCCCGGTATCCGTCAATCAGCAGATCGCCAGGAGGCTAGGCTGATGGCGTTCCTTCAATTCCATAAGGAAGGATTGCTCAGTCATGGGAATGCGCTGTCCATCATGCCCTTGTGAACTACTCTTAGTAGTGGCACTAACTACTTACAATCTGATGTGGAAATAGTTTTCCCCAGCTCCAATTGACCCCCTGTCTAACTCTTCATAGCACCATGCCAAACCTAAACCGTCCCCATAACAAATGGCGTTAAGATCACTTCGATGTCCATGGTCCATGCAACTAAAAGCAACTAAGGGCTTCTCGCCCGGATTCCGAGGAACCGTTTGAGTTTACATTTAACAGAACCGAACCAAAACTGCATGATCTTCGTCATCAGGGTACTCCAACTGGCCGGGACCGGCTGAACTGGATGAAGCCATGAATCGAATCATCCAAAATTTGGAATAAGATCAAGGTTTGAGCTCGTGGAATCGACTGCGTTCCTGACAATCCTCAAGGAAAGGCTGCTTCTAGCATCGCCAGTAAACTCAAAGCTCAAGGTTATTGGCATGGGCGAACTTTACTGAAGAGAAGACGTCGAGAAGTCACAGGTGCACTGCACAATAATAGTTGAACTCTATCTGGGGATAAGGGGATAGTTCAAGGAAGTCATACTCCGACATGGACAACCACCATATCCGGGGCGGAAACAAGCAAATAACGACAGTTGGAGTGGTGAATGTCTAGCATAGCCTATGCTGTACGAATATTGTGGGGAGTCATCGATGTTCCAGTTTCCATTGTCAGGGATATTCGTCCTCGGAGCCCGGATGCGAGCATCCGTTCCCAATCCCCCGTTTCCGTTAGCTCCGACAGACTCCAGTTCTCTGGGGCGGGGCTTGAGTGCATGATTCATCGATTGGGTCGCTCTATCAGAGGCATCGAGTCAGCCTGGTTGATCAAGGCGATTGTACCTGATCGAAAAGGTAGTCGACTGAATTCATTGTTTCAGAAGACTGGGCATGGCGATCAGCAGGAACTACGTCCGAGCGGCCACGAGCAGCCACGAGGGGTTTCGAGGAATCGAGTTGGAGGCCGTGGCAGACAGAGTTCACCAGACCTTGATAATTGTCATGGATCTAGCGGGGTCAGCTTGGTTCGGAAATGATCGTCTTCGCCTGCTTGACTCGCAGCCCCGCTTTTCCGACCAATTGGAACTTCCGAGAGATAAAGTTAAACGGAAAAGACCCCGGGATTCGGTGGAGACGGACCCGGACCCACAGCTGGTGTGCCACCGGCCGAGTCGGGCGTGCCAAGACGACGCAAGGAGCTGCAGCGAAGGATTGGGCGCGAAATTAACACGGGACAGGGATGAGAAGGTTTGTGGCTGGCGAGACTCCAAATCGGGGGTTTCTTCTTGGCTCGGCTGAATCTGATGCAGGAACACTTTATTCTTCCTTCAAACCTCCAATTATGGCTTTGTTCATACTCTCTTCTTCCCAAAGCATGCCTGGATGTATCTTCGACTTCTTAGTTGCTGAAGTGTCAGTGTCAGCTCGGGGGGATGCTCGGGCCCGGAGCCTCTGCCCCAGTGCGTGGAGTCAGACGCAATCAGACAAGAGTCAGGCAGTCCCCACTGCTTCTGATCGGCTGCGAGTTGCTAACTTGCTGTTGGGGTACGGCGGAACTGCGGCCAGAAGCCGAGTGCAATAATAACGGCGGCCTAATAATAATTAATAAACACGCTCTGCCAAGTCACCGAAAATCTTCCCCTCACCAACGTCCCTCTTTATCTCACCTCCTGCCTGCCCCTTTGCTGCTGTCTCATCAGTACAGAGCCAGTAGTCTATCACAATGCTGGGTCGCTCAACAGGACTCACCGTCCTGACCGGCCTCCTGGCCATCGCCGGTTCCGCTGTCGCTGCTAATGGCGACTGCTGCCGCTGCATGCCCGGCGACGAGTGCTGGCCGTCTCGCGAAACCTGGTCAAGCTTCAACCAGACCATCGACGGACGACTCGTCGCAACCGTCCCGCTCGGAACACCCTGCCACGGCGACGCGTATGACCAAGCGAAATGCGACGTGCTGAAGGAGGAATGGACTCAGCCGGAGTTGCAGTAAGCCCAGTTCCCCTTAGCCGAATGTGTTGGATGTATCTAATGGTATCAGCTACGAGACGTCGTCGTCCGTAATGGCGCCCTTCTTCGCCAATAACTCGTGCGACCCGTTCCACCCGGTCTCGAAACCCTGCACGCTCGACAACTATATCGTGTACGCTGTTGATGTTAGCAAGCCTGAGCATATCTCCAAGGCGATCCAATTCACCGTAGACCACAACATCCGTCTTGTCGTGCGCAACACCGGCCACGACTATAACGGGAAATCCACGGGTGCGGGCGCGCTGGGTGTCTGGACACATCACCTCAAGGATATCGAGATTTCCGACTACAAGGATAACCACTACCAGGGCAAGGCGATTAAGTTGGGCGCTGGAGTTCAAGGATTCGAGGCGTATGATGCTGCTGATAAGCAGGGTCTGGAGGTTGTGGGTGGTGAATGTCCGAGTGTCGGTATCGCCGGTGGGTATACCCAGGGAGGAGGGCACTCGGCGCTTGCGTCTACTCACGGGCTTGCCGCGGACCAGGTTCTGCAGTGGGAGGTTATTGACGGAGAGGGCAACTTTGTTACCGCGACCAGAGATAATGAGCACTCTGATCTTTATTGGGCGCTTAGTGGTGGTGGCGGCGGAACTTACGGTGTTGTATGGTCGATGACATCGAAGGCGCACCCCGGTCTGCCTGTTTCCGGGCTGAACTTGACCTTCTCCAGCGCCAACATCTCCAAGGATACGTACTACGAGGCGGTTGCGCTGTACCATACTAGTCTCCCTCAGATTGTTGATGCGGGGGCCATGAGCGTGTGGTACTTTACCAACACCAGCTTCTCCATCTCCCCACTCACCGGACCCAACATCCCCGTCGAGAAGCTGAAGGAATTGGTCAAGCCGTTCACCGACGGCCTCGACAAGCTCGGCATCAAGTACACCACCTACGCTGACCAGTTCCCCAGCTACCTGGCCCAGTTCTCGGCCATGCAGGGCGAGATTGGCGTCGGAGAAGCGCAGTACGGCGGCTACCTGATCCCTCGCTCGACGGTCCTCGAAAGGAACGACGAGCTCACATCCGCGTACCGACACATCACCGAGGACGGGGCAACCTTTATCGGCGTGGGGCTGAACGTTTCCAAAGCCCTCGTCGGCAAGGACATCTTCAACTCCGTCCTCCCTGCCTGGCGCGACACCCTCATCGACACCACCATTACCACGCCGTGGGCGTGGAACGAGGACGAGGCGATGCTCGCGGAGCAGCGCAAGATGACGGATGACTATATCCCTGCGCTGAGCAAGCTTGCGCCCGAGTCCGGTGCGTACATGAACGAGGGCGACTTCCGGCAGCCGGACTGGCAGAGAGTGTTTTACGGGGAGAACTACGATGCGCTGAGAGACGTTAAAGCCAAGTATGACCCGAAAGATGTGTTCTACGCGTGGCAGGCGGTTGGGTCCGACGAGTGGGCGGAACGTGAAGGGCGGCTGTGCAGGGCGTAATTATTATTATATTATTATTATTCTAGAGAGAGTACTTAATTTCTAGCTACTTAATTTCTAGCTAACGGAGAATTTCTCCCCACCCCTGCATATTTGCATATTTGCAGATTTGCAGATTTGGGGGCGGGATATTGATTGCGCTATTGAATCTGCAACAGAGTTTGCAGACAGAGTTTGATTAAGACCGATCGAGGGCAAGAGTGGCACTCGTTTAGCAGTTTACGAGCTGGAGAATTCGACGACATGACGCAGGCTAAGCGAACCTTTGGGAAATTGGAGAGAGTGACATGGACATGGGTCTCCACCGTCTCCACTGCGTCTCTCTCTGGTACTGCTAGTACGACTCTCTGGACTCGGTCGTCAGTCGCCAGCAGATCTTGGACTGGCCCGTCAAACTTTATTGCCGGCTCTGTTACATCTGGCTGCGTGCAGTCTCGAATGGCCCCGTCCCGTTGACGTGGCTAGTGCCTACTATCGCAATAGTCCGAAGTCTGAGACCTTGATAATACCTCCTGCACGCTGCGTCTGTGAAGCCACATCGCGCTTGATCCCTGCACTCGACACACTGCGGAGTCTGCCTGCGCAGGGTTCATAGCACAGAGATCGTCCGGGCCTCATGTTCCGGATATCTGAGTTGCTCGTGCTGATGCGAGACGACGTCTGTCGGGTCCCACTGTTCGACGCCCATTGCCACTCTCCGGATACTTCTTAAAAACATCTCGACCCTGCCCCCTCCACGCTGCCAGTGCTTATCCATCCCTCCTCACCTACCCCGGCTGCTCCTATATATCCGTCTCGCAGTTCTTCGTTGGATGGAGCGAAGCCATGGGTTGGGTCCATAATCTCGAAGAACCCGATCCAAACAACCACATCGCCCGTGTCATTGCAGTATGCATGACCTTTGCGAGTGCGGCCCTGATCGCCGTGGCCCTGCGCTTCCACATCCGCATCTGGGTGAAGAAGGCTGTTTGGATTGATGATTATGCTGCGCTGCTGAGTGCTGCCCTTGCAATGGCGTATGCCTGTGTTGCTGTTGCTCGTACGTTCCTTTTCCAAGCCAGTCCTTGCATAAAGCCAGAGAATACGATGCTAATTGTTAAGAAACCCGCTGGGGCCTAGGGCTAAACGCTGACTACTTCCCCCCGGCAAACGACATCCCGTTCAGCAAGATGCAGTATGCCGGCGGGCCCATCTACACCCTCTCCCTGCTCGGCTTCAAGATCTCGCTGCTGGCGTCGTATCTGCGCATCGGCGGGTTCGTCAAGATGTACCGCCTCGTCATCCATCTCGCCCTTGTGGCTTGTATCTGTAACCAGATTATTTTCACATTTGTGCTGTCGTTCGGCTGTAATCCGGTTGCGAAGCAATGGGACCCGTCGATTCCGGGGAGTTGCATTAATACCGTGGCCTCATATTATGCGCTTGCGGGCACGAGTTTGGGGTTCGATGTTATTATCATTGCCCTCCCGTTGCCGATTCTTCTGCGCTTGCAGCTGAAGTTGCGGCAGAAGGTATCTCTCTCTCTATCCAGCCCAATAAAGAACTGATATATGCTAACAATGTTTACGGTAGATCTTCCTCGCAGTCCTCTTCGGTCTCGGCTTCTTCGTCACAATCATCCAGATCATCCGCGTCTTCACAATAAAGAACCTGCAGACGTATACAGATAGTCAGCCGATTATCATCTGGTCGATTGTGGAGATTAGCCTTGGAGTGCGTCCTGCCCTACATTACACTCGGATTACAATATAGATATGATATTGACAGAAGCAGGTAATAATAAGCTGCGTCCCAACGTACGGTCCATACGTGCGCGCCCTCGCAATCAACATGTCCTCGTACAAGCGCAGCAGACGCCCAACATACGATGCCTCCGGACAATCCGGGGCATTTGGACTCGGTCGGTCTGGCAGGTCAGGAGGAGCGTCGTATAATGTGTCGTCGCGGAATCCGCCGAGTCGGGTTTACGATAATACCGTGCCCATGACGGGGATTGTGGGCTCGCCTAGTGTGCGCGATAAGAATTACTCGACCGAGAGTATCCTGGCGGATCGGGATATGGGCGGGGTGAGGGATAGTGATGAGGATGATCTTGGGAATGGCCATAACCATAACCACAACCATGGCCGTGGGCGGGGGGATAGGAACAAGGAGATTCATATTGCCACGGAGGTGAGGGTTGAGAGGGGCCCGAGGGGGGAAGGGGAATGAAGCTATTATTTCTCCCATCCGGCCTATTTACTTGATTCTTTATTCTTCCTGACTGGAAGGTCTGTATATAAATTAATGATGTTGATACCCGATTTACATGATGTTATTCCAGACGAGGTTCTGTCTGAAGGTACAATAGCACAAGTCAATTGTACCAACTGTCTTCATATACTATTAATTATTTCCTTATTATTCATTAATATACATTAATTAATTAAGTCGTATTGGTGAGCCACCATCCACGTGGAAACATCCACGCCCGGCGTTGGCCGCATGTGATTGTCGACAGGGCAACACAGACTTCTACACTAGTCTCACTCTCAAGGCGATGAAGATATGAAGATCGTCGCTTCCACCATCCACTTGCGGAAATTCCTGGTCCTGTTCCTGATCCTGATCCTTTTGGATTTTCGATGGCCCATCGCGATCCACCGGGCGGCGTCCATCCACCGTCTTCCCCGTTCCCTGCCCCATTCTCGATATTGACAGCCAAGATTGTGCCAATTGCCAAATCATGATAGGTTTCTACTGCTTGGTGGATGCATAGTAGACTACTTGGTAGACTAAGAGGACTGACACTGACACTGACACTGACAAATATTTCGCTGCCAGGTTTGCACACCGTATTCTACACCGGTGTAGATACAAGACTTGCTCCAAACTCAAACCTGTTCTTCCGGCAAATCCAATATCAACACTGTGGCGACTTTCGATAGCGCTAACATGCACTGAGATAGCTCGGCAGATCAAGGATCAAGTCCGTCGTGCGCCACTTATGCATGTTACTTCCAGGTTGTATCGCTGAACTCCTGCTAACCTGTATCAGTATCACTGTCGGTACCTGATCGGCCTCCCCGTGTGGATCTCAGAACAGAAGCATTAGCAATATGTTTGAGACGTTGAGTTCGTACTTCGTAGCTGAGTTTGGCTACAATGGGTCAAGGAGGATGGGAATCGTGGCGTGGAACCCTGCCACTAGACCAAACAAGCATGTGAAATCAGAAATGGCTTGCGAAACAGTCTTGGCTCTTTTCTTGGTGTGAATATAGTAACGGGAGATCTGAGAGGTGGATATTATTGTTCTATATCCTTGTACACGGCCCTGTCTTCAACTCAGCTCTGGTGGTTGTCCCTTTGGTACAGTTGGTACTCGGGCCGCACAACACACTGGGTAAACATGTGGGTGTCGAGTCGGTCTGTCAGATGCCAAAGCAGTCAGAATGTGGCCGAGCTGATGTCAAAAATTGGTCCACTGGGTCACTTTAGCGAGGGAGATGTGGATCTGATCCAGAACCCCGGAGGCCCCGACAAGGCATTCAGCCAAAGCCACCGATTCAGTCCACTGAGGGGCACAATAATGAAGGGAAAAACTATACAAGGACAGAGGGGTAATATTATTTAGTAGCAAGGCCAGTTATGTGGGAGACTTTGACGATTATGTTTCTTATATGGGACTGCCACTATATTCAAAACGGGGTTAATACTTTGAGCTCGCTGTAACCGACGAAGCACTATCGGGTTACATCGGGTTAATTAATGGTCGGTTGAATTGGCTTCTCCACGCAGCAAGGCCCTGCATTAGACAGATTCATTTCAAACCATATCGGCAAGATGGGTGACTTTCGTTTGGCGCCTTCGTGCTATAATCCGGCTTCTAAACCGAATTCGCAGCCTGTTCGATTACGTCGAGAACCTGATGCCGGAACGCCTGCTGCAATTTCATATCCTCTCTCGTATCATCATCGACGCCGAAATCCCCGTTCAGACACTTCAGCACGACCTCCTTGAACCGCTTTCCAACACGCGACTCCAGACGTCTCTGGGCATGTTTAACCAGCTGCGCCCGCACTGCTGTCGAGTCAGTCGCGTGGGCAAATAGGTTCCTCTGGAGCTTGATGGCCGGCTCCCACAGGCCGATCTCCAAGAGGACGACGCCGAGGGAGTAGATGTCGTGGATTTTCTTGAACGGCGTGCTTGGCTGGCCCTGGCGCTCTGGGTGGCGGTAGATATCGCGACTTGGTTCGAAGTCGGAGTGCCCGCTTGAGAAGAAGGGCTCGGGGCGACTGAATTCGAAGCCTAAGACCCAGGGCTCGTGGTAGTTGATGTCGAGGCGCTCTTTCGAGTCGTCGTCCTTGATGCGGTGGGGGAGGAGGAGGATGTTGTCGCTTCGGAAGCTTTCGTGGACCTGTAGACGATGATGATTAGTATACAATAGATACAAGTCAGATATCTGTCAGACGGCGATACGTACCCATTGCACCATATGGATCTGCGCGATGCATTGACAGAGTCCGAGTGCCAGTTGGAACTTGTCTCCCAAGGACGGAACCAGCTTGGACTCGAAAAGAATCCGTTGGAGACTGGCTGGGGACCCGAGAGGGCTCGAGAGCTCGAAGACAAACGCAATATAGTTCCTGTCAGGTAGTTCCCTCCATCCGACACAGGGAAGGATGCGGAAGATTTGTTCTTTTGGTTGGTGTAGCAATCTTGCGAGAGATTCAATCCTGCCCCTTGTACGTGCATCAAGGCGAGATACTCCGGTTCCAGAGCCATTTGCAAGTACTTGCGCAGCGACTCGGTGATTCTCCTGCACGTAAACTCGGGAATCTTTGGTGACGATGGTGAAAAGCCCCTGGTTCTCCTCTGGGGCGATCTCTTTGAGGTAGGAGTCCCACGACGGCGGTAATTCAAGAGGAGTATGCTCTCCTCCACCTCCCTCTGTACATTGCTGAGCCAGGCGAATAGTGGCGTCCTTATCGAAACCAAGTCGCCTGGAAGACTCGTCCGTTTGCAGGTGTCTCAGATGGTCTGGAGATATCCCAAGCTGTGACGCAAAGCACCATAGCTCAACCTTGCGCCTGAGTCTGGAATTCCGGTCTTTGAACGACCCCAGGATGCTTTCTACCCGTTTTTTGTCCCGGAGGGACCAGAGTAGGAGAGCTGGTAGCGAGGGGCTTGCCCGACCACTGCTGGAAACGGCTGGCAACGCAGTAAGCAAGCTGGTGAAAGGCTGGCGAGTCGCTGCATTTGAAGACCCGTCCGGAACACAATATCGTCGCTCCAAGAGCTCAACGCCTTGTCGGAGGATCGATTCGATGTCCCGGACGAGGTGCTCGATCTGTTCTTGGACATCGGGGTCGAATTGTTCAAACAAGGTCTTGCCGCCATATACCTATACGCATGGCCACGGCCAAAGTTAGTTTGTTGACAATCATATAGCAATATGGGGAACTAACCCAGGATTGGGAAAAAAGCAGGTTCTTCAAAAGCTTGCTCTGCGTGTTCTCGTCCACGACGAGGTTGTAAAGTTCATTTGAATCCTGAAACAGTGTCAGCAATGCCACATCCACGCTGCTTCTGGGACCCTACACCGTTAAACCCCCTGGCGTCTGATATAAGCTCAGCGGTCCTTTCGCCGTATCTAATCAACGCATCAACCACAGCTATGGTCAAACCTGCTAGAGACAAAGGATCCATGGCTCAGAGACGGAAATTCGCATTGTAATGCGGGCGCGAGGCTGGCTCTTGACAGCAGCGGGGCTGAGAGAGGGCGCTCTATGCCTTCGCCCCATTGGACACATCCATGATTAGACGCCAGAAGATGAGGTAAGATATTGAAGATCTCTCGGAGGATCTCGTATTCCGCAACTTCACCTTCAGAGCCACCGAGGAAGCCATGGCGGACAGTCCGCTGGACGACGAATGGATAAGTGCGTGGACGGAGTTCATTTTTTATATGCTGCTGACCTCGACGCGACTGTGTAGAAATAAAGCGGCCAGCACAAGGCCACGACACGCTATCATGGACAGCGTCAATTTCGAGGACTCGAGTGTCGACTGTCGACGGTCTACGCTTCAGCAAAAACCTCGATACGGGCATGATTGAAAATCTGGGAAGTCTGCTCACCGCGGTCCAAAGCATGAAGCTCAAGCAGTTCCCAGCCGATCGCATAGAAGAGATCCGGACAGTTGGTGTAGGAGAAACGTTTTCTGTCTGTGAGAGCAAATTCGATGGCAATGTCATTGCCGTCAAGCGTATCCGATTTCACGAAGACATGGCCAACGCCAACCGGACCGCATTTCAGCGACGCCTGCAAGCAGTACTGCGAGAAATCAACATCATGCACCATCCGCCTCTTGCCCATCACCCGAATATTGTTAGCCTGCTGGGATACGGCTGGGTATTTGAGGAACAGCGACTCTTGCCTTTCATAACGGTGGAGCTTGCTCGGGGAGGCTCCCTGCGGAACCACTTGAAAGAGGCAGAAAGGAGTTTCAAAGCGAAGCAGATTGTTGCTGGAGATATTGCAGCTGGGCTGATGGCCCTTCACAAGTCTGGCATAGTTCACGGGGACCTCAAGATCGACAACGTCTTGGTTGTTCCCTCTCTTGACCGTCCATCCGGGGCAGTTGCCAAGGTGTCGGATTTTGGCCATTCCATCATTCTCAGCCCAGAGTCCGAAGCGACGGCTCATTATTTTGGTACGGAGCTGTAGGTTGGCAGTACATTGTAGTCTTCCCTGATATAAGCTGAAGTTTCTGTGCAGATATAACGCGCCTGAAGTACGCCATCAACGAAGCCAGCCCATCCCAGTTGAGCAGCTCCACAAGTGTGATATCTGGGCATTTGGGCTATGTGTATGGGAAATACTAGCGGATGGCCAAATATATTTTCAAAAGTCGTGGAGGGAGAATCCGGCCTACTGTCAACCATCATTGTCCCCTACTTCATCCACGAATTCTGGCAGTCCCTTGGAACCAGACAATAAGCCAGCTCCTGAGGCGGATGACGAGCGTATATTTGGGCTATTTGATCCTGGTCACCTCCAAGGCCTTGCTCAATCATTCGTCCAGGGAATAGGGAGTCCTGAAATATGGTTCGAAAGGAAGATTCTCCTCGCATTGTTCAAGCACACCTTACAAATTGATCCCTGTCAGAGACTATCGGACCTAAGTCGACTTCCAGTTATGAACACCTGGAAAAAGGCTGCCGGGGGCTCCTTTCTGCAGTCAGAACTGGCTTCTCTTGCCATGACCAGCGAGATGAAATACAGCATATTTACCGGGCATAATAACATGCATATACCTTGGGCGCATCAGCAGGTACTGCTACACGACTTGGAAACAGAGGCCACGAGGGATCACCCGTCCCTCAGTGCAACGGAAGCTGCGTTCCACACCATGTTGTGCTATATAAATGCATTTGGAACACCGAGGGATCATGACAAGGCCGCCGTCTTCCTTCGACACGCAAGCAGTGCACGCCACGTACTGACTCAAACTTTCGGCCCGCAAATAGAGTCAGGACTCTTGCAGAAGAAGGGCGAAAATTCAGGGCCATCTTATAAATATGCAGAGTCTCTCGCTTTGGGGTTCCGTATTACTAGCCAGTTGAGTGCGTCTTCTAGTGTTGATGTGCACTTTGGTCAAGCTATAGTCAATTATCCTGATTATATGTCCTTCAAGAATGGACTGGTGGATCTACAGACGACATATGCGGAATATGGTGATATCACCGCGGCCACAGTGCGGACTCATAGACGGCAAGTTCGTTACAATATTCTCGAGTTTGCAATCCGTCACAATGATCTCAAACTGCTGGAGGATATGTTGTCTACAGCGCCTGAAAGAAGTCCTGGTATGAACATTAGCAAGGAATCCCTCCTTAACACCGCCGCTCGCTGCGGGAACTTGGACATAGTGGAGCTTTTGATGCGATACTGGAGCTCAACAGAGTCCTTCGATAATTCTGTCCCTCTCTATTGGTTGTTCTGTTTCTCAGGCACGCAGATTGACTGGCTTGTCCAGCTACTGCAAGAGGTATGCAGAGACAATTTCAAAGAAGGAGCCCTAGACCGGAGCATGCCTGCTGCGGAAGAAACTCCCCTGCACTCACAGTGGCCTTTTAAAGTGCAGGGAACTCCGCTGGCGATTGCTGTTTCATCGGGGAATATTGCAGCAGTCAAGGCCCTTCTCCAGCTCGGGGCCAACCCCCTGATCCCAGCCTTCTCGCCGAGTGAGGACCAGGACCATTTAATGGCGGATTTCACGCCACTACATATGGCTGTCAAATATAATATTCCCGGGATCTTCGACCTCCTATGGCACTCGGCTTTTCCCAGCCGGTGTGTAACGATGGACATTGTCTGCTCTAACCAGCATTTGAGAAGCCTCCCTCTCGCGTGTGTGTTGTCGCCCCTGACCAATGCTGAGCGATTGGCAATACATGGAAGTCGCTATCTGGATAGTTTACGAGAAACTGTGTTGTCAATTTCTCCAATAGTGCAGCAGCAGGATCCGGATGGTAGGACTGGTGTTAGCCAGGCAATCGACATGGAAGATATCGATGCCCTGGAGGCTCTACTAACCAACTGTCCTGAACTTGCCAGGATGAAGATCAAAGCCCCCCAGCATCGGAGTCTCTACACATATCCACTACACCTAGCAACGCAGGCATTCTCTGACCGAGAGTCCGAGGAGCTTAGAAAGATCATTCTCTACATTCTGCGACTCGATCCAACGGCGGTGGATCTCCCCGATGCGTCATCGTTCAAGCCCATTCACATTGCTGCTATGGGCAGCTCAACTTGGCTGCTAGAGCTGCTACTTGACCAAGGGGCTTCTCTAGATAGTATAGATGGATTGGGCAGAACGGCTTTGCATGCCTGCAAAACTGATACCATGGTGCAATTACTACACTCCCGCGGTGCTTCTCTCAACCAGCGAGATTCGACAGGCGTGACTGCAGTCCACGTCGCAGCATATAAGGGGAACGAGGACGTTTTACGATCACTTATTCAGTGTGGCGCAGAGGTCAATCTCACTGATTATGGAAGAAGCACCGCTTTACACTCTGCGACAAAAGGAAGACATCCCAGAGCAGCTAAAGTCCTTCTCGAAGCCGGCGCACATGTTGATGCGCAGGACTTTCACCTACAGACAGCCCTCCATTTAGCTTTAAACAGTGAGCAGTACGGCCTGGCACATATCCTTTTTCAACACGGAGCAAATCCGTTCTCACCAGACTTTTCAAAATTGTCTCCCTTCCTTATTGCACTCGCCTCGAATGACGCTTCCGTCTTGAAGCAATTCTTGAATCATCCTGCAACTCATTCCTTGTCTCATGCTTCTCTCATCGAAGCACTATTCCATGCCGCAGCACATGGCGAACCAGCAACATTGTCGGTCTATTTGCAGTTTTTATGCCCTATGCTGTCTAGGAATGAAGAAATCGGTCATATAGACGCGACAGTTGCTGTACATTACGCAGCTGAGGCATGCAGAGTGGACCTTGTAGAAGTCCTTTTATCCCACGGATTCGACCTCGAGAGCCTCGATTTGGAGGGAAACACGCCTCTAATCTCGGCCTGTAAATCAAACCGAATACAATCGACGAGCAATCTTCATTCTGAGAAAAGGGACAGCATATGTGAATATCTCCTCTACAGAGGTGCCAACATCTTAGCAGCAGACAAAGCCCATCAAACGCCGTTCTCCATCGCAGTTCAGTACCAAGACCTGCCATTGATGACAGTGCTGCTTGACCACGCTGTTGAAGCGAATAAGCAGACTCCATCCTCTCACCTCCAATCTCTTTTACATTATGTATTGGAAGATTCTGAGGAGCCTACACCCATTCTACCGCGCCAAAACGTGCTCAGGTTATTCGACGACAAGACGATTGGCAAAGAACTGTTTGATACTGCGCTTGATAACGAGAAATGGCAGCTTGCGACCAATCTTTTCGCTGGCAAGTTTGTAGAAGACTTGCACGCAGACTCTCTTCGTCTTCCACCCAAATATCAACACGGTGATGACGATAGCGCTGACGTTCACCGTGAGATAGCTCGGCAGATCAAGTCCGTCGTGCGCCACTTCTATGCAGAGCGAAAGGACTGGCAGATGATTGCTCACTTATATCGCAGAACGTTTAGTGCTAAGCACTTTTACAATCAGTATCTGATCGCCCGCCCGCTCCTTTTGGAGCGCCAAGCCACAGAAGCCAATGTGTTTTATTTTCTAGAGACCGAGTTTGGTTACGATCGGAGAAAAAGAATGAGATCTAGAACAAGTCTCTTAGAGATAGCAAAATATCTCAGGCCTAACAAATACTAAATAAACAAAGGATATAACTCTGAAGTCTCTACTCTGATAATACGCACCCCGAAACCGCTATTAGAATTCCTTTCTAGCACGTTCCCTAAGAACAGCCCCAAACCGATAAAATATAACCGGCATAGGCACAAGAAGCAGCGCAACCAAACCCAACAGTGTATTGCCCCACCCATACCCAAGAGCACGGTACATATAAGGCCCAGCAAGCGGGAGCAGGGCGCCAAAAGTCGAGCGCATAACCGTAATCGCCGCGATGCCCGACGCCGCATACCGCGAATAGCAGTCAATGACATAAGTCTGCAGCGTGCTGAATATCCCAATCATGCCAGCGGCAAAGGGGGCGAGGCCGATAATGGGCACGATCCAGTGCGTAGGTCTTTGGATGGACCAGCCGTACCAGAAGAATGATATGGGAACTAGGAAGGAGAAGGGGATGGCCAGTGGCAGCCGCATCTCTGGGGTGAGGGTGTTGTTGTTGCGTGCTTTGAGGCGTTTCAGGACTCTATCGCTTGTGAGGCCGAAGATGATCTGGCCGGTAAGGAAGCCGAGGCCGAGGCCGATGTTGGCGAGGCCGCTGGTGGAGAGGGGCCAGTTGTATGTGTCTTCGAAGACGGTGGTGACTGTTGTGAAGAGCAGGTAGAGGCAGCCGTAGATGACGGCCACGTAGAAGGCGATAAGGGTGACGATGGGGGAGTGGATGAGGAGTTGGATAGGGGTTGCTAGACGGTGCAGGAGGAAGTTGAGGGCTGCTCTGGGGGTTTTGATCGGTTCTTGGTCTTTCTTGTCGTAGCAGCTTCTGAGTTCGGGTCTGTCTAGTTCCTTTTGCAACTTGCGTGTCTTGCGGTCCATTAGGATCACTGGGTTGGTCTCGCGGTTGAAAATGACAACGAAGGTGGTGAAAGTGCCTGCTGTAATAGTGAGAACCCAAAATATCTATACAAGTTAGTATTAACAATGACCGGCAGTACTTATACTAACCCATCGCCATCCAACATCCTGTGCAATAAAGGCACCGCAAATAGGCCCAATGACAGGTCCAAGCAGTGGACCCAACGAGAAAATCGACATGGCAAGCCCTCGTTGCTCAGGCGCAAAGAGGTCTGATATAACTCCGCCACCAATTGTCAGACACGCAGACCCGCCCATCCCAGTGATGGTTCTAAAGACAATCAGGGCGGCGATGTTGGGTGAAAGCGCACATCCAATCTGAAATAGAACAAACAGCGTCGTTGCCGTATTCAGGACGATTCTACGACCATAGAGCTCGCTTAAGGGTGATAAGAATAGAGGTCCCACCTATCGACTTGTCAATGACATTCAGAAAGAAGAGTACGGCATGCTTACGGCGTAACCAAACAGATAGGATGTGACGGCTAGGGTGCTTAATATAGACGAGGTGTTGCCGAGTTCGCGTGCAGCATATCCAGCAGCAGGGGCAAAGATAGTAGATGCAAATGGGCTGATACAATCATTACCATGCCGGCTCCAGTATATAAAGATTCATACCTGATTAAAGTGACGACACTGACGATACCTAGAAGAAACCATTTCCGAGAAGGTGGGTAGTTCCTGGATAGTTAGACTGGCAATACGGTATCAAATAACCGTTCATACCTTGGATTTTGAGGATCCTTATCATCTTCCCAGCCGACTATTCCTCTGGGGAGGTCCATAAAGAGCGATTGCTTTACCAGTCAGTGAGTTCTTGACCAGAGAGCGATTCATGGCATACCTCGTTGCTTTGTCCATTTCCTTTTTTGTCGTCATTAGCAGCCATCTTGAAGGTAGATTCAAAGACAGCGAGATGTTCGAAAGAGCAGCAATATTTGAGCTTTGTATAGAAATCTTTCGGGGCAAATCCCCCGTGAATGTGGTTAGCGTTGCCGTTTCTGATTGGCTCTCTCGGCCTTCAGGAGACTCAAGTCCGCGTTTTCGGTTAGCGTGGATATTGTCTTGGCAATTATATACGGAGTTAACGGAGTAACAGTCGATACTCGACTATAGCCAGTTCTGAAGATCCAGAAACTCGTCGAGATCTCCAAATCCCACTTCGCTTTCCAGTGGCATACTAACTGGCTCATCGCTGGCTCCGGGCACATTGCTCCCCAGAAAGTAGTCTCCGATATTGTTATCAAGTTGAGGGACATCAGTGAGGCCTATATTATCGCGAGCTGATTCTAGATCCAGCCTACACGAAGGAGACTGGCAGTCTTCATGTTCAGGACAGCCAAGGCCAAGGGCTTCGAGATGATGGGGTGCCAGCCATTTGACTTTATCGGCGGTTGAACTGTCGCTGCCTAGGAGATTTAGAGCCGACGCTCCTAAAGAGGTTGTGTAAACATCATCCGGTTGAGATTGATCTTTGTATAAGGTCAGGTCCGGCATCATACTGTCTAAGCTGAGGAGCTTCTCTTGTATATGACGAGCACTGCTTGGGAGGGTTGCGATCATAACCTAGATAGATTCAGTACCGCAAATGCATAGGAAACGAAGAACAAACATACCGTCATCATGACTTTCCACCGATGGGCAAGGCCACTGCGCTTCGCAAGACTGTCCGAGACTTTCCTACCCAGTGCCAAACGCGTGCAAATCGATCCTGTCTGAAGCAACCCGGGGTCTTTGGATGATAGGGCGACGTAGAAGAGAGTCAGGGTCGAGCTGAATAATGCACGAGTCGTAAACCAGTTCCCGCCGGCTAGTAAGCCCCGTTTATACATGTCTTCGCATAGGATGATGATGTTCTCGCATGCCTGTATGCATATCGTCGCGAGCCATCTCGAGCTTGTGCTATCTGCCTGGTCTGGATTTCCTGTGTGCATCATGAATTGTCGGAGAAAGGGGCGGTATATGTAGAGCTGTGCGTGTGCGTATAATATGCAGAGGTTAAACCGGGCTCTGAAATTATTTATTAGATTTGCCTCTCCCGCCGTAATATGTTGACTTACGCGGCAAGTTCAGGGTCGTCGGGTCCATTGCCTAGAACAAGATGGTCGGGTAACTGTCGAACCCATTGGTGAAGCTGTTTTTCAATTCCTTTTAATTTACTCATGCTCACGAGGTGGCTCCCTACACCTCCTGTCTGGAGCAGACTGGTCTGGTTCTCAGAGTAAATGTGCTTTCCTGCCTTTTGGAAAACATTATGGAGTCGTCGATACACTGCGGCGATGGCTGTCAAACAGAATTCACCTTCCGGCTGCGGCAGAATCTGTCGCGCTTCGATATAGGAGTCGTTAACCTCAATTGGGGTTTCCTGGTCGATCTCTTCGCTGCTGAGAAGAACTGGAAGTCCACAGGTAGCGGCAACTTCATTGGTGAGCGTCCAAACGGCCCAGAATACTCGTCTTCCGGTCTCCCGCTGGATCAAATCCTGAGGGGCTGTGGAGGAGTCTACTCGATGGAGTCCCATCCGTAATGCCACTGATAGCGCAGTACTCACGTAGGTGTAGCAGGTGAAGACTCGGGTGGTTGCGAGGAGGTAAAGGATCTTGAAGAAGATGGCCTGGAGAGAGACAAGGTCTTTGCAATCGGCGATATTTTGCAGCTGTAGGCTTTTCTCGTAGTAACAGGACGAGTTCGAAAGGACATCGTTCTCTTGGCCATCAGCGGCGTCAATGAACAGGCCACCGTAAGCAAGAACGGCGTATAGAAGGGCCAGGAACCGCCATTCCTCTAAACTGTAATGAGACCGATCAAGGGAGTAGACGAGCGTGAACAGATTATTGAACGACGGGCGGTGGATGATGCCAAACAGAATCTGGGCATCCAGTGCCGCGTCAACTAGTTTTCTGGCGACATGTTTGGGTGGAAGCTCGACATCGACTGCCGGTCCCCGAGTTGTATCGAAGAGTCCTGGAACTGCAAAAGCAGCAGGGACGCGTTTATGTGTTGCATCGAGCTCCCAGTCTCCGAGCTTGTGCTTGAAGCCTTCGATAAATGTACGGTCAGCCGAATAGCCTGTGAACTCCAGATCTCCTTTCTCAGTAGGATGAAAGACTTTTGCACCGGGCTGGGCTGCCTGGGCCTGTGGTAGGCCTCTCGAAACAGGCGATGATGCTGTAGTAGGTAAGTCTGGCGCAGCCTGGGCCGCTTCTTCCATGGCCTTTATTCGGCGCTCGAGAAGCTCGATCTTCTCATCCGTTGCCGTTTTGCGCTTCTTGCGGGCTGGCTCGGAGAATGTGCAGTCTGCAAAATGAGCTTGCATTCTCTTTTAGGAGTAGGAATATGTACCGTAGAACGAGGATGTGCACTGGCTACATGGCTGAATTCTGTCGCATTTGACCTTTCGCCGACGACAGGCATCACAAGAGGCCTTTTTAGGAAGCTCATCCTGCGGCCTAGGGCTATGAGTGGAGGTTGTTACAGCAAACTGGACCTCGTTGGGCATCTCGGTGAAAGACAGCTTAAGTTAGATGGATGTGATTCTAATTGTGCTGTCAACATTCCAGTCCCAGATCTTAGCTAAGCCATCTAGCTTTAGTTAGAGGGAGTTAAGTCACTCCGTTTATGTGCCACTTGTTTGAAAAGAAAAGTTTGAGGAGTCTTGAGATGAGCTGTTTTTCGAGCTGCGGACAGAAAAAATAAAAAAGAAAGCCCAACGCGGGGCTCGAACCCGCAGCCTTGAGATTAAGAGTCTCACGCTCTACCGATTGAGCTAGCCGGGCTAGTCATGCACAATCCGAGTTTTTATGACTACATGAGGTAGAACTAGAGAACCGTTCTGTCGTCAGGTCAACAATTCAGTCAAGTTGAAGTTTTCGCAGTTATAAAACAATTACAAGTTTTGGAAGGAAATGCTTCACCTCTAACCAGCATCTCTTGTATGTTCGGCAGGTTATGCACCTCGCTGCTGCAGTTGGGGGTATTTTCTAGCTTTCACGTCCTGTTTCAAGTATCGTATTACATATATATAATTGAACTACTCAGCTTTCGAAAGATTGCAAATACACGAATTCATTTTCCTGCCTTGCTGATACACTATTACAACTCCAAACCTTCACACGGGTGCTGCTATTTCCCTTTGTCTTGCCCAGAATACCGATCCTACCCTTCACTTGTACTGTAGGCCGCGGCGCTTTATGATCTCAGTCATTTGACGTTGCATGTCATAGTGCAGCGCCCCCTACAGACAGTTAGTCGCGCCACCGGGGTAAATCCGTACTGCATCCTGAAGGAGTGCGATTTTGTCATCTGGATGCGTATATGCGCTCCTTCGTATGCTTGGAGGAGACATGGGCCAGCTCGCATTGGCCGGGTTTTACTCCGGGATAGCGGTTTGCTGTGCAGCGCACTTGGCGGATCTATGCTGGTGAATTTTCTACCTCGATGCTACCTCGTTACTTTGTTACCTTGCATGGCCGAGGAATGTACTGGATACCTCGATGCTGTAGTAAACCTGTTTCCGCCACTGTAACGAGTATCCGTTCGCAGTGTATGATATGCTAAGAGAAGAACTGCAACTGAGGCGGATGGTATTGATTGACATCGATATTCGAGTTGCATTATCTGACGTACCAAGACGGCCTAATGCCGAGCGAGGGCGCCTTAAACAAGGCCTCCGCTCAAGGCTTACTCTTGGTCTTTCGGTAATCTGGAACCCACATTGCGGTGTATTTGCTTGGCCAGTCAGATCGGCGGATCAGCATCTGGCAGCATGGCGAAGCTGCAGGTGAGCTCCCAGCCACTCTTGGCTGCACGCTTGGCTGCAGAATCTTACTGGACTGGTATCACTTGTGCATAATGGACCAGTCGAAGAAGTGAATAAGCACAACAAGTTGGCATGGTGACAATGCTAGTTCTGGGCCGCTTTGTGAGTTGGAGTTGTGGGGGTGAACAAAAGGCTTTGAGGCTGCTTACGAGGGACTAATAATAGGCTTCGATCGGCCTTGAAGGATTTAGCTAATAATAGGGTTCTGGCGATTCATTTCCCGAAGGTGAGGATTAGGCTTTGATGAGCTGTTCCCGCATGCATGAAGCTGCTTTCCGGCCATATATAAACATCGTCCTCCCCCTTCCCTTCTGCATAACAACAAACCAAACAACTCTCAATTCCTCACCTCAAGATCCCTCAACAGTCGAATTCTTTAACAAAACGTCAATCAAGATGAAGACCACCATGATCACCTCCATCATCGCCGCGGCCCTCGCTGCTCCCCTCGCCAGCGCCTGGACAATCAACGCCTGCGGCCACACCTTCTCAGGTCAAGGTTCTAGCACCTGCACCACAGTCTCCTGCGACCAGGGCGAGAACGTCGACTTCAACGACGGTAACCCGGAAGGACCCATCGAATTCAACCTCTACGCCGATGCTCAGTGCGTGGACGAGATCACCCACTTTGCGTCCGACAAGTTCGGCTACACGCTTCCTGAGAACCTGCGCTCTTTCTTGGTTCTTACTTAGATGGACGAACTATTCTTTCTGAGAGGATGCAGTTATTATTTTACCGTCTTGTCCTATGTGCCAGCGGAGCGAACCTATGATTTATGTATTTTGTCTATTGTACAGCTTGCCAATTATGGCTGTTAATTGTCTAATTTGTATGTGGCGAGAAAAGGAAATACGAAATGTAATCAATATTCTCTAAGTTGAATGGCCTAGAACGACCCAATAGTACCTGCAGCCTTGCTTAATTATTAGGCTAATCCCACGTGTAATCCGTTCGACCGCTGATATCACCACTTGGCTGTATCCAGCCCCAATTGGGCACTGGCTCAGAACCATGGACCAGCACCCGGGTAAATTAACGAGCTCGGCGTCTGAATCCGCCACAGCGGTGTAGAATCTGAATATAATCCCAATTGACTAGAATGGCTTTTCTCTCCTCACCGAAATATATTCTAGTTCTCCATGCCGGACAAACGCCAGGGCCGCACCGGGCTGGCAGATAACGGCTTGCTCCAGGTTAACCTCGCCACACAGATTCTGTGCATTACGCTTGTCACTCCGGTGGTGATCTTGAGGCTGATTATCCGGAAACGGCTGTATCAGCCGTTTAGCGTGGAAGATGGTATGTGTTCAGCGAGCTTTGGACTGGACTATGCTTACTAGATAGTGACCTGTTTTCTTGCCTGGGTAAGGAATCCTCCAATTTCTTCGGGCTGGCTTCTCACTGGAATAGCTCTTATTCATGGGCTATTGTACCTGTTGTATAATGTGTATGCACGCACCCTCAATCAGTACTTCAAGGCTTTTATTGACATCAGCCGCAGACGGCTTCGCTGGGGGCGCGGACAACATGGTCTACTTGAGTCAAGATGAGATCCACACCACCTTCAAAGTGCGTTCTACTTCTTCTTATCAAAGCTCCAACTGACAGCCAAGATATCCTACGCATCAACAATCATCTACGCACCGCTAGCCATGACAGTCAAAGTAACGCTCCTCCTCGTCCTAGCCAAAATCTACAGACCACTTCGCGGAGCCCTAGCCGTCTACATCATTCTAGCCCTCAACGTCGTGTACTATCTCATCATCCTGTTTGTAAAAGCATTCATCTGCATGCCCGTCTCAGCGTACTGGACCAAGACGACCGGACCAGACGGGAGCGGGACATGTCTCGACAGGCCGGCAGTGTTAATCGCAGACTCCCTGATCAGTGTGATTTCCGATATTGCGATCCTCGTGCTCCCGGTTGTTTTCACCTGGCCTTTGCAGATGCGCATGCGGGTTAAGATCAAGGTCGTTTCGCTGCTTGGGCTCGGCGGGATTGCGGTGGGGTTTAGCCTCTATCGGCTGGTGCTGTTGATTGTGGATGGGAGTACTCCTGACAGGTCGGTTTTTTTCATGAGAGTGCTGCTATCTGGGTAAGCCTATCCTTTTACTTTTTTCCCAAGATGCACTGCTAATAATTTACTTAGCAATGCCGAAGGAGGAATCGGTCTTATCTGCGCTTGTCTGCCCACACTAAGCAAGTACATAACCCTATATCGCCAGAACCGGCAGGCATCAGAACACGACCAACCGCGTGATTGTGTCAAGTTCAATCCTATTTTCGACGGCACTTCAAACTGGAATAATGGAACGCAGTTCGCGTCTTTACAGAGCCATATGGAGACGCATATCTGGCGCGGCTCGGAGGGGTCTGCGGGGGAGTTTGAGCCTGCTGCTATGCCCCTCCAGAAAGAGATATCGGGATCGACTGCAGGGAGAAGTAGCCCGTTGGAGATTCGGACGAATGTTATTGTTCATCGAGAGTCGGAGAATAATCCGGAATATTCGCCGGTGTAGGGATTGTATAGATGTTATGATGATAATGTTTATGTACATTGCATAAGTATAGAGCGGTTGGGTGTCTGTATGGTATAATTGCATTTAGATTGAAGTATTAGGAAGAGAGCAGAGTTTTCAGGGCCACCCAAATCCTGTGTAAATAGTGAACTCAGACCTTGTGCCTGAGTCTAATAGATATTAGTCTTATTGGTTACCTGTGTACTTCACACTGTTAGAAGTCATTAATCTATACACTACTAGTTAATTCCAAAGATGGCAATGATTTGAGGATATCTTATTTATAGGAACTAATTGAAGACTGTCATTAATAGATGCTATTCTTGACTGGAGCTGTGGTAAATGTTCACCTACAGTAGTACTTATTATCCAAACCGGCTGTTAATATAAGACACCACGGGCTTTCCTGTTTATTGTATTCACTACTCAGGTCACTAAATGCGAATTAATTGAAAATATTACGGTGTGACTGACATTAACAGCTCACATCCATCAAGGCATTCCAGCCACCAGTGAAGCCCATTCACTGGCATAAAATGATCAGGTGTAAAATGATCAAGGAGTATTATTTCAAATATCCCAACCTTGACACTCTTACAATTCCCAATTCAACTGGAATATCTGCAGCCGTCGCAATGCGCCTCCACGAACTCCCCGTCGAAATCCTCTATTGCATCGCCGACGAATTCGAGTATTCCTGGAACGTCAAATCGCTTACTCTCGCCAACTCGCGCCTCTACGAGACTCTCAGCCCTTACCTATACCGATTCACGAAGCAGTGCTCGGCCACCGAAGCATTTCTCTTTGGTCTTAAGTATGGCATCAACTCGCTCGTAAGGAAGCTGCTTGTCTTGAAGTCGAATGACTTTGACGAACGTACATGGACGAGACTCTTGTCAGCTGCTGCTAAACGTGGGAGTTTAGAGATCATGACGCTATTTCTCGACGCTGGAAAACAGTTACACGCTTCACGCGGATGGCCGCTTCCCTTTCCTCGATATCTGGACTTCGCGCTTTGGCATGCAATGAATTGTCGGCATGAACCCGTTATTCGGTTGCTACTAGAACATGGAGCGGCCCCAGTCCTACACAATAAAACGGAATTGGCACACTTCCGGGGTGTGTGGAAGAACGTGTCTGTGGCTAGGCTGCTGATACGGCGCGTTCGCCAGTCTACAGTTCCTGACTCCGTTTCGCTATCTCATCTACTTCAATGCGCTATTCGATCTTCCCATGGCTGTAACCCTGAGATTATCCAATACCTTCTTGACCATGAAGCTGATCGAAGCGCTTTGTTCGGTTCGGCAAGCGAGGTCTATGGCCTGGGATACTGCAGCGATCCTGAAACAGTCCGACGCTTGCTGGAGTACGGTGCCGGTTCTGGACTACCAGGTGTAGATCTCACCAGACCGCTGCAGCTAGCTATTTCGAGCGGCAGGTTTAATACTGCACGGGTGCTGCTGGAATACGTCGATATTACACAAGCGCTAGAAGACAGGGTGACAGGATTAAACCTGCTCCACATGGCTGCTTCGACGGGCTCGGAGGCGATTGTGCGTAAACTTCTTCAGGGCGGAGTCTCCATCGAAGGACTGTGCGGAGAACCAGATAATAGGAACTCGCCGCTCGTGTGCGCTGCAAGGAATGGTCAGGGAGATATGGTGAAGTTGCTGCTCCGTCATGGCGCAAACCCTCACCCGCAAGCTCTAATCCAAGCCCTAAAACGTCGCAGCATGTCGATGACGAGATTGATGCTAGATGCTGGCGCTGATCCTAATTGCAGGAGCAACTCTTCCCGTCAGACTCTAGCCCTAGAGGCTGCAATGGGCCATGAGGATCTGTTTAGACTCCTCCTGGAGCGGGGCGCCAGCATACCTAGCGGCTACGACCTCTTGGATATATTGAAAGAGGCAGTTAGTAAAGGTCGAGTATCCGAACTGCCGGTTATGCTGGATAGAGGCGTGTCGCTCGCAAACCTGGTCTTCAATGTGCTACGACCGGCGATAGAGGGAGGGCAACAGATGCTAGAGTTTCTGTACAACAACGGCGCTTTATTGAGAGAAACCCAGATGAAAAGTAAGAACGATAAGGATTATTCGGCAACGTCTCTCCTGATGACTTGTTTGTTTCACAAGCGTATTGATTCGATGATGTGGCTTTTGAATATAGGCCTGATTCCAACAGCATTCTGCGCCATCGATCAGTACGAGATACTCGATGGCGTGTTCCGATGCAGCCGAGACTACCATAATGCAGAGAGCGTCCTTGCAGTGCTGGAGATATACGGCGTCAATTTGAAGATCACGCCGCAAACCAACCGCTTCGCCGTGATGAGTATGGTCAACCTGCGGTGTCGGGTAGCCCTCAAAGCATTCCTGGACCGCGGCGCGAAATTTCTGCTCGAACATGTGGAAGACCCCAAGTTCCTTCTGGATTGCTCGGATTCTCTCATACATCTTGATATGATGTTAAATGCAGTTCTGCGCGACTCGCCCCGTGAACAGACCCAGCAATTGGTGTTGGAATTGAAGGAATACGCGCATGATGCGAAGAACTGACCTGCTGTGAGATACCTGGAATATTTCCAGTATCACAATGGTCTCTATTGATGTATTGTAGTCATGAAGCAGTGACTGTTGCTTGCTGAAGGCGGGGGCAGATGATATTAATGGATGCCCCTATTCAAAGCAGCATAGTTGGATATGTGCAACAAATAGAATCCAAGCTTCGTTTACTGAATAGATTGAACCGTCCTGCTTAACCATAGTCTAGTTCGAGAACCAGAAGGACCACCACGGCCAAGTTGCGCGTGCAGTGGAAGGAGCGAAGGGTCCCAGACATATTATATTGGACTGTCTTGCCAGAATTTCCTGTCAACAAGTATCTGTTAATCACTAGATTCACTAAAGGCAATCGTTTCAATTACATATGTATCAGAACTCCCAACACACTTTATATTTATCAGAAACATAGACTGCAACCCCATTTCCTCATCGACTTCAACAACAATGACCTCAGATGACAAGCCCCAGATTCTCCTCCTCAGCCTCGCACACCGGGACTACCTCGACGTATTGTACCACACGCTCCTCAGCAGACTATACGAAGCTGCCCACATCAAGCGCGCTAAACACCCAACAGCTGCCCTCCGAGAAATGGCCGAGAACACCTTCAAAGCAATCATCATCACAGATGAAGCTCTGGCCGAGTCCTGCAACGTCGAAAACATGGCAGTGCCGGACAAAGTCAAGGAATACGTTCATCAAGGCGGCCTTGTCATAGTGGGCCTGCATTTCCCTCGCTTCGCATCCTCGGGCATCGAAAATTTCTTCCACGAGTTTGGCCTTTCTTGGTCGGATGGTGAGTGTTGTCGTTGGAATTTCCGGCTTAACCCGTTTGCCGAAGTGCCCGAGGGAACTGCAGTGTCAATGTTACACGAGGCGTATAGCATGAACGCCACCCTTGTGAAGAATGCTAGAGTCCGGAAAAGGGTGTATGTTCCCATCGAGGCCGCGAGACCGGGTTTTCTTGGGTTTCCAGCACAGGAACTGGTTATGGAACAGACTCCCATTGCTGCGGCGAGAGTTGGCCAGGGGCATCTTGTTTATTGTGGCGATATAAATCGGGAGGCAGGCTCAACTTGTCTTATCCTGGCACTTTGTGGGATCCAGACCGCTATAGACGCTGACTTGGCGGAGTCACAGGCCGCGAGGATGGTTACGTTATTCCGTAGGAGAATGTGATTTCAATATGATATTATTAGCTAGAACAGCTGATCAGGATGTAGCTAGCTATAGCAATTAATATCACTCTGCATGAGTGTCTATGGAGCTTTCGCTTTATGAACTCTTCACTCAAACGCCATAATCTATCCTCATCATCCACCCGTCCCTTAACCCACGGCGCCGCACAACTACTCATAGCAGAATAAAGACCCCCTGGGATGGATCAGAATGGACACAAGCAGCAGAAAAACGGCCGGGCGAACGCTATAGGTCTTTTCTTTGCAGAATTTCTAGATATCCTCGTGCCCCCAGCTCGCCTGAATACGCCTTGGGAGTCATCGTCTGAGTTCTGGGCCTGCATTCCGGTTATCGGTGGAAGCAGGAGGAATGTGGAAGTGTCGGCGTTTTTTAACGTTGGCCGTAGTGTGTCCACCAGAATTTGCCAATGAGATAGCCTGACCGGGGTGATTTGGCCGGCTCTGAATGAGTCAGATATAAATATCTACCTTCCTGTCGTTACTCTATCGTGATTGTTGCAAATTTGCCAAATATCTAATCTACAATCTGCAACTCTGAAAAATGGCCACACCATATACCCTCCGGCATACCATCTCGCCCACCGACATGACAAAAATCATCCAACACCAGGGAAACGTCTACAGCAAAGAACACAACTTCGACAAACGTCTCGCCGCACCAATCGCCGAAGAAATCACAGCTGGATTCATGGCCACGCACGACCCCAAATCCGAACGGTGCTGGGTCGCCGAACGAAACGAATTCATCGGCTGTATCATGCTGGTCAAGGACAAGACATCGGACTCGAACTGCAATTGTGCTAAATTGCGCCTTCTCCTTGTGGACCCTAGTGCGAGGGGTCTGGGGCTTGGTGGGGATTTGGAGGGCCATTGTTAGATTATTGCCTTCAATAAATTAAAAAGGCCAGTTGAACAGAGTACAGCCCTAATCCATTAGATCGACCGCAAATGTCGGCGCAGGGCATTCTGTCGCATTTACTACAGCAAAGTCAGTATACGATCCACGAAAAAGACTAATAAACCCACCGATAGACATCATAATCAGCCCAAACTCATCCGCCTCCTCCAGCCACTTCTCCGCTCTATCCTCCATGCGAATCCCCGGGCGAATCCGATCAAATTCTCCCTGGAGATACCCATGCCCGTCCCACCTGGCAAGCCAGCGAATATACAAGGAATTCCACTCCAGCTCGGACTGGGCTTGCCATAGAGTCTTTGCCGCGGGCGCAGGCATGAACCCGACCTCGCGGCAGTCTAGCAGCGGCGAGTTGTGGAATACGGATAGTGCCCAGCGGAGGAGGTAGAGCGAGAGAACGGCGCGGCGCTTGGAGGTTACGTGGATCCAGGTGGACCAGGAGGGGCGCATTGCTTCTCTTTCTTCTTGGAGGAAGAGGCCTGTGTTGGCGGCGTGGGTGCCTAGGTCTTGCACTTTGCGGAGGAGAGGGGCTGGGGGGAGGGTTGGCTGGGAGGTTGAGCTGGGGAAGAGGAGGATGATCAGGTAGATTAGGACTGCTTGGAGGGTTGTGAGGAGGGAGGGTTCGTCGAGGTCGTCGAGCTAGGTAGTCGTCAGTTAAGGTCTGTCGAGTCGGATGGAGTTCGTACCTTGGTTAGGAGGCCGTTCACTTCGGTCATGACCAGCTGGTGGACCATGTCTTCGGCGCCTTTGCATTGTCCTTGCCATGTCCTTACGAGTGTGAAGCACTTGGCGAGGGGTTGGGGCAGAGATTTAGTATCTGCGACGTGGCTGTGGTGGATGAATGGGGGCGTCTGGAAGCCCTCAGCAAGCATTCGAGGCCACGATCGAAGAATGCGGAAAATGAACTCCATGCTGTGGTTTGCTAGTGCTACTGCGGGTGATTCTGCAGTAGACTTGGGTAATGGTAGCGAGCTGGAGATCTCATTCATCAACTCTGGTGGATATACTCCGGCACTGTCAGTGGGAACCAAAGCCGAGTCGGAAGGTAGGGACAGGAAGGCCTCGGTGTCAAGCATGTCCCAAGACGTAGGATCAGCCAGCAGGGCCTCAATCATGCTAGACGGATCGGCAGTCTGTAGTGCTGAAGTACTCTCTGGTGGAGGATCGGATGAATCTGGAGACGAGGCCGGATACTGGCAAATGATCTGCCGTGTAGAGCATCGCGAGCAGCTAGGGCGCTTAAGATTACACCGCGCCTTGTCTGCAACACACCTGCTACAGGACTTGCGCCGTATGCTATGGGGCCGTGGTTGATTACAATTCCTTCGGAGGTGACGTATAAGTGAGGAGCCTATACTCATAAGAGAGTGCCTTGTAGATGGGGATTATGGGTCTCACGATGACTGAATGTAGCGGAACAAAACCGGCACCGCGTCCTGCTGTCTGCAGTTGTAGACTCCATATTTTGATAAATTTGAGTGTATCTGGGCAGGATTGATGCATACGGGGGGAGGAGGAGGTTGATATTGAGCCCGGAACTCCGGGTTGACATTCCAATAATACGCCACCATTCCGTTCAGGGAATAGTGTGAGCCTGAAGTCCGGGGTGGATACAAATATAAATACTATACAATGTATCACTCTGGACTTTCAATTCAAACAATCAATCTAAACATGACGATCAACCATTTCTTCCTATGGGTGACGGCCAGAAACATGGCTACCCTGCGCACTTTCTATAGCAAGGTCCTCGCTCCGGTTGGGTACAAGGAGCTTATCTGCGCCCACAACAGCACGCTCATCGGATTTGGAAGCGACTATCCCTATTTCTGGCTGAAGGCGTTGCCGGAGGGAAAGCAGACTATGCCTGTTCATGTTGCATTTGATGCACCGGGTTTGTTATTCTACAAATACTTTGTTCGAATTCCATGCTGATCTGTATTGATGTATAGATTGGGCGGCTGTTGATGAGTTTCATCGTGTTGCACTGTGAGGTTTCATCTATCTATCACTTTCTCCCTTTAAGCATTCTGCTAAGTGTGGTTTATAGAGAAAACGGAGCGCAGGGGAATGGCGATCCTGGAATCAGGGAGGAGATGAGCCGGTATCCTTACTACGCGGCCTTTGCAATTGACATGGAAGGGAACAATGTGGAGGCTGTTTCTGCGCCGAGGGAGGCCAGGAACGCTTAAGAGATTGGCCTTGTATGTGATGTGGTATCAATTGCCATTGTGTGCCAGGCTGTGAAATCTTCTACGCTATCCTGTTTGTGGTGGTATCTCGCGATCACGGACTGAAGTATAAGAGAGAGTTCTGTAGGAGGCTGTTCGATGATTCAGTCAATCCCACGATGATTGCCTGTCTGGCTTATGTGTTCTTGTTATTGGTGGCCATATACGAGGACAGCACTCTCCAGCCCTTGGCGGTCGAGTTGTTCGCGGCGATCACATACTTTTGTCAAAGGTGACCGAGATTGCCAAGTAAATGTATTGTAGCATCTCGTATACAGGGGTCGTATATTGCAACGTCGTCCTGTCTTTAGTAACTGCATCGCAGAAGCAGGATTATATGGACTGGCTCGACATATAAAACCCTCCTACCCTCCCACAGAAAGGACCTGACAGAAGACATTCACACCAGCAACTCAAAAGAAATTTTTATTCTCTGTGCTCTACCCTGACTTATCAGTAAGGCAACCCCCGAGTATATACAGATTTTGAAGCTCCATATACAGAAGCTAACACCCCCGGTTGCGTCAGACCAACATGAAACTCACCACCGGCATCCTCGTCTGCGCCTCGTCTCTCCTGATGAGTGCCCATGCGGCGTCCGTTCGGATGTGCTATAATAGAGACTTCGGCGATTGCATCGACGTGCCCGCTCCGCACGGAGATTGTGTGTATGTCCCAACGAAGTACAACGACCACGTTTACTCAGCAAGTACCCCTACCGGCCACCACTGCGACTCGTACGAGACCGGCTGTGAGCCAGGGAAACTGCTGATCCAGGGTATCGACCGTGCGGGATACAAGGGACTCCCTGAAGGTCATCGGGTTAGTGGGTTTAGGTGTTATGACTAGGCTGCGTAGCCGGGCTAAGAGGGACCACTGCTTTCAGCTTCAGGCTGTGGTTTTGGTTGATTGATTGTGTCTGCTCTGCTCATTGTTAGGCGTGTATCATAACATGCACATTGCCAACCATTCAACATGGACGAGTTTTGAAATTAATTCAGCAGAGCTTGTGAGTGCTTAACACCTACAACGTAGTATTAAAAAACATTATGCTTGCTGTAGTAGCGCTGGAATTCCGAAGCAACCTAACTCAGTCACCTGTACACGGCGTCTCCTGGTAGACGTGATGAAGATTGAGAATATGACGGTTACCTGATATCACTGGAAATACGTCACTCATACGAGACAGGAGTATTATGTGCAGCTCTGAAACTTTTCTATCTTGGACATCCTGCCATTGAGCCATCCAATCCAGACCCCCTGTCAAGGATACGGACGATCAACAGAGGCCAAGCCAAAGCCCTCCCAGAGAATAGAGAAGCCAACAGACCCAAGACTCTGGGCAGCCCAAGACCTCGTATCCAACGGATGAACCCCGCATGATCTGCGAGAGAGTACATGCCAAGTCCGGGCGGCGAAACTGTGGCAAGGCGGTTCGTACCACGGGGCTGCAAAAGCCACGCATCACGATCCTAGAATATGAGTCGGCGCGGAGCCCACCTCCGCGGGCGGAATGTTGATATCCGCGAGGCGGGCATGAACGTTATCCGGAAGCTGGGGCCAGAGGCACGGATTTGGGCTTCTAGGATGGGGGAAGGTTAGAGGGTGGCTGGCGTGGTTGCGCTGGGGGAATAGTCGGAGGGTTGGTGCTGGAGCGAAGAGTGAAGGGGCCACGGGTATTGAGTATGTATGTCTTTGGAGACGATATCGACGAGATAGAGCTAAACACGGTAATTTCGTAATGTTATGAATGATTTTGGAATGAGATACTCCTAGAAGGAACCCAGCGCATGCCATATTGACGAAGCAACTGTTGTATATTTAGCGGCTACTATCATATCCTGAACCTACGGCTGCCCCATGGTTAAAGACTGGTATAATTGCGTAAGGAACATAAAATCCGGGCCGGAAAGTTCAATGTAGTATATTGGTGTTGATGTAAGGAGCGGACGCCTTGCGTGTCTGCATTTTCATTAAGGAGCCAGTTACACTTAAACGTGTAGAGAACGGTTGTCCTTGCGTATCTGGTCATTGACACATGAATAGCTACCTCATCACGCTTCTTACCCATCATATACCATGCGCACGAGAAGCGGTGAGAAGGCCAGAAGTAGTGTCGAATGTTATAAACCATTCCAGGAGTCCGGATGAATACCTCACACATATATCCAATATACCATGCTGACAGCGATGGCGCACGAGTCGCCCAGCAACAAGGACCATGATGCCAGATGCCGCACAAATATCAATAGCTAGCGGCCCATGAAAGTGTTGGCGCTGGAATTTCCGCGTACTGGAACAAAATGTACATACATATACTTCCCCGTCAGAGTGTGTGCTAACTAGGCACGCAACACTAAACGCAGCGTTGACTCAGCTCGGACTGAAACCTACGATTTTGAGAATCGACTGGACCTTGGCCATTTCCCCGTGTGGACGGAGGCATTGCACCGGAAGTACTATTGTCAAGAGTCTGGATTGGCTATTGGAATTTCATCCTGCGGGTGGCTGGGGCCCGCTCTGTCGGTTCTTGGACATGTCTGAGCCGGAAACCCCGTTTCCCATGGCGAATGACTCGGGCAAATTCCAGGATTCTGGTGGCGGGCTTTGGATGGGGTGTGTCAAGCGGAGTATAGTCAAGGCTGGGATGGGTGCTGTTGCATGGGGAGCCAGCTGGGTGTTTGGTTAGCAGTGAACTTTATACCACGAATTGGCCATAATGACGGTATAATTGCTTGAGTATAGCTACAATTCAACAGCCATGTCCTTGATCAATCGGCTAAAATAGCCGATCAAACTGCAGTGCGGGTCTGGGGCGCGGGGAGTCCGGGGTTGGAGCTCACCGAGTACCACGACGGTCCTGTCCCCCAGTACCCGAACTCCCGCAGAGTACTGGGCAGGGTATTTCGTTACCCCAAACCTGTAGTAATTCGTAAACTATCGGGCTTGGCCGGGGTGGGGCCCATTGACGAGGAGGATGTGAGGGTACAAATGGTTGCCGCGCCGTTGAGAACCTTTTGTCCATCAATGTCACTTGCCATATTATCAAAATATCGTTGCGGTAAGTAACCTTTTGGGAGCGAATAATACTCAGGATGCCACGTCCACATAGCCTTAGGACGCGGTCTAATCGAGACTTTACATCGTCTGGGGAGAATGCCCGGGATCCTCAACAGCTGGCCCCTTGTGTTGGGCCCTCGTTTGCCGATAGCAATGTGCAGGGATTGACTGGCACTGAGACACTTTCCTTGTCTTATTACCCACTTCCACAAGGCAATTCGTTGCCAACAGATCGTGCCCCCATACCGTTCTACGGAGGACTACTCCTTGAAAATTCAAATGAACAGCGCACTATGTGCAGCCTGTCCACAAGCACATCACCCAAAGATCGGAAAAAAGATACCACTACGATTGCCACATCCTCTGTCAATAAACGGGGCCGCCCGCGAAAACTGCTTGTTCACGCCGCAGAAACAGACATGGCCGAAGTCAGCCTCCCCCATTCTTCTCTGCTTTCCACATACTGAACCTCAGACAGCGACGACGACTACAGACCCGTGCCGCACAAAGAGCGTATCAATACCGGAGAGACGCCCAGACGTCAGCGTTGAAGATTCGCGTCTCAGAGCTGAGCATGTCCATGCAGCGAATGACTGCCGCTGTCTTTGCTTTCAGGGATACGTTGGTCCAATCTGGCGTCCTTGCATCGCAGCCAGACGTACAAGCACACTTGCGCGACACGGTGAAGATATGTCAGATCCTGGCAAAGGATGCCACCGATAAAGGCCATCCCAGTTTGACAGGGTCAAATCCCTCGCCGTACACAGACAGACTCTTTTGCCGCGCAACCTCACTTGCCGCCTCAGATCCTGCTGAGGTTCTGGCGGCATTAGAGACTCCTATAGTAGACGTATCCACCTTTATTGAACGACTGCACAAAACATGCCTTTATAGTGGCTTTCGACGGCTGTCCGACCCGGTGGTTGGCCTAGACACGCTCCAAACGCAATTCCGCTTTATGCTAGCTATTTTGGACAGGAAGACGCTGGCATCTTACTTCGAGGCCGTGTTTCTTGCTAGAACGCAGCAGACTGGGCTGGAGGAATGGAGCGAAATACCATTTTTCAGCCTGGGTGATGCTGGCTCGCATTACCGCCGACGTACTACGAGGCTTTCGTGCTCGTGGGGTCTGCACACGTCCGATCGTGAGCGAACAACCGTTAAAGATCCACTGTCAATGCTGTCTCCTTCAGTTCGGGAGGAGCTGAGCGGCGACTGGTTTGATATATGTGATTTGGAGGAGTATCTACGCGAGAAAGGAGTTCGGCTACTTGAAGTAAAGCCAGGACTTGAAGACTGCAGAAACGAAGCTCCGGCAGTTAATGCAGCGGAACTGTTATCAAGTAAGTTCGCTGGACACGGTATATAGTAACTGTTCTAACTTCTGACCCCTCCGCAGTGTTGCAACGCAAGGCAATGTGTCTGGGCCGCGCTCCGGGATTCCGACGCTCTGATGTGGAATCGGCACTGCTGGGTACTATGGCCGAGTGCCGAGCGTAGAACTTGATTTCTGATCGTGCTTGGTACTTTTAAATCTCCGAATGCTCAGAAATCAGTAACGAGCCGAGGACCGACGAACGATTACTAAGCGGGTTAGATAGGGTTTGCACCTACGAGTATGCAGATACAATTAAATCGCCGTTACTGTATTGGCATAAAACATGGAATTGATGGCCAATGATGCTCAAGAACAAGAACCATTTCACAATCTCTTCAACTCCAAAATACGCAGTAGTCTCCTATCGCGCTCCCTTTTAACATCAGCAGGATCCACACCGTCGAGGTATACCCCGACAGCATCCGTCAAACTCCCCAGCGCAGCCTCGCTCCAATCAAACCGATGCTCAGCCATATCCCTTTCCCACTTCTGTATTTCAGACCCCAAGTGCTGCAGCCGGTGCGAGAACCCGGCCGTCCCGCCATCCCCACCCAGTGCATTCGTCTGGAAGGGCCCATTCAACGCCCAACGCAATCCTGGCCCATTCGTAACCGCGGTATCCAGGTCCTGCGCCGAAATAACGCCCCGACTAACTAAGCTGTAGGCTTTGTTGTTGAGGGCGGCTTGGAGTCTGTTCGCGACGAAGCCGGGGACTTCGTGGTTGAGAGTGATGGGGGTTTTGCCTAGAGCCTTGTAGAATTCCAAGGCCTTTGTTATTGAGGAATTGCTGGAGCCGGGGTGTGGAATGATTTCTACCAGAGGGAGGAGGTGGGGAGGGTTGAATGGGTGTGCGATCAGGACGCGCGATGGATTGACTTTACACTCGTGCACGAACTGGGACGCTGGGATGCCGGAAGACGAGGATGCGATGATAACGTTGGATCTGGTGTGTGCGTCGATTTGGGAGATTAATTTGGTTTTGATCTCGATTCTTTCTGGGCCATTCTTATATCACATTAGGGCTGCAATGCTGTTGGGAGATTGTTATACACACCTCCTGAACAAAGTCAACCTCGTTCAAATAGGGCAGGATATCATTCGTAAATTGGTAATTCTCCTTTGATGCACCTGCAGCAATCTCGTTCTTCGGTATGACTTCCCAGGTGGTCTCCAGAAATCGGGCGAAATCCTGCTTTGCGAATGGTGCTGGATCAGTAAGGATGACCCTAAGGCCCTTTGCGAGGAACAGGCAGGCCCAGCTTGACCCGATGACGCCTGTTCCGATTACTGCAACGATCATGATGGCGGTTCTGAAGGCTATTTTGTGGAATAGAATGATATCGTTGAGTTAAGAAGTATATCTGGGTGTTTCAGCCGAGGCGGTATGTTCGGTTTCCGAGGAATTAATGATCCTCTGCATTCTCGCATAGAATTAGAGGAGCTCCGAGCTACAATGATAATAAATACCATAATAGCCGATTTGTCCCGAGGTTGCGAGTGACGAGATTCTGGTAGGCTATATGAACACGGTGGTTCCGCTCAAGAAAGACACTCCAGTGGCATCCAACGCAGAGAGTCCAATATGGCGCAAAAGCTGGATATCAAGGTTCATGATGGAACAATCCTGCGTGCTTTGTTTTATCCCGCTCAGTCCAAGGGGCCTGTGGTTATCATGTCTCCAGGGGTATGTACTCCCGGCCAAAAGACAAAAGAAGAAAATGTTGACATAGCATGCTATAAGTTATCCGGGATCAAGGAGCACTACCTCCCCAACTACGCAGAACGGTTCCAAAAAGCAGGATACGCCGCCCTCATCTACGACCACAGGAACTGGGGAGACAGCGAGGGCCTCCCCCGCCATCATTCCAACCATTACGAGCAGACCCAAGACACACACTGTGTAATTCACTACGTCTCAACCAAACTGGATATCGACCCTACTCGAATCGCACTATGGGGCTCCAGCTTCTCAGGCGGAATCGCCCTGATTGCAGGCGCAATTGACCCGCGCATCAAAGTCGTTGTCAGCCAGGTACCCTTTATTTCCGGCGACACAAGGAGAGCACGCCTCCCCGAGGAGAAACTTGCCCGACTCCTCGCAGATAGAGGTCAAACAACATCTGCGGATCCTACATATATCCCCATTTATCCGGAAACACTCGAGCAAGCGCGCGATCCAGCTACGGGGGCTATTATGGGGACTGAGGAGTGTTTTCGGCACTATGAAGATGTCCGTACCCTTGAACCGCGTCGGGAGAATAAAATCACCCTGCAATCTATCTTCCATACCATCCGGTCTGAGCCGAGGAATTATGTCTCCCAGATCTCGCCTAAGCCGCTTTTGATGGTTGTTGCGAGGAAGGATACTCTCATTAGTTGTCCGGACCAAGTGGCGGCTTTCACGAAAGCTGGAGAACCGAAGCAGTTGCTTGAGATGGATTGCGGACATTTTGATGTATACCGTGGTGGCTACTTTGAGGATAATGTATCGACACAGATTGCCTTTTTAGATAGATATCTCTAGGGAGAAGCAGTGTCTGGGGATTCAGTTGGAACCTGATAGACTTAGAATAACCCTTGAGGTGAATAATAACTCTTGCAAATATTTAGTTTCATCGTGCTTTATTCTACAGTCACGGTAAGCCACTGGTAGTCATAACGGCTTGGCCATTGCAGGGACATTGGTCGATAGAACAAGCACAAATAAGCCTGAAAGAAAAGAAAAGGAAGTGCATGGCTGGTAAGAGAAAAAAAGGTACTCTAGGATATCAACCAAGTATTCAATATTCAACTTATATACGTCCTCCAATTTCCATGGTACGTATCATCAACACTCTTGACCATGGTTAACCAGGGAGGGCTTTCTATATCAACAGCATAATAAATATAAAGGATTGATCTAGATCCACACAAGGTGATGTCGCACATAGAAAGCAATTCCTTGTAAATCACATTCTAGAGAGTGTAATACCACCCATCTCGCCCCTCGAGAGGCCGACCACTTGCTCTCGCGCGTTTGTTGGCTCTCCAAAAATAAACATCCATGATTATCGTCAAAGCAACACTGACAATGCTGACTGCAAACGTCGTCCAAATGCCAGTTGGGTATTGTGGGCTTTCGCTGGATCTGAAGACAACGCCTGCAACGATCCCTCCCACACCACCACCAATCAAACATGTTGCGGACGCCACGGCGCGTTTCGAGTTGGACACAATGTTATTGGCCTGGAAGGTAAGCACGCCAGGGATGCAATATTGCAGCGCACCGATGCCTATAGATGATTACTCTGTTAGTGCGGGCTTATAAGTGAGAGTTGGAGGGAACGTGGGAGCACCTACCTAGGAATATTCCGAAATAACGAGCTCCGCTTGACTGCCCGTACGCAGTGACAAGCATCCCGACTGCGGTTATCAACTGGTGGATTGCGATCATGGGGCCCCGGATGTGGTATTTATCGGACAGCCACCCGGAGATGAGTGCCACTGCAGCGCCTGGTATGTACGGGGGCGCAGTAAGAAGCTGACTGAGCATGGTTGAGAAGCCCATGCCCTCCAGGATAATTGTTTTAAAGTATCCCAGCGCGTATGCCGGAAGCATCGATGCGAACAGGTTAAATGCCCAGAAATATAGCTTCCAGTCTTTGAGATGGTGGAGGATCTTGGGTAAGGTTGGCTTGTCTTCTTCGGCATCTCCCCGGTCATTGTTAATCCTGGCTATCATGAATTCCTTTTCCTCAGGGGCTAGGAAGCCTTCTGCCTTGGTAGGGAAGTCGATGATTATAAGCCGGCCTACCAAGCAGACTCCGGTCGTGATGGCACCCTCAATAATAAAAATCCCTGATCTATCAGTTATCTAACCAAAGGAAAAGGCAATAAACGGGAAAAGCTCACATCTCCAGCCATTGATTCCATGCGTTCCGCTTAACTGGGTTAGGGCATAGGCGAAGATCGCCGCACATCCATTCATGACCACAGACATGAGCCAGAAAGCAGACAGCCGTTTCCCGACCTCGAAGCGAGTGTACCAGCAAGTGATAAGGTACGTGCAGCCTATGCAATCAGGATCAGTTGATGTTAAACAAAAAAAAGAGATATACGACCGTGTTTGTTATCTTGACTTACCCGGAAGGAATCCAGCCTCCATAGTACCTTGTAAAAGTTAGACTAGAATAGACATCCACAACAGGAGGGTATAACTTCATACCAAGAAGGGCTCTACACACTGCCAGGGTTGCCCAGTTTTTAGTGAAACCCATTCCTATCATAATAGAACCAAAGCTAGCCCCGAGAAACGCCAACCAGTTAGCGGCACCAGCTTTTGGTAAGATCATGTTCTAAAAACTTGTCAATCTTGTGTTATCGGTCTCTAAACGTGGGAAGGCGTACACTTGGAATCTCAAATATACTTTTGTATATGATTAGAAAATGTCATTTAGTGTTGTACGATGCCAAACTTACATATAAGCCACGAAGAACACCATTACAACAATGGTGTATCTTGTGCCAACGTCCAACTGCAGATCTTCCCTCATTCCGGCGACATACGCAAGTCCCAGGTTTAGACGATCGATCAGCGAGATTGAATACATGATGCCGAGAATGGGCAGAAGCCGGAGATCCACGCGCCGACTACGCGATCAAATGGTTAGCCAGGCTGCAGAGTGGTAGTAGGTAATGGATTATAAAGATACATCACTCTCTTCTGATGGGCTTCATCAATGCCATAGACTGGGGCAACATCTGTCTTTGGTATGTCAATACTGCGCACCTCATCCTGCAGATGTGCCTCTTCCAGATGCATCGTATCCAGATCCTTTTTATCTGAGATACTTGGTACCTTGTCCATGTCGGGGAGGAACTCAAGATAGTGTTAAATAACAGCAGGACGGAGAGGGATACAACGGTAGACTGACTAGATAAAAGGACAAAAGCCTAATATCTATATGAATACTCCAGCACGGTCCCTTCCACCCTTTTCCTTTTGTGGCGGAACCATATTTTACTTCGAACCAACTATCCGGGGACTGGGATGCCGAGTGCCGCGGAAAAGGGATGAACAGGCATATACTCGTCCATAAAATTCCCCTTGGAGAGAGAGACCTGGTTCAAAGTGCTCAGCCGAGGCCACTGCCATGATTCGTGATCATTGAGTGGCGTATATCTGATTTCTGAGTTATTCTTGTAAAGGCCTGGCCAGACCCCCCACACTACCGTGGATCCCAATTACTTTCCGGGGTACCGGACAGGGGATTGACTCCCCGCGCTTTGACGAACTGCCCGTTGTTTTGGTCCTCGGGGTCCAAGCGCTGTGAATTTATTGATTTCTGATGTCTCGGCTGAACCAATGGGTAGGATATTTGACACCCATTCGCCAGACCCGGGGACACTTGAACGTACCAGCAAATCATATCTGGGTGCGTTTCTTCTAAAGCGGTAATTTACGTGGCTTTACGGTTGGTTATCTTGAGTGATGCAGACGTTGTGGAGGCCCATGTCCTCTACATGCGTCGTGCGAGATGACATCTTCTACAAGCCAGTACAAATTCTCTAGATACCGTTCTCATTCATTGCTCTCCTAAGCTACCGATTCGTCCAGACACAGTACATCCACATCTCAATGCTCCCTGCTATCTCCACACTACTCAGCACCCTCATACGCGATCGCCATATCCTTCTCCTTCCACTCCTTCATAATCTCGGGGTGTTCAACCGGAGGAATCATGCCATTGATTCTCCAGTTATATCTAGGGTGCTCATAGATGTTCGATTCCCATTTGATTCCCTTGGGGTCGAGAATCGGCTTCATGATGGCGTTGGCTTCCGCAATAAACTTCTTGCGTGCCTCTTCGTCGGGGAGCTTCCTGATGGCGTGGTCGATGTGGAAGAACACCGCCTCTGGAGGGTTCTTTCCGCCGCTGAAGAAGTTGTCGGGGCCGTTTTCGTGGAAGAAGACGTTGATGAAGAAACTTGGGACTCCGCGGGCGATGTAGAGATCGGTGACCTTGTGCGCGATGAGATGCTTCTCTTCGCGGGTGAAGGTCCCTGGTGTTGTTTCAAATGTCCATCGAGGCATTTTGTTTCGGTAGTTATTCAATTTGGGAATAGATTTATTGAAATAGGAGTGTTTAATCTAGCGTTGGTAAGAAAGGAGGCTGAGATGGTTGGCTCCCTTTATATAGCACAGGAACCCAAGGATGTCTCCCTTCTCAACCTGCAGAGTATATACCCTCGGTAAATTGCAAAGGGTTTGCTTCAAGCATTCGCTACAGGCTAGAGGAGACTCCCGATCTATAGAGGCCAAGTCCCAGTACAATGCGGCCTCGGCCGGGTGTATGATCGATCGGTAGACATTGACTAGGTAGTGGAACTACTCCGGTTTGCTCAGATAATCATCTGAATAGTTTCTACCGAGGCCGTGGATTACCGACTGACTTGCCTCTCGCCATCTCAGGCCTTTGATTCCTTTCCAGATATTTTATAAGAGCACTGGTCCCAGATTAGTACATAGAACTCCAATCAAATTACCTTTTCTTCCACCAGTGAATATCAGTTCATATGATATGGCACCTCTTAAAGCAGACATCTGGGTTTCCTCCCGCCTCCCCCTTGCCATCAGACGAGCCGGCGAGCCAAGTGCCTTTTCACCCATCACTTGTACCCTAATTCAGGGGGATTTCGAGGCCGTGCTCGTGGATACACCTATTTCCATCACCCAGACCGAAGAACTGATCAAGTGGATCGAGGACGTGGCACCAAATAAGGCGCTGAAGTACATCTACATCACCCACGGCCACGGAGACCACTGGTTTGGCATCCCTCAGCTTCAGAAGCGATGGCCTGGCGTGCGCGCAATAGCAACTCCTGCAACCGTGGCCCACTCCGAGCAGCAGTTATCCTCTGGAAAGTTCAGCAATTTCTGGCTCAAGCTCTTCCCCGGCCAGATATATGAGCCGCAGCAGACTGCTGAAGCCTGGCCTGCCGATACATTCGAGATGGAGGGCCATGAGTTTCGCATGATTGAGGTCGGACATACAGATACCCGCGATACCACTGTTCTGTATGTTCCAGACATCCATCTGGTCGTGGCGGGTGATGTTGTCTATGGAGACGTGCACCAGTTCTTCGGCGAAGCAACCACGACAGACAAGCGGCAGGAATGGCTTCAGGCGCTCGCCACGATAGAGTCGCTCAATCCACACATGGTTATCGCTGGTCATAAAAGGGCTGGGACGGTGGATGGTGTCTTCAACGTTCACACAACGAGGGAATATATCCTAGCGTTCGAGGAGGCTGTCAAGGCAACGTCGAGCCCTGAGGAGCTCTATGATAGAATGCGGCGATTGTTTCCATCAAGAATTAACCCACATGCTATTATCTCGGGGGCTTCCGCTGCATTTGGGAAGAATCCTGCATTATTTGGGCAGCCTGCATGAGTGGCTGCCATTCTTGTGATACTGCATTATCAAAGCTTCATAGACGAGTAACATTATAGAGCTTCTTCACAGTCCAATTCTCTATTTTATTATCCAAGTTAATAGCAAACTGGAGAACATCTGTCTGTGGCCATTGCGCCTTGCTCCACATATTATCAAGACTGGTAGCTATCTAGGATAAGACCTGTTACAGGTTTCTCTAGACGGCTAAATGCCTGCTTTACTGCCTGCAGCGGTATGTCAGTGGTTTCAGACAAGATATAATATTTTATTTGATTGATCTCTTCGTATTGGTTTAAAATAATAACGATTTTATGAGTAACTAGCTCTCCTTCCCCCTTATTTTCGTTATCGACCGATCACCTCGTGTTCGGCAAACACAACAACACACTAATAATACAAAATCTCCATTCCCACCGCATCCTTTAAATTCTTCGACTCCCAGCCCGTCCCCAATACATGTTTCATTTTCAAATAGTATTATCAACCGCACAATGGCCCATCTAGCCCTGCCACCCGCACTAGCCGAAGTAGCCGCCCTCGACTTCTCATCAACATCCCACGGCTGCGACTTCGAACCCTACACCAAGTTCGAATCCCCCGAGGAAACCACAGCCTGGTTCCGTCTCTACACCGGCAACGACGCCGCAGACGGTAGCCAATTCCGCATCTTCGGCACCACAGGCGCAGGCGACTACATTGGGTTCTGGCTCGTGCAACCCGAGCCTGAGATGCCAGTCACCGCGCAGCCTGTCGTCTACTTTGGATCCGAGGGGGAGCTCAGCGTGATTGCTCGAGATCTTGGGGATTTTCTCTGGATGCTTGCCAATGGGTCGGGCCCGACTGAGGCGCTTGAAGAGCCGGGTAGGGTGACGGAGCCGAATGAAGCGTTTTGTGCTGTTGCGGAGAAGTATGCGCCTGGTGGGGGAAGGGCCACGGCGGAGATTCTGGCTATGGCCAAGAAGGAGTATCCAGGATTTGCGCGATATGTTGAGGAGTTGTGTCGGTGAGAAAGGGCTTATATATTGGGGTGGATATGGATTTTTATCTTTACCGTACTCCCAACTGGATATACTAGGAATTTGTGTTAGCTATGAACTGTGTCTTTTTTTACAGAGACTGTGTTAATTTGGTCTAAGTGGGTCAGAACTGGTACCGTGTTTGCTTTACATTCACCATGGAAAGAACTTGCAAGACTGTCAACCCAGTTACCCTGTCTGACTCTCTTGGATAATTTCAGATTATCTGTAGATTGCAAGGATATATTGGTTTAGATCAGCTCAATGCACCAGGCATACTTGGAATCTCCTCGCGACAGAAGAGGTAGAAATTAAATATATCTATATTTGAACAAGATACCAGAAATGAAAAAGAAGTGAGCACTGCCACTGCCTAGGCCATTTCCCATACTTCATTTGGAAACCTACTTGGCAGCTGTCGACGAAATTTGCTTGTATAGGGCTAAGCTCAGAATGACTCGAGTCGCTCCTCACGCCAATCTACAATCTCCACCGTTCCTGGCCCTCCATGTGCGGTTTCCACTGCATCGGCCTGGCCGCTGCACCACAGCTTGGGCCGATAACCCTGGTGCAGGTACCTTTCTATTCAACGTCCTCCCACGTGATGCCGTCCGTGGTTATGTCTGCGATAGTGGTGATACGGGCTTACCGTAGCAGATGATGATACCGATGTCGAGTATGAGGTCGACGTGTAATATGACGAGGTCGTCGTGTAGTGTGAGTAGTACGATGAGCTTGTTGGAGGACGCGGCGAGGTATACGGTGTACTTGAAGGAGAGGGCGTATGTGCGACTGAGGAGGAAGAACCGCTGCTTGGAGTTGGCAAGTTCAATCCTACAGAGCCGGTAGGGCCGAAATTGAAGCATTGGGATTCAATTGGTGCTGTGATTTCCTGTAGACAGTCAGTGGCAGTCTTAAGATATAGTCGAATTGACATACCGCAACTGTCTTCTCGACCAGGGGGTCCTCGGGGGTATCGGCCTTCGCAACGTCGACGTTGAGACTGACTCCAGCTCTCGGGGTCACGCAGGCTTTGGCACCTGCTTTTGTTAGAACAGGAGCATAATGAATGGGAGTTACTTACCACCAGCCTCGATATTAGCTCCCAGACCTGCGATATCCACATCGACTCCGACCCCTTTGTCTATGTGATATTAGTATATTAAATCTACATGGGCACAGCTGACCTACCAGTAGAAGCTGATATAGTGGCCCCGAGATACGGCTTTAGGTTGACACCAGCTTCATAGCCGTAGTCTAGACGGCGTTAGCATATTGATATCACCATAGTACGGGAACATACCAAGGATTGACGCAGCAAATTGCACCTCAGCCTTGGTGTAAATCTCCGCCCCTGCCTCGATCTTCGCGTCGAGCTTCACTGGGACAGTGTCGACCTGAGGAGTCCACCCACCAGCGGAAATGTCCGGATCGAGGAAGTTGATTTCAAGCTCGGCGGAGTCTTCAAGGCTGAGAGTCACGCCGGAGGTTATACCCGCCGAGCCCTTGACAGGGCCAATTTGATATCCAAAGCTAAACACGATTTCCGGACCAAGGTCAAGAATGCCACCTGGAATAGATATGCCGTCGACGGGGATCTTGACAAGCTCGATCTCATCGGATATATCGTCTGTCATGTTCCCGCTGAGTCCAAGCCGGGGCGTGAAGCTTGCAGAGACACCGTTTGGCGAGAGCGTCAATGAAGCAGACTCGGGGGCGCCATAGCTAGTCTTGATATGCACACCGAAATCGAAGGAGCCCTCTGTTTTACAGTCCTCACATGAGACATCCACAGACAGACTACTGCCCGGAATCGGAATCGACTTCGAGAGGGGGATCTTGTGGTTGAAGCTCAAAGAAGCATCAGAGTCCCAGTCTCGCTTGGCCACAGACGATTCCTCGACATTTCCCAGCGTGAGCTCGTAGTTGCGAAAGAGCTTCTTCCATGACGATGGTACGCCGCTGAGCCTCGCCTTGAGGGATGGCTTGTCGAACACAATCGACGAGACAACAAACGGCACCCGGTGAGGGTTCCAGCCACAGTGCTGTTTACCGGTGACCAATATCAGGTTCCGGTCCTCGTCGTCGTTGACCCATTGCCATCCACGCTGTGTGTATCCGAACGAACGCTCGTCTTTGAACTCCACGACCATTCCGTTGTCGGTACAGTCGACGGACTCGAGAAGGTGTCGGAATTTCTCCATCGAGACGATATTCGCTTCCTCGTCGCCGACGTCGACGGTGAGGTTTGCTAGTGCTTTGTGGCCATTCTGGGAGCCTATGCAAGCCATGTTAGCTATCTTAACCGGACGAAGGGCTTTATGAGGCATACCGCTCCAGTAGTAGGAGTCTCTGCTCAGCCGATCGAAAATCGAGAAAGCAGCGTCGTCGTTTGACTGCGCTCCTGCTTGGAGAAGATTATCGACGGCATCAGGGGCGTCTGAGTCCTCAAAAACCAAGGACAGGCCTTGCTGAGCAAAAAGGGCCAGGGCCAGACTGGACAGCCAGCTTTGCCGGATATTGACCATGGTGAGTACAATAAGCAAGTGAATAGCTTTCTAGAGCGGCATCTAGTACTCTCTGGAGTCCTTTATTTATCATGTTGAAGCCATTGAGATCCCATGCATACGCGGCTCAGTCCTCAGACCCTGCCAAGCAGTGCCTGTTCTGAAGCTGACCCAGTTTATAGGGTTGATCTTCCAGGAATGACAGTGATGTGCAGTTTACGCCTGCTCATCACAATCAAGCACTTCGTATTCAGCCGCCTCTAACTGAAAGAGACTGGTTTCCGCGAGCCTCAGTCTGTTAAAGCATCCACTTAATCAGCCGCTTGATACTTGACAGGACTGGGTTGATATTTTTGGATCTCTCCACGAGACCCTGGTGCTGTTCCACATTTTCGAAATATACTCCAGTCTAATGACGGTGGAGAAGATGAGTGGACTGGGTTCAGGTGGTTTCTTATTTTCCATCTTAAATTTCTTCCCAACAAACGGACGAGCTATAGATTAAAGCACCGTTGTAAACCAGATGGTTGCTGCGTTAACAGTAAGGAGCTTTCCAGCATTACCAACATGAATGTGCCGGACTTCCTCTGTCCCAGTAAGCTTTGCCAAGAGCGTGCACGTTTTGATCTTCCTCATCTCAGTGGCAGTGAACGGTAGCGCTATGGGTTCGACCATTTCCGATATTAAGATCAACGCCAGAACCAACGAACCACCTATTGCGAGGCACAGACCTCTCTTGCTCGTCGAATAACACTCACCATTATTCCTGCCGTTGGGGATACGAAATGATGACTACTCTTAATTATCAACGCTGCAAATTAAAAGCTGCTTGGGGAAACATCGGGTGCAGGTATCCAATGTTTATACTCCCAAACTAAGGGTGTATGAGTCAAATTAAACAATCGCCAGTTATAGGGTGCCTGTACAGTATACAGTGTAGTTTATCAATTAGACAGTCAAATGATGTTGTTAGTGTAATACACTTTCAAGCGTTTCGTATTTTCTCGCTGGTCTGGTGGAGAAAATGAGCTCTGTGTTTCTCTTCTATTAAGTACTTCCACGCTGTATGATCTGCTGTAGTGGCCGGGATTCACTGTAGCAGGCTGGACATGCACCAAATCCATACATATCGTACTCCAAGAACCCCATGTTAGCGGGCAACTGCGATAGACACGCAGCAATCACAGCACCAAAGTCCCATTCAGATTCAACTGCCTAGAGCTAGCACCAACAAACACCCCGTACTCAGACCCAGTTAGCAACCTCCACTGCTGAGCAGCCACGTCCCAAACACTGAGATCCCGCCGGCGGAGCTCGAATTCAAAAGTCCTCGTCTCACCAGGGCGGATTACAGCCTTGTCAAATCCACGCAGCTGCCTGGGTGGCTGGCCCTCGCCAGGAATACCGAGATAGAGCTGGGGGACTTCCGCAGCTTCGATGTCTCCTGTATTCGTCACGTCGGCGGTCACCACGGCCACTGTATCCCACAGGTCTGCGTGCCCTCCTGGGATTATTCGACCGGTAGGGAAAATGGATAGATTCGACGCGTTCAGAGCCCGGATTTCTAAGTTGGAGTACTCAAAGGTGGTGTATGTAAGTCCGAACCCGAATTCGAAACGTGGCTCGGTACCGCGCCGGTCAAAAGCTCGGTAGTCAATATACGGTCCCTCGGTGAAATCATCTTGCGGGAAATATCGATCCCAGCCGGTAGATGTAGCGGGCTTGAGAAGCGCGCCGTAGTCCGACTCATTCCGGGCAATGGTATAGGTCAGCTTCCCACTAGGACTGACGTCCCCGTATAGGATGCGTGTGATTGCCTCACCAGAGTCCTGACCTGGGAGGTGGGCTATAACTACAGCGGTGACGTTCGGGTGCTCGATCCACTGGTCCACCAGGCGGATTCCAGCTGTGTGGACAACGACAATGGTATTGCTGCATTGGGCCGCGATATTCAGCACCAGGGCGTCTGAGAAGTCGTCGCGGAGGCTAAGTCGGTCGCGGGCCTCGGAGGAAAAGGAGTTGATGAAGACGAGACACGCGTCTGCGGCCCCAGGGACTGTGCTGTTGGAATTCCGCGTCTCGACGTCCCAGAAAAGCTGTGTGTTCTCGCGGCGTGCTCGCGCCTGCAGTGCTTCAAGCGGGCTGTCGACGTAGAACGGCGCGATGGCACCAGACCCTCCACCGCCCATTAAGGTGCCGTTTGCGAAGGGGGTGAAGTAGGGAGGACACGGGCCTAGGTTGGTCCCAAAGTCACCGCAGTTGACTTGCTGGTAATCGTGTGCTTCGAACCCTAGCATCCAGTCGCTGAACCCGTTTTCGGGGTTGTTTCGTCCGGGTGTCCTGGCGTCATAGCCGTAAATGGCGAGCATCTGCGGCTTTGACAACGGAAGAGCGTGCCTGTTGTTTTTCACCAAGACATGGCCTTCGATGGCCGCGTCCAGGAGGATGGCTTCGTCGTCCGGGTCTCGAGCGTTTACAAATTCATGTGGTGCGAGTAGATCAGCAGGAAAGCCCGCTCCAACTGGTGGGAGGTCGCTGTCATCCTGTCGGCTATAGTACCAGGCGGCGATGATTCTGGTAGCCATGTCATCAATGTGTGACTCGGGGATTGAGCCGTTGTGGACAGCTTGGACTAAATGCGATCCCCAATATGTCTCCCCATAGGGCATGGTCATGTCAAGGCCGGCCAGTGCACTTGAAGCTCCTGCTTTCTGGGCCTCCCAATCACTGAGAACGAAGCCCTGGAATCCCAACTCTGTCTTGAGAAGACCATTCATGGCCTTGCTATTGTGACATGCGTAGCTGTTATTCACACGCTGGTACGAGCACACTGGGATCTGATTAGCCCAGTAAGTATGGCGTGGCATGCATTACTTACTTATACTGGCTGTCCCAGCATGGATGGCATCTGCAAAGGCCCACATATATAATTCGTGCATGGTCTTGTCATCAATGTTGGACGACAATGTCTCAATTGTATGGTTATTCTTGCGATCTATGTTCTGGAATCGGTGTGTTTCTTGCTCGTTTCCAACAAAGTGCTAGACCCGCGTGGTAAGTATAAATTGTATTTGTTCAAGAAGCGCACTTACCTTCGTACATGAAATTATGCCCTCATCCTGGGTCGCTTTGACGGACTCTGCTCCAAGGATGCCGCTGAGATATGGGTCGACAGCGAAGCCTTCCCAGTTTCGTCCCCCATGAGGAATTTTCCCCAGTGGCCCTAATACCGCAGGTCCCAGACTCAGCGTCGCCCCTTTTCTCTTGAATTCGCCTGCCATAGCCCTTGCCCGTTCATATGCATTGGTTTTGTTCCAGCTGAACGAATTAGCACTCGCCTCGGTATTATATCATGGGTATGAGTGTAGGGGCGTACCTCGCGCCAATATGCAAGGCAGCTGGATATCCATTGACACCCTCCGCGCCTTTCACTCCAGCTGGACCATCCTGCAAGCACATACCCGGAAAGCCAAGGCGGTTAATGGCGCGGACTTTACCAGAGCAACTACTGGTGCTATTATCATAACCGCCAGTGAGGTTGACCTTCTCGACTAGTGTCATCATGCCCACCATAGCCCGTGCTTTGGCGAGAGCCTCATCCCAGTCTCCGAGCCCACTTATCTCGGGGGTCGGATACACCGGGGGACTTTGGCCGTAAAAGAACGTATCACTGTGGACAACATTGCTGTGGTAAACGTCTTGCGGAGTAGCGTGGGTTAGTGAGCAGGTGGCTACCACGGCCACCAATGCCTTGATGCCCAGCATGTTTCACGGACAGGAGGCAGGCTTCCGTTGACGGAGTAGAATTGATAGCAAAACAGACAGTTGGGTTGTCTGTCTGGCTTTATACCCCATTCTCTCCGCTTCCAACCATTATTCTCAAGCTGCTCGTGTAACCTGCCGATTTACAATGGCAACTAACTCGACCCCAGATAATGGTTCCTATAACGTGAATGTTGGAGAAAAGGATGGGGACTCCGCTTGGCAAGACCCCAGAGGGTCGATAACCAGAGCATTGAGGTTCCAATCACCGCTGCACCACGTTGGCGGCCCGCTGAAATTACCCATAAATATTGAAAGACAAGTATAGCGTCCCGTTGGCGCACGTCATGTAATCGATTGGGGGATCCACTAAAACTTTGCTAGGCAGCGGAATATGCATTCCGCTCGGCTCTTTGTGATTTGACCCGAATAATCTCGTCCCAGAGACCCACAGTGCATGCAGCTGGACTGTACCGGCCAATCCGGCTTGTTCGGCGACTCTTCGGTCTATATTTTGGCTGGGGATAGTGTGGGGTGCAGGAACATTGGTGTGCAGGAATATATCTTCCGCCTCGCATATTATTCTAGAGGTACCAAATACTAACTTTTTCTATGCTTTGCTGCGGTCTCCGAAGTATACTAGAAGTAGTATTCTTTGAATAATACTATTAACGTAACTCACCAGTTATTCGACCGTCACTAGTGATCCTACCGACTCTGCAAAACCGCTCTACTTGATGATATTAAAGTAATTTGCAATAGCACAGCAACGTAGATATCAATTTAAGCTCATTATCATTAAGTTGAGAATATTTTGTTGTATTATAGCCTAAAACACTATAATTTAAATACTTTTCTAGGCCCTGGTTTAGGGTCTCCCCATTTACCAGACTAGAATTCTAGGGGGTTCTTCCTTGGTGTTTAGTTACCTATTTCTCTGTAGGATAAGATGTCTAGTATCTGCAAAATTAAGGTCTTATATAGGATATGTTTAGTGTCTAGGTCACTACTTTTCTCTTTTGTCTTAGCCATGCCTCCGGGTTGGGCCCGAGGCTTTACACACCCCAGCGCACCGCGGGTATACAGCACATTCGTGATCAAGATATCGCGAAAGATAACATCACTCTTTCAAGACTACGCTCGGCCGAGGTCTCTTGAGTCTAGGAAACTTGGATATCCAAAATAGCATTGTGATATAAAAGCTACCTCGGAATATTTCCCGCTGCCTCTCTATTTAATAGAAACATGTTGTGGCGGTGACTGTAGCCTCCCTAACCCTCCTTCTGCTCCCAAATTTAGTTAGTTGACCAACCTGTTGATTATAACTAGTTTTGGCACAAGCCACTATTTCTGTTAAGATCCAGATATCGAGACTATCACGTGGGAATGTTTATTCATCTTTCCGGGTGGCGCAGCATTTAGTTTATGTCATCAGTCAAGACCTTAACTATCGCCTGGTCCAATCCCATGCCACTGTGATAGAAACCTCCACTTTTCTCGACAGATCTCGGTATGATGAATAAACAGGTAAAGACTGGTTAATTCAACTTCGACCCAACACCTAACTGGCTATTGGTTCGCAGTCAAAGCTTGAGGTAATCGATCGACGGGGATTGCCAGAAACAGCGAAAAGATACTCAATCACGAGTCTGGAGAGACATATATAAGTAGAACAGACGCCCTGCCCCCATGTAGTCAATGCTTTCCGACAACTCTGTAAAATTTCATTTTCTACCCTGTTTATCACTGGCACGCAACCATGACGACTCCTACGAACATTAATCCCAAGGATATTCGAGCACACTGGGCCAAATATCCGGGCGACAAGTATGTTGATGGCTGGGCCTCCCTCTGGGACAGTGATACTTTGCCCTGGGATCGTGGCTTCCCCAACCCCGCGCTAGAAGACACCTTAATCCAGCGAGCTGGCACCATTGGCGGGCCTATTGCCCAGGACGGTGAGAGGCGGAAGGCCCTGGTGCCGGGCTGTGGACGTGGAGTCGATGTACTCTTACTGGCGAGCTTTGGGTATGATGCCTATGGCCTGGAAGTCAGCGCCACAGCTGTCGAAGCATGCAAGAAGGAAGAGAAAGAGAACCATAGCCGGTACCGCGTGGGAGACGAGAAAGCCGGCAAAGGGAAGGCCACTTTCGTCCAGGGAGATTTTTTTGATGATGCCTGGTTGAAGGAAATTGAAGTACCTCGAAATGGATTTGATATTATTTATGATTACACGGTATGTATACTTGCTGCCGGTGTACTCTGCGTTCTACCAGGGGAACTGCAAGATGCTTCGCTCTCTGTCTTTGGGCTTTTGATGTGCCATTTTTCGACCTAGCTTGGATCTCTCTGATCTTTCTGGTCACTCCTTCTAACAGTCGTATAGTTTTTCTGTGCGTTGGACCCAGAGCTTCGTCCTAAATGGGCTCTCCGATACACCGAGCTCCTTGCCCCCTCACCCGCAGGCAATCTGATTTGTCTGGAATCTCCCCGTCATAAGAACCCCTTGGCCCCCGGCCCTCCATTTGCCTCCCCCTCCGAGGCGTACATGGAGCACCTAAGCCACCCCGGTGAGAAGATTTCCTACAACGACAAGGGTCTTGTCATTGCGGACCCGTTGCGAGAGCCCAGCAAGGAGGGCCTGGAGAGAGTGGAGTACTGGCAGCCAGAGCGCACGCACGCCGTGGGCAAGGATGAGAATGGGGTGATCCATGACAGAGTCTCTATTTGGCGTCGACACAACTAATAATATGCCTGCGCATTTGTGTGACGCCAAAAAAGGGTGGAAATGTAAATAGAAATATGGGTCATTTCGGAGTCCGCCCCTGGATTTTCAAAGGCCAGTCAGTCCCTGAGACGCTAAAGTGACAGTCGACATGAAGGGCCGGGATGCAAAGGGCGCTTTGTGAAAAAGATTTCGCGGACATAGGGAACATATGTACTGGAAGGATGTCCTTAACTCCATAGCGGGATCCTGCTTGTAATCGTCGCATCATGCAAAGTAAACGGAGATTATACATAATCCTTGGTATTTCGCGCACACAGCGCTAAACGCCCAAGGATCATCCATCAAGAGTTGCAAGGCGAATGGCTTTCTCAACATCGCGCTTTCGGAACGCTGGTCCGCGACCGAGACAGATAGGGCTGAGGGAAAGATCTACGGCAAAGTCAGTAGATGCATGGAAAAGAAGGCACAAAGATCGATTGACCTCGGCACTACTCACATTTAGTGAAGCTCACGGCGTTGAGCTGCGGAGCCGAATTAACCTGGGGGCAGCTCGGGTCCTGAATACGAATCCCTCGCAGCTGTAGCAGCCTTTGCACACCACTCGCATCCATCCACTCATCAGCACCCGATTCCTGGACCATTTGCCACGTTCGAGAGGAAACGGTGAGTTGTTCAGGAGAGTAGCTGCTCCTCCTTGAACTGAGAACTTTTGTACTCAACTCGACCGTGTCTCCCATCTCGTCGTGCATGTTGGCGAAGAACCCGAAGATGAAGCGGTCGCGCTCGTCGATGGTCAATCGTTTTCCGAAGACTGCTTTGACTCTTGGATCGTCTGCAGATGATCTTGTTAATAGATAGTAACCAGTCTCGCAGCATTGTCGGACCAGACGGTGCGAGAGCGTCCAGCGCCCTTGCGTTAAGAGGCTGTCGGGCGATACTATGGTCGGGAAATTCAAGGTGGAGAAGGGGATATTCGGAGACGACGAGACTATGCCGAAGGGTAGAATTGCTTGTTCTTGGAAGGGTGGCTTGGAGGGTAGCTGTGACAGTCCAGCCTCCGACGAGGACTGGAAAGCGTCACCGATTATTGGCCATGAATCAAGCTGCGTTATAGGCGGATTGTGATTTGAGATGAAATCTTGTGTATCGCGGAGCGTGGGAGATATTGATTGTGATACATCCGCCGGGGCTGCCGGTGCCTGTTCGGCCTCGTCGCAGCCACTTTTGGCAAGCGAGACGCATTGCTGTGTGATTTTTTGCAGAGCAGCTGTGACACGAGGCTGATTTTGGAGAATCCCAGCCTCCAACAGAAGATCACTAAAGGAAAGGAACGACTCGCTGAGCTCTTCGATGCCCGACTCGAGTTTCTGGACACGAGATTGCAGATTGACGATCGTGGTATCTTTTCTCTTGCGATATGATTGCTGCGCGACGCGAAGTTGCTTTCGGCGTCTCTGGATTCCTGGAGTTAGTTCAACTTGTACTGTACTCCGTAGTTCGGGATGCACCCACCTCGGGACATTGCTGATTGTCCGTCACTCGTGGCCGGCCTCTCTTGCGAGGAGCGGGCGCGTCAGTCATTGCTCCAACCATCGTGGATTGCTTTTGAGACATTTTCTTGATCTTGAAGACATGCAGTGATGTAATAGAAGGACGTGGCGGGATTGCTTTGGGCTGTCGGGACTGTTGAATAATCAAAAAGTCCCGGTCGTCACGATTGGCTGGAGTGGAACAGATCACACCAGAGCACAGGAGAGCATTATTATGTAAGATTATTCATATAATTTAGCTTTTTTAGGATAGATTGTATATATTCTCTCTATCCTCTCTTTAATTAGATTCCAGGAGGGCAAGAACTTGAGGAGATTAAGATAATAACCTCCCAGCCTAACGTGGATCATAAATATCACATAGCGTATGCCATGCGAACTACGATGAAATAATGATATTTTGATGTTATTGCAGTCTGTTTCTTCCTGGACATTAAGGTAAGGAATATATAGAATTACCTCAGGTTTGTATGCCATAGGCTATTTCGAGATCTCCAAAATATTACATTACAGCTATGCTCTCTGTCTAGTTGAAGTCCCTACCGGGAGTAACTATGGCCGAGGACGAGGCATAATGAGGGAATGAGCATGATGATAGGATTAAGCAGCGCTATTAACATGATCTAGAGATAATTACTCGGGCGCTGGGGCGATCAGCTATTTTTGTCTTCTGCAAATTTGAATCGGAATTTCTGTGGCAGTGTTCTTGATGCCCAGCGCCTCACCAGTAGCTCAACCATCGAAAGAGGACAATGCTGCGTTACACTCTCGGCGGGGAATTTTGACGAGTTGTATCAACAGCAGCGTTGATGGCGAGGCTACAACTAGCTGCAGGTGGATGGGCATGCGCAAGCGGTAGACAAGCGACCAATTGTATTTCTGTCCATGGCAGGGGTGAGATTGACATGGATTAGACAATGGGAGGTGGTGCCCTGCTGAGCCTCCGTTTCAAATGTGGCATGGCCCGCTTAGCCTTATATGCCGCTTTGTTATGCCTCTTTGTGAAATTTGGTATAACTATCTGCATTCCCGTGGACAGGAGCAGCCAGGGCTGTCTTTATCCTCCTGGCCAATATGAGGGTGTCTTTGCTTGGTTTCGGTTTATTTGCCGCCGTGACGGTCCAGGCTATTCTGAACCCTGCGGACAATGAACATGAGGTATCCTGTCGCTGCACCCCTGATCAACCATGCTGGCCAACGAACGACGACTGGGCAGCTCTCAATTCCACAATTGAAGGGAACCTGGCTGCACTCAAACCACTCGCATATCCTTGCCATGCGCCAGATTTCAACGCCGCAGAGTGTTCCCTTATTCAGTCAAATGCACACAATTCGAGTTATCGGGCCCTGCAGCCAGGAGCCATGCAGTATGAAAACTGGGGCGCGGATCCTTCCAGAGACGAACAGTGTTACGCTGCGAGTGCGCAGTCAGTGCCATGCGGCCAAGGTAGAATCCCTTTATATTCCGCCGCCGTGAGGACATCGCGCCATATACAAGCAGTCGTTAGGTTTGCTGCGGAGCACAATGTCAAACTCGTTATTAGAAATACAGGACATGATTTCCTGGGCCGGTCAAGTGCGCCTCATTCTCTGCAGATTTTCACGGGGCATATGAGAGATATCGACCTGACGGATAGCTTTGCGCCTGCGGTTCCTGATGGGACTGCGTGGCCAACTGGCGTTCGAGCGGTTACCGTGGACGCTGGGGTTCAGTTGGGGGAATTATACGAGTATTTGGGTTCCAAGGGCGCCATGGTGGTTGGGGGTTTCTCAAGCACTGTTGGCATGGCCGGGGGGTATATTCAAGGGGGAGGCCACTCGGCCATGGGGTGGCTCCATGGCATGGCCAGTGACAATGTACTTGAGTTTCAAGTGGTTCTTGCAGATGTATGGCCCCATTTACACCAGCTCTACTCCTCTACTAACTGTGTACTAGGGATCATTTGTCTTTGCAAATGCATACCAGAACTCCGATCTATTCTTCGCCTTGCGAGGAGGAGGTGGTGGATCATTCGGCGTCGTTGTAAGGGTGACAGTAATCGCATACCCCGACTACCCAGCAATAGCCGTGAGAACAAACTACACATTGCCAGCATCTAGCAGTCGATTCTGGGATGGTGTGGAAACAGTCCACAACCATCTGCTGGAGCTGAATGACAACGGCGGTACTGGATATTATATGATTACACCGAGAAGCATTGCAGCCGTGAATAGTTCCACATTCGAGCTGTTCATGGTGTTTATAAACCATACCGATCCCAGCATCCCTGAGAGACTCATCCGTCCAGTGATATCAGAATTGGAAAGGGCAATTGGGGTGACTCCATCCCTCAACACCTTTTCATTCCCTACACTGTCAGGCATGTTCTCTGCTGTCCTCCCTAAAAATGAAACGACCGGAATATTCAGCCAACTGGGCTCACGCCTCTTATCTCGCTCTTTGCTTTCAAAGGAGGACGGACCTGCCCAGATCTCAAGCGCCCTCTCACAACTCGACCTTGGTCTAGGCGAGTATATTCAAGGGACGGTAGTCGCTGGAGGCAAAGTCGCCAAAAACAGACACATCCGCAGCGGCCTGAATCCGGCATGGAGAGAGGCAGCCATCCATGTTCTTTTCACAACGCGTTGGGATGCAAGCACAAGCTTTTCCCAGCAGGTTGATATTTCTAAGGATATTACGGATAATAAAGTGGCCATCCTTAGGTCGCTGGAGCCGGGTACTCTGGGTGCGTATGTGAATGAAGCGGACGCGAACGAGGTGGATTTTCAGCAATCATTCTGGGGTGGGAATTACGAGCAGCTGTATAATATAAAGAGTCACAGGGACCCTGATGGCATGTTTATTGCGCGGAAGGGGGTGGGGAGCGAGGATTGGGATGATGATGGGCTGTGTCGGACTTGGATGTGAATGGGTATAGGGCTATGACCGCATTAATGGGTTTATGCTGTGCTAGCTTCATTAGCAGTAGCACTGGAGATAATATTATCACGGGCTTTATGAAATGGATATATACAGAGGTAGGCGGTAGAGCCCATGCTATGCCAGCACAGCCTCTTTCCAAGTATTTGGGGCGATAACGCATATTGGAAGCTGTCATGGAGTCAGCTCTCAGCCTGAAATGATATACTGCATGACTCCGTCAGGGCACTTCTAAGCCATGTTATGTCGCGTCGGGCATTTATGCAGACCAGCTGATCGGTACGCATACTCATCCTGCATCCCGATCTGGAAGCATTATGCGCGGCGAACTTCTTATGGTGATAAGCGTGGCCCAATCCCGTTGGTGCCTAGCACCCGATTATATATTAGCTGATTGCGTTTGAAGTTAGATTAGCGAGCAAAAATCCTAGAATAGAAATGCCAAACCTTGCCATCCATGTGGTTGCAACGTGGCCAACCATAACGCATCACAGCCCTAACGGCGCGTATGACGAAATCAACGGCGCCATGACCACAACGCTGTGGCAGGGCTTATTATTGACAGGTGTGGTATAAACTGAGAGACAGTCTCAACCCAATTAAATATTTATTCTCACATGTAAATGTCCAGGCGCGGCACGGAGGCGCGGAGGGGCGCAGGCCACTTGTTGATTAGGGCCCCTAACTCCGAATATCTCCTGACTCATGGTATATTGTGATGACGGAGTATAGACTAGATTACTTCTGATTCAGAAATAAATCAAGTCCTTTGAATCTTCCCCTTTGTCCGTGGTGAGATCTGTGGTGTTCTAAAATAATAATAAAGCGACGCCCCGCCAGCTTTGTATACTTACCCTACTACCGAGCACCTTGGAACCTTGATTCATTTAAACATCTACTCGGTAATTCCTTGTCCATTCCCTGACGTGATAAAATTCTAGAGGACTGCTCTGGTGTAACCAAAATGGGCCTACTTGTGCTCGCTACGGCCGCGGCGCTGGTGTCCTACGTATGTTGTGTCTTGGTACCGTGTTGTCGCGATTTTGTCAAGGCTAACAGAATGAGTAGCTGATAATACTATCAATATATCGTCTAACCCTGCACCCACTGGCCAAATATCCTGGTCCCAAATTCGCCGCTATCACCAACTGGTATGCGGCACTTTACATATGGAGGGGCGATATGCATATAACGCATCAGGCCTGGCATGAGCAATACGGTAATTGAATCCCGCTTCATTTCCAAATAAAAAGGCAGCAATGAAGATTCTGATTTGAAACAGGAGACACCGTCCGAGCAGGCCCAAATACTCTCTACTTCAATAGCCCGTCCGCGATGGCGGGTATATACTCGGTAGGAGCGAATGTGCGAAAGCCCGATGCCTGGGTGGCGTTTAGTCCCAGCCGTCGAAGTGGAAATATTCTGAGTACAGTGGATAAGACAGTCCATGCATTCAAACGCCGGGCAATTGGGCCGGTCTTCTCAGACCGCGGGCTGCAGCAGTTGGAGGGCAGGATACTGGCGAATGTCCAGCGCTTCACTGCGCGTCTGCAAGTGCCAGACGAGATAGTACCGAAACCTGCACAGGAGGATACGGATTCCGAGAAGGGGAAGCAGGGTAATGACGCCTGGGGCCCTAAGCAAGATATGGCGCTGCTCTGCGAACGGCTTGCCTTTGATGTAATCAGTGATATCGTATATGGAAAGCGTCTGGACATGTTAGAGACACCGGGGATGCGGTGGATTACTGACGCGTACACGGCGATGTCGCGGCGAAGTTCGATGGTATGAGTCCTTCTCTTTCCTCGCCTACAGAGGTCACGTATGAACCGCTAGCTAACGAGTGCAGTCACTCACGCAGCCCAAGTTGTACGAGTGGAAACTCGACCAGATCTTCCTTTCGGCTGCGTATCGGGATATCATCCGCACCGGGACCTACACGTATAATAGGGTTAAGGCTCGTGTGGCCCAAGGAAGAAAGGAAACAAACCGAGACCTGTTTGATTCCTTGATGGAGGCCCAGGATCACAAGCGTGGTCTAGAATACAGAACGAAGGACCTCTGGATCGAGTCAATGCTGCTACTCACTGCAGGTATGTACCCCAGCTATTTGATTGTAGTAAAGATTAACAGATATAGGTGCTGATACCACATCAACAACCATGTCCGCCGCCATATTCTATCTCCTACATAATCCAGCAGCCTTAGCCCGCGCCATTTCCGAAGTCCGACAGACCTTTAAAACCGCAGACGAAATCCAAAGGATCACCCAGGTAAACGACTGCAAGTTCTTCCAGGCCTGTATAAATGAAGCCCTGCGACTAGCCCCCGCCGTACCTCTGGCCTCTCTCAGAGCTGTCGAAAAGGGCGGTTTGACGCTGGGTGGTGAACATATCCCGGAAGGCACTATCGTGGGAACCTCACTGTACACCATGCAGAGAAACCCGGCGTACTTCGACCAGCCTAACAGTTTCCGGCCCGAGCGGTGGTTCGTAGATCCAGCTACGGGGGTGACGGAGGAGAGCGTCAACATGACGCATAAGGCATTCGCACCTTTTGGCGTTGGGCCGCGGCAGTGCGTTGGGTGGAGGTTGGGCTGGTTGGAACTGAATGTGACCCTTGCGCGGACGTTATTTCTGTATAATCTGCGTCTGGCGCCTGGTGCGCCTTGCTGTTCTAGAAGGATATCCGGGGAGGAGTGTGAGTATAGTACGAAGGCGTGGTCAGTTATGGCTGGGGAGGGGCCTGTTGTTCAGTTCCGCAGGGCTGGCCCTGAGACTGCTTATTGACGTGGTCGAGATTATGTTCTATTTGTATTTGTAATGACTATAGACTGTATAGCTAATTCATGGGGAATGTTCTCCCTCGCGGGTCAATATCAGACGGTAATCGGCTCAGTTCACTGGCTTCGGATACATTGGTAACTGATCCAAGGCAGCTCAATCAATCCAGCCCTATTGCCCTCTTGCATGTATTGAATACCTTCCCCCACGGCGTCATTTGACTCTGAAGCGACCGTTCATGAGAGTGGAACTGTTTCCATTCCCAAAACCGAAGCTGTTCTGGCGCTCCACCGGGACTTTTCCACATATCCTGTACTGGAAACGGCGAAGGGTCGCATGAAAGCCGATAGTGGAAGGTTTGATAATATGGAAGCTCACTGACGAACTGAGCATCATTAACAGTCATGAACCTCCCTTTCTCCAGCCGCAGGCTAAGTTTCTGGGGCAGGAATGCTTCCTCGGTAAGTCTGTCCTCGTTGATCTGGAATCGTTGCATGTCCATTTCGCCCAGCTGAATGCGGCGGGTTGTGAGTGTCATTTTGATGTCGATCTGGCCGATATTATGTGGCTGCCAGGTTTGCAGCCACGAAGACGCAACGTCGATTTCATTGTTTGAAAAGTCTGGCTGCTGTGCTTCCCAGTTGAAATGGGCTGCGATAAACAAACAAAGCTCACGGCGGGCGACCAGCTGGTGATATCAGCTCAGGTCGGTGGAATGGTGCAAATAGACTTACATCGCCAGTGCCATCTTCGTGGAACTGGATATAGCTCTCTGCCGCGGAGTCCCACCACCACTTTTCAGCGCACAAAAGAGAACGGAAAGTAGCCATTGCAAGCCCTGTGTCAGGATGGCGCAGATGTGCACGGTGGTCCCCCTGTGTTGGTGTTATCAGCTTAGCACTGCCTCATGGCGGGGCTATGTTTGGGGGCCATAAAGAAGGTTGATATAGTGATGCACTGGGCGCCAGCATACCGTTTGAAACGGCAGTATACCCGTATTCCAGATGGATTGGAGCCTTGGGTGCTGCTTAACAGTATCCAGTGCCTTTTCTCCGTCAGAGGCGCCCGGCAGTAGAGTTAGATTACACAGTCGAAATCTAAAAACACAACTGGAAAGCACACCAGATTCATTTCTCTGAAAGCCAAGGCCGGTATACCTCTGGATCCTCGAAGATCACCGGGTCTCTATGTGCAACAAATGTTGGTACCTAGGCGACGACGTCCCTGGCAATGTCCTCGTCCATGATCTTCATTCCCTCTGGTGGGGTGCGGTGTTCGGGGCCCCGGGCGAGAGGGGGCGAGAGGCGGAAGGATTCCTCGAGGCAGGCTTTTAGGTATGGGAGGTTCTTGACGCTGTCGTATCTTGCGATGGGCTCGTTGTCTGCCATTGCACCGGCGACTTCCTGGCGGACGATTGCGAGTGCTTGGGGGGGTTTGATTAGAATGATGGGGTGGTGTTTGCAGAGGGACTTGGGGTCGATGATATACGATAGCAGGGGTTCGAGGATGCAAGCCAGTATGAGAAGGATCAATGTCAGTGCCATGGTCGCTCAGAAGTGTGAGCTTGTGGATTTCCAGATGTCCACCGTAGGAGGGTATTTTATATATCCTCTCTTGGCCTATATATTCCAGCATAACTATGTAGACTCGGATATATATATATCCAGCCCAAGTGATACAAAACCGAGGTCAATAAATGAGAACGGAATATGTAATGTATTTTAATCAAATGGATATATGAAACTGCAATTAATATCTACTCGCGTACACTCCTCGCAGACCCAGCCTCTAGATCCCCTCCACGCTCACGACTAACACTCCCCCTCCGCCTCCCAAACCGATGTCTCGCAGACGATGTCCCACTACGCACACTGCGCCCATCAGCAGACGACCTGCCCTCCTGCGTAGAATTGCGCTCCTCCTCGGCAATCTCCTGCATGCGGCGGTCCGCAGCCTGCTGGTTCGCATTGCGCATGACCTCGTCCACATGCGAGGTACTGCCGCGGTCCTCGAAGACATCGCCCATGATATCGTTCGAGGAGATATCCGACATGCCTAGCGAGAAATCGACGTGCTTGTGCTTGCTGACAGATTCGCCACGGGACCGGGCTGCGGCGGTGTCCATGCCCCGCCGGAGGATGGAAGGCCGGGGCTGCACGCCGCTGCTTGTGCCGCTGTTCTCGGGGATACTCGTTGATTCATCAATACGGACGCCCGGTCCAGCATGCTGGTCGTCTCCAGCTGCTGCAGGGTCGCGGTCCTGATCCTGATCCTGGTATGTAGGCGGGGGAGCACCAGAAGCCGGTGCGCCAGAGTACGCAACATGGAACGGCGCATTGACGTTGTAACCCTGGAGGTTCATGCGAGGGCCCTCGATGCCGATTTCCTGGAGCGCGACCATGAGCATGCAGATGAACTTGTTGCGGCGCTGCAGACGCAGTCCCTCGTTCTGCCAGTTGGATTTGTAGAAGAAGACGATGTTCAGCGTCAGAGATAGGTTCTCCGTCACCTCGCGGAGCTCGGTAAGGATCATACTCTGGAAGTCGCGCTTCTCGCTGCGCACGAACTCGACGAGGCGCTGGCGGAGGCGCTCCATCTGGTCGATGGTGGTGCCGTATTTGATGACGATGGGGAGGGCTTCGGCCAGGGCGCCGGTGCGGCGCTGGTTTAGGACGAAGAGGTTGTTCAGCACGCTATTGGGGGCCTGCACGATGTGGCCTTGCATTTTCTTGAACTCGGTGTAGAGCAGGGCGATTTCCTTTACGAAGTAGTCGTCGCCGAGGCCGTTGTCGCCGGAGTTGCCGTAGATGGTGACGCGGTCGCCGACGTCGAAGGGGTGCTTGACGAAGACGAAGATGATGGACTGGAGGAATTCAGTGGCAGTTGTAGAGAACATCCAGGAGAGGGCGAGGATGGTTGAGCCGGCTGATGTCAAGACTCCTGCTGCGGAGGTTGATATCAAGGTGAGGAAGACAATAACAATGATAATAAAGACGAAGAACATGAACACCTGGTCCAGTTTAGAGACCACCGAGTCCAGGTCCTTCAGCGAGGCAGTGATGGACTTGCGCTCACGGCCGATATCAACACAGACAGCCTCGAGCTCTTCCATGGAGATATCGCCGTTCATGTCCCGGTCGAACATGGAGAACGCCGCCTCTGCCTCCTCGTTGTCGTCGAAGGCCTCCTTCAGGTCGCCCGAGAAGACGGTTTCAAAGCCCTCGCGCGCAAACGTCCGATACAGACGACGAGCAAGCACCTGGCAGCCAGAGGTCGACCGCAGCAGGGCCAGAATGACCTGGTATGGGTCTCCGCTGTTCTTCCCCTGCCTGCCGGTGAAGTCTGCAAGGACGCCCCCAGCGACATCGCCCACCTTGTTGCCAACGGTCTTGACGGCCTTCTGGGCGACCTTGCCAGCCTTGCTGGCATACTGCAGCGGGTTTCTGGGGCTGTCGGACGCCTTCTCGTTGTTGTTCTGCTCGAACGCGTCGTCCTCTTCCGTGATGCGGCTCCGCGAGAAGTGATATAGCTTCGTCAAGCTGCCAATCTGGAACTTGTTGATCTGGATGCGGTCGTCGTACGTCCGCTGATGGAAGCTGATCGCAATAAGCTGGATAATGACTTTCTCAACCAAGTTGAGGATCGTCCACACCAGGCCCACGATGATGAGCTTGTTCAGCGTCCCCTCCCAGCCACGCGTGCGCTTATCCCCATCCACATGGTGGTTCTTCATTGTAGGCAGGAAGGAAATCTCAACGGCGAGCCACCAGAAGAACAGCACAAAGTGCACCTCGAGCTGCTTGGCCATGTCGCGCCACTTCTTCGCGTTGTTGGTGAAAATGCTCGCCACGATGCTCACCACCGGCGGTATACACTTGCCCACAACTCTCGCAGCCCACAGCGTCAGCCAGACAATCTCCAGCCAGATCGCGAACCACATCAGCTCCACGCCGCCGACGCTGGCCTCGGTGTATTCCAGCGCGCCGACCAGCAGCGGGATCAGGAGGAGCAGGACGACGGGGACGATGTAGGTGAGGTAGCGCACGATGAAGCTGGACTCGTGCACCTTCTTGACGAACGCGGAGAGCTTCGTCGCGGGACTCTCGGGCGGCGTGTACACGGCGGATTTCTCGTGCAGGGGGTTCGTGGCCTCGTCGAACTCGTCGATGTGGCTGCGGTGCGATCGCGTTCGGCTCATGGAGGTGCGCCCGTGCTGGCTTTGGGCTTGGGTGGATTGAGACGCCACGCGCTCGGCTTGCATGAGCTGCAGGTCGTCGTCGAAGCGGGTGGCCTGCTCTCGTCGCGACGAGGCCGTGCTCATGGGGCCTGGCTCGACATCGTGGAGGTTGGTGTCGACCTTGAGGTGGCCGCTGGGCGAGACGGTGGGCTCGCCCACGTAGGTGCCATCGGAGCTCGAATGGTCTTTTCTGTCGCGGTCTTTTTCCTCCATGGGTTGCAGTACTGTGAGTGTACAAAACTCGAACTACAGGGTGAAAAAGAATAGTGGGAGGAGATAGATTAGGGGCACGATCTGATCTCAACAGCGAGATCGGCCGTGACTTTCTTGCTTCGAGTAAGCCTCGACCGCAGGCCTATGACATCTTGGAGCAGAGTTCAAGCGAGCCTGATCTGGACAGGTATTCAATATTATTTGGCAATGGGCGCCTCGCTCCACTTCCTATCTCCACAGCACACTCCACCAGGCCCACGGTGGCGCGATATACACTCGGACGACTCCACTATTTCCACGACGCAGAGGAGCTCAGATTTTGCAGTTTCAGACTGTGGCTCGTCATTGGCTAGCAAAACAGGCCCAGACTGGTCCTTACTTGGAACCAGTGGGAGTCGAATATTCGTGATTGGGTTCCAGCGATACCACGACGCCACGCCCCTGGGACCTGAAGCCAGAGCAACTCTTCCTCGTAAGGTCGAACGCAAATGCTAACTCTTGCTTAATATTAGCCTGACGCCACACACGCAACAGCACCACGCTGGATCCGTGCGACAACTCACGGCGCAGCCTGGGACCCGCTGGGACATGTGGCGTGCCCAATTGCGCACTGATCGCCCTCCAGGCTTGGATTTCCAAGGATGTCCAAGGTCCTTGGAGATATCCACACAATGAAGCCATTGGCTTTCGTCGCTTCCTCGGCTGTGGTCGTTTATAAAGTAAGATCTTCGAAGTTGTACCCGTGCTGCTCGGCAAGGGAGAGGTGTCAATGGTTGATCACCCACAAGCTTGATGACAGCTTGGTAGCTATACGAAAGCAGAGGACTTAGTATATTGATGCTACGCGGTTGAGAATGCGTTCCTGCTCGGAGATATGTCCCGGTTTCTTCATAGCATCAGGTTCATGGGATTCCTAAAACAATGGTATATAATTGCATACGTACGTCTACCGGTAGGAGATATATTTATAGGATAACAGCTCCATCCGCCACAGAATGGCCAACTTCCGAGGCCACTGGATGAAATTGAGTTTGGAGAAAGCGATCGGCTGAATATCCCTACTCCTACGAGCACTCAACGGTGTCATCTCGGCTGCTCCAAGTCTGGACCGTTTCGAATGTTCGAAGACCAGCTATCCTCCTTGATCTTTCGACGCCCACCGTCTGAGCTCATTAGAAGACTCCATGGTACATGGGTGGTCAGGCCCTAGCATACGTCTTCCAAGCTCTGTACACTTTTCCATCAGACCTTTAGCCTCTTCAACCTTCCCTATATTCTTCCAAATAATCGCAATTTTAAGCATGATCAAGAGACTGTGGGGATTCTCTTGATCGACCATACGCCCCGCTTCCTCCATTACCGTAGCCTGTAGTTCTCTTGCTTCCTGCAGTCGTCCTTGCCATGCGTATACTAATGCAAGGGTTTGCATACTCTCTATAGTCTCGGGATGCCCTGCCCCCAGCGCCTGCCTCTGCCCCTCCATTGCCTGTAGCGCGACATTTTCTGCTTCCTTCCATTGACCGCGTGCAAAGTATTTTCTTGCAAGGCTAGCCATGACCATCAGAGTCAAAGGATGCTCGGAGCCTAGTACCCGTTTTCGTATCTCCATGACCTGGATGTGCAGCCGTTCTGTTTCTTCCCGTCCAGCTACACGTCCTTCCAGTATGTCTAGAGTACCAAAGTTCTGTGGCCTTGGGGGATTCTTCCGCGCCTCCAATACTAATACATCCACTTCCTCTGCTTTCTTGCGTTGCCCTTGCTGCCGGTATATACGCGCAAGGGTATCAAGAGTGCATAGAGTATCAGGGTGCTCTGGACCCAGCAGATCCATCCGCACTTTCAATGCAATTACCCCCACTCTTTCTGCTTCCCCAAGCCGGCCTTTAGCCAGATATAATGAAGCAAGGTCATGAAGAAGGCATACAGCCTCAGGGTGGCGGTCGGGCCCTGAAATCGCATTGCGCATCCTTAATATCCGTAGTGCCAGTGTTCCCGCTTCATAATACCCTGCGTTGGCGTAAAGTACTAGTAGTTTTCTGGCTTCACCATACCCCCCGTCGTCGACAAAGCAACGCATCACATTCTCCAAGAAGTCGCGGTACCGCGCTTGATTTTTGCGCAGTACGGGACCACTTAATAAATGTACCGCATGGGGCACGTATTCTCGCCAGTGCTGATCCATGTGAAGACCCTCTTCCACTCGGTCTGCTGCTTTGGATATATAAGCAGGTAACCGACCCTCCATCCTCATCCAATTGCGAGTTGCCAGATGGACCAAACGATGGAGAGTAATAAAGCAATTTTCAGATTGTAAGGAGACGTTTCCAGGTTGTAATGCGATAAAGGAGAAGGCGCTCAGAAGTCCAAGGGCATCAACCATCTCAATGTTGAACTTGGGGGCAAGGAATGTTCGTGGGATATCTTGTGGATGGACACAGGCCATCAAATATAGGTACTCGGCAGCAAGTGGATGTAGACTCTGTATCTGAGTGAATGAGATGAGCCATGTCTTTGCTACGGGATTTTGTACATCCTTGTAGCGGTGGCTGTCGCCAAAGTCTTTGCTGAGGAGGTCCACAACATCCTTCTCCTGTTTCACTAAAAGCGTCGAGTAATCGGATATTGAGATATGCTTTTTGTTTATATAGGCAACAGCCTGGCTGAGAGCCAATGGAAGGAATGTGAGCTGTTGAAGCAGAGAAAGCATTGCCTGATAATCACGATCCACGTCCTTGCGAAGAGATTTGTCCAGAAACTCCATGCCGGATGTTTTATCAAGGGCGTGAATATGTACCACATCAGAGGATGCCAAGTCCACAGCTAGCTCTCCATTCCGGGTAGTAAAGATAACATGCCCTTTATTATTAAATGGGATAAAGTCCGTTAATGGCGGGGTACTGTTGTCTCCTTTCATCCACATTTCTATATCGTCTGCATTGTCGAAGATCAAGAGCCAGTCCGAGTCAGTTTGGCTGAAGTAGGTCTTGAACCACTGCTTTACATCTGCTGGCTTCCTGTTCTCACCCTCGACTGTTTCTGCAATTGCCGTAAAGCTTTGCTCAACAGCCTCGTAGCTGATGCAGGGGATCCAAAAGATTGAACAATGCGGTTCTCTATCTCGAACACGGTACACTAGCTCGAGAGCTACCTGGGTCTTCCCAACCCCTCCAAGACCAGTAATAGCGAGCCTTTTCGGACCATCAGGCATAGACATTAACTTTTCTAGTTCGAGGAGCTCATCCTGGCGTCCAACAAAACGCGGGTTTCTTCCAAAAGGAATCATCAAGTGGCGAGCTTTGCTTGTATCTGTCACATATGGTAAGGGAATTGATATAGGCTAACATCTGCTACCTAGGGCTACTGACCTTCTTGTTGAGTAGGCCTCCAGTCCTCCAAGAATGCCTTCGCCGCGGAAGCCCCAGTTGCTGCTGCGTATTTCTGCCATGACTTGTCTTTATGACTGTCGGCGTAATCGCACACGCCTTTGATGATAATGCAGGGGATATTATCCCATACCCCTGCCCCCTCCATCTCAAAGGCAACAGTCCTTTCTCTCTTAGTTATTTCGTCTCGGTGCTGGGCGGACTTCATCACCGTGTCTGCGGAGGCCACCCGCCCAATGTGCATAGAGATGCCTGCTTCCGATCGACGGCGACGTACCTCGCTATCTTTACACCCAATATCAGCACAGCTAGTGTCAGGTGCAGCCTCGCAGATGCTATAGCCATCACAGACACAAGCAGAAGTCTTCTCGTAATGCTTATGGACGTAAGACGATTTGAACAGAAGGTCATCAATCTGCGGATTGCGCCACAGTCCGTCCTTTTGCTGGAGAGCATGGAGGTGGTGCAGAATCCTTTCCTGATATTCCATGCGAGTTCTCCTCGCATCAAGGGCCTTGAGGAAACCTCGAATCTCCTGGTCTGGCCTACCCAACGTGTCCAGGACATCGGTTTTGCGCTTGAAGCCGTCGGGGTATTGTTTACCGAAATCATATTCAATCACGGAATTGCTGATAATAACATCACCCAGGAATATATCAGGATATTCCGGTGGTGAAGGTGCCCCTCCACATATACCAACGACCAGAGCAAGCCTAACCTCTGGGTAGCTGACTCGTAAATTTGCAGCGACACTGGCGGCGCTTCCCTTCCCCATTCCTGGCATGTAGCTCAATACCACATTATGTTTTCCGATCCGTCCATTTATATATGTATTGCTATCACTCGGATGCTTGCTGTAGTATCTGGATAGGCGATCGTAAGGATCATCGAACAAGGCTTCAACAGCGTCAGCCTCGAGAGTAAGCGCGCAGATGATTGCGATCGCAAACTCGGTGCGCGATGTCGGTCGCATTGCAACCGGTGAAATGGGGCATCAGAAGACATAGAAGCGTCTTCCGCAGGATTGGGGTTGTTATTCAAGGCAGCGAGGTTGTCAAGGTCTGGAGCTGAAGTTAAGGGGGATGAGGCTGTGCGTAGCCTCGCGATGGCGTCCAGCAACCACTGGGCTGGAATAAGCGCCCAAGGGGGGGTAGTGCATAGCCTTGCAGCATACTGGTTCCTGAAGCAGTAGAAGGCCTGGCTGAGGCTGAAGTGGAAGAAAATGTGGATTGCAATATGGGTTGTGTGGGGGAAGAAGTGTATGAGTAGCGTCTAGTTCTATTGAATTATATCTATATATCTGTATAACTATCTGGTTATTCAACACGGTGCTTCAAGGCCAGAGACTGCGCTCCAACAGCCGCAGCGTCTGGAACAGCCTCAACATAGGCAAACTTGATTCGGTTACCAGCCAATATATCCAGAACTAGTCTTTGATATGTCTCGTGCATCAGAGCACCACCGGAAAGAACCAGGCCTGTCTTCTCGGGTTGAGCAGTAGTGGACGATCTGGGGTCTATCAAGCGTCCTAGAACTGTATCAACCAGTGCCTTTGCTTGTGATGATGCAATTGTTATGGCTGTAGTATCGCTGATCGCTAGATCCAGCACAATGTGAGCAACTGCTGCAATACGCGTCTTGACATTTCCCCCATTCTGTCCTGATAGGACCTCACTCAAGAGGTCCATATCCTTTGACTCTGATATGCCGAAATGTCGCAGAACTGCCTGTTCAAGCTGTCCAAGCTCCATATTAGGACGTATACCGAGGCTGACCTCTTCGCAGACAGTCAAGGTATGCTTCACTGCCTCCAGGCCAATGGAATACCCACCCCCCTCATCACCGAGAAGATGTCCCCAGCCTCCTGAGCGGGCAGTTCTTGTCGGCTCCGTACCTGATTCGGTGCTATATCGCATTGCAACGCTACCTGTCCCGGCGATGAGAACTATCGCGGGGGATATGTCAGGATGTCGACCTATCACGGCGGAGAGCAAGTCCACGTCGTTTGACATCCGCAAGGACCCAGATGGATGGCCCAGTACTTCTGTGATTTTGGATTCAAACCTTTGGCGTAGCCCAGGTCTGTCCATTCCGGCGAGAGCAATCCAGGCTTTTTCAAAGGCTGAGAGAATGGGCTGGTTTGTAGTTGATACCCGCGCGTTCTGGAGGGCCTGCTGCACTGCTGTGGTGAGATTCACAATTGCAGAGTCTAACTGAGCGCTGTCGGTTCTGATAATTGTTAGTATGCCATAAATATGTATAAGGAGGGTAAGCACACATATTACACGGACCAGCCTCTCCTCTACCCAGTACAGAACCAGTATGGTCTGCAACCACGGCAGCGCATTTCGTCCCGCCCCCGTCGACGCATAAAACAAGCCTTTCCTCACGGCCTTTACTGTGTTCTGATCCGATAGCAGGAATCTTAGCCCTGTCCAGAGCTTTTGAAAGCTGCTGACGACATGCTTCAAGGTCCTGCTGGCACTCTTCCACAGACCGTCCAGTCTCAGCCACAATCAGAGCCAATTTCACACTCCCATTACATCGACTCAACAGCAAGTCAATATCTTCATTCGAAGCGGACGCATAATGCGCACTGCACCGGCGGATAATGTTCCGCGAGCGTTGACGCAGTTTCGCATTCGATGCGACGAGATCAACCATCTACCTGTAATTAGTTCTATCCCATTAACTGGATGACATAGAGATAGAGGAACTTACCGTATTCCCAAACGTCTTCCCAACCTTAATCATTGTCCCCGTACTCAGCATATTAAGCACCAGCTTCGTCGCAGTCCCAGCCTTCAACCTCGTACTCCCACTAATAACCTCTGGGCCAGGTAGCGGCGCAATAAGAAAATCCACATCTCCAGATTCTCCAAGTGCAGAAGGTTCCGCGCAGACAACGCCGATAGTTACACACCCGATGCGCTTGGCGAAGGATATACACCCGAGAACGTAGGGCGTGCGCCCACTCGCCGCGATCCCGATTACACTGTCAAATTCGGGATCCAGGTCCAGACTGGCCATATCATTCTCTCCTAGCGAGATACTATCTTCAGCGCCTTCCTGGGCGCGACGGATGGCTGCGTCTCCGCCGGCGATTAGACCGATGAATTGACCCGGTGGTGCGGCGAAGGTTGGTGGGATTTCAGACGCGTCGAGGATACCGAGTCTATAACTCTGGGTATTATATCATTACTGTCCTGGATAATTATTGAGTATAAAGGAGTTACTGACCGGCCGCTTGTCCCTGCGCCCACATAGATGACTCTCCCGCCATTACGGACGCGAGGAGTTAAGGCGTCGATTGCGCCTGCGATCTGGGGGAGACACGGGGTGAGACTTGCTGGGACGCGGTGATCTTCATCGTTAATCAGGGTGCACATGTCAAGTGTGGAGAGTTGGTCGATGTGTCTGGTTTGGGGGTTCGAGGCCTCCGTTTGGAGGTGGGAGAGGGTGTTGAGGTCCATTGTTTAGCTGAGTATATGCATCAACAGAATGAGTTCTGGATGTGAAGGTACAAAATAAATGAAAAGCACCCCGCAATAAGGTTACTCTCCAGATGTTACATTCTTCTTCTCCAACGTCGTATTTTGCTGGCGATCAGGCGAATTATCGCGAATTGGAGCTCGTATTCGTGGAACCGGATATGGAACGGCCACGCGACGGTGGAGATGGTATTGATATGTTTATAAACGTGGGTACCCAGTTTTATCGACTGTCTTCTATTCCATTGTGTCAGGTCAAGATGCAGGTTAATACACCAGAAGATGGCCGGGGGGCTGCACCAAGCCAATCAGTTGTATATCGAACATATACACACCCCTGGTTCCAGATCCTCCTAATCAGCTTCATCTGTTTCTGCTGTCCTGGAGTATGTCCTCTCCATATCTTTCATTTCAACACCTAACAAGATAGATGTACAATGCCCTAACAGGCCTCGGAGGCTCCGGCCAAGTCGACCCAACAGTCGCGGCAAACGCAACCGTAGCCCTGCTAGCAGCTACAGCCGGTACAGCTCTCTTCATCGTCGGGCCCATCTTCGATCGCGTCGGACCACGAACCTGCCTTCTTCTCGGAGGCTGGACATACCCACTCTACGCAGGAAGTCTCCTCTGTTTCAACCGCACCCAGAACGGGGCATTCGTGATCGCCTCCGGTGCAATTCTCGGTGTTGGCGCATCATTTCTTTGGGTCTCACAGGGCGCAATTATGACGACCTACGTACACGAATCCCAGAAGGGGCGTGCGATTGCCGCGTTCTGGATTATATTCAACCTCGGCGGTGGTGTGGGATCGCTGGCGAGTTTCGGGCTGAATTATCACTCCGAGAGTGGGACTGTTTCTGATGGCACGTACATCGCCCTGTTGATTCTCATGGCTGTGGGATGGCTGCTTGGTGTGCTTATTTGCCCGCCGTCTGCTGTGCGTCTTGATGAACTACAACAACAACAGAGGACGGATATAGAAACTGAAACAGCGACGAATTGGAAAAGAACGCTTCGCCACGCAGTGCATACAATCATCGACTGGCGCGTCCTCTGTATGCTACCGCTCTTCTTCTGTGCAAACGTCTTCTACTCATACCAGCAAAACATCGTCAACGGAATGACCTTCAACATCCGCACGCGCTCCCTGAACAGCGCCTTGTACTGGATAGCCCAGATGCTGGGCGGTCTAATCATGGGTCTGATTCTCGATATCCCCAGTCTAACCCGGCCTGCACGCGCAAAAGCAGGATGGGTATTCCTGTTCATCACGGGGATGAGTATCTGGGGCGGCGGATACGCGTTCCAGCGATGGAGTACTACGCGAATGTCGCACGGTCTAAAGCAGGATATAGACTACACGGCTGGATCTGTCTCGACCGGCCCGATATTCTTGTATATATTCTACGGCGCGTTCGATGCGTTTTGGCAGTCCTATTGCTATTGGCTGATGGGGGCGCGGTCGAATGATCCTGCGGTTGTGGCGGTGCTGGTGGGTGCGTATAAGACGTTCCAGAGTACAGGAGGCGCGATGGCTTGGAGGATCAATGCGCTGGACAAGCCGGCGATGACGCAGTTTGCGATGGATTGGGGGCTTTGCATGGGTGCGTTGGTGGTTGCTGTTCCAGCTGTGTTGGCGGTGACGAGGACGAGTAGGGAGGATCTGAGGGAGGTAAATGAGAAGGGGAGTTGAAGTATATGGCTATAATCGAAGGCAGTCCAGATCCCAGGGATTTGTTTATCCAAATAGCAGATGTCTGATCCAAGGTATAATATGACTGATACTGTGTTGTCCACCCCGGTCTATATAAGCCGTGATATACCCATCCCCACCAGTCACAGTAAGCAGCCTGCAGTCACATATTAAACCAGCACATTAAACCAAGACATCCAAGCACGGAATGTCCCGCCATCTGCTTTCCGTTCCTTCTTCCATGCTGACGCCAGCTCACGGCCTGTAAGCGGGCTGTCGTTTCATAAGCGACACGCAATAAGGCGTCTCTTTTTATATTCGAGACACGGCCCGGAGTATCTCCAGCTGTGTTTAGTTATTTTAAATGTAGAACACGGTCAGTTCGCAGGAGGTGTGCCGACATCCGCAGATCCGCAGGCAGCAACATCTCCATCCAACAACCGAAGACTCTGGATAGACAAAGAGGATTCCCCGCCGATCGCGTCACAGCCTCGAGCGGGGTTCATCCTGTAGGACGCCCAATGATGATGCCAAGTGCAAGCCCCCAGTGCCAACGAACAGGAACCCCGGCTGGATCGCGAATGGGGCAGTGAGCTGCTGCCAGCTGCACGCCAAGGGCCAGCCTTGCGATGGCTGTGTGTAAGACCACGAATAAGAGAGGCAATCCAGTGTTGACTTGCGTCTGGGCGGTTGCTGATGACGAGTCTGTCAGATGGTATAATAATGGTATAAAGAGGCCTCCCCTCGCATCTTACTCTCCGTCATTGTACCTGCTTCACTCGCATCTTCTACTTGTATACTTCCACCTCATATCAACTATCATCATGCGTCCAGCTATCCTCCTCGCAGCCCTCGCGAGCGTTGCCCCCGTGCTCGCTCAGGGGGAAACCACCACCGACGTCGTTCCCACCGAGCTTCCAACTGAGTCCACCAGCGTCCTCGATCCCACACCGACAGAGACGGGAAGTGAGTCTCCCACTGAGTCTCCAACCGAGACACCTACCGAGTCTCCCACCGAGTCGCCTACCGAGTCTCCCTCTACGACCCCAACATCAAGCGCTGACGACCCCGAGTCCACCTCCTCGGACGACGGAGAGACTTCCACCTCGTCTGAAGGTGATGACACTGAAACGTATGTCCCTGCAAGCTAAGAATAGAATAACTCAATCTGATACACTTCCCCACAGCTCCACCTCCGAGACCGATGAGCCCACATCTACCTCCGGCGACGACACTGAGGAAACTCCCAGCCCTACCGAGTCTGGTGGCGCCGAAGAGACGCCCTCTGATGATGCTGCTGCGCACCTTGACTCTTCGCTGCTGATGTATGCTGCTCTTGGATACGCCGCTTACGGTGTTGTCTTTTAAGTCGTCTGATTTACCGCTGCCTGACGGCCTGGGTTATGATGTGAGGGTGGGATCTGCGACATCCTACGTTTCGGTTCCCGTGCTGTAATGATGTTCTTGATGTTTACGCGCATATGTCTATAGTGACTGGGTGTGAGATGCGCCGTTGTAATGTGGTTGAGGGTTGATGTCGCGGGTATTTATAGCTCCAGTTTCAAGATACCTTCGTTATGAACACCGTTATTATCATGCAATAAACACACAAAAACATACAATACAGTAAACCCCGGCTGTATCGAACTTGGACATAGCAAGATCTCCTTCAAGCAAGAAACTCTCAAATTAAAAAGCCCACCTATTTTACCATAACCTATTTATACTGCCAATGTGTACAGATATTCTATTTTCCTATATAGATCTTGGTATCTGTTATGATGGTTAGCGGGGCGCCGAAAACCGCCCCTATTACACCACCCATTTGCTGCCTGCCACCACTTATCCTATATAGAAGGCTACTGCCCCTTATAGATGAGTATATCTATTTCAGGTATCATACCTATTTCTTACTACTTTTATATTTATTATCTACTACCTAATACCTGCTGTGTAATCTATATACCCTATTTATACTCTCTTAAAAAACAATATACTTTCTTTTTTTACTTTTCTCCCTACTGCCTGACTATCCTCCAGTATACTATTCTTTTTAAGATACTATATTATCTAAATACTACTCCTTTCTAGTATAGTGCTGTAGATATCTTCTCTTTTCGTACTCTTTTTACTATTGGAGTTACTAATAGCTTAATCTAGTAGTAACTATTACTCTATTTATTTCTTAACTATCTATATCTCCGAGCACCACCGCAGAGAATCCTGCCTTCACTACTACCAGATAGATAAAGGAGAGCAACAGCAAGCCCTTAGACACCCTAGCCGCATGAAAGTAGACCATTGCCAAAACACCACTAGCGAGCCGCCTGTGGAAAGTCTCGACGGTATTTCCTGTAGGAAAATCGATCGGTGGGACTGGGCGTCCCAGGAAGCGACAAAGTGGCTCCCAGCCATCATGGACATCGAATAGTAACAAGCCACCCTTCGGCACCAGCCCATCGACTAGAGCATAGTGGTCCATGTATGCCTGGCGACCATTCTTTTCAAAATCGCCGTCAAAGACGTTTTTCCAGATCATCCTCCAGGTTCGTCCCATCCACCGTGTTTTTCCCAACAAGGCGCGATCGATCATTTCGAGCACACGTACAAGCCAGCTATCCACCAGGGGCTCAAAGGTTTTTCGCATGGAGCTACTGGGAGCCTTAGATTCTGACACATAGACAAAGAAAACAGACAAACAAGGACGTCCATACGCGTGCCATTTATCCAAGTCCCTCGTGGTTAATATGACCTTTGCCTTGGGATATGCTGCAATGAGCTCTTCCGAAAAGCATATCGCAGGGAGGTCCGATACGACCTCTTGCCTTCAGCTGTATCCAGGCGTATAGTAACAAGGGGACGGAATATACCTGGCAGTGGCCTAAAAGCTGGTCGAATTCCAGCCGCCCAAATGGCTTCCCCGTACCGTCGTATTTTGCACGCAGGCCGGCCAGCCACATTTCGTAATCTCGCGGGTTTTCTAACGTTGCGGAGTAGCCGTGATATACGTCGTGGTAGCCTAGTATTAAGAGGGCTTGCTTGAGGGCTTTGGAAATAATCACACGTTGGCATGTGTTCTCGGAGCTAAGAAAGGAAAGTCAAGCAATGTTTACTGACAGTCTGTTCCAGTGCGACTCATTCCGAGAGCTAAAATCTCCATAGAGACACTGCGCCGGCACTTCCGGCGATCAATATCCATTTGGATGCAGTTGTAGTCATAAAATCTATGGTTTGCCATCCTGAAATATAATGGATCGGTGGCATTGGTCTGCACTCGGCTGGTGCTGGGGACGGCCGCCTATGAAATGAACAGCGGTAGTCAAGTGTCATAGTCCCCGATTTGCCCTTGTAGCCTCCATAGGAATGGGAGCAATTAAGTCTAAGCAAGGGGCCACCAGTTGCATGGGCTAGCCCACTGACAGATATATTTCTTGTTACCCCCTAGTATAAGTAAGGGGAGAGTCATGCTTCTGCGTCGAAAGGCAAGTGGCATAATACTTGAGTAACCGATCAAGCTTCGACTCCAACTTGGCTGCATAGTGCTACAATATAGGCTAATATACAAGGTTGCTTATGGCTGGGACGTTGCCATAAACACCATTATTGCAACGAGCACATGGCCTTGATTAACTATTATTCTTCTGTGATAAAGTCCGAAAACGCTCTCATATAGCTCTTGAAATATCGCATACAATTTGCGTGCTGTCATGAAGTTGACATCGATAAAATGAGCCTTGCGTTAAACTTGACCCCCTGCAGCAGCCACAGACAAACTGAACCCTGCTATTTCCTTTCAATCGGACTCAGGCAAACTTGGATTTACCCAGTCCAGCATAATAAAGGCGACTATGACTGGAAGGCTTTATCGGCATCGTCAAATGCCGCGCTGATCTTGTCTGCAGAAGGCTGCACCTTGCCCATAACCTCCTCGGGCAGCTTAGCCCTTGCGGCGTCCTCGAACAGCCTTTTCTCATTGTGCAAGTTACCTAGATGGATGCGGGCTTTGGAACCAAGCCCGGACTTTTTGAATAAGGGAGCCTACGAGGACACTCCATTAGCGAGAAGCGCTTGCCCGAGAGAGAGGGGGGGGCGCGTACTTTGTCCTTGGCCGACCCGATAGCATCCAGAAGGACCGGAGCCATTTGCTCATAGTTTTCAAAGTAGCTAGAGGCCTCTTCAGGTGTGAAACTGTCGTCCTCTTCGAGATGCTTGCGGGCAGTGCGAGCCGAGAGCTCCGCATCCGAAATTGACTTCCCGACTTCCCGGGCCGCTAGGACGCCTCCCTGGTAGTTGTCAAGGGAGGCTTTGGCCGCTGTTATTCTGGCGTTCATGGCGTTCATATTGTTGATCGCCTGCGCGACATTCGCTGCTGCAGAGACCAGTGGAGCTGCCCCGAGGGCGCTCACGATGAGGAGCACAATTTGTTTGCTGAAGTGCATTTTTGTTTTTATAGATAACTTATTGCAGGATAAGCAGGAGAATACGTGATGACCAGAATCGACGAAATGCGTGGAAAGCAGAGCCTTTAAATATTCGATGCTGGAACTCGAGTGTCGGAGCACTTTGGCTGGTGTTAGTTAGGAAATACATTCTGTGTAGAATGGTGTAGCACAAGAGAAATGCTACATCATTGAGATATGGTATGTAGGGGCCTGAGGAATCTCCTGTGGTACCCATCACTCGCCAGCTAGTAGAACGACTGCCAGGTGCTATACGATACGTTCGTGGTATACATTCCTTGGATGGATAGGTGGCTTGATCCAGGTCAACAGACCAAGCGCAGTGTCACACAAATTCTGCTAGGGATAGGCCTGCACCTTACAGATCTGGAGATCCCCAGAGTCGCATGTTGCCTGACAATATAATCATTGAACCAGAATTGATAATATTGGAGCGTTCTTGGATCTGATTCTGTGCCTCTAATCTCAATATCACAAACACCTCATTAGATTGCTGCCATCATGGTTGACAAGTGCAATTGTCAGGAACATAGAGCATGCATTGGTTCAATGGTTTGCTTCTCATTCTCATTGAACAAAGCCCCGCAGCTAATCTCGACGAAGGAAATGAATAGCACCTGTCAGGCCGCGCGGGAGATGTGCTCCGACAGGCAAAGATGTGGTGGCCCAGCGCTGCATGTTCCACCAGTTGCCATTGTTGGAATGGCAATGAGACTGCCCGGCAAAGTCCGGACGTCTGAGGAATTCTGGGACCTTCTCATGAGCCAGCGCGACTGTTCGTCCGAAGTGCCCAGTTCGCGGTACAATATTGACGCCTTTTACCACCCTTCTAAACCCCAGTCAGTGCGCACTCGACGTGGATACTTCCTCGATGATGAGTATATGCAGGGCTCCGACAGGACCTTTTTCCCGCCCATGCCAGGGTCCGCAGACGGCGACCTGGATCCTCAACAGATGCAGCTGCTGGAGGTTGCCTGGGAATGTATGGAGAATGCTGGACAAACCAAGTGGCAAGGAAAGAAAATCGGGTGCTATGTTGGTGTTTTTGGTGAAGATTGGCATGAGCTGACAGCGAAGGAGCCTCAACACGTTTCGCGGGTGCATGCATTTGCAAATGGGGGGTATACACTGTCAAATCGAGTCTCCTACGAATTTGACCTGAAGGGACCTAGGTAGGTCCTCTAGAGGGATCCATAATTATCCCCTGGGCTAAGATTATAGCGTAACCATTCAAACAGCATGTTCCTCGTCCTTGACGGCTCTGCATGAAGCCTGCCAGGCCTTGTACACCGGGAGCTGCGAGTCAGCGATTGTAGCAGGCACCAATATGCTGTTAACACCTTCCATGAGTGTGACAATGTCTGAGAATATGGTTCTATCTCCAGATGGGTACTGCAAAGCCTTTGATTCGAGTGCAGACGGCTATGGGCGTGGAGAGGCTGTAAATGCTATCCTGATCAAGCCGCTCGAATTGGCATTGGCAGAAGGCGATACTGTCCATGCGATTATTCGTGGTACATCTGTCAACTATGACGGCAAGTCTGTCAGGATCTTTGCACCAGATATTGACAGCCAAGAGCGACTGATACGCAATGCATATTCAAGGGCGGGGATTCATGATATCTCTCAGACTGCCTTTGTGGAATGCCATGGGACTGGAACTAAAGTTGGCGATCAAGTGGAGACAACAGCCATCGCTCGGGCCTTTGGTGGGAAGGGTGTGCATATTGGTTCTGTATGTATTACCATGTTTTCCTGGGACCTTGGGCTAATGACCATGCGCAGGTAAAGTCGAATGTTGGCCATGGTGAAGGGGCGTCGGGGTTAACAGCAATAATCAAAGCTGTGTTGGCCCTGAAGCATCGCATAATCCCACCGAACATGCATTTCAAGAACCCTAATAAGGCTAGTATGTGTGCCTCCATGTCCCGGTATTGCTATTCATTTCTAATTCCAGTTGTTTAGTTCCGTTCGAGAAAGGTGGCCTTTGCGTCCCTACGAAGCCCACTTCCTGGCCTGCTGGCCGCAGTGAACGAGTGAGCGTTAATGGATTCGGAATTGGAGGAAGCAATGCCCATGTTAATCCCACCCAACTCTGTCTCTATGCACTGGCTCATACAATACTAAACAGATCATCCTTGATGCACACCCAGAACCCCAGAAACTGTGCCGAACAGAGGTCAACGTTCCTCGCAGCTGTCGCATCATTGTTGTGTCCGCCCAGGGCCCAGCGGCGCTGAAGTCACGCCTGGCTCAGATTGAGGCTTATCTCGTGGCTAGGCCCCATGTTGTCCATGACCTGGCTTACACACTTGCAACTCGACGTGACCATTTGTCACACCGCGGTTACTTTCTCTGCGACACCAAAGGGGATGCATCCGGACCCTACCTCGGGGGCTCGGCCGCCAACACAGAGCCCTCGGTGGTATTTACATTCACTGGACAGGGGGCGCAGTGGGCAGGTATGGGAAGAGAGTTGATGGACAATTTTGCAACCTTTCAGCATGCTATCCATGTAATGGACGAAGTCTTGCAAGGGCTCGAAACTCCACCAGCGTGGAGCATTCAAGGTATCCAGTCTCCCTAGATTGACGGCGGATAACTGATGGTCGAAATGTAGCGGAGCTTTCGAAATCTGAGAGTACTTCCCTTGTCAACAGGACGGAATACTCCCAAACCCTATGCGCGGCGCTTCAGATCGCTCTAGTGGATCTGCTGGCCAGCTGGAATATCAATCCCGCTGCCGTAATCGGTTATTCCAGTGGTGAGGTCGTGGCTGCTTACGCGGCGAAGGCAATTTCGATGGAGACCGCCATCACCATCGCATATTTGCGCGGATGCTGTGCGCAGATCTCGCCGTCCAGCGGAGCGATGGCTGTCATTGGTCTGGGCAAGGACGATGTCACGGACTTCTTGATTGATGGTGTAGTCATCGCGTGCGAGAACAGTCCTGAGAGCGTCAACATCTCAGGAGAGAAGTCTAGACTAACGACGGTCGTTAACCGCATTCTCGAAGCAAACCCAGAAACGTTCACGCGGTATCTAGCGGTGGAAATTGCGTACCACTCTCGTACGTTTATTCCCGGATCTACGTGCGTGACGGCGCTAATCTGAAGACAGCTGATATGGGAGAAGCTGCTGCAGCCTTTGAGCCAGCCATATCCCCCCACGTTACGTGCAGCGACTCCATGCTACCACTATACTCGACGGTCACAGGAAAAGTGGTGTTCAACCCTGCGCACTTGGACGCCGATTACTGGAGATCGAATCTGGAATCACCCGTTTTGTTCTCGCCTGCAGTTCAGAATCTCATTGACCAGCACAAGGAACGGCCGCTTATTTTCTTGGAAATCGGACCCCATTCTACCCTCTCCGGGTCACTGCGTCAGATCTTTGCAGCTCACTCGGTAGAAAACACCTATTACGTGCCAACAGTTGTTAAACAAGCCAGCGAGGCCCATTCGGTCATGAAAGGAGTGGGCGAGATATTCTGTCAAGGAGTCCCTGTCAACTTTGCAAATATATATCGATCTGGAAAGCTCCGGACAGATCTGCCAGCCTATCCTTGGGATCGACAAAATAACAACTGGAAAGAGAGCCGCATCAGCTACAATTGGAGATTTCGCAAGCATGCCGTTCATGAGCTCCTGGGCGCTCGGATGCCGGAGACCAGTGACTTCGACCCCGGATGGCGAAACCTGCTCAGCGTGAGGAACGTTCCGTGGCTTGCTGATCATAAGGTCCTCGGGGAACGTATATTCCCCTGTGCGGGATATATCGCCATGGCCAACGAAGCACTGCGGCAGCTGTCTGACACGCAAGAATGCACGATTCGCAATCTGCACGTCAAGGCCCCGCTTGTTCTGCCCAGTAGCGATGACACTGTGATAGAAGTAGTTACTTCAATGAGGCCGGTGCGGATTAGCGATCGCATTGATTCGAAGTGGTACGAGTTTTCCATATCATCTCATGGCGGGCGCGGGTGGACCAAACATGCGACTGGAAAGGCTTTGGCAAGCGCCGAGGATTTGGAAAGAGTTGTCCTGGAACCGCCGTCTCTTGAAAGGGCTGTCTCCTCACCGATTTGGTATACAATGCTGGCAAACCTGGGGCTGCAGTACGGCCCACACTTTCAGGGCCTCGAGAGTATCACCGCATCTCCTGTTCGCTCTGAAGCAAGTGCCACGATTCGTGGACAGGCCGTCCAAACAGGTATAACTAATGCTCTTCACCCTACTTCAATCGACAAATGCTTGCAGCTGCTCAGCGTTGCAGCCACTCAGGGAAGGTCTCTGCTGTTAACAAAGCTCTACATTCCAATGTACATCGAAGAGGTCTGCCTTGGCCAAAGTAAGGACGTAATGAGAGCCAGGGCGTTCGGGACCACCCTCGTGGGGAGTTCGGGACGAAGCAGTGTTGAGTTGGTGTCGGGGGATAGTCCTGTGCTCGCAATGCGTGGGGTTACTCTGGCCCCATTAGATATAGAAAAAGGAAGCGAGCCCTCAAAGATCCCCCTTTCGTCTCACGAAGAGTGGCGGCCAGATCTGGACTTGTTGCCTAGTCATCTTCAGTTGCCCCTGTCACAGGACTCTGAAGACACCATGGAACTACTCTTCAAGGCCCTCGGAATTTCCGTGATGCTTCTCCATCGCAACCTGTCCAACGTGGTGACACTTTCGCATACGTTGCACCGCTACAAAGCATGGCTGTAGTCACAAAGAAAGCTTCTAGACGCGCGAGGTGTTTTATCCGCTAAAAAAGAGGAAGCACGGGCTCAGCTATGCAGCGAGAGTTTAGAGCAGCAGTGGAATATCTTAGGCGAGAAGCTTAAAGCTAAGGGATTAGGCTTTATCGTGGAAGTTGCCGAGCTAACAGTACACGAATTCACGACTGCTTTTGAGGAGTCACCGTGCGCCTCGATATCTATGGCAAGGGGCAATGCACTACGCAAGCTAGACGACTGGGCCCCTTCACTGAGCAGCCTAGAACACTGGCTCTCCCTTCTTGGACACAGCAACCCCAGTCTCCGCATCTTCGAAATTGGGGGGCAAAAGGGGTCCTTGGCTTCTTTTGTGTTGCAGAATCTGGCCTCCGGCGAAAACAATCTCTACTCAAGATACACGTGGACGGATAAGTTCGACACCGACGACGCCGTCAAAGAACGACTCCAAGAATATAATCGGGTTGATTTCAAGTCGTTTGATGTCGATAAGGAGCCGTCAGCGCAGGAACTCGAGGAGGGCGGTTATGATTTAATCATCGTGTCCGACGTAAGTGGCGTGTTCTCCTATCCATTGATCATTCTGACAGCTCCCTAGTTGGCAGCTCAGACGTCGACGCCTGGAGCAGCGTTAAAGAACATTAGGAAGCTTCTCGCCGCTGGCGGACGACTTCTCCATCGTGAATATTGCCCCAGTAAGCGTTTATTCCCTAGCTTCCTATTGAACCAAATTTTATTGACAACCTTTAGGTATACCCAGTATAAAACATATCCTAGTCAGCAGCTACCCACACGCGTAATCAACCAAGTAATAGAACTGACTGATTTACTAACTCGGCACCAGGACCCATCAAAGAACCCACCTCTCGAAACAACCGACCTGGAAGAAGGTGACGACAGGATTATCCCAATCGAAACATGGGACAAGGAACTTCGGCATGCTGGCTTTGATGGTATCGAGGCAAGCAGTTATGACGGCAATTCAAGGTGTCATCTGTATCGAACTTTCGTTTCACGCGTGCAATCCGAAAGCCGCATACACGGCGGGAAGATCTATCTTCTCTGTCCGAGCGAAGGGGATTACAATATATGGTTCTATGAGATCAAGAAGCAATTGACCCAGCTTGCTTACGAGGTGGAGAAATGCACGTTGGAGGACGATATCCCACACGGCCAGCGGGTTATATCACTCCTTGACCTGCAAGGCCCGTTCTTTTCCAACATAAGCGAACAGAACTGGATCAGGTTTCAGCAGCTTGTACTTCTCAAACCTCAGATAATGTGGGTTACCAAATCCGTCGAACTGAACTGTGACAATCCAGACTTTGCGCTTGTCATGGGCGTCTCGCGAACGACACGCCAGGAGCAGGAGATCCCCTTTGCGACGTTGCAAGTCGACAACTTTGACGCGCCTTCGGCCAAAGCATTGATAGCGGTATCGCTGAAGGTCTTCGGCTCAGTACACAAAAACAGATTAATTGATGTAGACTATGAATTTGCACTCTGTGATGGGTACATTCATATCCCGCGGACGAGGTGGAGCTCTCTTACCGACAGGCTACTACACGTTCCAAACAATAATTCACCCATACGCTTGGGCATTGGCTCCTACGGGTCACTACACTCGTTATTCTGGGGCGAGTCCGAGCTTGATCCACTAGGAGAGGATGATCTTGACGTTGAGATCCAGTGCGTCGGGCTCAATTTTCGCGTAAGTTACAGACACGCCTCCGATGGACTGGTCTACACTAACTGCACAGGATCTCATGGTCGCGTTGGGAATAATGGGAAAAGAGGATGAGCTAGGTGCCGAGGCCACAGGCATTGTCAGACGAGCTGGCTCCAACGTTGGGCACTTCAAGCTCGGGGACCGCGTGATAATATTGGAACTCGGTTTGTTCTGCACGCGCAGAGTCTTACCGGCAAGTCGGTGCGCCCCTATGCCGTCGTCTCTCTCTTTGGAAGACGCCGCGAGTATGCCTGTTGTCTTTGGGACAGCAATACATTGCCTCATGGACGTTGGGAGGTTGGAAAAAGGGCAGGTGTGTGTTCCAATAGCTCGTACCACATGCGCTATTACTGATATGCATGCACAGTCCGTCCTTATCCATGCAGCCTGTGGAGGAGTCGGCCTTGCCGCAATACAGATCTGCCAGATGGTCGGGGCCAAGGTAAGTCGCCGTGATTGTTCTATTGTGCGGCCTGCCAAGTAACCCTCTCAGATTTATGCAACCGTCGGAAGTGAGAAAAAGGCGCAGTATTTGATGGACGCGTGTGGAATTCCACGAAGCAATATTTTCAGCTCCCGAGACACCTCCTTCGTCCGCGGGCTGATGCAAGAGACACAGGGCAGCGGCGTAGATATTGTGCTAAATTCTCTCGCAGGGGAGCTCCTCCATGCATCGTGGCAATGCGTTGCCGAGTTTGGAAAGATGATTGAAATTGGAAAGCGTGACTTTTTGGAGCATGGCGCCCTAGCCATGGACCTATTTGGGTGCAATCGTGCGTTTTTCGGGGTAGACCTCGTCCGGCTTCTGGAGAGGCCAGGATTTCGCACGGGGTATGTTGCCACGACAGATCCACGTATTGGGAGTTGTCTAACATTGGAATAGGCTTGTCCGCCAAGTCTTGGGCCTGTATAATGAAGGGAAAATCCGTCCCATTCGCCCCTTAAAGGTCTTCTCCAGCAGCGAAACAGCAGAGGCATTTCACGCCCTCCAGCTGGGACTTCATCTCGGCAAAATGGCTGTGCGGACACCCGAGGTATCTGAACGGAGCCTAGTTGCCCCCTCGAGACTCAACTCGCGGTTTTCACCTACACTAACCTATTTCCTCGTCGGTGGCCTCGGTGGTGTTGGTCGGGCGATCGTGACCTGGATGGTAGGGCGAGGGGCCCGGCACTTCCTCTTATTGTCCCGGTCAGCTGGTACTACAGAGCAGGACCAGTCATTTCGGCGCGAGCTCGAGCTCCAAGGCTGTACGGCAGTCATGTTTTCGGGTGATGCATCGGTGCTGAAGGACGTGGAAGCTGCCATGCAAGCCTGTTCCCACCCGATCGGCGGCGTGCTCCAGCTGTCGATGCTACTCCGGGTAAGTAAACCTGAACTGCAATGGCCCAAGGGCAAGAGATGTACTGACAAAGTGCAGGATAATCTTATCACAGAAATGAACCACGACACCTGGAAAGCAGTACTCGCGGCCAAGGTAGATGGAACGTGGAACATGCATCATGCGTTAGCGGGCAGAGACGCCAGCCTGCACTTCTTCGTCGTTTGTGGTTCCATCGCCGGAGTCATGGGGAACGCAGGGCAGGCCAACTACTCGGCGGCGAATACTTTTGTGTCCTCGTTTGCTCAATACCGGCTCCAGCAGGGCCTGCCCGCCTCTGCCGTCAATCTGGGGTGCGTCAATGATGTGGGATACTTGGCGACCCATAACACCAGGTTTCGGGACCACGCGGCCTCTGCGTCGGTGCGACTCTTGAGCGAACGAGAAGTTCTCGATGCCTTCGAGGTTGCCATCTTCTGTGCAGACTCCAAGCCAGCACCCAGGTCGCTACACGCACCAAACACTCTCACTGTTGGCATGAGTTCCACGAAGAGCATTGCCGACCCCTCCGTCCGGCCCCTCTGGGGCCCCGATGCTCGGTTTCGCAAGTATCTCGATCTGGACCTGAAATACCAGACCTCGGGTGATCCGCTCAAGCAGGCACCAACCCTCCAACACATAATCCAGGACCTTATGAAAGATCCAAACCTCATCAAGGACGTGTCTTGGAGGGAAAAGGCGATGCTCGATTTCATCGATACCCTGCAGGAGCACTCGATGTTTGCTCGGGGGCAGGACCCCAAGCAGATAGCTGCCATGCAGATTGACTCTCTCATGACACTTGAGATTCGGAATTGGTGCCGCCGCTACGGGGGTTTGGAGCTATCTCTGATTGATATTACGAGAGCGGAGACTATTGGGGGATTGGGGGACCTGATTCTTGCTGCTGTGCAAGCCAGATATATTGTTGAATAGGTGTGACTGGCTGGTGCACTGCAACATATAGAATTCGCGACTGAAATATCGATTTCCTCCCTCAAACAACTAACAGTCGTTACTACAATCAAAAATTTTCCAAGGTCTATAATATTATAATATTCTCTCTTTATAATAACCGCGTGGTAGATAGAGTAAGTTATATCTATATTATATATAACTAACGAGTAGTCTGTGTAATATTATTATACTATATAGTAGCTTAAGATATATAAATACAGCTACTAATTGTAGGAGTAGTTAGGACTTTAATAATATTAATACCAGATATATAGAATAAGAACTAGAAAACTTAGGACTAAGTAATAAGGTTAAAGATATAGCTATATACTAGTACACTAGTTAATAGTAAAGACAGTATATTAGATAATAATACTTTTAAGAATACTGGTAGAGCTAGAAGTAAAGATAGTATATCGTATAAGTAAGTAGGAAGATGCATTATATATATATAAGTTTGGTTCAATATCTTAAGTCTAGTCGAGATACAGATATTTATACCCAACATATATTGCGAGGTTTGTACTATAGTAAGAATACCTGCCGGTCTCATTTAGTTCGCTATAGCTAGGCTTTACTGTAATTGTATCTAGGCATCTCAAAGGAGCATCGGTAGGCTTCCCTTTTGCGTGATATATAGATCAGCTGTTATTGCAGTCCTCCGTCAAGCATATCTAAAATATCATTGAATGCTCTTCAATTTTGCCCGTAGTTCCTGTCGCTGCTATTGGCTCTTGAGGTAATTGTAGCATTGTTTATAATTGTCATGGCTTGCTTACCGGTTATACCTGCACTGCAGATATCCCGTTGCTAGCCTAGATGCCGGCTGGAGGAATCCCAGTCAACTCATACTCTCTCATATCCAACCATTAGATGATGACTGCATGTCACCCGGACGAATATACAGCAACAGAAATGTGGTCCTGCATATTCATCAAAATCAGGCAGTGAGAGGGGACGAAAGCAGTGAACGATCGGACAATCTCGTGTTACACGCCTGCATGCCTGCGAAGTGCGGACTCTTTCCTGTACGATGATCGAATTGCTGTGGGCAACGGTCCCGGGAATTTCCTTCGCGGCATCCATTTCTTCCTTCGCTCTCGCCGTATCTGAATCCCATGCATTCATCTTCAGCCACGAAAAAAAGAATTATTTGACTTGTAAGATAGTAATCGTCGTGTGATGTCTCGATCACGCAATTTTGTGGGATACTGCGATGAATCCATTGTTCGTGCCGACAAAGTATCCTCTTGGCGGAAGTGCCCTAAATTGAGAGTGACTGAGCAAGGGGATGTTCGCGCTGAGGAATGTGATGCAAGGGGATCCAAGTCATCCCTTGCCTATGAATGTCCCAGACCCCCCGGTATAATGATCATGAGCTGCTCAAATACCTGACGAACTACCCACAGAAACATATAGAGCGGACGAATCCTCAGCACTTGGCCGCTTCGACATTCACGTTCTCACCCCATATTCCACCTTATCCTTCAATATGAAGATCACCCTTGCCATCGGAGCCCTTGTGGCCCTTTGCCAGTCCGCTCTGGCCCTCAAAGACGGAACTTATTCGATCGGATCGGCGGCTCTACAAAGCAATAAAGTCCTGACCGACGTAGGCCAGAACGAAGAGCTCGAGTTCTCTGAGAAGAGCAACAACCCTTACCAGACATGGTTCTTTACCAAAAAAGGCGGCGAGCGCGACTTTGTGATCCAAAACCTCAGTGGTGGTTATATCGACTGTGGCGTTGAGCCAGGTACTCACTGCGTTTCCGGGGACGACGAAGAGATTTATACCGTCGAGCAAAGCATCGATGGTGACTATGAACTTGTATCAAAGAAGACTGGATACTTCTTGCACGCCGTCGACAAGGGCCTGCAACTTGCTGAATGGAGCCCCAGCCCCGAGCAAGAATTTATTCTGACTCCCATTTAATGGTAAGCGAAGATCCCACTATTGGACGTTACCAGCTAATTGAATTCCGGTGATAAGGGATTGCATTTGGTATAAGGACGGGTATTGGGGGGGGAAGCTGGCATCATGTCCGGTTTAGCTCTATCTACAGTTATGGAATCAAGTTGTTGTATCTATATGTATGGAAACTATCTCGAGTTTTGACGCCGTGTCACCAAGATACTATATATTTCATATTTTCTGGATCTAAGGGGATTCTTCACGCTGAGGAGCGGTAATGCAAGGAGATATATGGAGATGCAAGAGCCTGAAGGCATCCCTTGCCTCTGCATGTTCACCGCGAAGGGCGCTGAAGGCGATGTTGCGATCAGAGCAGCCGTAGTGCCTATATCAATTGTGGCGATAAACCAGACACTAACTGCGTCACCGGAGCCGAGGAACAGATTTACACCGCTAAGCAACTCAACGAGGATACCTACCAATTCGTATCCAAGAAGACTGGATACTTCTTGACCGAGGCAGCTATAGCTACGGAACCAAGTTGTATCTTTGAGATACAGACATCACAAAACGGCAATAGCAGTGGCAATTCCAATCGAAACACAACAACATTGCACGCCGCCATGGTACTAGGTGGCAGGGACCTTGTCAATAGATCTAGATCGAGCCGCCGATATGACGAGATACTTCTGCATTCTCCATGGCTTCTCCCATTTCCATGCAACTAGTAATAAACTCTCAATGGAATATTAGCTCCCAGTCGTGACGCAATTTCTTCCTCTGTTCTTCATAGATAGACTAAGCTATATTCGCTCCCCACCAGCTATCGCACTACCTAGGGAAGCCACTGCTCCTGTTGCAACATTATATAGTATACCTGAAGTCCGGGTCATCGTTGATAACCTTTTCCCCTTTGTCGGCTTTCCTGTTTGAAATCTTGAAGTACACCGAGAGAAGACCGACGATAATGACCACGAGACCACTGGCACTGGGGGAGTGTTAGCATTTAGGAACAGACTTATGAAAGACAACCTACACGATCGTTGCCACCATGCCGGGCAAGTATTCTGGCTTGTCTTGGGCTCTGAAGACAAGACTGCCTGCGATTCCACCAATGCCGCCCATGCCCGTCAACGTCGCAGAACAAAACGCCCGCTTCCACTGGCCGCGGATATTGTTTGCCTAACCAAGTCAGCTGAGGTTAAGTCCATATTGGATACGTATGTCTTCACCTGATATGTCATGATAGCCGGCATATTGGCGTTTACCCCAGCAACCGCCAGAAACACACCAAAGTATTTGACCGCAGCGTCCGCATGAAAGGCCATAATACACAGGCCAATCAGCCCAATCAGACTGTTCACCACGATAATAATGCCCCGGACCCGATAGCGGTCTCCCACCCAGGAGGTAGCATACATCAGAATTGCGGCGAATGCATAAGGCGGCGCAATTAGGCACTGAGACGCCGCCAGGCTGAAATTCAGGTTTTCCCGTAGGATGATGGGGAGAAAGTCTGTTGAGTTAGCTCTGTACCTCTGTTACCAATGAAGGTACTCACATGCGAATGCGTACGAGACGGTCGTGGAGCAGCTGAGAATCAGTCAGGCCAGTCGAATAGCTGTAAGAATAGCTGCACTGACAAGAAAATAAAGGCAAACCCCCAGACCTCGAGATCCAGAGCCGGCTTGAGGTACTTCACTAGCCTGAATTCTTCAACTTCTACATCTCCTCTGTCCTGCTCCAACCGGTCGATGATAAATTGACATTCCTGCGGCTTCAAGAAACGGGGGGACGGACTATCTCGTTCTTCGTCTGGAAAGCGGATCATGAAGATATACGCGAACATGGCGATTGCGCAGGTTATCTATGAACAATTAACTTTGACAAATGTTGAATGGCTGACACTTACAACGCCCTCCATAATGAAAATCCTGCACTGTTAGTTCAATTGGCAATAACAGTGGCTTCGTATATCTTACCATCGCCAACCACGAATGCCCTCGACACCCTCCATTTGCATCAAGCCATAGGCAAGGATTCCTGAACATGCAGACCCGAAACTGCCAATGAGATAAAAGACCGAGTATCGCCGCGCAACCTCGACTGCTGTATATTAATAAAGCAAAAATGACAATGGAGGGCATCTTACACCGAGTATACCAAGTCGACAACAGATAAACACAGCCTGGAAAGTACCCGGCCTCGAAAATTCCCAGGATAAGTCTCAAGGCCACCAGCGTCGTCCACTTGTCGCTGAATCCGAAACCAATAATAACGCAGCCCCATAGCAAACAGATGCCAGGAAGAAAGTTGCGAGGGCCAATCTTGCGGCATAGAAGAGTCATTGGAGGCTGGAGAATAACATAGGTAATGAAGAAAACGAGTGTCATCAGGCTGTACCGGTATCCCCCCAGCATGTCGAGGTCTGTCCTCATTCCGGCTATGGCTGCATTTGCCACGTTTTTTCGATCCATGAGGGACACGAAGTACATAAGACCCAGACAGGGGATGAGCCGGAAGTCGATCTGGCGCTTGATGGAGGATGCATCCTTGCCGCTGAATCGTTCAGCGGCTTCATCATCTTGTTTCAGCGTCTCGAGATGATCGAGGCTTTGTTTCTCATCTTCGATCGGGGTCTTAGTGCCAGGCATATTTCCTTGTGTCTCTGCTCTGGGAAGATAAGTCAATAGCGGTGATAGAGTGTGGGAAAGTGGAACATGACTGCGCCGAGTACGACTTATATTGCTAGCAGGTCGACCTCGGAATGGCTGAACACGCCAAGTACATTCTGGATGGGAAGACGGGGAACCTCCGAGGGCCGAGCTGAGGACAAGATTGGCTATAATAAGGCATGGCAAGAGGAGTTGCTTTGGACTACTGCTGCGGGACTCTTGGCTGGCCTGGGCCTCCGCTAGAAGTCCGCGCCGGTTTGGAGATATGAGAGTCGAGCTGGGGAATCTTGGCATATCATCGTCTGAGAACGCGGGGAAAGTGGAGTCTTTTTTCTCGGCGTTTTTCTGTTGGAAATTCGTGGACGGTTTATTGTTGATTCTGTGGCCCGTAATGGCCAGACCGGACCACACCCGCCCACCACGCAGAGGGCCATGGAGTCAACAGCGGAGCCCTCAGTTGAATTCTATTTCCAGTACGTTTAGCCATTGTCTGGCTAGGACGGCGCATGATTATGTCTTAATGACAGTCCTAGATGTTCGGCCTGGCTTTAGGAATCAGTAAAATTTAGAAACTGCCTCGGACCCTCCAGCTGCTCAAGTCCCAACCAGGCTGGTAAACCCTCAGAACCTACAAGAGGCCCAGACACAACCAATGTTGGCTCTGGTAAGTAACCTCTGGTGCTAAGATTATTTAAGTTGATGATATCGATAAGTAGTAGCCAGGAACAAGCCATGGCCTATCTTGAGATACTTAATATTGTTGAAGGTGGGAATTCAAATTCAGAATGAAATAATTCTAGGGCAAGCATAGCTATGCTGTCGCCTAATGTAATCCCATTCAAGTGGAAAGTTGACAAAAAGCTAGCAATACAGCATGTAGCATGCATTACAGGATATGAATGTGAATAAAGCTACATCTCCTATCACACTGACTATTCCCTATTCCTTGTGCAGGTTGGTCCACCGGGCCCTCAGACTGTGTGCCGCTGCCTTGGGCTGGCGGTTTCTGGTGAAGACCCCCTTCTTGTTACCATCGACCCGGAAGATGCCCAAGCTGGTCTGGAAGTCGGCAAAGTTCCAAACATGCTCGCCAGACATTGCCTCCAGACGGTCAAACACCCGGTGGTACATCTCCAGCATCTGGGTCTGGTACTCCTCGCTCCAGGGCACACCCAGCACTGAATGCAGCCCTGCAATCGTATCGGCGCCATACTCGGACATGATCATTGGGCGATCAAACTTATCCTGCCAGCCGCGCAGCTCCTTTTCCAGGGCGGCCTCTGCTTCGGCAAGGTCGCCGGTCTCTGAGTACCAGCCGAAGTACCGGTTCAGGCAGGTGACGTCGAACAGGTCGGTGATCTTGTCGAGATCCCAGGTTGCGCCGCCGACGTTGGCAAAGGTAATCGGGCGCGTGGGGTCCAATTCACGAGTTAACTTGGTCAGCGGCTCGAAGTATTCGCGCGCTCCGTCTTCATTTGAGGCGGGCTCATTGGCAATCGACCACATGACGACGCTGGCGTGGTTCTTGTCCCTCGCCACAAGCTCGCGGAGGGCTTGCTTGTGGGCTGATTGGGTGTTGTTGTTGATGTTTTCCTGGGACCAGGTGCGTATGGATGTATCCCCGGCGAAGGACAGGCCAAGGTTCAGACCGACAGCAGGTGTCTCATCGATCACGACGATGCCGTTGCGGTCAGCAAAGTCCATGACTTCTTCGGCGTAGGGGTAGTGCGATGTGCGGAAAGAGTTTGCTCCGATCCACTGCATCAGCTGGAAATCATGGACCATGTAGGCTTGGTCATGACCCTTGCCACTCACTGCGGTGTCTTCGTGTTTTCCAAACCCGGTGAAGTAGAAGGGCTTGTCGTTGATAAGGAACTTCTTTCCGCTTACTTTGACGGTGCGCACGCCCGTAGCCACGCTGTAGGTGTCGACGACCTTGCCATTGGAGTCCACAATGCTGGCACGGAACTGGTAGAGATACGCGGCACCCGGTTGCCATAACTTAACAGAGTTGATCTTGACGGTCCCGTTGGCCCCGGTGGCATTTGCAATAGCAACCCCGTCCTCATCAATCACAGTGATCTTGATCTGCCGAGAGGTGCTGTTGCCAGACGTGTTGGCCACTTTCACATCATAACGTATCAGGCCACTCTGTCCTTCAACGTCCGTGACAACGGTAATGTCCTGGATGTGTTGGCGAGGGATAGAGTAAAGCCAAATAGACCGAGCAAGACCAGCATAGTTATAAAAGTCATGCTGGTAGGTCTGTATTCTCCTGCCCGTGGCTTCCCCGATCTCGATCTTTCCAGGCGGGATGGTCTCATGGGTAAGCTCATTATTGACAGCAATCGTCAAGCGGAAGCTCTCTCCAGGGGCAACAATATCCGAGATGTCTGCCTCAAAAGGTGTATAGCCACCCACATGTTCAGCAACAAGACGGTCATTGACATAGATCCGACCATGGTGCGTAGCAGATTCAGCTCGCACCAGATATCGCTCCTGAGTCCAGCCCTTGGGGACGATCACATCACGCTGGTAGTACACCCACCCGACATGGTTATGGATCTCAGGATCCACAAAGATGTCGTTGTACGAGGCAGGGACTGGACATTCAAGGCCCTTGGGCAAGGGCGCTGTCCACGGCTGGGCTGTGTCGTTGGGGCTGGCTGCGAGGGCAAATTTCCACAGCCCATCCAGATTCACAAGCTCGCGGGAAGAAGTCCGTTGCGGCTTGAGCTTGATCAATAGCTGTTCGGTGGCACCAGCATCATTGCGTGCATGGAACTGGACGGCGGGGACGCACAGGGATGGAGAAACAAGGGCTAGCAGTGACAATCCAGTGAGGAACTTCATGGCTGCTGACAGATGGCTGGATTATCAAGGTACCACAGCTCGCGATGATTGAGCATATATATAGTTTCCTCATCATAAATCGGCAATTGACGGCTGTTTGCATCGGCGACTGACCAGCTTTGCAATGGGCATGACGTGAGGAGTATGGGGTAGAGTACGGGGTAGCCTTGATGGCAGATAGCCCTCTGGATGTTGCTGACCCCACAACAGGGGTTGGAGAGGGGTCCATGGTGTTTTGCGGGGTATATCAATTGCCTCATACATCGGTAATGACCTGGACGGTTATTGATGCAGCATTCAAGTTAGTATCCGAGTGTAGCTTGGGCCTCTTAGGAGGGGGTAGAGCCAACCCTAGGGACCAGTCGTCTGGTATATGCGTTGTGGTGAGAGGCTTGGAGTGCAATCACTCCAAAGATCAGCAGAAAGGGTGTCCTAGTCAACGAGGACATGAACCATCAAACGGCTGGATGGAAGCATCACGGAATAGCCGGCCATGGAAGCGAACCGTGCGGGTGAAGGTTTTGCGTCTCCAATTAGCACTAGGTGGTCATTGCGCTCTGGAATACCAAAGCCTCCACGCCATTATTGAGTTACCCTGGGAGATTTGTTCCTGTCCCAGTGCACTTTGGTTGAATTTTAATATGCAAACCAAGACAATCTCTGCAAGAGTGGAATTGCTTGACTTACTGCAAGAAATAAACCTGGGCTGGCATGCGTTTTGGTGGAGAGGCTCCTGTTCAACCCCCAATTTCTACTTTTCTCCCGTCATTTCCAATCCCACCGTGTTTCCTGGCTACTGCTAAGAGAAAAATTGGATAGTGTTGCCCAGGTTTAGACGAAAAGATATTCCTGGGTAAGGATAAGGATATTGGATATTTATTAATGGTATTCTGTTTCCTGGGCTACATGACGCGGTATAGTAAAAAGGCCATCGTGAGATAACATAGTAAACTAACAAGATGTTAGGTAGGTAAAGGTACTTGCTGGGAGTATTTGGAAGTAAACTTGCACTTGCTTGGCAGATAGGATTGACCCATTGAATCTAGGGATAGGGAAAGGGCACAGGGCAAATTATGTCACTATTTTAAGTCATAAATTTCTCCAGATCTAGCTTCCCATGTATCCCTCAGATGCTCCCCAGAGCTCAAAGTCTGCACCCAGCCAGTCCTGTTCTATTAAGTACGTAGTATCGTCGCTAATCAAGTCGGCTGGATACCTTTCTGCTTTGTCCTGGACATAGTTCGCAACGACGTCATAGAGGGCCTTGAATATGCGAAGCTGTCTCATGCAGCTAGAATATCGAGATGATCGTGCCAGCGACCGTAGACCGTCAATTAATCGTTGTAAGCGCTCTAGATCTGATGAGTCAGAGCTCTCGACTATGTTGCAGAGCAGAATTAAAAATGGCATGAACGGTGTTAGCAGGAGAATCTCGTTGGCCCATAAGTCAAATCTTGGAGGCCATGCCGGCGAATCTGTGATTATGGAGATGCAGGCTTCGCTCTCTTGAATGGCTGCTCTAGCTGCTCTGGTGCACTGAGGAGAAGAGGATATGCTGAAAGGTTTCTCTGATGGAGCACTTCTATATATCGACGCCAAGGTAGAATAGTCCACAGCCTTGTTGGCGTGGATGATAAACCTAGATAACACAGGGTGTACCACATGGCAAGTCCATTTGTCCGGCCGGTTCTGCGAACTGTTAGCTGCAATGCCCAAGGCGATAAGGACAACTTACATAGAAGTCAGCTCTCGCAGCCATCATTCGTTCTAGCTCCGAAGCGAGGGCATTGGTACGAGACACTCGAACGGAAAATGGCTGCTGCAGAGCATTCGGACTGTACAGATTGTCATAAACCCGCCCGTAGAGGCTGGCTGCATCTATCCAGTCAGGCATCCGATTAAAGACCAGAGATGCCATCTTGCGATCCATGGGCAGTCGCTGCACTGTAATATCCTGGTCCCGGATGGTGGAGGGTATGCCGAGACGTAACGACACTGACTTCTCAAGTACATAAACCGCCCAGAATAGAGCAATCTTCCTCTGTACTGCTGGCTCAGTTGTTATACCGCTGGCGCTATGCAACCCAATGGCTTGACCCATGAGCGAGGCCCTCGAAATGAGCGTCCACGCTGTGGTGGCTTTTCCACAATGAAGGCAGTGGAGGGCCTGATTGTTTTAGCATTGGTAATTACAACCATGATCGAGCAGAAGGACAAATCTCAAAGGGAGACATACAGCCATGTACATGGCACAGATAGAAACTATGTCTGTATCGGTATGGATGGAAAGGTTTGATATAATTGTCTCCAGGCTGTCTCGACAAGTCAGTGCTTGCGCCTCGTACTCCCGCCGGGCGGCCGCGTCTCCGGCCCTATTCGAGCACTCGGTGAAGAGCCAGGAAAGACCATAGTGGACAATGATCAGCTCCATATCTGTGATTGGACCTGGCGAGCAAGCCTTGATGACGTATTGGGTGAAATCAGCCAGAGACCCAAACTCGAATGGCCAATACAGCTGGCTGGGAGAGCTCTCTATAGGAATTAGCAAATAGAGCGCATTGTCAGAACAAGTCGCGCACCTTGAGCGATTCTTAAGCATGCCATGATCTTATCCATGGGAGGGATAGGTAAGTCCCTGAGATTGAAGCCTGGAGGAAGCTTCCGAAACGGCCGTGAGCGTTCCAGGGTCTCATTCTGTTGCTTTTGGACATTGACCGTCGTCCACAAAGCATCCAGCGCCGGAGTTACTCCAGGGCTATCCGCCACAGTAGCCTGGAGAGCCTCAGCTGTGAAGATAACATGGGCGAACAACGTGGATTCGATTCCTTCCGCTCGACTCAGAGGCTGCTCGCTTGCTTTCGTACCGCTAGACAGAAGGGAGGAATGTGTTGGCAGTCGCAGTTTACCTGGATTTGCGCGGCCAACAGCATGGCGCTCATCGAGACGTTTTACTATCTCGCCAAGTTCGTCAATTTTGGTCGAAATGTCCTCTAGCCTTTGCTCGCTATATAATTGTTGTATGATCAGTCCTGCATAGATTGAATTGGGGGTGATAACCGACTATGCACTCGATATCAAGACCCGCTGCCGCTTTTCTTTGGCTTTGCCACATGTATAGGCACAGTGCACTCCTATCTTGAGGCATTGCTTACATGGATTCACACGATCACACTTGATCTGTGCAGCAGCAGTTAGTGGCATCCCTGAGATAAGTCTCCGAAGGAAGATCTAATCTATTAATCGTTAAAGAGTTCCGTACCTTGCGCTGGCGGCAACGATCGCACTGTCGACAAAGTCAGTATCCAGTTATACAGCGCAAATGGCGAAATTCCCTACAGCCACTTTGCTGGTTATTGGGCTCTTATGCTCATTCTGACCCTTCCGCTGAGAGCCGAAGTTTTCCTCCCTAGGCTGGCAGGTGGTCCCATAGCTGTTATCTGGGCTGCACGACATGATAGCAGTGGGGCCCAGGGACCCAGCAAACTTGTAACTGACAAGCCAGAGACGATATCGAAGACTTCAAGCAAGCAGCACAAGTCACGGAAGAAGGTGGATGATGGAAGACGGACAGGAAATCTCCGCTCTGACGGACTCTCGGGACGCCAAGAGTGCGCACTCCGCTGTGGAGACAATATAATATATAAGCAGTACTGGACGGTCCTTTCCTTTTACTCTCGTCTTCAGTATCTATTCTTTGACCATGAAGTACCGCGGTGTTGTCTATGATGTCGGCCTCAATTTCACTGGCCAAGGACTCTCTGTTGAACCGTTCGACCCCGCCCTGGTTGACTGCGACATGCGGACCATCGCCACTGAACTACATGCCAACGCTGTGCGCATCGAGGGAGAGGATATCCAGCGGCTGGAGACCGCAGCCCGATCAGCCAATTCCCACGGCCTGAAAGTCTTTTTCAATCCGTGGAAGATGAATGCGGGTACTGACGACACGCGTCTTTACTTTGCCGAGACTGCAAAGACGGCCGAAAGGCTGCGGAATGAAGGCATTGACCTGGTCTTTATTGTCGGTTGCGAGTACTCGATTTTCAGCAAGGGAGTGTTTCCCGGCGAGTCATTCGAGGAGCGTGCGATGTTTCTCGGTTCGCAGTTCCCTGGTGGCCATATGACGGAGGATATACCGCCGGCTTTACGTGAGAAGTCTGTGGCACTCAATCAGGTCTTGCAGTCTTTCGTCGAGGTTATTCGAGCCCAGTTCGGGGGTCCAGTCACGTACTCGGCTGGCTCCTGGGAATTAGTGAACTGGGACATGTTCGACATTGTTGGCATAGACTACTATCGGCGAGGCGAATCCGCAGAGAAGTATGTCTCGGGTCTTGACCGTTATAGACTGGACAAGCCCCTCGCTGTGCTGGAAGTCGGCTGCTGCGCCTACGAGGGAGCAGCCAGTCGAGGGGATGGTGGCTTTATACTGCTAAAAGGCACAAACCCAGACGGCACCGGCATTTTCGAAGACGATATTGTCCCGACACGGAGCGAGAAGGAACAGGCTGACTATGTAGGGACACAGCTCAGTCTTCTCGCCAACGCGGATGTTGACGCGGTATTCATTTATGTGTTTTCATTCCCGCGTATGCGGATCGGAGATGGAGCCAGAGACTTTGACATGATGTGTTTCTCGCTGGTCAAATACTTTCCGGAGCAGGACCCAAAGACAAGGGTCATGCCACCATGGGCACCCAAGGAGTCTTTCCACCGGGTTGCCGACTTCTTCCACTCGTTACAGCTGCAGGATAATAACACAGAATAATACTACGCGATGTCATTATCAAATAATGATACTTGATATAAGCTGTGATACAAATTCTAGCCAGTGTAATCGTAGATAGGCTACAATACAGACTCTAAACCCTGGGAATCACACGGGCCTCAACCATCCGGTCAAAAGCGATCTTATACCCGTCCACCGTATCAATCGTCTCATCAAAGCCAACCTTCCTCGCCTTCTCCATCGAGAACTCTCGATGAAAGTCGAAATCAACCAGCATGAAACGCGTATGAGCCCAATTCTGGGTCTCCACAGTCCCCTTCTTCAACCCATGCTTATCGACCAGGCCCTGCCACTCCTTCATATGCCCCTTCACAAAGCGCTGCATACTCTCCTTGTCCTCCAACTTATCTTCCTGGGGCTCAACGCCAACAAGGCCAAAATAATCGCAGATGCGTGGCCAAACACCCGCCCAGGTGACAACCTCACCATCCGCAGCATTGAACACACTCCCATTCCCACATTTCTCGTGATTGACCGCAACGTAGATCTCCAACCGACTCAAAAGATCCTGGAATGTATCCATATGGGTTGCATGATACCCATGCTTCTCCCCGGGGAATGGGACCTTGGCACCTTTCCCAAGTACCTCTCTATACAAAGAAAGATACAGCGCAATCCCCTGCGCCATATTCATTGCATTGCTCCCAGGCGCAAACCCCACAATACCATCAGGACGGATCTCCGTGAATGTCCAAGTACACCCGGGCTCCTGGGACATTTCTTTCAGGAGATCGTACTGCGCGTAGTAGAAGATCTTGCTCCGGTACGGCTCGGGAATGCGCGGCAGGTCTTCGTGGAGGGGTGGTTTTATGGCGACTTTGTCTGGGAATTCGACACCGTAGGCTTTTCCACCTGTTTGGAGGACTATGGTAGAAACCTTGTTGGAGGCGTTTGTTATGGCCTGCACGGCGGTTTTGAGGAGTGCGGTGTTGACTTGGAGGAGGGAGGCGTGGTCGTTGGTTTGAATGTACGCTGTTCCGTATTAGCATGAACCAGGTCTCCACGGTTATAACGGGCTTAGAAGCAAGGCGAAGGAAGGAATGTACCAGAGAAAAAAACAACATCCACATCTTCGACGTTGGGGACCTTTTTCTGGAGTTCCGACACGACTGTTGCGACAGGGGCGGTTAGGTCGATTCCGGAGACGATGTTGAGGCGAGGGTCATCAGGAAGAAATAAGTTCTTCTTGTCAACCGGGCGATTGCAGAGCCCGGTGACGCGTGCGAAGGTCGTGGGTGTTGGGTAACGGAGGCATTGTTTCATTAGCGACCAGCCGGAGATACCGGACGCACCGAAGATGAGGGCATGCTTTCCTTGAGTCATTATAACTGATTAGAAGAACTGGTTGTATACTATGAGTAGTTCTTGATGAAACGGACGTCTTAAGTAGTTGGTATAGCGCAATGACGTACATTGCCCAGACCGGGATACATATCGCGGGTTTATAAGCAGGATGGGGGTCTCGCTACTCGTTTCCCGACTTTGGAGAATTTCCAGCTATCGACGGGCAATATTCCGTAGGAACAGCAGAGAGGTAGCATTCTACTTGACCCTATTTAGCGAGATGTTAGGCCCCAAACCTTCGAAGATGATGCAAGTACTGGCGGGCCAACTAGACTGGATGAATGCCCCCTTTCCTTTTTATGTGCAGGCAATGCTGCTGCGTCCTAAATAAATCTGGATGTCCTACAAAGTAGCAGATATATTTACATTTCTGGTATATTGCGCCGTTCAGTAATGGCTTATTGCAATAATTCCTTGCTCTTTCCATCAATTATAGATTGATGGTCTAGGCTTGCTCGGGGGGCTGAGAAAAATAATTGTATAAAACAGACATAAGGGGGTCTGGTTAAACCATGCACCGAGGTTATTGCTAGGTACCATAAGTCCATAACATACTGTCTCCTTATAAACACTGCAAAAGGCCAAAATACAACCGATCATTGTTAGACCCATAGAAATCCACCTGTAGTGGACCTGCCCCTCAAGCCAAAACTTCACAATGCTCAGACTCAGCGCCATCCTTGGTAGACAACCTAGTAGCCGTTGTATCTTCCCGGCGGGCAATATTGTATGCCTCGGACCAATCCATATCCCTCCCAGCATCATGTTTAATCTCAAACAGTCGATCGACCTGCTCCAACGAAAGATTGGCGGTTTCAACGTAGAAATACCAGATGATCGGGATGAAGCAGAAGTTGAAGATTGCGTAGAGCATGTAGTACCTCCACCCGATATTATCTATCCCCGTCGGAGTGGCAACGACCACAACATAGACAAAGAGCCAGTTCACGGTCGTTGCAAAGGAGGTGCCGATATTGCGCATCTTTTGTGAATTTATCTCCGCCGGATACAGAAAGGGGATTGAAAGCAGGGACGTGCCGTAGAAGACATAGTACATGAAGATAAATACCACGGCAAGGATGGACATGCCTTTGTTCTCCGGGCCGCTGTATCTCAAGCCCACAGCAACTAGCGCGAAGCAGATACTGCTGGCCGTAACGCCCATGAGCAATAGCTTCTTCCTACCGACTCGGTCAATTAGAAGAGTGGCAATAGCGCCCCAGAACATGAGGGACATGGAGTCGCAAGCGGAGAGAATCAGGGCAAGCCGGTTACTCAGTCCAACGGACCGCGTCAAGACGATCGGAAGATAATATGCGATTACATTGGTGCCTCCCACCTGCTGGAAAATGGCAGTCCCAGCACCAAGAAGAATCCTGCGCAGAGTCTGGTGCTTGCTCTTTGTAGCGAATATCTCTTTTAGGGGGTTTGACTGCTGTAATTCTGTTTCCAGCTGAAGAGTGGCCGTCTGGCTCTGTATTTCCTCGATAACTATAGGGTCGTCGTAGGGCTTGTCCTGTAGTCGAGCATAAATATCCTGGGCCTCGTTGGCGCGGTGTTTCATGAGCAGCCAACGCGGCGATTCCGGTGCCACAGAAATAAGACCGATTGTGATAAGAGCAAAGAAGCACTGAAAGGCAAGAGGGAAGCGCCAGCTAACAGATGACTCCGGAATATAAGTAAAACCAAAGTTCATCCACTATAAAGTTAGAATTTGTCTATAGACCAAGGAATATAGTACTAGACTCACGTTACTGATAACAATCCCAAATATGTTCAATACCAACTGAAGCACAATAAGCTTCCCACGATCATTTGCCTTCGCCGTCTCAGACTGTAGAACTGGACACGCGATAGTGTTCATGCCATTGCCAATCCCAGCAACCACACGGCCAACTATCATGGGAGCCATGGAGTACGCAGCTGCTTGCAAAATGCCACCAACGATTAAAATGGAAGACCCTGTAAGGATGCATCGCCGCCGCCCCAGTTTGTCTCCAAAGAACATTGACAGTAGAGTGCCTATAATACATCCAATATCGTAGGTGGCCACTATCTGGCCTTGGATGGTGGTATTGGGGTATCCAAAAGTTCGGAGAAAATTGTCATTATCGAGTAGGCCGCCAAAGACACCTTGGTCGTAACCAAAGAGAAGAAATCCAAAACCGCATGCCGCGGTGATGCTGAACTGTAGGGGCTTTCCTCGGGTATGCTGAAGTAACATCCTGGTTTGGGCTTATGAGAAAGGAAAAAAGATAAACAAATGGGCGGGAGGAGATACCTTTATATCATAATTGGGGGCACTCTCTCCTCTTTTGTGGGGTATGCGGAGGCAGATCATCCGGGGTATACTTGCTGCCCACTCGGGCACTTTGGCCGAAATTTCGGCCTTCATTTTCCGGGATTGCTTGCAACGGGGTTGCTGTCGGGATTGTCGCCGATCTCCAAGCTCATTTCAACTCTTGATACTTTTAAATTCTCACTTTCCGGATATACTCCCTAGCAGAGACATCCCGCAATGCAACTGGAAACTAGATGATCTGCTAGAATTCTAGTTGTTTTACCACGGAGACTGGTCAGATAGTACGTCAAGGGAATCCGGATGAAGCAACGGATGGTCCAGTTATCCATTACGGCCTTATCGCATCGGCAGACCGATTAATGAGGGATGTCAACATTCGAGATCATCTGGCGGAGACGGAAGGGATCCTGTGTTTTGAAATGGAGGCAGCAGGCTTGATGAACCAATGTCCGTGTGTTGTTATTCGGGGAATCTGTGATTATTCTGATACCCATAAGAACGACCGGTGGCAGGGTTACGCGGCAGCTACAGTGGCAGTTTATGCAAAGGAGCTCCTTGGGGTAGTCAGGGCTCATTGAGACGATTTTCTTGAAATAGAATAAGTAGCAAACCTGACGCTAAGCCATAGAGCTGGCTGCCCCGGTTCACATACTTTTTTTGGCTAACATACCTAGATTGGCTCCGTTCATGCGTCGTTTATATTGTCGAATCAGAAGACAAGTTGTGGATCGTCACTTGGATCTCATGGAACTGCGGTTAGGATACCATTCTTGGTATACGAGACGGATAGCCTTGACTGTTATGGGCCTAGCGAGGCTTGCCAAGTTAAGTGCCTTTGGCGAAAGAGACGTTGCCCAAGGAGTCTGTGAGTCAAATCAGAAGGCCACTTACCCCACGTCCTATGCTCCAAGTCCTGATCAACAGCAAATCTAATCGCGGAGATACGTCTTTGCATACGATCAGCTAGCGAGTTTCGGCTTGGCAAGAATACATGCATAGAGGGCTAATCCTGTAACCAACACGGTGTCCCAATGCGCTCTAGCCAAATATTGGTTGGACCTCCTGTCATATTCTGGAATCGGAAGGCAGAGCCCTCAAGAGTGTTAAGCTAATCAGTGATCCATGCCCTGCTGGATCGGCGAGTGATGCAGTTGATGCGTCTAACATTCCCTATCAGGTAGCTCTGACGGGTATGCCCCTCGGGCCATGGCAGTTAAAGGTAATGTCATCTGACAAAGTCAGATGAGGGTGAAGTAAATGAGTGTAACAGTAAATGGCTTATAAAGTCCGTCCGGCTCTTAGCTGTCGTGGCATCCTTTCCCTGTCCAAGACCTGTTAGCTGTCGCTGAATTCGCCCACATCATCTCCAACCATTTCAGACTGGCTTATACAATGGAACTGGAAAAGCTTCTCATTGGTATCCTTGCCTTTCTTGTCTTAAGGCCTTTGGTCCTTTATTTCTACGACAGCAACAAACTGCGAAAATATCCTAACCAAAATCTCCTATCCGGCATCACCAATCTGGCCTCAATAAGCGAGAGACGGCGCAACTTCCGAACAAGAGAGTTATATATCCAGCATCAAAAGCATCCTGTCATCCGTCTTGCGCCCAATATGCTCTCATTCCGGGATGTTGCGGCGATCAAGGATATCTACGGCTTCGGATCTTCCTGCCAAAAGCACGAAATGTACAAACTCCAGAACGGCGAGGGACACATGAACATCCTTAACGTGATTGACCGCGAGGATCACAGCCGAAAACGCCGAATGCTGTCGCACGCCTTTTCCACAAAGAACCTGGAATCGTGGGAGTTCAAAATCGCCGATAAAGTCGAAAAGCTGGTGGCCCAGTTTGACAGGAGGGCATGTTCTTTGGCAACTCAGCCCGATAAGAGTATGGTTGATGTCAGGTATTGGTTCAACCTCTTCACAGTCGATGCAATTGCAGATATCTCTATCAGTGAGCGGCTTGGAATGCTCGAAGCCGGGTCAGATGTCGTCAAGTTTGAGCGTCCGCTTGGAGGGGAATGTGCACGTCCACTCATTAAGGACATGCAAGATGCAGCCCGGGCAAAGTCGAAGATAATCGGTACGCTAGGTTGGTACTATACCTTGGAAGCGGTTTCTTGGTTTGTCTCCTCGCGCTGCCGCTCGCAGCGGGATTGTGGACGTAACGTCGGCCAGATTATAAGCCACTTGACTGGCAAGCGATTGCGACGATATGGGGATGGCGAGAACATTGACGATTTCCTAAGCTGCCTTATCAAAGATAAAACGGGAAAACCTCGAGATCTAGATATGGGTGAGCTCAAGGCAGAAACGAGCATCCTGCGTAAGCCATTCCCTGGATGAAACTTATGGAACAGGCTAATATGAACTTCCAGTTGATGCCGGGTCTGAAACGACAGCGATTGCCTTGACTCACCTGCTCTACTATCTGATTAAAAATCCAACTTGCTTTCTAAAGTTAAGGGAGGAGGTGTCTGAAGCTATACCTGGAGAAACCATTGCCCCTTATAGCAAGGTGAAGAATTTGCCCTACTTAAAGGCTTGTATTGAAGAGTCACTGCGGTTATCGCCTCCCCTTCCGCGGGGACTTGAACGCGTAACACCTCCCTCTGGTGCTACTATTATGGGTACATTTATTCCCGGAAATGTCGGTGTCTCTGTTCCAGCGTATACTGCCCACCGGGACCCGGATATATTCCCAGAACCAGAGGCCTTTTCTCCAGAAAGGTGGTTTAATAATGAAAACACTGGCAAAATGCGCGAGGCATTTATACCATTCAGCGCGGGCGGTCGTGCCTGCATTGGAAGGAACATTACTATGATTGAGCAGCAAATCCTGATGGCGACTCTTGTGAACAGGTATGATTTCTCACTTCCTTCGCCTGACTGGACGCTGCAGAACGAGGAGGCGTTCAATCTATGGCCCGTTGAGCTGCCTGTGGAGATATCGAAGAGAGTTTAGAAAGAAGAGAAAAATTCGAGGAGTACGATAACTAAGCCTGAATTCAGATCAACAAGCAGGAGCCTTTCATTTTTATATACATTTATCTATGGAGTATTTAATTGTACTTCCCGATATTCCACATATTCTAGGCTGTCCTTCTCCAGCGCGGTTGAGAATGGAATCCTATTTATTCCCAGCATTGGTCTTGTAGAAGCTATATAGTAATTCCTCGGATCGAGTGACATTTGACCAGTGCAGAGAATGTCACATCTGGAGGCAGACAGAGGCCCGTGGACGAAAGAGGTAACTTCCTAAGTTGTGTTGTGGAGGCACTGCACTGCCGTGGCTTTGGTAGGGGACGCACCCCATAGTTTGTCTCCATGCAGAGTGTACAGTCTAAGCGAAAGAACGGGCTGATCCCATACTAGGATTTACCTCCACGCGTGCCTACAACAACAATGAAAATGTGCGCGAAATTTTCAAATTAAACCAACTAAATAGCACATGAGCAACTAACAACAGGCATCCTAGTTCGGCCAGCCGGCTTCCAACTAACACAAAAGAGCAGTATGAGGTGAGCAAGACCTCTCAGGCAGAATATCTCAGCTCTAACACTGGATATCCCCATTGGACAGAGCCCAAACAGGACCTGAGACAGCTTCATTGTCGGCCGTAGTATTAAGATTAACATCTTTAAAAGCTTGCGGAACGAGGCTTCCTCGCTGGGGATTGTTATCGTCATCCAGAGGCTCGATATTGACAGAGTCATCCACATTGAACGCCAAAGTTACGTTCTGCGGAAGGTTGAAATTGGAGTACAGAGTGCAGGTACGATGGCCGGAGCGAACGGATTCCGGGGTTGAGAACTTCCAAACATAGTTGGCGCAAGTCTCGATGCGGTCCAAACATGCCTGGATGCAATCGCATTCGTCTTTGATTTCTGGGAAGGTGAGATCGACTTCGGTAGTGACACCGGTAACATCAAAGCCTCGAGTGTATCGAATGCAGCCTTTGTCCTGTGTATCGAGACCTGGACAGATCCGCCTTTGACCATTTTCATGGCCAGAATCGTGTTCAGAATCGTGGTCGGGGTCATGGTCAGGATCACGGTCACGATCAAGGTTCAGATTGGCCAATGCGCCGGTGGCAAGCAGAGAGATGAGGAAGGTGGCAACATGCATGATGGAGAAAGGTTGTACGTTGTGCAGCTAACAAGAGATGTAGTACAGTGGTTGAAGGAGAGTATAAACACCAGACTCGGGGATCAAGTAGATATTTATCTTAACCTGTCAACCTCACCAAAGGGATGGTCTATTAGACGCAAATTTCTTTCTCCACGGAACTGGGCTGGGGGAATATTTGTTGTGGAATGGAATGTAGGGCATGGCAGTTGTCGGTGCTGCGGGAGGTCCAAACCCCACAAAAGTGCAATATAAGAGTAAGAATCTTTTAGGGAAATAGTTAACCTACCGAAAATATATCATGAGGATACGCCACCGTGGTCCGGGTGACCAAACATGTGCAGGAATTAGAAAATGCAACGATGGATGGCCATCCTACCAATGGTTGGCACACCGATTTGGACGTTTGTTAACTGGATGCGTTTGGAACTGATTAACATAGGCAAGGTAAGTCTCTTGTGAATAATTAGTGTACAACTATTGCTCATTTTATATTGATGAAGCTGCTATTGAGTCACTCGGGACTTGTCAGTTTGATGACTTTGAACCTTAGATCTGGCCCATTCCGTGCGCACTAAGCCAGCCCCTATGGGAACGCCCTACTGCTGATACCAGGGGACGCAAGTATTGACAAAATACTCTCAACGCATGGACGTGTTTGGAGCATTATCCTGACCTAAAATCCCGCAGCGTTCTGCGAGATTCATTTCAAGTTCTGTGAGCCACGTCGGAGGATCTAGGAAACGCTTATAAACGGGGAAATGTGAACCTATATTACTGGACTGGGAAGTTGGCTTACTTTTACTTTCTTTTAGATGTAAGCTACAGTGCTTGCTCTAGTCAAAGCACAGCAACATTCTTGGGTTTAAGGGATGTCTATGAAGCGGGGAATATGCGAATAATAGAACCCCTATCTATACCTCTATTTGCGTCGTAAAGGACACTCTCTATAGCCAATTCTGGAATCTTTCTAGCCTTTCTAGCTTTTTATGTTGGTTACAATTAGAAATCCCCAGTTCTCTCCCTTCCCGTTTATCTGTATTTATAGTGGGATCGCGTCCCACAGAACCGTGCATCTTGGCGGAATAGGAAGCCGGCCATTGCAAGGAATGTTGTCTTTGCATAAAAGCCTCAGGGTATCTAGGCAGCTTGGGCATTTTAAGATGACACCCACCTCTTTCCCTGATCAGCAACTAGGGGATCCACCAAGCAGCATGCAACAAGTATCATTCCCAGCCAGAGGTCTGACAGCGGGCGCTTCGGGACTCCTAGGCCAGTCAAAGAGCAGCATTCTGGTGATGAGAAAGTTTATTTCACTGCAAAGTCTTTCATCTCGGATTCCGGGGCACCATTGGCCATGGACCGTGTGGTATTGAGAACCTGGGATCAGGCCGCTGCTCTCCTTGCAGTCCTCAGAGCGTCCCCTTCCTGCTGTACAAAATAGGAACCCGGCCTCCCCAGGGGCTCTGTTGGCGTTTTTGATGAATCTGAATGGAATTTACCATTGGGAGACCTGAGCGAGTGGTCTTCACTCTCCTCATTCCTGGTATAAACTCAAACATTCCACTTTCTTTCAACGAGGCAGAGGGCTATAACGGAGTGAAAGACGCCGTACACAGCTTATATGATATGTATCGATAATTAGTTAAGTATCTGAGACTTATAGCATACACCACCTAGTATCATGCGATATTTGGGCTCATAAGCACTGTTTCGCCGTACAAATATGAGTCAGGAAAGCAGGATAACTCCGAGAATTTGAAGGTCTAAGAGGCTGACTTTTTTATTTCATAAAGCCTTTGCTATCCCCTCATTTGAAGGCATCTATACTTCAGTATAATCCTCCGTTCTGGTAGCGCATTATGATTCATCGCAACTGGTGTTATGAGCTCTGCACCGTCAAGACGATAATCCTATCGTTCATTCACGCATGGCTTATGCAAGGTGCTTTATTTCGAAAGCATTGTCGCGGAATGGCTGTTTACCTCGCTTTCTATCTTCCCTGATAAACCCCCTTTCCTTTGCCTCCAATAGCCTCGATCATATAGTCCTTGAGCGTCGTAAACTCAAAGTCCGGATACAAGTCCTTGCTGCTCAGATACCCCAGATATGCAGCATATTCCGGGGTATTGTCGCCACGAATTCCCCAAGAAAAGAATAATTGAGAAACTGACAGCATACCAAACGCTGAACTATCTGCCGGGTTTTGTTCGAGTGCAAGACGCGCCTTTTCAATGCGTCCTTTGGCATCCGCTTCCGATATCTGTGCCCAGGAACCATTTTAGTATTTTCCTCTAAACCGATGTTATGTCATTGGGAGTATGGAGACTAACATATTGGCGGTCGAGCTTTTCTCCGCTTACACTCTCGAGCAAGTCGTAAACCTGGTCTCGGGTGTGAACCTCATTGTACACATGCACTTTCTTGTTCAGGGCTCGCGGATCAGTAATGATCTTCGCAACATAACGTCCAACATCCCTGATGTCTGCCAGTGCACTTGGTACGGTTCCGTCCAGGCCAATTGGTTGTTCAGGCTGGCTAGCTGGCAGGAGATAATCGAGGCGTCCTGAAGGAAGACGAGGAAGCGTGATTTGATACCACCAGCCAGCATCTATGTACGTGTACGGCAAACGTATTTTCTGGATGTAGTTGAAGTTTTCTTCTTTCTGAAAGGAAATTAACATATATAAAAAGACTCGTTCGAGGGTTTGTTACCTTCTCACGGAAATCGACAACGCCTCTTGGGGGTATAACAACCATAAAGGCCGACTGGACAAACCGCTTCACCCCTGCCGCCTTAGCGGCATTTGCGAGAGGTATTTCGTCCCCTAGGCTGCCAAAGAAAATGGCGGAGATGACAACATCGACACCTGAGAGGACCTCGATAAGTTTATCCAGAGGGCCACTCAAATTGACAGGTACGATTTCTACACCCCGGCTTTTGAGATCTTCATTGATAGGCTTGCTTACGGACTCTGGTCGAGTAAGAGCCTTGATTTCCTGCTGAATGTAAGCGATCTGAAGAGAGTATATTATAAAATTAGTTGCACATACAAAGTTCGCGTCAGAAGAACTTAGCAGCCCGTTGACAATAGACTGTCCGGTTTCGCCACTTGCTCCCACGATGGCGACTTTGATCAAAGGGGCCATTGTTTTGTTTAAGGTGCTGACAGATATTGCAGTATGGAAAGACGGCTAATACCGCTAGTGGTTTTCTGGTCTTTAGGGTTATTCGATATAAGAGACGATGGTGGCAAGAAATATTCCAAGTCTCTGGCGGTGCAATATATATATGTTCCGGAAGGCAAAGTTACTATTCGGGATGCCGAATTGTCACCACGATCGAAAGTTTAATCATCATCAGTCATATTCTTATAATTATGTGGAATTTGCACAAAATGGCTATTCTTTTGTGTTCCCTTCCATTACAAAGCAGCGTGAGGCGTACGGAGCAACCGCAGACCGACGGAATATAAAGTCCGCTGTCTGCCAAGCCGTCAATTGTGGGGCCGATTCTCTGCCGATCGACACTAGTTAGTTAGTTTCGAAGCGTTTGTCAGCTAGTATACCGTGACGGCCATGATAATGTAAAAAGTTGCTTTGGCAGAGTTATAAATAAAGCATTTATCTCTGAAAATAGGAGACGCGCATCTTATCACCTCCTATATCTGTTCCTATCTGCGAAAATGTCTGAAACTCGCCTCTTCGAGCCATTGAAGGTTGGCAACCTTCAATTTAACCACCGTGTGGTTATGGCGCCTCTGACCCGATTTAGGGCAAATGACGATCATGTTCCACTTCCCATCGTTCCGACCTATTATGGCCAGCGGGCTTCTGTGCCAGGGACATTCATCGTCAGTGAAGCGACCTTCATCTCTCCACGCGCTAGCGGCTATCCCAACGTCCCTGGAATCTGGAATCGTGAACAAATTGCCGCGTGGAAGGAAGTAACCGATGCTGTCCACAAGAAAGGCAGTACTATTTTCCTGCAGCTTTGGGCTCTTGGGCGCGTCGCTGTCCCTGAAATTGCCCAGGCCGAAGGGTTCGATGTGGTGAGCTCTAGCGCTACGCTTCTTGAGCCTGGAACGCCGGCACCAAGAGCCTTGAGTAAAGAGGAGATTCAGCTGTTTATTACCGAATACGTACAGGCTGCCCGGAATGCACTCGAAGCTGGATTCGACGGGGTGGAAATCCACGGTGCTGGCGGGTACCTGATTGACCAGTTCACGCAAGATAAATGCAACAACCGAGACGATGAGTATGGTGGGAGCATCGAGAACCGATCTCGGTTTATTCTTGAGGTTGCTAGTGCTGTGTCAAATGCTGTGGGCCCAGAAAGGGTTGGAATCCGTTTATCGCCATGGCAGAGGTACCAGGGGATGAGGATGGATGATCCAATCCCACAGTTCAAGTATGTCATCGAGCAGTTGAGCAAACTGGATCTAGCATATCTCCACCTGATTGAAGCACGCGTTTGTGGTAATGTCGACAGTGAAGATCGTGACAGAATTGATCCCTTTGTCCATGCATGGGGAAACGAAAACCCTGTGATTCTCGCGGGAGGATTCACCCCCGATTCAGCGAAAGCTACCGTGGACGAGGAATTCCGAGATAGGGATGTGATGATTGCCTTTGGGCGCCATTTCATCTCAAACCCCGACCTGCCATTCAAGATTCGAAGAGGCCTGGATCTGACCCCGTATAACCGGGACAGCTTTTACGTCCCTGAGTCCGGAGAAGGCTATGCCGATTACGGATTTGCCCCAGAGTTCCAAAGTGAGGTAGCCAGCGCTTGAGACTTTGGGGAGGGCTTTTCAGCCACCGATATTGTCATCTATGAGCATGGGATGGGTGAGGAAAGGTTTGATCCACGGATCAGATTATAAATCGTGTCAAAACTAGAATGTACGCTAGATAGAGATAGAAATAGAAATTTGGATATAGATATCGTGCCAAATTAACTCGGTCTGGAATTATCAATTAATTTCTTTGTATAACATCATGTCTAATTGCGTGCAATGGGTTGAGGACTAGTCTGGGGTTTCCCCACACGAGGAGCATCCTGCTTGTGTCTCCAAACTCGGCACGAACCGTTTAGATATTCTCGAGACGAGTTCCCTCTCGACCAGACAATATCGCCTACGTTTGGCCGCATGCCAACGGACCCGCAACTGTGCGTTCCCGATCACCGCATCAACGGCAGCACCACAAACGTCCCGCAGCCGCGGCCTGAGGACAACCAGTGGGTGAGTCTGAGCTTGTACAAAGTCTATAGTCCGAGCAATTTATAGGAACTGGTACTTTTATCGTTGAAAACACGAGTCGAAGTAAAAGCATTTCCTCGGCGAAAATGGTGGAGTGGATCCTTTCTCGCCTCGAGGTTATTCACAGTATAACTTGGTCAAGCAGCCACTCGTAAGAAGATGATTATTACAACCAAACAATTTCCACATTGCTCGGTACTCACATCAGTTGCACTCCGTTCCATCTAACATGTCCTGGAAAGATTCAAACCGCCATAAGCGCATCCTGCGCGACGCCGAAGCCGGCCGCTACGGGGTCATAGCCGCCATCGCCTACAACATCGAGCAAATCATAGGACTCATCCGCGCCGCAGAGACAGCGCGCTCACCATTAATCATTCAATTCTTCCCATGGGCTATCGAAGCCACCGACGGCTTGTTGGTGCGGACTGCAGCCGAGGCCGCAAGACGCGCAACCGTCCCCATCAGCATCCACCTAGACCACGCCCAGTCAGAATCTATTATCAAGCGTGCAGCAGAGCTTCCCTTTGATAGTATCATGGTGGACATGTCGCACTACGAGAAGGAGATTAACCTGCAGAAGACGCGCGACCTGGTGACATACTGTAATGACCGCCAGAAAGCTACCGAGGCTGAGCCGGGGAGAATTGAAGGAGGGGAGGACGGAGTTATGGATACTGCGGGACTGGAGGCTTGTATGACGACTGCTGATGAAGTGGATGAGTTTCTCAATACAGGTGTGGATGTGCTTGCACCTGCGTTTGGCAATGTGCATGGTGAATATGGGCCGCGCGGGCCGCAGCTTGATTTTAATAGGTGAGCATCTCTTTAGGTTGGTCCTGCTTTATGATATACTAATGTATTTATGATAGATTTCAGAATGTTCGCACCCAGGCGAACGGGAGAATCAATCTAGCTCTACACGGCACCAACGGGTTTGCCCCGGAGCTGATGAAGTGCTGCGTGGCCGCTGGTGTCACCAGGAGCAACGTCAACCGGCTTGTGTTGGACGACTACTATGACCATCTCCGGGCAAGCGTTGACAAGATGCCGCATACTCAGCTGATCGAGGAAGGTATTCAGAAAGTGGCAGATCTGACAGTGAAATGGATGGAGATCGCTGGGTCTGCGGGTAAGGCAAAAAGACAGAACTGTATATAGATACTCGAATGTTAGCTTTAATGAGTGCATCTTCTCATCAGAGTCCAATGAATAAAACTGGCGAAATTTATTCTATGTCAATTCTATCAATTACATGAAAAGCACTGCCACAAACTACTGCAATTTACTAAACATTCCCCCATCAGCCAACAGCCCTGTGGCATTCACATAACGACTCATCTCCTCGCAGGCCAGGAAAACTGCCGGCCCCGCCATATCTTCTGGATCACCAATCCGACCAAGCGGGATACGCTCTTCAAGCATAGCCTTCTTGGTAGGGTTCTTCATATCGTGGTCGGCCAACTGGGTGGCAATCGTGCCGGGCATGAGAGCATTGCACCGGATCTTGTCTCCACCCAGGGAAATCGCCATGGACTGCATCATAGAGAGAATAGCAGCCTTTGTTGGTGTGTAATGGGTCTGAAAACCGCCGCCGACCAGGGCGCTGACGGAGGAAATACCGATGATGGACCCGCCGTGGCCTTGCTCGACCATCTGGCGAGCGGCGGCCTGGCAGGAATAGAAGCAGCCTTTGACGTTCACGTCGACACTGTGATCGAGGAGGGATGGCTCGATTCTGGTGGTATTGTTAGCGCTTTGACTTTTTTTGTATCGAGGAATGGCGTAGGTAGGTACTAACTTGAGGAACTCTGCTTGCTTGAAGACACCCGCATTGGCGACAAAAATGTCCAGCTTCCCCCATTGCGATACAGCCTGCTTAACCAGGTTGGTGCTGGTGGAAGGATTTGTCACGTCGCCTGGGAGCTCTAGGATCTCGCCTGCCTTGATACCCGTATTCTTGATCGCCTTGACCTCCTCGAGAAGACTGTGACGGTGCTGCTCATCCTTTTCCAGACCGAGGTGATTGACGGCGACATTGCATCCTTGCGTGATGTATGCCAGAACAATTGCGCGACCGATTCCAGTGGTGCCACCGGTGATGGCGGCAGTCTTGCCTTTGAGCAAGTTCCAGGCGGGCAGGGCAGCCATTGTGGATGAGCGATGAGAAATGGACGACGAGTTGGGCAAAGAGGAGGGTTTCAGGAGTGAGAATCTGGTGTTGAGAGGTGATAAGGTGATAATCGTGAAGCTGCTGCATTTTTGACCGGCGTCTTGTTCCCCGCGTTGGAGAGGGATCCGCTGTCTCGTCTCGGGGGCGTTAGTTGCAGAGTTCGCCGTGTCGAGGGATTACCCACGCGGGGAGTGGATCGGCCACTGGCCATGCTATGCCCCGACCCGAGGATGGTCCAGAGTATTTGTTGACGCGGAGGGGCAGAGGGGCGTGTTTTCCGTCGTTTATAAAATAGATTCCCCTTCCTTAAATGATCTGTGATTCAATCGTACTCGCCTGATTCCATATCACTACTATCATCACAATGGCTCCCTCCGCGACAGAATCAGCTCCCCTCCAGGCGGACAACACCCCTCAGACCCAGATCGGTCTCAGCGGAAAGGTCATAGCAAGTATGCATACCAGGAATACTACAGAACTACAAAAAGAGCATCACTAATGTCCCATCCACAGTCACCGGTGCCAACCGCGGAATCGGTCTAGGCATCGCCGAGTGCTGCCTTTCCAATGGCGCAGCAAAGGTCTACTCCATCGACATTGGTGAGGCTGGAGACGAATTCGCTGCCGTGTCCAAGCGCTTCCCCGGCCAGCTGTTCGCTGTCACTGCCAATGTGACTGAAGAATCGACCATCACTGCTGCTATTGATAAGATCATTGATGAGGCCGGTGCTCTCCACGGCATGGTCGTCAACGCCGGACGCACCCACCACAAGGCCGCTCTCGACTTTACGAAGGAGGATATTGAGACCTTGTTCAATGTCAACCTCTTTGGTGCCTTTTACACCGCACGCGCCGCTGCTCGTGCTTTTATTAAGCTCGGAATTAAGGGCTCTGTTGTCTTCACAGCCTCCATGGCCTCTTACCGACCTAACAAGGTATGAAGAAGAGTAAATCCCGTTCTTTTGTAAATAATTACTAACAGTTCATCTCAGCGCGTCCCCTCCACCCCCTACGGTGCATCCAAAGCCGGCGTTCGCAACATGACCCACACCCTGGCAATGGAATGGGCGCAATACGGAATCCGTGTCAACAGCGTGTCCCCTGGCCTGGTCAAGACTGCCATGACATACTGGGTACCTCAGCAGCCTGACTGGGAGCAGCAGCTCAAGTACTATGGTGGATTCCCTCGGTTGGCGGAGGTACAGGAACTAGGCGGTGCCTACGTTTATCTCCTTAGTGACGCCGCCAGCTACACGACCTCTATTGATATTCCCGTGAACGGTGTTATTGGCAGTAAGTGTTTCCGTTACAAATGCTTGTGTGGATTCTATACTAACAGGTTGCAGTTTGCTAAATAAATAAATAAATAAAACGAATAGACCGCCCTGTATGGGTTTCATTGTACATGTGAATATGAATGTTTCTTAGTTCAATAGAATTTTGATCTTATTTGAGTTATATCATTGTCTTCGTAAATCTCCCACATGGCTCCCTGAATTCAGTGAAATGCCAATTTATGGCTCTCCCGAGCTCGAATTGCCCTGCATTCATGCCTTTAATATTATTTGATGCTGGTATACGAAAATCTTTGCCTAGACTCACAATATATTTCCACTCTGAAAAAGATATTTAGCAAGGTTCTGGTTATTATATAATACCACTGACAGGGTTATATTGTAGATGCCAGGCGTAATTAATAATAGCAGTCTTACACTTTCAAGGTTACACCTATTTTGAATTCTTCCTTTTGAAATACAAAGATAGAAACTTAGTATAACCCATTGGTGCTAGTTCATGAGATAAACAGTCCTCGCTCATTGTCGTATAGGCAGCAGTGTAACAGTGTAACGGGAGAGTGGCTTTACCCCCCACTTAGTTAGTAGAAACTGTTTCCTCATGCTCCGACTGAGCATTCCATGCCTTCTCCGCATCGGTCACAATCTTCCCGCCGTGACGAGCGGCGCCGAAGTTCGGGTTCTCGGCCATAAGCCTGGCAAAGTTGGACTCGGCCACCCAGACCCAGGGAGCTTTGGCTGCAAAGAGCAGGTCGATTTCCTCGAGTGTGCGCTGGCTGGATTCGGGGTACAGAGCCCATACTGGTTCTTGTTAGCGAGGCTAAAGGATAATATCATTATTTTTACTCACCGATTGGGATACTGATGAGATTGACAGCACCGAATACGTGCAGGGTGTTCTCGCCAATAGAGCCGAAAATATAAGGGAGCGCCAGGGTCAGCGATCTATTTGAATGTTAGCATCCATACTGAGAAATAACAAAATGGTAGACAAACCCATTACCCAAACTCCAGCCCACAACACCCCAGGCATTCCCCTTGGCTCGCACCTTGAGCGGAAAGATCTCTGCTGGGTACAGCCACGGAACAGTGAGCCACGTTGCACCAAAGACAAACGTGTACAGATAGACCATGGAGGTTGCGCCAATGCCCCAGGGGCCCTGGTTGTCGGGATGGTCTGTACCACCACGAGCAAGTCCTCCTGCAGCGAACATGGCAATTGCTTGTCCTGCCGCTCCCCACCAGAGGGTCCAGCGACGACCGATGCGATCGAGCGTGAAGACACAGAGAAGGGTTGCGAACGCGTAGAAGATGTTGTTCAGTCCCGAGATCCACATTGTCTTTTGGGAATCGAAGCCGGCGATTTTAAATATTGCTATAAGCCAATTAGAATTTGGATGGATTGAAGGGAGAACCGTAGAGACAACGTACTGGGAGCGTACATGGTGACACCCGCGATTCCTGACCAGCTTTGCAGAATCTGTAGCCAGACCACGAGCTGCACACGGCGAGCGATGTGCAAATCTCCATCACCAATGCCAAACAACATATGGAAGTAGGTGACGTTCTGCCCTGATTCATGCTCAAGCTCGACGATCGCCTCAATCTCACGCATTTCCTGGATGGCTGCGTGTTCGTTCGCGGACCCACGGAGGCGCTTGAGGACATAGAGTGCTTCGTCGCGACGGCCCATCATGCAGAGCCAACGCGGGGATTCGGGGAAGAACCAGCATGTTGTCACAAGGATAAGCAGCATGACTATCTGGAAGGCAACAGGGAATCGCCATTGGAACTGAGATGTGCCATCACTAATATAGCTGAGCCCGAAGCCCAGCCAGTAAGCCACCACCACCCCGACAATATTCAAGGTAAACTCCATGGCGATGAACATGCCGCGCGATTCATAGTCTGCAAGCTCGGAGCCGTAGACGGGGACGGTAGCGTTCAGCATGCCTGTTCCGACGCCGTTGATCAGACGGGACACGATCATCCACGTTGGGTTCATTGCGGTGCACTGTAGCGCGGCGCCGATGATACCCCAGACAGAACCGAACGCAAGGGAGTTGAGACGGCCGTATTTATCACTGACATACCCGCCGAGGAAGCATCCAACCAGGGTCCCTAGGTAGTAGACAGAGACGATCCCCCCCTGCAGCAGGGTGTTGGTTACAACAATTCTCCCATTCTCCTTATATCCCAATCCCATTTGATCCACGTACGCCTTGGAGTCGTTGACTCCACCCATCATTCCTTGGTCATAACCTTCATCCATCAGCACGAGTCATTCCAGTTGAATCATTTGCGGCTCACCGAAGAAAAAAATGGCGAGGCCAGCGAGGAGGTTAACTGCTATCAGGAGTGATCTCTTCTCCAGCTTGGAAGCGATCTTCCATTTCGCCCGCTCATCACTGAACTTTCCCAGCATGGCACCGTGGAAGAGGATAGGGGGTATTGGCAGTCAAAGAAGGAGGAAGAGAAAAAGCAAGTGAGAAATACCAAGATGGTCTCCGTGGCGGTTGATGTGTCATGATATAGGGGCATCGGGGGCTAATATACACATGGGCAAGACCATACACGCCCCGGATTTGTCCATTCAGGCGGCAAGACTGAAGATCGGCTCCCCGGATCAGAAAAAGAGGATGAGGGTGTGGAGTCAGTTGGGGTCAGCTAGGGGATGCTCGCGTCGAGTGTGCTCGCCTCGGGGGTATAGAATAGAAACGGAAACCTGATCCTATTGCTGGAACGCCATTGGATGGTTCGTCGTTTACAGCCTAAACTTCTGGATGATATTCTTGCAACGGCTATCCGAGATCATACGGCACACCGAATCGCCGACATTACTGCCAAGTATGTTGTTCCATACAGTACATTATCCAATTATGGTCATTTCTATGCTGCTCCGAGTCGCTTATCTACCAACTCCCGGTACTCGCGCTGCTTGGAGCACATGTCCAGGAATACCTCATACTTGGCCTGGAGAAGCCGCTGCTCGTCCGCATCAGCTGTAGGATCCACGCGTCGGCCAGGCTTGCTCATTTGATCCATGATTCCCCACAAGTCCTTCGACTTCGCCCCGGAGGCATTTGTGGCGGCCATAGCCGCGAGCATCGCCGCACCGTGGCAGACAGCGGCGTGGACGTATTCAGGAAGTACAACCGGCATTCAACAAGCAGAAGCGATCAAATGGACCAGGATGTCATTCTGCGTCTGGGAGCCTGACATGAAGACTGTCGAGATTCGGTGCCCGTGTTTGTTCATCGTGTCGACAATCTGACGTGTTTGCAGAGCGATAAACTCCAAGACGCTGTAATAATGGAGTGCAAGGTTCTTGAGTGACTGATCGCTTCTTAATCCAATGATTGCGCCGCTCATTTGCGGGTCTGCAATGGGAGACCGGTTTCCCCATAAGTCGCCGTAGAAAAAGAAGTGTTTGGCCAGCGCAGCCACATGGGCCACCTGGGCCTGCTTGGCTTCTTTACGAAGATACTCGTTTAGGAAGTTGTAGATATGCACACCGGCTTGCTTGGCTGCCGATTTTGCTGCCGAGTATGCGGGGTGGCTCTCAACAACATGTCGGATGAGCTCACCCGTTGCCGACTGGCCCCCTTCTGCAAGATATGCACCCGGGAAGAGGACGTCCCGGTACGGGCCCCAGATCCCAGGGACGAACAATTCATCATCCGACATGGCCAGATGGCATGTTGAGGTGCCGGCCACCACCGCCAGCCGATGAGAGACATGCTCCTTGTGGTCCGTCCCCTCGGCAAGTCCAAGGTCAGCCTTTGCACCGACAGTGCCAATCCAGCCTGCGTAGGCGTCTATTACGCCGCTGCCAACGGCGATTCCCGGTGAGAGCCCTAATCCAGCAGCGGCCTCTGCACTTAGCGGGCCCACGCACTCGCCTGCACTGAGATATACCCCATTCTGAGACATTTACATGTTAGCCTGTGTAGCTGATAAACAGGGAGCCCGAGAGGAAAATCAACCTTGCAGTTTATACCGCCAAGTCTAGCAAAGCCATCAGCTGCAAGATCCTCCAGGCCGATTGACGTCAAAAAGTCCAGTTGCCAGCCCTCTTCGCCTCGGTCTGTACCGGATACAAGATAGCCCTGCTTGCAGATCACGCTGCAGTAGCTGCGAGACTCCCTTCCAGTTGCCAAGTGGGTTAGAGCATCTGCAAGGTCATAAAATTTGCAGTTCCGAAACAGGCTGGCATCCATATGCCTCTTCAGCCAGAGGATCTTGGGCATCTCCATTTCAACCGACATGCCCCCACCCACATACTGGAGTACAGGGTGGCGAGTCGCATTAATGGACTTTGTCTCTTCAACAGCACGGTGGTCGAGCCATAGGATTACATTCCGGTCATTACTCGAGTCCAACCCGCTGACAGAAACTGGGCTGTCGGTGTCGTTGCTGAAGACGGCAAGGGAGCAAGTCGCATCGAACGCAAGGCCGCGGATTTTGGACGGTGGCACGCCACATTGCTGGACTGCCTGCTTGACTGCCGTGCAGATACTCTCCCAGATGTTGGCGGTTGATTGCTCGTAGAACTCCGGGCTCGGTTGCCATGTTTTGATCTCCTGCGATGCGAGACCGACGATGCTGCCTGTGTGATCGATGACGCAGGCACGGGCACTGCCTGTTCCTACATCGACTCCGATGTAGTGATCTCCGTGCTTGAAGCTGACCATATTGGCTCTCGAGAAAACAGAGGTAAGGGGGCACTTGAGTATATCGAGCAGGAACACCAAGGAATCGTTGAAGGTGGGAATACAGCGGGTTTTCAGCGACTTCTACTCAGTCGGTCTTTTAAAGGCATTTAAATCAATAATATCTACTTCTCTCGCGCCCATACTTCGTGTATACTCTCGCCTGGAGTTGATGATATCCGAGTCTAGAGTCCTGGAGAGGCAGTGGGGAACCCCCGAGACGAGGCAGATTCCCGAGGCGGAGGATATGCACGAGCCGGTGATCGCACAGCTGGTATAACCCATATGGTTATCTGGACCATACTGAGTCTATGAACGAGGAGAAGAATTCACAAGTCAATTGGAATATAAATACATCCCACTGTCTTTCTAGGGCTTAACATACTAATTGTTCAATTTTTGGCATTTCTCTCAAAATGGTCCTCTGTAAACCCAATGATGCCCCGGTGCAAAAGCTCTTCGATCTGACCGGCAAGGTCGTCGCCATCACCGGTATGTTACTTTTATTTGAAGAGGGGTCTTCGCTGACAACTTAGGCGGCGGGCGAGGAATCGGTCTAGCTGTGGCTACTGCATACGCTGAGGCCGGGGCCCAGGTATGCTAATAACTAGCCCCTACAATGAGACTGATCCGTACTAACACCCCCAGATTGCCCTTCTCTACCGCACAACGACAACCACCGTAAAGACAGCAGAAAACATCGCTTCGGAATACCAGACCAAAGCCCGCGCCTACCAGGCCGATGTCACAGTGCCAAAGGAAATCGGCGCAGCGATTGACCAGATCGTCCAGGACTTTGGCAAGCTGGACGTGATTGTGGCGAATGCAGGGATCTGCTCTGAGCATGCGGCAGAGGAGTACACCCCTGAGGAGTTCCAAGAGATCATGAACGTCAATGTCAATGGTGCTTTCTACACTGCACAGGCTGCGGCAAGGGTCTTCAAGAAGCAAGGTTTCGGAAATGTGGTTATCACGGCGTCAGTTAGTGCGACGCTTGTGAATACACCTCAGCGACAGGCTTCAGTATGTATCTCTTTCCTGCCTTGCATAAATCAACCACGGTTAGAGCTATTTAGACTAATCTATCGCAGTATAATGCATCAAAAGCGGGGGTGCTGCAACTGGCCAAGTCACTGGCCGTGGAGTGGGTAGACTTTTGCCGTGTCAACTGCGTCTCGCCGGGCTATACACAGACTCAGATCATGGAGTATGCGTCCAAAGAGATGCTGGACAAGTGGTTGGCTCAGATTCCGGCCCGTCGGTTTGCATCGCCATATGAGCTCAAGGGAGTAAGTATCTAAAATGTCTTTTCTAGTTTGGGTTTGGCTAACATGGGTCCCAGGTGTACCTCTTCTGTGCTTCGGATGCGTCTAGTTATATGACGGGTTCGAATATTGTCGTTGATGGTGGATTTACTTTGCCTTGAGTTTAAATAATACATACGTATGGTTAGACAAAATGGAACCGGTGGATAGGATCTTAGACGACGCAGCGATACGCGATAATGTAGTGATCCTTTATTTTTTGACAATGCAGTATAGAAAGACAGCCTAATATCGCTAGTAATTTTTATAGTCGAACTGGGTTTCGGTACTTATTTGTACCAAGCTTGGTCTGATATTACAAGTAGGAAAGCGCTTTTTTTTTGGCCTCTGCAATTCAGAATGGAAAGTCCAATCCCAGCTGCTCTTTTAATAAAAGCGTTTCTCTTAGTATCAACTGGCAGCCTTGTAGTTACAACACATTCACACGAAAAGTGGCACACGGAGTGACCATACGAATATTGAGCTTCAATATATCAGCTTCCTATAGAGTTATTCGTACGAATGCAACGACTAAGAGATGTAGAGCAAGAATTGATAAAGGAATGCATTTCAAATTCTATTAGCTTATTGTACTCATTTTTCCCAATACCTATAACTAGTGTGTCTTCCCTCTCTTGGTCCCCTCAATCCCCTCCAGATCACTGTACAACCGCCACTCATAGTCCAAGCTGGGATCATTGAAGCGAGCCTTCGCATCCAAAGTAGCGATCCGGGCCATGTCCTCGGGCTGCAGCTCGAAATCAGCCTCCAAGTTCTGGTCAATCTGCCAGTCCACAACACTCTTGGGAATGACAGAGCGGCCGCTGTTGATACCCCATGCAAGCACTACCTGCACCGGCGTCTTGCCGTACTTCTCGCCGATCTCCTTTAGTAGCGGCTGGTCGATGACTCGCATCATATGCGCAATCTCCTTTGACCATCCGGTCTGGCGGTAGAAGTCGTTCATGTTGCCTAGCGGGCTGAACTGGACGACGTGGATACCCTTGTTCTTCAGCCACTCGTTGAATCCCTTCTGCTGTAAATAGGGGTGTCCTTCCATTTGATGAACAGCGGGGACCTGAGGAGAGAATATTATTAGTCTTAGGCATCTTGGGAAGCCGATTGACTAGACTTACTGTAGAAGACTCCTTGATCAGCGCCTCGATCTCGCCCTTGCTGAAGTTCGAAACCCCAATGGCCTTGACCTTGTTGGTCTTGGTCAACTTCTCCATCGCTTTCCACGTATCGACAAAACTCGTCTCGCCGTGGATCATCCTGCCCTCAGCATCGCGTGGGAATCGGTCCGGTCCACGCTTGAAGGTGCAGGGGTAATGCATCAGCAGCAGGTCGACATAAGGGGTATCCAAGTCACGGAGAGAGTCGTCCAGCGCACGCTCCACATCATCAGGGTGGTAATCATTACACCACAGTTTTGTGCCAACAAAAACCTCCTCCCGGGGGACGCCGCTCTTTTTGATTCCCTTCCCGACCTGCGTTTCGACATCGTAGACCCGTGCCGTGTCGATCAGGCGCATCCCCTTCTGCAGGGCGCGGCTGACGGTCTCTTCCTGGGACTCTGCATCCTGGAATGTGCCGAAGCCCAGAGCTGGGATCTTGGCTCCCGTGTTGAGTGTGTAAGAGGTTGCGCGGGTGGCTAGAGTCCGCGAAGAGTGCTGTCGCAGGGGGGACAAGGAGTTTCTGAGTGCAGCGCGGGCTGCTCCGCTTGCGAGGGATGCCATGGTTGTGGCGTTAGGAGAGGAAAGAATAGCTGGCCGCTGGGCAGCTTTCCCCAGTCGCACTGGCGGGGTTTAAATGGATATCACCGTGGACGGAGCTGTGGCTGTCGCGCGGGGGCAGTGGGGATAGACCCGTGTCGAGATGCCTCGAGACGAGCAGTGCCAAGGCATCCTTCCTGAGGCATAAATATCGTATTAGTTAATTTTAAGTGTACTGCGGTTTTTCACTCATGGTTAAATATTAGACAGTAAAAAATGGTGAATATTGAGATCAGACGGAGAATCCAATCAAACAGGCATGACTTGAGGGCATCATGTATACTGTGAGGGAAACCCATGATGGGTCACCCACTGATCCTTACTGAGCTGGGAAGAGGTCCATTATATGGAGGGCTTTGCATTCACATCAAGCGATGGCTATTCGAAAGTTTTCTCTGCTAAAACGCAGGGCTTACCAACATACAACAAACATATGATCCATCTGATATCCTATACTGAGCTATAAAGTCATCCTCAGGCAGCAAGGATGAATCACATACTCTTGTTTCAGCTTTGGCTTGGCATTCACGGTGCAGGTCTTGCTACCACAAGGGTGGGAACACAGCTGCAGGAATAAGTCAACGCCTTCGTTTTGGTAATTTTGGGGATCACCAAGGATAGGAATAGCTTTCTGAAGGAGTAGGAAGACTTTCAAAACATTGATGTGGTTGTGATTACGACACAAGAGGAGCAACGTACTGCTATATATAATCGAACAATCTAGGCTGCTTTCAGCATTTAGAACTTCAGTAGATTGTCTGATAAGTCTCGATGCGTCTAGGCACTGAAAGTACAAATCAAAATATCACAATATAGTCCTCCCAGACTCACAGCTGCACCGGAGAGGTTATCGTAGCCAGAGGTAAAAATATACGGTCGGAGTGAGAAGTAGGTGCACCTCCACATAATTCATTATTGCTGGGCGAGCGGCTTCCCACTGCCATTTTATATACGTAGTCTATATTTGCATCTATTATCTATTTTGGCCGACAACTCTATAGGCATTGTTGCTGGCATATTAGGAGGTACCCTCCCTGGTCGCTCCGTCACCCTCCTTAGCCCCCTCAGCCACCGTGTTCTGACCTTCTGCTTCATGCACCTGGTCACCGACAGTCGACTCAGAAGTCGTACTCTCCGTAGACTCCGACAGGCTACGTCGCTGGGTTTCATCTTGGACACCCCCAGAAACAGCCCCAGCCTCTTCATCCGTAGTCTGATTCTTCTTCACATCAAACGCGGGCGCGAACTTACTCCTCACCCGAATCTGCTTTCCGTACTTATAGAACAGGAACGGGATGATTCCGAGCACAGTCGCAACACCACCGATGAGACTGCCCCCGCCTCCAATTCCCATGGCTGTGAACATCTGGTTTGTGAAGAGGGGTGCGGCGGCTCCGCATGCGGATCGCGCGATGGTGTTCGCTGCGATTGCCGAGGCGGCGTACATTAGATAACAATCGACGAGGTAGTTTAGATATGAGACGAAAATGAGCAGGAGGCAACTTGAGAGGAAACATCCGGCGAGGGTGGGGACGATCCAGTGGACGTAACTGACATCCCAGTTAGTAATGTTGTCTCTTGATAATGAAAGGAATGGTAAAAGCTTACTTATATTCAGCCGACCAGGCAAACCAGAACATGGTAGCCGGAAAGCCAACACCGCCAATCATCGCGAGGGTGAGTCTGTCCTCGGGAACGGTATCCTCTATCTTCTTCTCGCCGCGTTCAATCCTGCGTTGTCGAATATGCGTATCCGCTAACACAACCAGACCTCCGATTAGAGCCCCGACGACGGTTCCAATCAAAGGAAGCTCGCCCACGCCGGAGTTCCACCCGCGCCGTTCTTGGAATACAATCGGGTAGATGCTGAAAAGCATATAGAGAAGGGTATATACCACAGCCATATAAATCGCACAGAGGAGCGAAATCGGGTCGAAGAGAATAATCCACGGCCGGGTGAGTGCGACCTTATAAATTCCCACAAGTGTCCGATCACTATCCTCGGCCTGCGCCTTGACGTTCTCATACCCCGGGATCTTGGCCTTGCGGATGCGTTTTGCTTTGTTGCAGAGAACGATCGGCGCGTATGTCTCTGGGATCGTAAGCATGAGGATAGCCGTAGCTCCGCCTAGCCAGAGGAGGACGTAGAAGCTCCATCGCCAGTCTTTTTCTAGCTCGAGGAAGCCGGCGATGACGGGGCCCAGGGCTGGTCCGACGTAGACCATTGCTGAGAACCCGGCCATGGCGTTGGAGCGCTGCAGTGGATCCCATAGATCTGCTAGGACGCCCGGGGAGTTGCTCAAGGGTGCCGAGACGAATGTGCCTGTTAGGAACCGTCCGACGAGCAGGGCGCCTAGGTTCGGAGCGAAAGCGCATAGGAAGTTGAAAGCGAGGTATAGAGCGAAGGTGATATAGAAGATCCATCGACGGCCGTAGAACTCGCTTAGTGGGGCAAATATCAGAGGGCCAGCGCAGTAACCGAGGAGGAAGAGGGTGATTGTCAGGCCTGCGACCTCCGTCGACACCTCGAAGTGCTCGGAGATGGAGCCAAAGCAGCCACTGGGTGAGCTGGAGGCGAAGGTCGCATTTACGACGAGCAAGACGGCGGTGACGGTGATGGCGACGCGACGAGGCAGAGACCAGTTGCGGGGGTTCTCGATGTCCCCTGGCGCGAAGTCGATATATCCATCTGCGTTTACATACGGTGAAGAGTCATGGCGAAGGTCGCGGGTTCGATAGGGCTTGTTGACCGCGTAGGACAGGACGCGGGAGATTGCAGTCATGGCGACATTTGGTGGGCGAAGGTGTCTGGAAAGAGAAGAGATTTAAATGCGATGACGAGATTTCTCATCACTGATCATCGCACTAAGAATTCGCATCAAAAAGTGAGCAAATATAAGCTCAACAAGACAATCTCCGTTATCTCCGCAGTGGCGCTGACTTGCCGGTTACCCGATCCCCACTTGCCATGACATAAGCAGTCGCTATGTATACTTTCAGAGGCATAAAAGAACATTCACATGCATCACATATTGTATCTATATCACATCCATAAGGCACTTTGCAATGCATCATAATATGATAAGATCCGATCTCCTTACTTTATCGTGGACATGCAAGTTGTGACAGTGACTCATCGCGCATAGCCCGAGCTGTTGTGTGACACTGACGCAAGAATATGTCCGACCTGCAGCAAGAGAAAACGAAATCGGATCAGCGGACAATATCCCCGAGTATAGGGCATCATAGAACCCGGGAAATTGGCCATACCACTGTCTGATTGATCATTTGTCTTCCCTACTCCCCAAAATCATTACACTTGTCATATTTTTGAAACATATATAAAATGATGCCTGGGGTAACATAATTTGCAGGGATTATGGGAATCTTAGAGAGTCGAGAACATATGGAGCGACTCTGCATCATATTAATACATGGACATTTAAGGCTCTCATAAGCCTAAACTGATTCATAAGAGGCCAAGCATATACCAGCGATTTATGAAATATCAGTCGGTATACTTTCACGTTCTCTCATAGGTAGAAGAGCTAACATAATACATCCACGGTTCATCTATACTAGGATATATATTTCCGCAGGGCTGACGGAGATCGCTGTGTGAATGACAGCTGATACCTTCGCCGTGGTGGTGGGAAAACCTTGTTACTCATAATATCAGCCTTGAATTGACAAAGATGTTGAGAGAAATAGAGATTATTTAATAAAAATTAAACGAATATACCAAGAAGTAAGTATTAAAGCATGGCGACAGCATTTCGCGAACACACTCGTAGATGTAGATAGTAGTATCGGGAATAGGGTTCGGAATATCGACGACAATACAGAGATAGACTCAGACGAACCACCTTGACTTCAATATTTGCATATTGTGAGGCTAAAATAGAGAAGATCAAGTCGATGATCAGCTCTGGGAATGAAACTCATCCAAGCAAAACCAAAATTCATTGCGACTTCAAGTAAGCCCCTCATAGCAAAGGACAATAAACCAGGCTTGCACCTCGAATTATACATGGGAAATACCAGAAGACTTTGAAGGAATTAATTCAAATACATATTGCGAGTTATATACTACAAATCAGCACAGAAACGACAGTCACTAAAACATCATCATCCCAGCACCAACAGCCTGAAGCCCGAACAGCCCCCAGACCACAGCCCCAGAAAGTCCCAAACGCCCAGACGTTGCCCCGTTTGTATCAGCGTCCGTCTCCTTTCCGTCCGTCTCCTCTGAACCCTTAGAAGTAGAAGTCGAGCTAGACTCCTCCTTAGACGTAGCAGTGGCAGTGGGATATGCCGTCCCAGTCGCAGAGGCACTGGTGTTCCCCGAGCACCAGACATCCTCCCACTTCACACCCGCATCATAGAGACAATCGGTGAGACTCTGGATGGATTGATCCAGTGCAGGGGCGTAGAGAGCACAGTCATCGTGGTAGGTGCGGACGGCGGCGGGGGCGGCGCAGTCTGAGAAGAGGGACTTGTAGTCTTTGTCTTTGTTGTTTGGTGTCCCGCATGCTGCGTCCTTTATGGGAAGTTCGTACATTGCTGACCCGGTACAGGTGGAGGCTGCTGTTGTGGTGGTGGAGGACATTGTGGATGCGATGATATTGTAATGATTGAATAGTACGTGGGTTCTGGTAGGTCGGCGAGTTATTTAAACGAATGGATGGTGGCAGGCTTATTAAAAAACTATGGAAACAAAAATATGGAATTTGGACAGTTTTGAGTGCAGAAAGCGAGTTTTATAGAAGGCATCTCTATGCCGGCTATTTTTAGCTGGCGCAGTTTATCCCGGGGGGTGATGCTTCGGCGATGAACGCACGGCCAAGCTTAGTGGGTCATTTACCACGAAACTAGGCCAATGAGCGTGTTGGCAGGGCTGAAGATATTTTGATTTGTTTATGCAAAATACTACGGCTTATCTGTAAGGGTTCGACATGAAATACGCCGATAAGGACATCGGATATACATATTGCTATAAGGATCAAGAAGTACTGAATTGGCTCTATATAACGAATGACATGGTCAGGAATTGCAAGACCAGAACTAGATTTCCAACACAGCCTTCGTCTTAACCAAGACACCCAATAAGGCACTCCGAAAGGACCTAAACATATGAATGTCCTCCACTAAATGTAGCGGGTTTCGCGATCATTTGCACTTGCCCTGGGGCTGGTCAGGAGTTTTCTAGACACGATGTCCATTAGCATTTGATCAATTCAACTCAAGGGTTCTTGTTGGCTAAACTTACAATGCAAAGTCCCGAAGCGCAGACTCCCATGCTTCCATCAGGCTTGCAGGGTGCGCCGGAGGGCAGCTACAGTGAGATTAGCTTATGCGTTGCCATCAAATTAAAAATATCGAACCTTGGCGGCCTGGACGGTGACGGCTCCAATGAGGGCGGTGGCAATGTAGAGGAACTTCATCTTGGGGGTTCAAAATAATTTGATGTACTGGCTTTGGAAATGAGATGAGTTGTTTGAATGTTGTTGAGGTAGTTCACGTCCTGGGTGACGGCTGTAGAGAATTTATATTTCTCTTCTGGCCTCCAGTGGTCGTATATGCCGACCCAGAATGTTAACGATCTACTGTACAGAGAGTAGCTGCCCATCACACCGCATACTTGTGGGTACCTCTTGTATGCCAGCTCAAAAAAATCGGCGAAACAATCCGATTGATTGTAGTATACCCCATAGGTTCCACTGATTAAGACGTAAGGTCGGTGTAGTCGAAAAGAATAGAATAAGCATGTTTGATGTAGACCAAGAGGTCCGGAATAATCTAGCCTTATATGTTAGAAGACACTGTATTTTCACCACCCGCCACACGTTCAGCTGCTACACTGCATCCAGTCTGCGTCTTCAGGAGGTGCTAGTATATTTGCCGATGCTTAAAAGGCGGCCGTTGACGTGTTGTATTCCGATATGGAGGCATTCGGTATACTCGCCTCGGTTCCAGTCAACTACCACTACAACCATCCTGATTCGAACGTATACCACACAAGAAAGCCTTTTATTGACCTATGTCCTCTCCAAATTGGCATTACTGTCTATATCCGCTTCCAGGACTTTGCGGACGCAATGGAACCTTATCGCGGGAACCAAGGTGACGAGGACTGGAAGACGAAGCTCCTTGTCGGCTGCCTGCAAAAGATCAACTGGGGCCCACCGTTCCTGGCTCCATTCTCGAACCATGATAGCCTAGCTATTGAGCTACAGGGCAAAGGTTTTCCACAGTCTCCCCTTTCAGCATTAAACGACAAAGCTGAACAATGGCACCGAGCCGCGCGAAAATCCAACGCGCGCTTACAGCGGCCAGAATATTTATACGAGCGGAAGATGAACCTCGGAGAATGTGCTCTGTTTGATAATACAAGGACCTTGAATTCGCGTCGTGCGTTTGAGATGCAGGATGTGGGTAAGGCACGGTGGTTAAGGGGGACTTGTGTGGATAAGGATCCCTGTCTCAATAAACTGCGTGTTTTGCAAAGCAAGTTCGGATAGTGACTCGGCATGATCATGAGGGGATACATGAATGAGTTAGTTGCCTAGGAGATTAACGCTAGGATGGTATCTCGTTCCAGCCCCAGAAGTACCTGCCCGTTTATATGTAGTGCAATGCAGAAAGTATAATAAGAACTGGCCGTGTGATATTCTAGCAAGAACCGAGGACAACCACCACAATCTTCAAGCAGGATACCGCGCATTGCTTCTCCATGACATGCCAGTCACGATGCTGGGCCCTGTCGCGAGAAAATCTTCGAAAGATCATTCTCACTCCAGTACATTTCGGGTCGCAATCCAGAAAGCTTCCAAGCCCCCTCAACTCTCTTGTACCAATGTTGTATGTTACCATATCCATGGGCGTGGTAAGCCACAGTCGCAAGAGTATCGTCCGAGTAGCGCTGGTGCGCAGCGCGAATCTGATGAATGGCTGTAATCTCATCTTCAGACACATACTCGTACGAGACAGCCCCGAGAAGGTGCTGAGTGCGGACGAGCGGGTCTCCGACAAAGTCTGGGGAGCTCATCCACGCGATGAAAGCGTCGGATTCCATATCCGGCGTGCTGGGCTGTCCGAGCATGCTGTAATCTACCTTTGGAGACGTTAGCTTTAAGATGCGATGTCCATAATTTATTAATATTACCAGGAGCTTAGGCGTTAGAATATTTCGCAGTCGATCCCAGTCCTGCGTCCGATTAGCGTTATCGTTTGCAGTAGTAAATGGGGTAATTACTTTTTTGTCAATGCTGTCTGCCCACTCGAACGCCAGGGCTTTCCAGGCGAGGTAATCTGTAGAATGTCAGGAAATAGGACAGAAGATGCTTCGGACGAGTCACCTTGAAATCCGATGTTTTCCATCTTCAAACAACAACAGGCACGAGCGAGCCAGTAAGCATGTACAAGGTCTATTAAAGTCCACCTGGGGAATAAAGGCCAGATAAATGATAAAAGGTGGAGGACGCGTAAGACTAACGAGGAGTTAACGGAGCTGCGGTAATAAACCCAACGGATTAATTCTGTGGCCATGCAAACCTTCTTTCTACGGTGTGTAAGCCCTAATAATCCAACACTTTCCAAAAATATCACCTGGCGATGTAACCAACATTTGGAAAGGAAAGTCCTTGGAAATGATTCTTCATGAGTTGATGGGGACCTGTCGTAAACACTAGGCACTGGAATTACACAGTTAGAAGGCTGTTGAAGATAGATATCATCCCAAAAGTAAATCAAATACCAAGCAACGAGCCAGTCCTTGGTGCTGTTGGCTCTGCCATAACGACCCGAATGGGCACAGACCATCGTGACTAGGCCGTTATGAGGAAGGGGCTTCGTATTGCGTTTCCCAACTCCTGCCTAACATCTCGACTCTGTGATTGGATGTCTTTCCTGGGGCAGAGGGCGCAGTTCCATTGGATTGAGCTGGTGCTATCCAATGAAGTCGCGATGTTATGGAATGTATATTGACTGGATTAATATAAGTCGAATTAGTCAACACTACAGGAATTAACTAACTAAATCATTACCTCACAGCAACAATAACACCCTCACCGTTCCCTGGACCGCCTGGAGGTTGATGAAATGATATATCTGTCAGTCCCACTGAATGTAGCAACTCGCGCCACTGCAACTCTGTTCTCTCCAAAGCCCCAACCTGAACCATCATTAACATACTTAAGCAAGCTAGATTGTAGTCACAATCTGTATCCGGGATGATGTTCTCGTTAATAACCAAACGTGAGTACCCCGGTTCCATGGAGTCGACAATTTGAAGTAGGATTTCCCGTGCCTGAGTATCAGACCAGTCATGTAATATCCAATGGAGATAGTACACCCTTGCGCCTTTTACCGGTTGGGGCTGGAAGAAGTCATGGGCCATTAACTCGGTGGCGTCCGGGGCATTGGTTATACTTGAGATGACATGAGGGAGGTCCTGCAGAATGCACCGACCTGCATCAGGAAACTTACTCTTAAAGGCGATGGTATAGTGTCCCTCACCGCCGCCAATATCCACGAGCATCGTACTGTGTTCCTCGTTTTTCCTGAACCCATCGAGGATAATACCGCTAACATCGAACCAGTCAGCCCAGCAAGGCGTCTTCTGCTGTTTGATCGTCATGAACTGCTGGAAGTCCTGCGCCAATGAAGTATTTTGTCCCAGCCAGTCCCAGTAGCTGAGTTTAGTCTTCTGTGCGAGTTGGAATGGAGTGTCTTCTACACAGCTTGGGAACTGGTTGCCGTTGCGGCGAAAGAATTCGGGCCCGTACGTAGCGCAGGGTTGACCGATATCGAAGCTGCAAATGTCAGAATCAAATCGCGCAGGATTAGAAGGGCCTCACGTTGCTCTGGTTGTAGCCTCCATAATTGGATCTGCCATGACGGTGGTCAGAGCAGAGGGCTTGTACAGCTGTACCCCCGCTTCAAGAACGTAGCCTGTGGCTGACAGGACTTTCATGACTTGGCCTGAGCAGGGGGATATTTAGACCATGGGAGATGGAAGACGGGGAGAGAGAGCATACCGACGACAATCGGACTAGCCCCGGCCTTTTCTGCAATCTCTTTGGTAGTGATTCCTTCGACATTGGGGTCGTTGATTGATGTGAAAACGCCCAGCTGGACACCCATGCGAAGCGCCATAGGGGTGACTATGTTCTGCAAGGACGAGGGTAAGTTAGGCTTATTGGCAGATCCAGTTACGGCGAATTTGCATACGACTGATACATCCTGGATGGCCTTTTCCACAGGAGAGGACAGTGCCTCTACCAAGCCTTTCGCGGCATTTAGAGCTTCAATTCGGGCAGTCTCATCAATGGATTCCTTTCTCAACTTCACGGTCTCTGTGAGAGTCACAATGTCGCTGGATAACGACACACCAGCCATGATAATTGCGAGGCGAATACTAGGATCAGAAATGAAAGAGAAAAGTGGAAAGTGCAGAGGGGCGGAAAAGAACAAAGAATTTATGACAGACACCAAGAGCGTGGGCTGTTTCATTAGCAGCTAGTAACAGCGCTATCACGTATTAGCCGGTTAATATTCCCTGCAACTTATTCCCTGCGACTCGCGGGCAGACTGCATCGAACGGTCCGGACTCAAATAGTTTGGCCACGATGCAACCACCGAGATCCAGTACGTTGGAACCGAGATTGAAGGAATTAATCCATGCCAGCGCTGTGTATTTAACCGCTGCCCGCCCCTGCTGGCCAACGCAGGCAGGCGCAGGTCGGGACAGCAGAGATGGACTCCTCTTATTGTGGTGATTCGTTGATGGGGGTTTCCATTGCTGTTATGCCCGTCCAGATCCTCCTTGTGGCCGGTCGGTTCTATACCAGGCGTGTTCAAGGAATTGCGTGCACGGCGGACGACTATTTAATGATTCCCGCTATGGTAGCCCTGCCCCGCCTTGTTGAATACATTGTTTCTGACAGTTTTTCTCGAAGATAGGAAGCCTTGGACAGTCGGTCCTGTTTATAGTGTGTATGGCGTCTACTCCGATTTCATTAGCCCGACTGACCGCACAAGTACTCAAGATTGCGGGACTGGGATACCATTTTGAGTACATCCAGAAAACGGCACCCGACAAACTCGTCGCTCTGCAAAAGGTTACCTTCGCCGTATTCCTATACAGCTGCTAATTTGTAGGCGCAATGCTGACCAGTACTCAGGGGATATTCGCCTCCCAGATCATGAATTATCCCTTCATTGTGACCCCAGCAAAAATCTCAATCCTCCTCTTCTACAACAGGATCTTCCGCACCCCGAAATTTCATGTCTTGTCGTACGCCATGGTGTCCATCCTGATAGGCACAGGCGTTGGCGTCTTCTTCTCCGCCATTTTGCAATGTTCGCCCGTGCAATTCGCCTGGGATAAGAGCATAAAGGGAGGAAAGTGCTTCAATCAGACCGCTTTCTTCCGCTATGTCTCCCTTCCACAGATTTTAACAGATGCCGTTATCCTGATTATGCCACTTCCGTTTGTTTGGAAACTGCAAACAAGAATGATGCAAAAGGTTGCGCTGACAGGCGTGTTTCTGCTTGGAGGGCTGTACGTATCTCCACCGATTTAGGAAACAGTCTCAGGCTCGCTAATCTCGGCATTCAATACAGCGGAGTTCTAGCAAGTATCCTCCGCATGGCTATCTTCTTCCAGGAGGAGATTCTAAGCGATCCAACTTGTAAAAGCGTCTTCTAAATATATCCCCAGTATCAATTGAACTCGACTAACAACATGTCGTACGCAGGGGTCTCAGTCAAGCTGGGCATATGGTGTGTCTTGGAATCGGCCATTATCATTATCGCTGCTTCCCTCCCGCCGGTATGGCCGCTGGTGGCACGAGTATTTCCTCAAAGGCTCACGAGGTGGAAGCGAAATGCATCTAATCGTTCGAGACAATTCGGCGGCGTACCGGGCGATATCGCACTGAAGCGCACGAGTAATGGGTTTTCGCGATTGGGGGAGAGCGATAGTAGCAAAGGTAGGTTGGACAACCCAGACACGGATAATAGTTCTGTGAGGTAAAGGGTGTTTACCTTACAGCTGGTTGTTAGCAATGACAGAAGCGTAAGTTATAGGACGAATATCGAATAACCTGACAACTTGTGTTTGGCCTATATTAGGAGAGCTATATCAGATACCTTGAATATTTCTACCTGAGGAGCAAGTACGGTCGCTGTTGCGCAAAACAGTCCGACCGCCATGAAAGCCTGAAGGCTATGATCCGTAATTTAAATGACATAAATCTCCACAGCGAATAGAAATCACCACGCAACAGCAGCAGCCTGCGCAGGCGCACACGGAAGCCCGTCGCAGAACGCCCTATCCTCCTTGGTCACAGCATCTGTAGTCGGATTCTGACTAGCAGGCCAGATCTGGTGCCCTGCAGTCTTTTCCTGCTCTGCGTGCTCTTTAACAATCTCACGGGTCCTCGACTGCATATGGAGCACCGCACTCTCCACGCGAGGGTGCATTTGACCGTTGACGAAGAGGCCACGCTCCATGTTCCTCTGCACACCACATGCGAGACCCTTGTCTTCATTCATGACCTGTTTATAGAGAGTGTCGATCTTTTCGAACAGTTCCGGTTTGGCGTTCTTGTTGCGGAAGATCTGATAGTGCATTTTGGTTCGCGAGGCGGATTGGGGGAGGAATCTCTGTAGCATGATATAGTTGGGACTGCCAGGTCAGTTCCAGTCCGTCGTAGGTTGGTTTGAAGGTAAGGGAGACTTACAGAATGTTGGTGGATACGTTAGGAAAGTAGTACGTTGTGCAAATCTGGAGACCTTCCCTCTTCTGCTCCTCATTCTGCGCAGACACAGAGACAACGTAGCCGTCCTTTGAATCCTGAGTGAGCGTCTCGACATCGAACAAGGTCGGGATAGTGGGGTGTGAAGTGGGACAGTGGTAACATTCGTTGAAATTGTCCGAGCAGAGTTTCCAGTTTGTATCTGCGTCAATTTCGAATTCATGATTGAATACGTAGTCAGAGAGATTATATCCATCATATCTCTTCTGCTCGTCAATACCGTCAAACTCCTTCTCCCAGGACTCAGGGTCCTCGTCTGCATCCAGATTCACCCAAATAAAGCCGAGTTTATCCTTCCTCAGATGGATCTTGAATAGACCATTCTGGGCTTTATCAAACCCTTCCACATCATCATACCACGGCGCCTTGGTGAGCTTGCCATCCAAAGCATACGACCACCCGTGATACTTGCACGACAGGATCTGGTTACGACCGCATGGCTTATCAACAACAGCATAAGCGCGGTGTCGACACGTATTATGGAAGGCGTGGAATTCTCCCTTGCGGTCCTTCGATATGACATATTCATACCCGACAATCTCGAACCTTACCCAGTCGCCGGTATTGGGCAACCGTACTTCGTGGGTGACTAACATCCATTTCTTGCTGAATATGGCGCGCCGCTCGAGTTCGAACATGTCAGGTGAGGTATACCATGTAGCTGGGAGGGCCCTAATCGGCTCCTTCTTGCCGTCTGTGTACGGGCTGGTACACATGGGGCCTCGCGTGTTTCGCTTGTGGGACATGGTGTCTGAGAGTAAATGTTTGAAGGGTGCTACCACGAAGTACGGTTTTGATAACGATTCCGCTGTTGAGATAGAATGGGAACAAGCAGATATGGGCTGATCGCGAAGCTGCCTTTATACTACAGTTGCCAACATTCATGCCAGCATATCTTCCAGAGCCTATTGCTGGAACACACCTATCTCAGGACCTATTTACCCAGAACGGTATACTGAATGAGCACCTGTCGTTTCCGCCACGGAGTCTATCAGCCCGGCCATCGGGTTCTGAACCCGAGTGTCCGTGAAGAGCCGAAAAGCGCAATCATCTCCGAAAGGATCTGGTGGATTGCCAGAATACCTGACTCGCTGGCGTAAGGGCCATTTACTACTTTTGAATGAAAATGCTCGCACATAGGAGCCGTAGCGCATATTGAGCGGCCCAAACTTTATCACAGACTTGGATGTCAAAATCTATGATGTGCCTCAGAGGTTGAGGAACGGATAGGCTGGACTTACAGCCTTCTAAGGGACGGCGATTCAGGCCGTTACACAGGAAATTTCGGATTTGCACGGATTAATATGGACCATAATCCAATAGTGGTGGGCATTTAGCAATCATCACAGTACAATCCAGGATGGTCCAAAACGATGGAACTTACTGTTTCTCACCGTGGTTGCAGTTGATTACACTAATTGTCATACTGGTAAACGTGTCATGCACTGGAGGGATAGTGTCTTGAAGAAAATTGACCAGGGGCATCAGACATCTAAATAGGCTGACGACTTTAAAATACCGGGGAGAACTGTAGACCCTGCGAGTCGAACCGGAGTCGTGATGATACTGGCCGTCATAACCACGAGTATTCTAGAAAAGCGATGCTTCACAAATAGACATCCAGGACAACCGGTGGGTAAGAAAACTCGAGGAATATACTTCTACAATTTATCTACTCTAACCGGGCTGGAAAGGAAAGTCACGAGTCCTTCTCAACTCAATACTATCATTGAATCAGTGAACATAGTCCTACTCCGCCCCCGTATGGACCGTCTTCCTTTGGAAACCGACCATCCTCCCCATCTCAGTCCAAAATCCAACAGGCCGCGAACTCAGCGCCGCCTCAAACGCATCAGTAATTGGCCTTTCCCAAACAAGATCTGCTTCGAGAGGGTTAACAACCTTCGTACGCTTGACAATCTTCCACATCGTAAATAGAACCGGTGCAATGATAGCTATGGTGTAGTAACTGAAAAACGTTGACACGTCCCACGGCGTAAAGCTTGAGTATCCGTAGAAGAAAAGGATTAGACATTCTCCGAAAAGTCCGACCCAGGCACAATATGGCTGGAAGCGACCGTAGTAAGGAAATGTCCGGCGATCAACCCCTTGGGCACGACACGCGCGGTGGAAGAAGATATAAGTCACGCTCATCGTGATATAATTGATCAAACCACCAGCCGTGATGAGACTTGTTAGGATTGTAAGTGCTTCAGCGGAGCCGTCGTTTAACTGGAGGAAAGAGAGAAATGCGAAACAAGTCGTAACAAGGACGCAGAATACAGGGACCCCTTGCTTGGTGCATTTGGTCAGAAAGGCCGGAGCCCTGCCCTCAAGAGCAAGACTGTATAATGTACGTGGCGCAGTACATGTATGTATTTCCAGCAGAGAACACGGTTGTCACTAGCAGGGCGTTTATTATATGTGGGAGGATCAAGATCCCCATATTCCCCATTGCAATGATGTATGGCGATGCTGCTGCTGTGCCAGCATTGGCGTCGTCCCCCGATAGGATAGCAACGAGTGTAGGATCATCGTAGGGGATCACGATGCCCACACAAAGTGCACCGAGAATAAAGAACAGAAAAAATCGCCAGTAGATGGTTTTGAATGCGCTTTTGACGTAGACACGCGGGTGTTTCGCTTCGGCGGCGGCCATGGAGACAAATTCCGGCCCAACAATCCCAAACGACGCGGACCATAGCGCAGACAGGAAGCCCTGGAAACGCCCAAAGGTACCAGCGCTAATACCCTCAGCCATGGGCCCCGGGACTTGCCAGTACCGGAATCCATACGCATCGTGCTGGGGATTGCCGCCGACCATCGTGACGAATGTGAAGGAGTACAATATTACAATCATCGCTACTTTACCTCCAGATAGCCAGAACTCAGCCTCTCCATAAATCTTGACAGTAAGAACATTCAAAATACTGGAGCGACATTAGCAAAGAATACTAGTAGCATACTTGGGGACATACAGGTATATAACAATACAGGCACTGCAAACAGCAGCAGTGGGGATATCGTCTCTCCAAAACGACAAGACAATATTCACAGCGGTTATTTCGAATGGAATCCCAAGGGCTTCATAAAAGAAGAAATTCCAACCAGCCATGAAGCCAAAGGCGTCGTCTACCCACTTTCCTGCTAGTCGGACAAAGCCCCCAGCCACAGGGTGTAGAACAGTCATCTCAGTGATCCCGTTGTTGATTAGTCCAAGGAGGCCAGAATAGAGCGACCAGCCGAGCAAGAGGCTGAGGGGCCCTCCGTCCTTCAGCCCGTTGCCGATGTTGATAAAGAGCGCGGTTCCAATGGTACCTCCTATCGCGAGCAGCTGTATTTGGCGGATGCCCAGTCTGCGTTGGAGATGGTCTCCATTATGGGTAATGGTGCTGAGATTGCCTTCTGTGGGGTGATCATCAACTGGTTCTTTGTTATCAAGTTCGTCCTTTACTGTAGTCATATTTGCGGTGGGGACCAAGGTATCACATCGTCAGGACCGCTCCACTACGCTTTATAACGGATATGGTTATTATCTCTACCCATATTCTTCACCCGCTCTAGCTTGTTTTATCGGAACAGCATGCCTAAATAGAGTGTGCGGTAGGGGCCCAAGCCTCTGGGGTTGTCCGAGTATGTACCCCGGATGAGCTGGAGGTGTACTAGACAAGGGTCTGGCTCCCATAGGATTCGCAGGGTCGCCTACTGGGACACATTCTGACAGGAGGACTGCTTCCCGTAATGTCGGCCTGTGCACCCTGGGCGCACTACGGCCATTTAGTCCGACCTTTAGCCAAGGGCCCTGGTTGCAGGATCAATGCGGCAGCTTAACGGCTCCAGTAAAGGGATGGGCGTTGGAAATACCTGCCTCTGCGGTATGAGATCCCGGACGCCCAACATCAGCGTCACCTGTTATTGCATCACTTTTGCGGGGGAGGGGTCCGAATAGGGAGAGCCATGGAATGGCACTACTAGCACTAACCTAAGGGATAAATGTGATGCTCGCTCGGTCTTTCATTTTCTGCAACGCCAGAGCATACGGGGTATTTCCCAAAGCGGAAATTAAAATGAGCACTACGCCGCCGGACAGGCAGCTCGGTCCGACTATCAAATATTCGCATCAGTCCATGATAAAAGAATGTAGTAGCCGGGCCAGCCCATGGTCATGGAAATTCGGTTTCTCGCGTTCCACTGCCGTTCTGTGGGTTTGAATCGCTAGGTCCTTCCAATGTCTACTACTCTTTTCCGCCCTAGGGCACCATCTCAAGAGCGGGTAACTTTAACTTTTGGAGATGAGGCAGCAGTATATGTTCCACTACTCACCTATTCGATATATCAATACTACTTTAGGGACGGCAGGAAAGGAATAGATGGGGTAGTGCTTTCTATCATCTAAGCTTACTAAGGACTGGCCACAGCTGTAAGAGAGATGGTAACTTGTACATTGATATTAGTGACAGTATTCTATCTTCAATGCCTATGGGGGCATCACAAGTCTGGGGATAAAGACCCTACTATTGCTTCCCCCTCCCAACTCCGTGGCGCACCAGACCTGGCGCTAGAACATATGGTTCGATCTGAGTTCGGCTGGCAGACAGGTCCTGATGCATTAAGCATAGTGAAAGGTTTCCCATTTTGAAAATCCATTCTGGAAGGATACGGTGGGCTCGTAACAAGAAACCGTCTCTTGCGCGCACGCAGTTGTATGCCCTATAGCAAGGCCAGAGAGACCAGAGATGGGCGTCAGCTAACCTGGGGGTGGATGGTGTGGGATATACTGGTTATCGCTGGGTGTCTGCCAGGATATGACCTTCAATCCCCTCCCTATCATGCTGCTGCTCAAGCAGCAAGTCCTGGAGATATGGAATCGGGTTGCTTGCAGGGACCCTTGGTGGATGGTCTGCAGTTAGTCAGTTTGGGTCACGGTCCAGTTTCTAACTGAATAGTCTGGACTCGGATGAGAGTAGATCGCACGGCGGTTATCGGACTTAAAGGGAAGACGGTGTATTAGTGGCACCGTGTTACTTTATCCGACGTCTCTCTATCGTCCTAGAATAGAACCAGGATCATTGCAAAGTCGCCCAGGAAAGAGTTCAATATCAAGAAAGTCCAAACTGAATAAGGAGTCCTCCTTATCCCCTTGCGACTGTCCCATATTCCCAAAATACCTCGCCTGATTCTCCATGGTCGGGGGTACGTTGTTAATATTGCCATCTGACCCAGGGAAAAGATTCGTCAAGGTGTTTGCCAGATCCGGTGGTATGCTATCTTCTGTCTGTAGCTGCACCTGGTATTCTGCATTTGGTGCTTCGGCTTGAGTAATGCTGGTCGGGTTGGTCGCGCTGGGCTTTGATAGACACATCTGCATCGTTGCTACGCGCATACCCTCTAGCGAATCCTGACATTCTCTGGCCTGGGGGTGTATATCTGCCATGCTGGATAGGACAGCAGTGCCTGTGAGAATAGTAGTGTCGATTTCATCGAGTGTCTGAGCCATGTTAGAGCAGTAGATCATCAATGGAGATTGATACATACCAGAATACTGCGGATCATCGGCGAGTTCCAGATGGCGAAGAGGAATAGACTCCCTGGATGGGTTTGTTAGAGTATACTCACGCGGGATAGGGAGGCAGGCATACCAGCAAGATATATGTTATGCGTAGCCAGGAATGTACAGTTCCCTGACTCCAAATGGTGTACGAGCCGATAGCTCTGCAGGACCTTGCGACTGGCCTCGACGATCTTGAAATGGGTAAAGTCGTCTGTTGGTCCTTCTGCTGCAGCCAGATATGTAGCGCTTACTTGCGATGCTGGGAGTAGGCGAGCCAGCTCGGATGGTACCTTGGCCTCGTGTCTGTATAGCAGATTGATGGTCTTCCAGTAGTCAAGCTCTAGCCGGACGATTGGGACCCATGTGCCGGTTTCTTCGCGGGAGGGTATGCAGGCTTTCCACTCGTCGAGGCGCCGGTTAATGTCCCTTTTCCAAGAGACAAATGATTCAAAGTAGTCCAGTGGTGAGGTGAGTATGGAAGCAGTTGATGTGTTGGTGTTGATTCGTGTTGATTGGGCGTGGTGGTATTGAAGGACTTCGTGGATTTCGGACTGGAGTTGTCGCAGTTGGAGAAGGTGGGTTGTTAAAAAGTTCATGAGTTTGTTCGACGGCGAGATTCCATGGCATACTACATCCATCTCTTCCGGTATTGATGGGAATGCAGTGGTGGTGAGGTGGTCTGGGATGGCGAAAGGGCGTCCGGTGTAGGGCGAGACAAGACGGTCCAGACTGTACGCACTCCACCAGAGACGTCGACGTTGCTCGGTGATCTGATCTTGCTTGTGTCCGTCTAAGTTCGAGATAGTTGTTTCACATGAACCGCTGATTAAATTAAGACCATCTGCATCATACAGCTTTACGTCCACAGCAGCACGCAGCGCCAGTCCCACCAGGTAGGCAGGTCCAGGACGCACAGGATAGAAGAGAGATAGATGGGCAACAAGTACAGCAGCTTCAATGCCTTCAAGCTTTCTGGATGCATCATCGCACGTATTGAATTCTAGATGCAGGTGAGTAATGGCAGCAGAGTAGTACTCATGCGCTGGATGCACCTTGGTCTGCGTGTCGCGCTTTCTCTTCCCGACCGTCGTTTTATCGTGTCCATGGTTAACGTCACTGTCGCGCATGATGCAGGCACCGATCGCGAACACAATGTACAGGAGGAAAAGGCTGTATGGGTGGGGGTTCTCCGACCCAGCGTATGCCTCGTTCAGCACCTGTGCCAGCTCGCCCTTGTGCAGCGCAGGAACTTGCGGGTATCCTTGTTCGAAATAGAAGGTGATCAACTTGGTAGCGAGGTCTCGGTCGGGCAATTCAAACGACTGAGACAGCGGTTTCGAGGGTTGCAGGGCGAAGAGTAACTCGTGGGCAGTGCAGCATCCGGGGTCGTGTTTGTCGGCGACATCGATATCTAACTGCGATGTCGCATCGGTTGGATCCCTCGGCGACCTGCTAGCAGACGGCGCACTGCGTAGAGTCGAATTAGAGGCGACACTGACTCTGCGCTTGTGTGGATGCTTTGTCTCTGGCTCCTCGGACATATCCTGGTGGCTGCGCTCCATCGTCGACGAGCCCGGCTCAAACGACACGCCATGTTCAGCGAGGAGGCTCTGGAAGTACTCGACGCGGTCTTCCAAATAATACAAATAGCTACGAGGGACCTCGCGCTTCATCAGAGGATCATAACCGACGCATCGCGCACCGGCCTTCTCGCAGGTGCCGCACTGTGGTAGCTGCTGGTCACATCGGGTTTTGCGCTGGCGACAGCGCGTACACGACGAGACGTTGCGGAGGGACTGGCGATATGACAGCGACTGAGCGGCAGCAGGATCGTCCGATTTTCCTTTCTGGCGTTTACTTTTCTCATGGTCGACAGGCGCCGGGGTCGGCATGGTGCCGTCCGGAGTGCAGGAGGTATTTCAACGACGCGCGGAGCTATCAGCGTGGCAGGATTTCTGGATTCAGACCGCAGTGTCTGTCAGACTGTTGATCGGAGGACGGCGACGATGACGTTCAGGAGCGCGCGGTCAACGTCCGCGGGGACGTGGGTGGCGCCGGAGACCCATCGGTAACTGAACGAGACGCTGAGGGCCTGTGCAGAGACTGTGGAGCTGTGAAGTTGCACTTGTCTTCACTTTCGCAGTGATTGGCCTTGGCTGCGTACCCCAACTTGTCAATCGGCTTAGCGCAGGCCAGGAACATATCGATGACTCGATCGAAATATCACATTGTGGATCGGCGCTTCGATATCGGCGGCCGGGAAACTCCCAATGCTCCCCGTGGGGACTTGATACATTAAACAACGCTTGCCGGCAGACGATGAATTATTTGATGATGGAATGCTCTATTGATTGGAGTATTGGCATAATCCCCGCACTCCCCTATCCAGTCTGTTCTAGGGCATCAAGCAACAACCCCCCGACATATCCCGCCCCATCGATCTTCCTCTCGGCAAACACCGACGGACATCTCCGTCTAGACCTGAAGTTCAGCTTCCTCAACGTGGTCAGCCTCGGCAATCTCCTTTCCCTCGGCAACATGCATCGACCCGCCCTCATACGGAATCTCATTCCATTCATCGCTCATGGCGGGAACGGGAAACGCCCGCGCCAACGCCCAGTATATGGCCCCCGACACTATGAACCCGGAGAAGTAGTTGATGTTGTAGATGTATTCGGCGCCGATGGGCACGTTTGCGCCCACGGCCCCCGCGAACCCGACTACGTTGATCATGATACCGCAGATGTAGGCTGTGTAGCCGCGCCAGGAGACCCCCATGTGTCCGTAGTACGGACCGTCTTTCTGCACGCTGTACAGCAAGGGGAGGTCGTAGTAGCCCTTGCGGACGAGGTAGTAGTCGCTGACCATGACGCCCGCGATGGAGGAGAGGAAGACGGAGTACGACGAGAGGTAGACGGTGAATTTGTTGGACGAGGCGACCAGGGTCCACTGCATATACTTATCAGTTCTCTTCAAAGGGATAGGGATAAGGGCCTTACCGGACACATGGCAAGACCGATAGCTGCACAGACGTATCCTCCACGGCGAATCGTGCAGAATCGAGGGAGTAAGGCAGACAGGTTAGTACCAGCAGAGACCGAATTGGCAGCAATGTTCGTTCCCAGCTGCGCCAGCGCAAACCCAGCAGCAATAACGAAGATACCGAATCGTTCGGCCGAACTCGCGTCCTCAAGGAACATCTCCATCAGGATGAGCGGGTTCCAGACGGACTTGCCAAAGATCACAGTCGACGACGAGGTAACGACAATGCCAATGAACGAAGTCACTGCGAATCCAACCGGGATCGTGATGAGCTGCGACCAGACCGCGTCCTTTGGATTGCGTGAATATCGACTGAAATCCGGATTGTTGATGATCAATGCTGCAAAGTTGGCAATGCAGTTCATGATGCTTTTCACCACTGCCCAGGCGAGCTGGCTTCCATGGGCGGTATTGGGCTGGTGGATGATAGGGCCCATCCCGTGCGCCCGGACAATAGCCCACGCGAACAAGGCGATGCCGCATGCTGGGGAGAAATATGCCTTGACGGTGAAGAGATGTCGGATCTTGTAGATGGGGAACCAGAGGGCAGGCAGGGAGCCCAGCCAGAAGAGGAAGAAACTGGTGAACTCCATCGTCGTCACGCCGGAACTCTCGGGGATATTGTTGGGGATATTTTTGTAGCTGGGCCAGATGGCTTCGATCATCAAGGTGACACATTGGCCTACTTTATTAGTCTTGGCTATTAGTTCGGATGAGGGTACGCACCACCAAGGTATGTCTATCTCAAGTTGTTAGAAGTGTTAAAGTGTCTTCAAGTGGGTGAGGAGCGTACCTGAACACCATACCAGATTACAGCCATCGCCGCTCGATTGAGGATAGGCCAGAAGGATCCCCAGATCCCAAAGGATGCTCTGTTAGCCACTGCAAAAGGAACATGGTAAATGGTTGCAATTCGTCCCATGGCAACGACGAACACCGCCGCAATGCCGTAGCCAAACCAGACACACAGCCAGGACTGCCACCAGGACAGGCCGTCCACGATCATGGCCGACGAGATCATCCATGTGTTCTAAGCAATTATTATGGGACACTCGGGGATGTCAGCAGGATACGTACGACGTTGAATGAATCGGCAATCCAGAAGGCCACAAAGTTCAGCCATTTCCACTGTCGTCTGTCTCGTTCCACTAACAGGGTTAGTATGCAGCAGGAAGTAATAGAAGGGTATCTTACCTGGCTTCAAGTCATCATTCGTTAACATCAACTCGGCCGTGGTCAGCCCAGGATCCGTGGGGACCTGTAGGGCCTGGAAAGTTCGCCTGAATATGCCCATTTTGTCGGTAAACGTAGTATAGATTGCAATAAGCTCAGCAGCCACTTTGGTCCAGTATCTTTATATGTTAATTTAAGGTTCAATCCCGCGCACACGGGACGTCCGGTCCAGCATGCCTGCACATGTGTTGGACGATATCTTGCTCGCCGAGATCGGCAGTAGGGGCTACCCCAAGCCAGCATTCACCGGTGATCAGCTTGATCAACCTCTGCAGCTACGGGAGTGCGGGGTACAGTCTTACACTACTTCGGTGTAGTGGCTCCATGACGGCCAGGTGGCAAGCTGGTACCAGCAAGGGATGTGAAGATCTGGTGAAGTAGAAGTGGACACTGTCCTGTTCCAGCCAAGCCTTGGCCAAGTAAGGAATTGAGCTTCATGGAGCTTATTCCGATTGGAACAAACGCAATTTACGGAATATTTGAGTGAAAGCTCTGATCTTTTGCCATTTCAGCTCTGGCGGCCCCGTTGACGGGGGCATTTCCTGATTAGGAATCCTGGCCTATCTGCTAGCTGTCCCAGCGGCAGTTAAGAGTCACTAAGCAGCTGATACTGGGGATTGAAATTCAGAAATCACATAACGGCAGTATTTCCCACTCAAGTCCGGCGGGTATTGACTTATTTATGTTTGCCGTGACAGTAGTTATGCCCCCCCGACAGTGAGCAAAAGCAGACGATGTGGTAAGACGGCCATGGGGAAACAGCCAGTCGCAGTTTAATTCGTGTTTACTAGTGGTACTCACTGAACATTGTGCAGTGACCATCCCGGCCTACTTAATTATTCCAAGCAGCTAAAAGCAGAAACCTGGGGATGCTAAATGGGATGGAGATCCGTTGGCCTCTCTAAGAGATTGGCGCCTGCCTCTCTGTGAACAAGACAATTAAGCCATGGCCTGAAATCCCAGCATACATCTTTCTTGGAGCGCCGCCTTCCAGTTGACTTGCAAGGCACCGCTTTCCGCCTGGACCTCACATGTGGTCTAAGTATCCAAGTCGCACCAAGACTGGCATTACTAGGTTGGGTCAGATAACGACCCGATATTCTCACAGGTCGAGATAACTTAATGAGGACTCAAAGCGATGGTTTACCTTTGTTAAGAGTATCATAAATCATTCTCTTTTGCCTGTTCTCACTATCACTATCCGACATGCGTGCAGCGACCCGCCGCACTGGTACATTCTACCGTGCTGGTCGCGATTCGGGACCACAGCCAGAGATCGAGGCCATGGCCCGAATGGACGCGGAGGAGCAGGGATATGATGTTTTGCCGAGATTAAGGGTGTGCCCCGGAGTAATAGCCTGATTGCGCATCCTGGGGTTCTTGGCAGGTTGAGGCGAGCGAGTCTGGGCCTTTCTCGTGTCACTATTCTGAATAGGGCCACGCCACGGCGTTCCAAATCGGGCCCTCCGCAACAGTCTGGTCATTTAGCCGTGAGCACCGCGTGCTTTCAACCGGTGGCGGCGTACAAATAACAGTCATGCGGCTGTTAAGGACCCTGCGATTTTCTCCCCACGCTCCATTCCTGGCTGTGGATAGCAGTTGTTCGGCAGCTTACTCTGATTTAGCAATCTGGTCAATATGGGCTCCGACACGTTCGAGCTGGCCGGAAGGCACTTTCCGCGCGAGAACTGGTGGAAGAATCCAGGCATGCGAAAGACCTATATCTGCCTCATGTTTGTCGTCTTGACGTCTGTATGTTTCAACGCCCGCGTGCATTATTCCCCTTTCTGACGGGCGATCGAACAGGCTACAAATGGATACGACGGTTCGATGATGAACGGCCTGCAGACCTTGCTAATCTGGCAGGATCACTACAATCACCCCAGCGGATCGCTGCTGGGCATCCTCAATGCCATCATGTCGCTGGGATCCATTGCTGCCCTGCCCGCCGTACCATATACCGCTGATCTTCTGGGTCGTCGGATGGGAATATTGATTGGATGCGCGATTATGTGAGTATGCCTTCTGCCAGACACTGGTTTCTACTCACACAAATAGGCTTCTCGGGGTTGTCCTGCAGAGCATCGGTATCAACGTTGGAATGCTTCTAGCGAGTCGCTTCCTTATCGGTTTCGGTGTCGCCATCGCCCACGGGGCGTCGCCTTTGTTGGTTACGGAGCTGGTCCACACTCAACACCGTGCAATTTTCACCACCATTTACAACAGTATGTCCTTCTCCCTCATGTCCACGCAGAGTCTGGCTAATCGGGATAGCGACGTGGTATGTGGGTGCGATTGTCGCGGCATGGCTCACCTTCGGCACGAATAACATCCCAAACCACTGGTCGTGGAGAACGCCAACGATTGCGCAGGCCTTGCCCTCTGTGCTTCAGATATTTTTCATCTGGTTCGTCCCTGAATCTCCACGTTTCCTTATGTACAAGGGAAAGCCCGAGGCGGCTCTCAAGGTCCTGGCTGATTGCCACGCAAACGGCAACCAAGACGACGAGGTCGTTCAACTGCAAATGCAAGAGATCCAGGAGACACTCCAGCTCGAGAAACAGTTCGAGAGCAATTCCTGGCGTGAGCTGTTCCGAACCAAGGGAAACCGCCATCGCACGATCATCTTAGTCTCCGCCGGCTTCTTCTCGCAGTGGTCAGGCAACGGGCTGGTCTCTTACTATATCGTCAAGATCTTGACCAACATCGGCTATACCGACCCGGTCGATCAGAACTTGATCAATGGATGTCTACAAATCATGAACTTTATTGTGGCCTTGACAATGTGCTTTTTCGTTGACAAGGTCGGCCGGCGCAAGCTTTTCCTCGTATCAACCGCTGGCATGTTGGTGGCGTTTATTGTCTGGACAATCTGCTCTGCTCGATACGATACCCAGCACAACACGGCCTCTGCAAACGCCGTCATCGCAATGATCTACCTCTACTATCTCTTCTACAACATTGCCTGGTCCGGCCTGCTCGTCGGGTACACCGTCGAGATCTTGCCCTACAGTCTTCGCGCCAAGGGCATGACTGTGATGTGGTTCTGTATTGACGCAGCTCGTAAGCTCTCCTATCTTCCTCATATCTTGCTAGCTGTGGTGACTATACTAACTCGTCTCAACAGTGGCGTTCAATCAATACGTTAATCCTGTTGCCCTCGACAGCATCGGCTGGAAGTACTACATCTTCTACTGCGTATGGCTTGGCGTGGAGCTCGCCGTGGTCTGGTTCTACTATATTGAGACGCGGAATACTCCGCTGGAAGAGATTGCAAAGCATTTTGACGGCGATAAGGCGATGGTTGGAGGCGCAGCTGGTACGGAGAAGGCGCGAGAACTGGCGTCTGTCATCCACGTTGAGGAGTCTGTCGTGGAGACCAGCGCTCAGAAGGCATGACGCTACCACGTTCCTGTAGCTGGGTGTCTATGTATTCGCTATAATTGAATGGTCTCAGATGCTGTAGAAACCAGTCAGATTGGAAGGTTGACCAGTAGTAGCTTAACTCTTACGCTCTTAACCTTAATTTTCAAAATATACTCCCTTAATTTCTTTAAAATGCCCTTTAATACATACTCATCCTCCTCCATAAAGTAGGGCACAAAATAGAACGTTTCCATTCGGCGCTACAGTCTTGATGAATGTGACATTCCAGCACTCCGCAGGCATATATACAGTAACTACCAACCCCCAACATCAAGTCGAACAATCAATATGCCCCCACTGGTTCTCCGTCGCCTCGTACCAAGTAGACGAAACCATGCCATCACTGCAGCCAACAAAAGAAGTAAAGTCCCAACCCAGGTACCCATCATCGACATCGCCGCACCAGGTATTAGACGCGGAAGCACATTCGCCAAAGCGCTTCATGTTGTCCCACAGACCTCCGCAGATTCCGGGGATATCGGGTACTTTATCGGATGAGCGGACTTGATACCGGACGACGGGGCCTGACACGGTGTTTTTGTTGCATCCGTGGGCTGCGGCGGCTGGGGTTGTAAGGGCTGCTGTGATGACCACCAAACTGGTGGAAATGGGGAGCTTCATTTCTGAAATTTCAAGCAGAATGTCAGTACGATGGGTATACATAGGTAGGCAACATGGTGAGACAGGGGACAACGTACTTGCTGTATGTAGTTGAATGGAAGCAGTCTTTTGGGTAATCTGCAATATGTACAAGGTAAAGCTACCGGCGTGATATTTGAGCTGAAGAGGCTTGTGAAAGTAAAGAAAGGACTGGTGAATTGGTTTTAAGACAACCAAGAGCAGGGAAGGCAGGGCTATTTATATGTAATTCCTTGACAGCAAAATAGGCCATTACAGTAGCTATTCAATCTTTCTAGCAGAGGGCGGACAGTATTTACTCGCCAACCCTTGGCATATTCATTCAAAAACCACAGTTAGTAAAGAAAAGTAAGGGATCTACAGCCGAGCTCGAGATATCATACTCAGCCTCCTTCCCTTTGGGGCGGAATTGAGGGCAAACTCTTGGCATGTGCAGTTAGTAGCAAACGCCGAGTAACGAACAGCAAGGGAACTACATGCCAAACTCGTATTGCAATAGCCTAGGCTAATTCACCCTGGGGCGGGCTTTGTTAAACGGACTTGGCTGATGATCTTGCTGAGCATCTGGGATCAATGCACCAATCTGGTGTACTCTGTATCGTTGGATTGGAGGAACCCAAACGCACGTGGGTTTGATAGAGGTTTCCTATGGATTCTAATACCAGGCTGTGCTTGTTTACAAGGAGAATGGAAAATGCCTCAGTATGCTCTGGACGAGGACATTGCCATGGCCAAGGTCTTGGGGGTGCGTTTCCATACAGCCATGGGCCTTGGGCAGTGTTCTGGCAGTTTTTCTATGAAGGGCGCGGCGATTGCAAGTATATAAATAGGGCTCTTTAGCACCTACAAAATTCAATTCCACAGACATCGAATCATTCCTTACCAGGTTCTGTACTCTAGCAAACCGTTTCTATCTCTCTTCCACATCACTTTACACTTCTATCACCAACTTCCATCTGCCGAGTATGTCATATTCTACATCTTCTAATGCCGTAACCTATGGTCCTCATTCAAAGCGCTAATATGAAAAGTCCAGAATGAAGGGCTTCATTGGAACCAGCCTCCTGGCACTTGCCGCATTTTCAACTTCAGCAAGTGCAGCCACCAACTGCGAGACAGAAAAGCTTGCAGCTTTTGTCTGGCGATACCACGTGAAGTCTTCTGACAGCGTGCCTGATATCCCCGGAATCTGTGGCGGTCTCTGGGATAACCTCAAGCGCTTCGGGGACTGCGGTACACCATCGAACACCTGGTGTGGGGATGCTGGTGATGGCAAACTTGGATGGGACTTTAATGTGGCAAATACTTGCAATCCTGGCATGATTGAGTCTACCTGGTATGAGGCGACCGAGAACCAATGGGGGCCTGTTGACTGCGTTGAGCCGGAGTGAGTCTGAGGGTTAAGGTGCTCGATGAGTGTCGAGAATAGGATATAGAACGTTTCGATGGCACGGGCAGAGGAGAGAAGTCGAGGGGGTGGCTAGTTCGAGTTAGTTGATTCATAGAAATGGAGCTTCCAGGAATACAGTTTGTCTGAGTACACAGTATGCCGATAGATCAGCGCCAACTAAGAATATAAACAGACGAGGGCCTGCTTCGGTTAAACTATAGGCGATCTAAACAATCTCGTCGGGTACGCTAACTAGAAAAAAGGCATGGCAACACTGTAGTAGGAAAGAGATCCACAAGACACCAGGGCCAGCGGTCATAGACAATTGATCATCTCTTGCGGTTATAATAATGTACCCGACCAATTAAACAGACCTACGTTCCATACCCCTGTGTTTAAAACCCCTGAAAATAATAACACTTCCCCGAGTGTCCCAGCCTCTATATGAACAATCGATGATACTAGCATAAACCGGTAGGCTCAGCAGTAGAATATATACGCTCTTCAGATGTTTAGGCACATTAATTTGAGCTTATCAATGGTCGATTGGCAGTACTACTCACACGGGGCTTTTGAATCATGTACCCCGTTTAAACCTTGCACGCTGTTACGACAGGGCCTATATACCAGGTGGATTCATCACTTATTGATAATACCTTGTATGTTACTAGTTCATATTTTTATGGAAGCTGCGGGAGGCGAGCAAATAGAAACAGAAAATATATCGATATGCATGAAAAAAAGGCTAAAATCAGCGTACATCTAGCAAATAGCCCAGTCATACACCATGTTTCCCGCGCATAAAGAGCCTATTTGTCACCAGCATACTTTCCGGTGTAGCGTCGCTCAATCTTCACAAGACTATCCTTGGTGCATTCGCCCTCACTTGTCGTCTTAATCGTACCAGTGCAGGTGCCATCCTGACCAGAAGCAATGCCAATGAAGGTCAGGTCACTGCCCGCCTCGCCCTTCGTCTCGGACCCATCAGGAGCGTAGGCACTGCAGGCCCCGGGCATGCCGCTGAAGGACGACCCGCAGCTGAAGTCGTAGGTTCCCTCCCAGCAGTCGGAGGTGACCTGGAGGTGGTTGGTGTCACGCATGCAGGGGGCGTAGCCGATGGGGTCAGCGCTGTTAAAGAGGATGTTGTTGTCATTGTCGAAGAGGGTGAAGCCGTGAATGGAGCCGCTGCCCGAGTCTTGGATTCCGTTGAAGTTGGAGGTTGTGTACAGGAACTTGATATTGTTCTCGCCGGCGATGGCGGTTGAGGCCATGGCGAGCGCGAGGAGAGACTTGATGAACATTTTGGCTTGATTGTTTTGTGGAAGAGATGGGATAGATGAGTGAGAGCTGGTTGTTGTTTACTTGAAGAAGCCGGAGGCAATGGGGTTTTTATATCCCAATTCTTCGAATCGAGTCTGCCTTGTACTCGGTGCTACGTAGCAATTCGGATCTCCTGACGCTGTACCTGAGGTCGAGCTCGCGGTAGGTTCCTGGATAAGAAGGTCACCCTTGCTCCTGTACTCTGGGTCGTCTTTGTGGAGCACCATCTATCAATCAGATTGCTGAAGACTGTAGATCATCTAAGCGAATTCTGTTAGAAGATCTCGGCATTCGTAGGGCTCTCCATAATTTGGCCCCGCGGTCCGTATTTGAGGCAGTGTGGCCCCAGCGAGCTTTGCCCTTCGCAGCCGTGCTTGGTTCAAACTGATCAAACTCCACGTCTCGTTGATTCTGCAGGGACATACACCGTACGCTATAGCTTCCTCAATTTCGCACTCCCTGGCATCAGGGTGCGGCAGTATCCGCCAGGCCAAGCCCTGCGCCCCATTTGCATCCAATTATCTGCACAGCACACACCGCTGGTAATGTTGATCTGGGTATTTGCTATGTTTCTGCTTTTTTGGTGATGGTATCAAGTGGCTCCTAGTCTACCCTAGCCGGCTTCGGTATCAATGACAGTGCTCCCTATGTGAGGGTGGAGTTTATATGGGCCGAGGGCGGGGGGGCCTCAAGGCTGGCTTGTGTTTTGAAAATATTCATTCAGAACAATATTTATAAGGAGATGTTCAAGTGGAAGAGGCATAGCCCTATCTTGAAGTGGTCCTTTGGGGGTGCGTAGTTCTACTTGCCCAGGCCTATCCGCTGTGCCAATGTTTTCCCAATACGTATATAGTCATTTCTGTTCCTGTGTATTCTCTCGCCCAGTACGCCCCCAAACCAGACGCATTGAGTTGGGGGCGGCCAAGAGCGTCAGGGCACAGAGCGTCCACGATAACCTATCACCGAAGTTACAATGATATTCTAGACCTAGACACCCTCCACTCCAACACCCTTAATCAGATCCGCCGCCTTCTCAGCAACAGCGTAAACCGTACTCTGGGTATGAGCAGACGGGATAACAGGAAATATCGAAGCGTCAACAACACGTACCCTCCCCCTAGACCCATAAAGCCTTAACTCGTTATCCACGCATCCCCCATCCTCGAACTTCAGCATTGCACACGTCCCGCCTGGATGAAAGAAGCTTGGGACTGCTGATTCCCGGATCGTGTTCATGAGCTCCGGGGTGGCTAACCCCGGCTCAGGGGAAGTAACTACAGCGCCAATGGATTTCAGCGCGGGCGTTTGTGGGAGAAGGTCCGTGTTGAAATGCACGGCCTGAGCTAGCATTTGCAGGTCAAGTGGGTTGCTGAAGGTGCGATAGCTGACTTCCGGCATTTTATAGGGATCTGCTGACGCGGCGTGCACTGATCCACGACTTAAAGGCTTTTGCAGGCTGATTATTGTGACGAGGAGGTTCTCTGTTAGGGCGACTTTATCTTTCACCATATATTTCAATAGGAGGTCATGCGCCTTTTCGTAGCCGCGGGCGACGCTACGGTCAATACCTGGACGAAGGTACTGTTCCGGAGACTGGTCGGCAGCGTGCACGAAATTCGAAGTACTGAAGTTCAGGTGTTTCGCGGTCAGGAAGGAGAGTGTGTTCTCTGTCCCAACAGTCCATGGTCCTGTGCGGTTGGCTTCATACAGCATGCCCATCTCAGCATCATATGTAGCATTTTCCTTTAGGTAGTTGGGATCTTGTGTAGGATCATCAAGGTTTGTTAGTTCTAGGGAGCCGTATAATGTTGCATGATCCTGCAGGTTCTCCCCGACACCGGGAATATCAAGTATCTGGTTAATTCCTAGAGAGTAAAGAATCGCCGAGGAGCCGATACCTGACAGGTGCAGGATCTTTGGTGTATGGATTGCGCCGGCGGCCATGATTATCTCTTTTCGTGCTCTCACCGTTTCTATTATTGTCTTTGTATCGGTTGTGGAGTTTAGGGCTGGATTATATAATGCTATATACTCAACGCCAGTTAGATTCGGGGTAAGCTTTGCTACCAGGGCTTCCGGTAGTATATGGTAGTTTGGCCGGGCATCTGCACTGTCATAGTATCCTGTCCTGGCGTATGATCGTTCTCTAGTCGCTGGGTCCAGGTTGTTTGGACTCCAGTACCCACCGAGGGCATTTGCTGAGCCGTCAAGCTGGGTCGGGATGCCGAGTTGCCGTAGGGCAGTCAGAAATACTTCTATTCGGCCGTAAGTATAGTATATCAACTAGTATGGATCTCTTACTTCCTGTAGTTGTTATGAACGGAGGGAAGGAAGACTGTATAGGCCCGTTGGTCCCATGTACATCCAGATCAAACGAAATTCCGTGCTCGATCTGCTGGGCTTCAGTTGGAGGCGTGAATGTTTCGCACTGAGCAGTGAGTATAGGTTTAACATGCGATATTTTATCAGGGCCTACCTTTTTAAAATACGGCAAAAGCCCGTCCCACCCCCAGGCATCATCGCCAACAAGCTCAGCCCAGAGATCATAATCGCCAGGTGAACCACGAGTAAAGGCCATTCCATTAATAGCGCTGCCACCACCGAGGATTCTCGCCGCTACAACCGATGTGGTGCGATTGTTCAGTCCGGCGGTTGGCAGCGAGGTAATGGGCCAGCTGTAGTTCTCAGACACCGTCTGCGCGAACCGGGGATATTGGATGTCTTTCGAGTAGTTGTCGCTGCAGCAGTGAGCATTGAAGCTATTTTGATTGCTGACAGAGAACATACATCTTGCCGGCCTCGATGACCAGCACGGTAGCTGTGACAGTTAGCTACACCTTCTCTTGGAGACTGGCGGCTCATACTGTTACTGTCCTCCGTCAGGCGATTTGCCACGGTCAGTCCACTCACGCCGCCCCCGACGACGACATAATCATACTCTGGAAGCAGATCTGCCTGTCGCCTAATGATAGTCGGATTACCAACCGTATTAACAGCATGGCAGAGGGCAACATGCAACAGCCCAGCAAGAATGGAACCCTTCATTGTAAACCAGGTATGGTCTCACAAACCGTCGAAACCAAAATACTTAAGTTCAGAGATCCCCGCAGGTTAATTCAGCTCTAGCGGGGAATTTCCCATTTAAACACGGACTGGTTCTTAATTTCTGCCCCGGGCTTCATGTCAGATCACATTGGGGGCAGTCAGTCGATTATTGGGCACTATCAGCCCTTGCTGTGGCCTGTGTCACATCATATTTTTTTTCGGTCCACGTTATATGGGTCCATGCCAGGGGTGGAATGCTGGAATGAGCAACGCTTCACTTTATTCGCCCGATATTTTATTTATGTGGAGCATGTCTCTGGCAGCCCTTGCCGTTGTTTTCATTGAAATGGTTTAATACTGAAATTAAGACTTGACGGAGAACCATACTGTCAGGGTTCAATGTTCACATAGGTTAAATTCACCACCTTCAAAGAGACTATTTCCACCTTCAGCATATGCCGATCGCTCTTCCATCAGCTCCAATCGGTACGCCTTTGCCTCGTCCATTGAGATAGGTGCAAAGTCGCAGTGTTCGCGAACCATGTCCTGCAGTTCAACAGGGAACCGGCTAGACAGACCTTCATTAATAGCGTCCGTGAATTCATCACACCAATCCTCGCGTTGCGGGGGCACATTGGCACTTGAAATGATGCGCCGGTTGGGATCGATGAGAAAAAAGGCAAGGATCTTGCGATGTCCTGGCTTCGACCGGTCCGCCAGCGAGAAAGGAGAGACGCGGTGCTGCAGGATATTTGGGAACGTCAACAACCGTCCTTCGCGACATGATACGCCCCCGAGATTCTGGGTTATATCGTCCGTACCACCGTAGCCATCGTCGGGGTTGAAGCCAAACAGGCTTAAATGGTGGAAGTGGCCTTGTTCGTACGATACCTCCTGGATGTATTCCTCGTCGGCGCGGTTGCGGAAAGACAGGGTGTTGTCGGTGATGTTGTGTGAGTCGTAGTAGTATATCGCTGTTGCACATATTCTCTCATTCTGAACACTATTAGCTGGGAACTGTTAGATGCAGTGGACTGACATACCAGTTGGCCCTCAATATGCCACGATCCGCCCTCATACTCGGGTCTTTCCGGGGTGAGCTCAATGTTGGCCAGCTTGACAATGACCTGCAGGCCTCTGTCTTTGAATTGTGTTTGGAGGTCGGCTTTTTCGTTCGGTTTCTCCTTCGGTGGCTCGAATTGACCCGGCTCGGGAATTTTAACCTGGCGCCGACCCTGCCACGCGTCATGAAGGTCCCAGTAAGCGTTCGAATAAACACCAGGAGTCTCAGGTTGTGGCTCGGGTTCATCGGACTCATATTCGCAACTGTGGACGGGGATGCGATATTCAAAGGTACCCTTGCACGATAAGGAGACGTTCCATAGCGGAATAGTCTGTGTTAACACTTCCTCGATGATCTTGTACAGATCCCTGTGTTTTCTTGGGTGCAGGTTATTGATGTACGAAGCAATCCGGATCTGACCATCCGGAGTAAACTCCACATTACATGGAAGCCACTGGAACTTTGCGCTGTATGGGTTCGACTCTCCCACTTCAGATATCCCAATAGCGGCCAGTTGCTGTTCATTGGGAAGTTCCAGTAACTTACCCTGTCCGATGCTGCTGAAACAGTCCTCGACGCCCATTATAGTGTCGCGCAGGGCTCTTGATCTGCCATATATGAGTGGAAATAAGGACGGGTGGACCAGGTCAACCACCTTCATGTCAGACCCGGGATGGTAGTCCTTTTCCGAAGTGGCTTCAAGGTGGCTGACTGCCTGGCGAAGTCTCTGCTGGAGGTCTTTTGAGATGGCCACGTCTGACTTGACGACGCCGGTATCATATGCAGTGACAATACCAGAGTTCCGATATTGGGTTGCTTTCCATTGAAGCTCCTGGATCATCCAATCCATCATCGCAGTCGTCACGTCGTGGTCACCCTCAGAGATCTCACTTCGCCATTTGCTGACGATTTCCTCATTGAACACCTGTATTGTCAGGAATAGCCATTAAGGAGTTTGTATGGTTCACAGGTATCTACCTTGGTATCCCAATCCTGCTTGTCGGTTATCGAATTCATAATCTGCATCATCAACAACTCCCTCAGGGTGAAAGCGTACCTATCAGCGGTTAGTTCAGCTGAAGGACAGGGTTGCTGTGCATCCTACCCAACCAGTCCAGCCTCGATATCATCACCATCTATAGCATGTCCACAGACAAGGCCATTCCAATCTCGCTATGATTTGTTAGCGCAATTCGACGACGCGACGGCAGCAAGCAGTACCCTGGGCGTGAAGAACACGGACAAATTCAGGCCCGGGAGGTCGAAGGGGGTTTTCTGCTGTGGCGTTTGGTCGTCCATTGTGGAAGGTATTTGCAGAGAATTGATACTTCTGGTTTTCTAGTGGGAATGCTGTGGATATAAAAGCTGCCATCACCAGGCAGGCAGCCAGGCTCCAGCTGAGCATAAATTGCAGACGAAGTTGTTTAACTGACTAGTGCGCGGCTTAGTCATTCGTATACACGCCTACCAATGTGGGCTAGTGAGATAAAGTTGGCCAATCAAAGGGGGATGCAGCTCGCCGTGGTTAGAAAATAAGTCAGCGTGGTTAGGATTGGACCCACCTGTTTATTGCCACTAATTCCACAGTACATATACACCACGTATTAGGGTGGTTAGGGTGATTAGGGTAGTTAAAAATTAGGGAGGTTAGGGAGGTTAGATTAGGGAGGTTTTTTTTTTTTTATATTAAAATTATAGCCTATCGTAGTTTGAATCTGTAGAATTAAAATACTTTTAGATGTGGCAATAATTTCGGATCAATTCTGTAGCCATGCCGACCTTTTTTCTAACCACGGCGATGTGTAAGCCCGCGTAAGCCAGCGACGTACAACTCAGCATATGAAACGACATCAGACGAGCAAGATACGTACAGACGAATAGCTGGCTGCTAATATATAGACAAAACAAGGCTTCAACTTGGCGGAGCGCTGCGTTTCTCGTCACGGTTCGGCTTACCGTTATATATTTATCAGAGCAGACGACACACCCCAAACCTGCCTCATCTTCGGACAAAATGGCCACTTCTCTTCCAACCAGTGTGCCTGAAGCACTGGACTTGCCACTGCTATTTTCCCCTGAAGTCACCGTGCAGCTGTCTCCGGACCTTGCGATAGGCTCTGGTATGGATAACCGCCTTATTTACGTATAGCCAAGAATAACGCAGTTATAGTTAGTGTCGGTGGTTATGTGGCCTCTGCAATGGCTAAATATGCCCTCTACTACGCCTCCAAACATCCCAAAATGCAGAGCCAGATTGACCTCTACTCTATCGTCACCCAATTCTACCGCCCGGTCTTTATCAGGACGCCAATAAATATGACTCTGCGGGAGGTCAGCATTGGCAAGGGATGGTCCACACTGCGCGTCGAAGCATCCCAGCAGGATAAGCTCGGTGTATCTGCCGATGTAGTGTATGGAAATAACCACCTATACCTCAAGCAACAACGTCTACGGCTAACAAGAACGACTATCTAGAGTCACAAACCTGTCCAACAAAGGCATCACCCTTAAAACGGGCTGGCGGCTCCCTAATAGTCCGGCCCCAGTCGACCTCGCAAAACTCGAAACTGATACCGATCCAAACTGGGTATCGTACCATTGCGCCTTCTACCCAGACGGATTCCGACGCGGCCATTCCTACGCAAGGTCATATATCCCGAGAGTCCAGCCTACTGAAATAACATTCGTAGAGCAATGGGTTGAGCCGGGCTGGGATTTCCTCCCGCAGGGCTCTCGGCCTGCAAGTGCAGAGCAGAACAAAGCACGTTGGACGAATGAGATGATTCCGTTTGTGGTAGATATGACGATGCCGATTCAAGAGAATTTCTTTCCACGCGAGAGCGGAAAACCGCTGCCCATGGGAAGTATAGCGGCTACGCTTGAGTTTGCCGCTCGCCAGCAAAAGGCCCGCGAGGAGGGGAGGAATGACTGGAGGGCTATAGACGATGACGGGTCGAAGATATTCGGGGCGAGGATTATGAATGTGTCCTTGACGATTTCTACGGAAATTAAGCAGAGATTACCCGCTGAGGGTGTTCGGTGGCTTTACCTGCGCACTGAATGTAAAAGGGTTTTGAATGGACGGATGGATTTGGAAGTTCTGGTTTTTGACGAGAGGATGGATTTGATTGCTATTGGGCACCAGACTGCGGTGCTTATTGAGGGAACTTCTAAGATACAGAAGTTGTAATAGGAGATCTTCATTATTCAGTCACCACTCCGCAATGACCATCCCAGATTCCAGCATGGGAAGGCACAGGAACAGCGGTGTCCGCCCATAGCGCCAAGATTAGGGGTCCAGGCACCAGCCCCAGGCACCAACAGGGCTGGCTGCCAAGGTGGCTGGATATCGGGCTCGAGGTCCTGAAATGATCTTCCAGTCTACATTATGACGAAATTTGCTTTCGGTTATAAACTGGATGAGCTGCGATAGTTACAAGACAATCCCCTTCTATTTCTTCTAATTATGCTACTCAGAAGCGGGTCCTAGATCCTCACGGGTTGTCTGAATATACAACAAATATATGCCATTCTTGGGTCACGAATAAACGAAAATTATGCCGACTGCGTTCTGCGGGCCAATGCTAGCTCAGGCCCTAGACAATGTCAGTTCCCAGCCGGCCGACAGCACTGTTTCATTGGGGACACAAACCGTATGGTTGACCGGGTGTATTAACCAGGCCTGACTCGAGCAGGATTTCATGGCTGATATTACCTTGCTCTCCTGCGACCGAGGCTTCAGTGCTTGAATCTAGTACAGAGCCGATTAGATCCTGCTGTGATTATAACTCGGATAACTGACCTTGAGATTGAGCCCTCCAGTAAGTGGCGACATAATTCCATATCTGAAGAAATGACCATGTCCCAGTAAGGAGAAGCGTGATGAAGGAGATTGAGGTGTCTATCGACCAAGTCATCTTGCCGTTGTTGAAAAATTGTAAATTCTCATGTCCTGGGGGTTGTTTATATGTACCATATATCAAAACAGATTCTGGATTCAGAACAAAATCTCTGTGCAAAACAGATTATGTCCATGGCCAATAAACGAGAAGTGCTCTTGCACCTAATTGGAATACAGGAACAAAGCAGATTTTGGAGTCAGGTTGGAAAGCACTGCAAAGCAGATTGTGTTCATGGCCAATGAAATAAGCAGTACTTTTGTAACCAATCAGAATACAGCACAAACCAGATTCTGGAGAGTCGGTCTGCGGCGCCCTGAAAGCAGAGTCTGGCCTCGTCCAATCAGATATGTTGTACCAGCTGGGGCTGAGCTGCGGCGACAAGGATATCGGAAATTGAAAAGGCACCAGCCCCCAGGGCATCTATCACAAGGCAAACATCTATCTAAATCTATTTCACAATGTCCCAGAAAGCACCGCGAATCCCAGACCAGATATGGAACCGACACAAGGAAACAATTATCCCCTTCTACAAGGCAACTTCATTACCCGAAACCATGACATATATGGCTGAGCAACATGGTTTTCGAGCTACGTACGGATTTCACTATCTCCTCCATGAAAATTGATTCTGATTCCCCCGTCTGACCCTTCCTAGGAAGAGCCAATACACCAATAAACTCCAAAAATGGGGCATTGAAAAGAATCACCCTGGAAGTGACTGGGCGATCATCCAATTCAAAAAGCGCAAACGAAGCGAAGAGGGCAAAGAAAGCGATGTTTATATCCGCCAACGCAAGTATACCAAAAAAGAACAGGAAAAAGAAATCGCACGGCATGTTCCCCTGGGACGAGAGTGGTGCCATGCTGAGGATGCTCTCCCGGACTACATTACTGTATGTACACCGAAAGGAGAGGTCAGTGGCATCAATCGCGACTTCCTTCTGCGCGGCCTCCCGTGGTATCATTGCATCCAGCAGATACAAGCACGTAGTAAGTTGTTGAGCATTGACGATATCTTCATGTTTCCTGTAACCCATGTCCGTGATATCAGCAATCTAACACCACGTTTTAGTCTCCGGGACACTCCGAGCAGACATGGCACTGTCCACTCCTGGGACCTTCCTGGAGAGAGCCATTGCAAAGCTTGATCCTGTATGGCAAACAAACCTACCCCCGTTGACTGTGGGGTATGGTATATTTGGGGATACCAAAAACAGCCTGAGTGCATATCTTCCACTTCAAGACCTAGACATTTCGAATTGTGCGACCACAAGGCCAACAGGACTGCAAGAGCAATGTCCATTATCAATATTCCAGACATTCCTCAGGCGCTTCATCTTTCTGTCGGTGAATAATCTACTCAATCAATGGGTGTTCAACGATGTCTGCGAATGGGTCGTGGAAAAAGGTGGTACAGACATCCTTATTTTTCTTTGCAAGCTCCCGTCCCCGTTAATGGAGGTATTCGTAAAAAAGGTCTTGCTCAGCGCCATTGAGTCCGGAAACGTGGCACTTGCTCGGAGGATTCTCGAGGGCGAAATCCGTCTACATGCCGGTGATCCTGTTCAGCGGCACTTTTGGACTGACTGCCTCACCAGTGCAGTCGATCAACGGAATGAAGCCATGGTTGAATTACTGTGCCAGACAGGTGTACACCGGGAGATCAACCAGAGATCATGGGACGTTAATTGGAGTTTAAAACTGCCGGCTCTACACAAATTGCTCGACTATGGCCATCCAGAGACGTTCATCAAGAATGAAAATGCTGGGTTCCATTTGATCAGTGCAGCGCTGAACGGTAGCCTGGACGCTGTGGAATTGCTTGTGAAGAAAGGAGCTCGAGTTAATCTCTACCTTTCTTACTATTATGGAACTGCTTTGCAAGCTGCCGTCTTTCGGGGTCACTCGGAGGTAGTAGAATATCTTATTCGACATGGAGCGGACACCAACATTCCCCATACACAACATATCCAACTTCCACATTGGCAAGGAGGAGGCCCTGGGCCTCGGGGGATCTCTATGCTAACGCCTGTTCAAATTGCTGCCAAGATGGACAATGTGCCCCTTCTGCGAACATTGCTTCACTACGGAGCATCCGCCATGGCTTGCCCGGTTTCCACACACCCTGACATCATACCTTACGTTTCTAATCGATTTTCCAAGACGACTCGTAAGCCACACTATGAGAACTTGCATCCACTATATACTGCCTTACAGTATGGAGTTATCAACCAGAGCGCGGAGATCGTCGCAAATTTACTATGTGGAGGTGCTTCCCCAGACTCCCGGGTCGCACCCGGTGTAGATGATACACCCTTGCAGATGTCGGCCAGACTCGGCGATGTTGAGATGTTTAAACTGCTTTGGAGCTGGGGAGCTGACATCAACGCCCCCGCCGCGAGTCCCAACGGCCGGACTGCAATGCAAGGCGCTGCAGAAAGTGGAAGCTGGGAGATCATATCAATGCTGCTCGGTAGCGCGCACATCAACGCACCCGCAGGAGCGGAACAAGGCATGACTGCATTGCAGGCTGCATGCTTAAATGGACATTCGATGATATCTGGGGTTTTACTGGCTCATGGAGCGTACCTAAACGGTCGCCCATCATCCGTGGCGGGTCTAACACCTGTACAGGCGGCAGCCGCACACGGCGACATAGGGCTTGTGCAGGATCTGATTGCCCTTGGAGCGGATGTTAACGCCCCAGCAACGGAGTTGGGCAGGACAGCTCTTCTCGCTGCTACAGAACACAAAGACCTGCCACTACTGAAGTTACTCGTACAGCATGGCGCGGATGTCAACGTAACTGCAGATCGTGCGCTCCAGTCCCCTCTTATCTGTGCTGTTAGGAATGACTGGTTCGACGGGGTGCGGTTTCTTTTGAAACGTTCTGCAAATGTTAATGATCTGCCAATCCCTGATGAGGAAGACGACTACGATCCAGATGAAATATTAAGTCCTCTCGGCTGGGCTATCACCAATGGCTCCGAGGAGATCATAAACTTATTGTTGCAACACGAGGCTGATGTTGGTGCAGTAGCCAACTTGGGCTCGGGACTAGGCGCTCTAATGCATGCGTTGGAGCAAGGCTCCAGTTTTTGGGTTATTGATTTGCTGCTTGAAAGGGTCCCGATCTTGGAAGAACATCCTGGCTGGGAAAGAGTTCTCGAGCTTTTTATCCGGGACCCTTTGTACGACGACACCATTCCCCGTCGGCGGATACTCGATAAAGTAAGATCACTACCACCTCTGCTTCGTCGCAAGGCAGCCGAGAGGGCATGGAACAAATTGCCTACTAGGGTGGGTGATTTAGACGAGAACGAAGCACCCATGCGGAGTTATATCGAGATCCTCCTCGAATTAGGAGTATCTGTGGATTCTCGTGACGTGGAGGAGAGCACGTTGCTTATGCGCACAGCCCAACGCCGTTATGAAAGGTCATGCTCTTGCCTTATCAGCCGTGGTGCCACGATTAACACCCGGGCAGGCAAACACTGGGGAACGCCTCTCCAGGAAGCTGTCAAGGAATCAAATATCAGTATAGCCAATGATCTACTGGACCACGGAGCAGATATCAACGCCCTTCCAGCAGAGGACAGGGGTGTCACAGCGCTCCAGGCGGCCTCCATCAATGGGTTGTTCGAACTGGCTGTACGGCTGCTTGAGCGTGGAGCAGATGTTGCGGCGCCAGCTGCACCGAAAAACGGTCGGACGGCAATTGACGGCGCGGCAGAGCGTGGTCACCTTGACATGGTGAAATTGCTTCTAAACGCATATCCGGAAGACGTGGATCTGGAGCCGATACGCTGTCAGGCGGCGGCCTATGCGGACACGGAAAATCATATTGAGCTTGCTCAGTGGTTGCGGGGGGGTTGTACGCCTTGAACTTGTTATACACTATCTTCTATATCTTGGGCTTCATTATTCACATTTTTCCTATTAAAAACCCACCCTTATAGGTGCAACTACTACTAGAGACTTCACGAATCAATGATACACGCAGTAAACTCTATCTGACTGTCAGGGTAAGTACGTTGCTTACTGCTTTTCATGCTCTGCCCTCAGCTTCTACGTACTAGGCTGCCTTGTGATAGGCCTGAAACTTGAATTGGTTGATCATTCTTGTTGGCCATGCAGGACGATTATCTGCCCTTCCCTAAGACCGGGAAGGCAGAGATATACAGCAACGCTAGCGGCTATATGAAACAAACCAGTCCAAGAGCGCCAACACCACCAATCCACAAGAAGTAAACCGGAGATCGTCACCATTACCGTGGCTTCTCTGTACTTATGGAGGGTTCTACAACGTATGTACTAAAATGTAAGGGGCGAAGGAGTGTGTAAAAGTGCTATAACACCAATACCGACACTGCCTTCACGATGAATATTATAAAATCCAACTCTGGTAAGGGGTCATCTATTTCCTGATCACTAAATTTACCCATTGAACCATGTCAGCATACCGATTTCCGCTGCGGCCAAAAACAACTGCGCCATTGGGATACGTGTCTGCCCTGATAACTGTCTTTTGGGAATCCGGGTTTGAACCACGAACGTCCTGGAGAAAGTTGGGAGATTCCCAGCATGTGTCCTTCTGCCCCTGGTGAGAGCATTGTTGGAAAGGGGTTCCGGCAAGTATACCTGAGGGATTGGGGACTCGAAGGCTGGCACCGTGCCTTTCCAGCAGAGCATTTAGGCTGCAAGTCGAAGCCGCCATCAGATCCTTTCTTGCTGGTACACGATTGCAAGGCGACTGCACAGAGGCGGCGCGATTTCCAATAATAGCGTCTCCAAATTCTGAGCAGAACAGGCATTTTATCTCCCCCAGCAGCGGTGCCCAAGCCAGGCCCTGTCGTTCGAGCTGTTGCTGCTTTAACTCGCAGTGTGTGGAATCTTCAATGATATCCCAAAACTCATAGCCATATACCTTACGGCCACTCGGTTTCTGAACGGCTGTTTTGGACAGGTTCACAGAGAACCCCATGATGAGGTCCCGAACTGTTAATTCAAGACTGGATGCCCGATCTATTACTGAAGTAGCAGTATTCTTCAACGCCTCGAGCGACGCAAGGCCACCGTTATTGCTGCCGGATGTCGTTTGAGGTACACCAGATGCCAACCCATGATGTTTTGCATAGGAGAGGAGCATTTGATGCAGCACGCATATCAGTGACACGAGCCATGCCCTCTGCTGTGCAGCGTCGTATACAATAATCTGCTCAGAGACGCTATTTCGCAGACATTTGAGATAATTATCAGACGCGCTAAAGTGAACCGCCATCATCTTCCGACAGAATGCGAACCCTAGTTGGCCTCCTACCTGGGCTGGGCCTCCGGACTGTGCAACCAGCTGTAGGTTTGCACCAGTCCATTGCCACGAAGTATGCTTTTTGCCTGCGTCAGACCGTTTGATGTCTGCTGTTGCATTCATAGTTCCCAGAGAAACACTGGCATTTCCACACCAGCCCAGAAGGTTCCTTTCCGATCTCAGGTCTTTAATTTCTCGAGTCTTCCACCAGAGCCCCTTGGTGACACTTAGCTCGGATATGTTCAATTGGCTGTCATGCCCTGCAACTTGCAAATGCCAAAGCATGGTCTTCTCGCTGCAGTTTCCGGCGGGGATTAATGCGGTGGAATAGCCCATGAGCACGATGCCATTATCTACCCACACAGGGTACTCGACGGCAGCCAGCTGAACCATGTTCTCGAAGGTGATATCTAATATCCACCCCCAGTTTGGCGTCGTCGACGGCTCCAGGACAATTACCGCCGAGTCGAAAAGTGCAGCCCAACATGTGTCACGCATAGTAAACTCTGCGAGAGGTTGCCATGGCTTAAATGAAAGCTTACCGTGGTTCAGTTCGCCTGTTGATATCTGTGGACCGTGTGGAGGGGGTTCACGAAATGTCAAGCACAGCCAGACCACCGCATCTAATAGCTCTCTCATTGACGGATTGACAATAACGCTGACATTCCGACTCGTGGCCCTAACTATGATACCATATTTGACTAGCACAGGCGTTAGATTAGCATAATACTGGGATTAAATACTTGCCATAAACGCCGTCCTGATCTTTAAGAGCACAAACGATACCGTCCAAGAGCCTGATACTCTGCTTCCCGTACGTCGTTTCGAGATACTTGGCGCATGTTGAGAATACGACACTCTTGGTCTTTTTGGTCATTGTTGGCACTCTGTAGATATCCAATTTGCTGCCCTCGTCCGCAAAGATCTGTGGGAGTTCCCACTGACAGGTTATGGTCGCCCCAGCCGGCACGTTTGCGAAGTCTGCTCCCGCGACGAGTACTACCAACATTCGCAGGACTTCTGGATCTCCCCATTCTGCAGCAGCTGCCAGAACACCATCACCACGAACATCGGCACCGTTTATTAACAGGGTAAAGACTATATTTGCGTCTCCTGAACGAATAGCTGCCCGCAGGGCACCGCCATAGTTGATATCAGCACCCGCTGCGAGTAGGATACGTATCGCTGTTGTGTCACGACGGCGTATAGCGATGAGCAGCGGGCTGTACCCTTCTGCAGGATAGCGGGGTCCATTGACGTTGGCTCCAGAGTGAATGCATTGCTCAAGCCCGCGATGGTCCCCAGCTTCGAGACGCTCACACAGGAGATTGGTGTATTTTTGCTCGATTGTTCTTTTGTAATACAGAACAGCCTCTTCTGCGGTATCCTCTCTTGCATTTGCTCTCGCATTTTCCTTATTCAAGGCACTGTGCCATCTTCGTGACGAGAATACGTCGTCACCTACGCGAACACGGCAGCCGTGCTCTGTTTGGCCTTGTCAAAGTCATCGCGTTAGTTTCAGAGAATCATGGACCCCATTACGGGTATGCCAGTTTTCCCTTACGGGCTTCCTGCGTTACGGGCTGGTAAATTGGCTCCCCCAAGCCTTGTCTTCTGCAATACGCTGTCTGCAATTAGTAAATGCCCGATAGCAAGGCAGCGACGCGAAAGAGAAACCAACAACCTAACCTTCAAGTTCCCGTTGCCATGGTCCTTTCTGAGAGGGGGCGGAATCACTGGCCATTGTTAATGTCCTAGGTAAAACTGTCCGAGCATAGCGCAAATATAATATGGACAGGGTATCCCATGGGCCTCGGTATTTCGATAGTTGGAGAGGAAAGACTGACCTTTATAAAATCCGATCGACAGCCTCTTGCCCGGCGCGAAATGTGTCGGACGATGATTGGTGTTGCCTGAGCCTTTCAGCTTTGACCTCCTGAACAGGGATTATCGTCCAGACGTGGTGTTGAAAGACGCCCGAGGCGGCCTCTGTGCTTGCCGACGCATACCAAGTCTGCCCTGTCTGAAAACGCGCGTAGGCCTACCGTGAGTGAGATACATATATACTTGACTTTCTACAAAGGTGGATGACTGTCCCTTTCCGCTTTGGCGTTTACTCCTTACTGCTTTTACTTACTGGGTAGACCTTTACGCTCATTTCGTAACGCAACGAGTTTCTACATTCGGTACAGAAAGCCGTTATACGACACTACTGCGAATAACCCAGAATATAGCTCAGTATGGGATTATTTCAATGAGGAATCCGTCTGGGTCTTCCACAAAAGAGACAGCTACGACGGCTTCCCAAAGATACCGGTCGAACCCCTTGTCGGGCCTATCGCACCCCAAAAACGTAGACACCACCTCTGAACCTTGAGCCTCTCCAGCCTTTTTGAGTATTTTGACATTGTGACTTCTAATAAGCCCCGCAGCCCGTTCTTTCTAGCCCGGAAGCTGCTAAGCTTTGCCTGCCACCCGTCTTATGAAGCTTGATAACATTCGTTTTGTATGTCTCTTAGTTCCTATTTGCAGCTGTAGTTATATGCCGCTCTTTTCGTCTCAACGTCTAGACACACGCCGGATGTATGAAGAGGGTCAAGAGATGTGTCCTGCATCAGCCTCCCTTCCGTCAGGATTTGTCACACTCTTTTCTTTGCACATGCAGCCCCTACGTCGAAGATCCATTGCTCTCTTCATTCTGCCTGATGCGCTGGTATGACGTGGATGCGCTGCCCACTGGAATCATCACGCTTTTCTCTCGCGCTTTCTTCTCCAGTTCCCCAATAGTCTCGGCGCCCCTGAGAATGTCCACGGCCGACGACCCGCCACTAATGGTTGCAAGAGGGCTGTTCTTCCACACAGGAACACTTTGCGAGCTAGTTGAGTTCCTCGCCGTCACCAACATGAATAGTGCTGCACCAATCAACACCAAACAGTGGAGCGCGATCCATCCCCACTGGGCTTTATAGTACTGCGTAGGCGTCCCTGTATGGCCGTACACATAGTCAACAGCGTAGCCGTCGTATTCCTCTCGCATTCCGTTCGTTATGCTCGTAGCAAGCGTACCGAAGGTCTCTTCTATGTTGAGCTTGTCCTCATTCCAAACAGAGCCAACTGCTGCCGGAATGCTTTGCTGGTCCTGTATCACCCCGTTATACCCGACTGCATCTTCTGGCAAAAGATCGAGCATTGCGGAAGTCATGTTCGCTCCCGTGGTGATATTCGTGGAAAGCAAATCCTGCATACGGTGGCTCAGTGCCCAGACCGCGTCGTCAGTGATTGAGTATGTGGGCTTGGTTGAGTTGTCCGGGAAATAAAGGACAAGATCGCTTCGGCCAGCGTAGGCGTAAAGCTCGTTAAACTCCAGCGTGGCAGATTCGTTGACGGGTGGAATATTCTCTGGCGCAAGGCTGTCGTAGGACGAGGAAGAGAGAAGCCAGGAATTGGGGTCACGAACTGCATCGGTTGCCTCCTTCACGTTCTCGTGGATAATATTGTCCTCCACTGTCAGGCTGATCGACTTTACGCAGTAATACATCGCGCATTCGGTTGCAAGGAGCGGTATATCAGGCCATTCATACTCGTAGTCTTCCTTGGGGGAGCTTTCGATCTCCGCCGAGTCTAGGTGGATCACACTCATGGACCATATCAGAGTATTGATATCCCGCATGCTATTGGTCTTGCTTGGGTCCCCCGTTCCAAACGACGACATGGTCAATTGTGACGGCGGCGCATGGCCGATTGCCGGACTGAGGTAGTCGCAAGTACTGTCGGTGAGTGAGCAGCCATTCATATTCATGAGGAAGTGGCCATTGGGTAAACTAAAGGCAGTCCCGTTTTCCTTCTGGTATACGTCTCCGTGTCCGTCATTATAGAGGGAGTTGTATACTTCCCCGAAATCATCCACCCTCTTCAACTCTGGCGTTAGGTCCTGGCACCGGTGGCACACACCAAGGGTCTGGAACTGGTCCCAGGTGCAGATTCCGGTCGGGCACTGTACGGTGCTCTGTTGATCGATTGTTTTTCGAGAACGAGAGAGCCCAGCCAGGATGGCCGCTTGCATGGGCAGTTCCAGCTCCGTCGTCATCCTAATGACTGGGTTGCGGGTTGAGTTTTCAGCGCGCGACCAATCGTGCGCATACAGTGCTTTGCCCTGGTCGAAGCTCGTCGCCAGCGTGGTGAACGAAGCCCCTGGCGTAGTATGCCAGGAAGGTTCGCCATAGCTGGGTCGCTGTTCCAATTGAATAAGCTGCTGTGAGAATGGATCGAGCGCGAGTACAAGCACGATCAACAGGGCACCAAGCTGCAGGGGCAAGCTACTCTAGTAAGCTTAGATACTCAAAGGGATATACTAATCGTGGCCTTACACCTGGAAGCCATGCATCCGTGAGAGAACCCTCAGACTGCCCCACGGCCCACGGCTGGCCATGTCAATTCGCTCGAAGTCTGTCAGCGGCCGTTCAGCTCGCGAGAACAGTATCCATTTCCATTGTCCGATCAACTCCGCAATCGCAAACGTCAGGCTTGCCTTCATGGCGACTGAAAGCACCGAAATGATAGCGTTCAGTGTCACATTCTTCCAGTCGAATATCGGACGACCATCGAAGATTCCGAGTACTATGACCATGATCGCGAAAGAAAGGAGCGCACCGACAAGCGCACACAGCTCGAGCTTCCATGCCTTCCAGTCTGCCATAGAGAAACGTGCTGTTTTCGAAGACATTGTTTGGGATATGAGAAGGGTTGCAACGTAGACGTTTCGCTATTGAAGGTGCCCATCAGCGACTATGACTGCGCCATCTCCTTGGAGCTTTGACTTTTGTCGCTTAGCGAGGCTGGTTGTGCACAGCCTTACGCTAGAAGTCAAAGTCAAGGGTCTCATCTCGAACTGACCCGCGATCTGCGTCCAGTACGAGGAGACCCCCACCAAGTGGAATACTATACCTGGCTAAGGTCAATTTGGAGATAATCCATTATAAATCTTACTTCTAATAAAATTTTAAGCTCCTCTACACTTCTAAAGCTAGTTAATAAGGGCTATTTAGTATATATAAATATATACTAAACTCTCAGTCAAAATATTTGTTGCCATGGCCTTCTCTGCATGATTCTAGCATTCTCCACTCAAGATTCAGAGTACAAGGATAATCATGATGATTTCTGCGTGAACTATTTTGGTGGCGTCGGGGCAAACAGGGATTTCCTGATACTCTGTTATCACAAGTGTGAGCTGGCAATACTCCCCGGTTCTGCGATCCGACTAGACAAACTGAACACTCTACCCTACAGGGAAACACGGATTCAGGTAACGCGGTAGCCTTCTCACCAGATAGGACACTACGGAAATAAATTTCTAGCGAGCTCTACTTATGTTCCCCAAAGTAATCATAAGCCGGGTCCAGCTTCCGGTCTGCCCAAACCGTCAACATCTTCTCGAAGCCAGCGTACGCATTAATGAAGAACTTATCAGGACGCAAGTCCCGGACAAGTTGTGCAGCAACGTCAGCAGGCGGCCGACCCTGGCTCTGCATAAAACCGGGAATGGCGGCATGAAACTCATCTGATGCCGTTCCTGATAACTCGTTGACAGCTTCAGTGTGGGTGATGTCAGGAAACACAACGCTAACATCGATGCCCTTGGGTACAAGCGTTACTGCCATGGACTGGCTTAAAGACACTTCAGCCGCCTTGGTGATGCAGTAGCTCATGAGATTCTCGGCAACTGCTGGCGGGGGGACAAAGGCGTTGGGCGACGCGGTATTAATGATCCAGCCTGAGCCTCGAGAAACCATGGACGGGAGAAATTGTTGGACAACTCGAATATAGCCGAGGACATTCACATCAAGGTCTTTCCGGATATTGTCGATAGGGGCGTTGAGGATGCTGCCTGTGTGCATTATGGCGGCGTTGTTGTAGATGATGTCTGGACAGCCCACTTCCTTGAGAACAGCTGATGCGAAGGAAGACACGGAATCGTCACTGGTAACATCGCAGAAGTATGCAAAAGCTTTGTGTCCTTCCTTCTGTAACTGAGAAACTGTAGCCTCTTGCGCTTCAAGTTCAATATCAGCCAGGACAACAACGGCCCCAGCGGCAGCAAATTCACATGCGACAGCCCGCCCGATACCTCGAGCGGCGCCTGTAACCACTGCGATTTTACCGTTATAATGAGACATGGCTTGATGTTGACGATCTTGGGTTGACTACCGGAAGGTAAGATCCGGAGACGGGTGTGGAGAAATAGGGATCTGTTCCTTAAATATGCTGACGTCGCTCTTCCGTCATTTGAAGTCTTGATCTGGGTCTGTGCGATTAATATCTTTTGATACGGAGCGCAGCGTCCATCTACATTCGGTATCAACCAGCGCCACAGTCTATCTTCTTTAGCTGCATTACTGAGCAGTCCAGGTTTTTGCCTAACCTGAGAATGGCATATATAGATACGCAAACCAGCATCTCAAGTACAGTAGCCTAAATGACAGCCAGCAAAACCTAATCCCTTTTAATAAAACACAAATTCAACGGCGCCAGCCCAGTCGTAAAATGATCCGCCGACCTGAGCAACAAATCCTGCCCATCCTCCCCAGGCGCCAAACGCACATCAAACTTCGTAATAAGATACGCAGTCAGCAGCCGAATCTGCATATATGCCAGGTTCTTCCCAATACAGCCATACGGCCCCATTGAGAACGGACTAAATGCGTCCTTGTGTTTAATCAGTTCAGGGCGCGAGAAGAATCGTTCGGGTATGAAGTCGTTTGCCTGTGTGAAGTGGTTCTCGCTCCGTCCGATTGAGTATAGATGGATCTGGAGAGTGGTATTCCCTGGGATATATTCCTGGCCGATTTGGACTCCTTCGGGGGGTGTTTTGCGGTAGAGGCCGCTGGGGACCGGGGGATGTAGTCGTAGGGTTTCGTTTATGCAGCCGTTTAAGAGCTGTGCGTTTTGGAGGTCCCGGTGTTCAATCTCTCCGTTCTCCCCTAGTAGTGGTTCGATTTCTTGTCGAAGCCGCGCCAGGAGGCCCTCTTCGGTGGCGAGGTGGAAGAACATGTATGTCAGCGTAGCTGCAGTTGTATCGCTACCGGCCACGATAATGAGTTTACTGTCTAGATGTAGAGAGTGGATCTCGACCTTCTGGTCTTCTGTGCTCCTCTTGTTGAAATCTTCAATAAGATAGTGCGTGATGTCAGGGTTTTGCTGCTTCCCCTGCACAAGCATCCTCTGTTCAATCATCTCGGCGCAATAGTTCAAGAACCGGAAATACGACTTTCTGATTCCGGGGACATGCCAGAGAAGCCGATTAAGCCACGGCGGAAATGCCAGGCCGGCTTTATCTTGTGCGTTGTTCAGGATCTGAATCGCCCAGTGCTCTTCCTGGGACTTGGATGCGAGCATATCGAAGGACCGCCCGAATGCCAGGTCTCCCATAACGTCGAAACTCCACAGATTGAACCATCGCGATGCATTCACGGTTTGACCGTCAAATGACGAGAGACGCTCTAGCAGACTCTTGTTATACTTCAACACCCGCTGTTCATACCCTCGCAGAGCCTTATCGCTGAACGCCGGACTCCAGATACGCCGTCGTTTATCGTGATCTGCCCTCGACCTCGTCGAGTGCATTGAATACGCAGGGAGTTCAATCGAGTACCAGGGTGCTTTTGAACATGTCGTCTGAGCCGAAAACGCCACCCGGACAGCGTCTGCATCAGCGACGGATAGATCATTGGGCCCGATGCGGACGAAGTTGCCCAGTTTCTGGTGTGCATCGTATAGTTTCAGGAACATGTCCTTGTTCTTGGCGACGCGAAAGACTTGATCGAAGGCTGTGAGGCGGGCGAGGAGGCGGCCTGGATATTTGTTGAGTGGGTTGAAGAAGAGGCGGTAGATTACCACGCTCAGGTAGATGCCGGCGACATATACGGTGGTCAACCTGGCGGAGAGGGATATGGCATCGGCAGTGGCAACTTTTGCGACATATTTGAACAGTCCAGCTACCGTCAAGGATAGCAGAAGGAGCGCCTGGAGGTACCGTTGGGGATATAAGTGGTGTTCGCCATTGTGAAAATACAACAGGTGGGTGGCCACGCCAGCAATCCCAGCAGCAAGATAAAACGATGGATCCATGGTTGTGTAGGCTTACCTACATGGCAGCGACGGGGTCATATCTGGCAGCATTTGTAGAAAACGTATGAAGCTGATGAATCCATACGGATGCCAGCGGAAGACAGTGGCATTCTGAAACAACACACAGCCAAGTACCGAGGAGCCATCTTCTTCCCCGCTCAACGCACCGAGGTGTCCACAGTATAAGCTATTCAGGACGATTCCTTGTGTGTGACAGTGGGGTTGTTCCCCGCAAGACGCAGCCACGAGCCGAGGAGGATTGTGGAGGGGAAACGATGATCTGCCAATAAGACAGCAGACATGATCTGCAAGACTGTTTATATACGCGGGGATTCCCTGGATGGTGTGACAGCATGCACAATGTCATTATCCATCCACACTGTCGAGGACCTTTCCGTGGAGTTCCTATCAACGGCACTCGGCAGGAAGGTCCACAAATTCTCCTCTGACCGTATCGGAACCGGTCAAGTAGGAGAGTGTCATCGCGTACATTTGGAATACACCGACGGCGAGACTGGGCCTGCCAGTGTTGTTATCAAGCTCGCTGCTTCAGGGACTCAGAGTCGGCAGTCGGGCTGGAAACTGGGAATATACGAGCGCGAATCTCGCTTCTACTCTGATATAGCCCCGACACTTGATGGATGTTCGGCTATTGTCAAGTCCTATAGCACCGTTGCCGATCGAGACCGGGATGGATTCCATATTCTGCTTGAGGATATCTCGCCCGCGACAGTCGGAAACGACCTTATAGGTGCTTCCTTAGACGAGGCCCGGCTTGCAGTGCAGGCACTGGGGACTATACAAGGAGTCGCCCTTAAGAAAACGCCCCCCGAATGGCTGGATGTAGGGATGAAAGCTTCCCAGGCTGAATTGCAGGCTTTCTGGAAGGGCTTCCTGGGTCGGTACCAAGACAGGGTCAAGACCGAGCATCGCGAGGTAGTTGAACGATGGCTCAGCTGTTTCGACAAGTACGCGGAAACACTCATGGACTCTAAAAGCCAGAGGTGCCTGGTACATGGTGACTATCGCCTAGATAATATGCTGTTTCGGCGGGGACAGTCGGTTTCGTTCTCTATAGTTGACTGGCAGATGGTCAACTACGGCCCTGTTTTCCAGGATCTCGCTTTCTTCCTCGGGGTTTCAGTTCCCACAGAGACTCGAAGAGCTCATGAAAAGGAGCTTGTCCAGATTTATTACGATGCCCTCGGACCTAACCCGCCGTTCTCACTGGAAGAATGCATTGGGGGTGTTCATAGACAGAGCTTTCTAGGTCTGCCTATGGCCTTCGCGTCGCCCATGCTGCTCGAACAGACCGATCGCGGCGACGACATGTTCCTGACCATGCTAGACCGACTAGCTACCTATGTCATCGACACAAACGCAGTTGAAACGCTGCCCAAACCCGGCCTTCCCGCGCCGTTAGCTGTAGATGCTAACGATGAGGGCGCACACCCTGCTGGTGAAGACCCCCTCCACAATGAGAGCTGGTATTTCGATGTAGCCGACGTCGAGCAGGGAATTGGAGTTTGGATTCGGCTAGGCGTAACTCCGAATCAACCGGGCTCGTGGTACAATGCGTTGATATCTGGACCTGGACGACCAACTGTTGCTGTTGTCGACTTCGAAGCACCCACACCGGGATCAGACCTGGTCATTAACAGTGACCGTATCAAGGCAACCCATTCACCGGATCAACCATTGAAGGAATACCGTCTTACCCTCATCGGCCGCGGTGAATCGTTCGACGACCCTTCTGCCCTTCTCCGAGGTGAGAAAGGGTCGCCTGTCGCTGTGCATATAGATCTGACGTGGTATACAACGGGAACACCATATCAATGGCGGATCGCAACACGGTATGAGATCCCTTGCACAGTCAGTGGTACGATTCTGGTCGATAAAACCGTCACAACGTTCACCCACGCCCCCGGACAGCGAGACCACTCCTGGGGTGTTCGCGACTGGTGGGCCTTCGACTGGGTTTGGAGTGCATTCCATCTCGAAGACGGGACTCATTTCCACGGTGTGCAAGTTCGATTACCTTCTGGATCTATACCAATTGGATACATCCAGAGTCCAACTATTCCTATCGCGGAGCTTAGTGGTGTGGATGTCATGGAGCAGGTCTCGCCGGATGGTCTGCCGCAGACTGCGTTGATTAAATATTCTTCTGCTGGGCTTGATGATACCGTCCTTCATATTCAGCCTCGTGGACAAGCGCCTGTGCGTCTTACGGCGCCGGATGGCCGTGTATCATTCTTTCCCCGTCTGTGGGCGGAGGTTCGGGCACAGGATGGACGTAAGGGAGTTGGCTGGATTGAGTGGAATTTTTGCCAGTGATGGATATTCTAAAGTCATAAGTCAGTAGAATATACCTGGAAAGTCGAGCTGTTGAGGAACTCGGAGCGATACTTTGTTATACCCAGGTATCCTCGAGCAAGACCATTTTAGTTCAGACGTCTAGTAAACAAATCTGGCAGAGTGAAAAGGCCATCAATGTGCAAGTTGCATAATACCAGTCTCGTCCCTAGTCATTGTGATCTATGTAAGTCAGGCATTCAATTCTTTGAGTTTATGTTCATCAGTCTTGTATTCCGTAGATCCAAATACAGTGCGTGCGTAGTTATAGGATATTAGAAAAGTCTTATAATGGCTGAATATTCCCATCAGCGGGCATAAGTTGTCCTTGAAACAGACCATCGAAAAACGTCATATCCAGTCCCTGTAACGTCCAGTCATCGGCCCCTAGCCCAGGATATGCATACCATGCTTGTTCCCTCGCAGGTTCTTGGTGTCCCTGAGGGAGTAAATCCTGTCCGACAGCTGTTCTATTCCATTCCGTTCCTATTTCCCCTGAGTCAGGTGTACGCAGGGTCCCAGTCCCTGCGCCAGGTTGATTCATACCCCCTCCATGAGGGACCTCCTTCTGGATATGCCCGTCCGGCACAACCCTCACGAAACCAAAATTCGGGACACAAAAGCGAAGGCCCTTACTCGCTGGCGGGGGTCCATTCTCCGTCTCCTGCGCAACCTCTTCGGGCGTGTGGATGCTATGCGTGTTATAAAGCCGACCCTTTGCCGCTTCGGCCTCTACGTCGAGTAGGCGGTTCAACAAAGTAGCGGAATGGGCGATTATTCGGTCCTGGCTTACCCAGCCAATTTTTTGTAGATTATCTATAGCCTGGGAAGCCATGGCTCTGTCACTTGGGCGTTGATGACCTAGATGATTTAATGTATCTGGAGTCCGTGCGTGTTGTCGGAGATGCGTGATGAGTAGGAGGAAGGTCGCGGAGATGGTGAAGAAATCAACAACGCGGCATGTATACGTCACCAAATTGGAATTGCGCAGGGTGATATACCGCGTCAGGATCTCGCGCGAGGCATTCACGCAGGCTGTTTGGGAGTAGTTGTGGAGTTGCTCCGCGTCGGTGTTGATAACTCGCAGCGTATAGCGGCTGTGGAGCTGGACTATCAATCCATAGTGGAAGATCTGGTTTACCAGCCGGATTATGTTCCATTCTGTGCTTTCTTTAGTGGTGTTGTTGCTTTGGTCGCTGGCCATATTACGAACTATCCACCATCCGGTAGGCATTATGTCTGCTGCATTCTGAAGGTCACGATCGATGTCTTGAACCTTGTCGATGGGGTATGATTCTGAATATACTTCGTTCAGCTCTAGAATCCGAGACGCAATGACGCAGTGGGCTCGTTCCAGTCGACCCATCGGGGTATCAAGGGCCAAAACCCCTTTGTTAGATATCCTTCGATCCATAGAGCCCTGGGGCAGACCCATCATCAGACACATAAATCGATCAACATACAGAATGCGGTACCATAAAAAGGCTGGATCAACCCTCTGGCGAGTATCAAGGGGGCGCACTGGACAAGGCCCAGGACGATGAATCCCCATAGCCTGGGCCAAGGTCATCGCCTTTCGAACAGCCATCCAGGCAGGACGGAAATTTCCACAGTTTGCCTGATAACTGCCCTCCATCATCACGCATTCGATACCTTCGACCGTTCCAAGAAGTTCGTCGTGGGTAGTGACTAGCCGGATGGCTGTTTCTGCTAGTCGCTTCATCATTAACTGCGGCGCATCTGACAGCTTCGACAGCTGCTTCCCGTATTTCTTTAGATCAAGGCACTGGAGGATCATTACTATCCGAAGTATATATCGTCCCAGTAAAACTGGGTGGGTCTCAGCAGATGGCCTATCCAGCATTGCGTTGGGCTCATCCACTCCATTCTCGATGTTCGGATATGATCTGGTGATGAATGTATAAAATGAGATCGGAATGTGCGCGGCCACTTCGGATATAATTTCTACATCTTCATTAGATGGAAAACTGGCGTATAACTGTTGGGAAGTCCCTGTAGTTGTCTGGTTCGGCACTGGTACAGATGGCGTCTGCTCGGCGGAAGCTGGAGCATCCCGGGTACGCCCGACAAGAGGCGAAGTAGGGGTGTCAGGTACAATGCGAGTACGTATACGCGCGGGTCCAGGACTACCAGCATCTTCGACCGTATTCGGCGTCCCATTATTCAGTTCGTCTGCGACATCCTGGGTGATGCATTTTGTTCCTCGGCGCTGACACGCCGTACAGACGGCATTGGGCGTGTCGACGAGGCTGCACCGGACCTTGCGACGCTTGCATTCCCAACAGCTGGTCGTCCCTTTTCGAATCTTTCGTCGCTTTCTGGATTGCGACTCTTCGTCGGCCATAGTGTTGATTCGGAGGAGGGAGACGGAGGAAGGAAGAGTTGTACACTGTTGGCGGTGGTTCCTCCGCCGAAGTCGCTGACTCAGCTTCGGCGGAAGAATTGGGCTCGGAGGAAGCATCTATATGCTTACCATCCATAATTTACTAATTATTTCAATTCATCATCATTCCAAACATATCCATGGTTCATCCGATTATTCCATGGTTGGTCTGTTTGTTTGGTTCCCCTGTTCTGCTCCGCCGAGCCCTAACCATTAACCATTCTTCCTCCGAGCATGACCAATATATATCGTCATGTTCACTAAGTATAAAGGTGCTTCAATCCCATGAAGTGAAATATTAATCACAACTCATTTCCAAACTGAATGATTACCATGTCTGACTCAACTATTGTCCTGATAACCGGCGTCGCGCGAGGTACTTACACAGCCTCCCCATACTACTCCACTAACAAGATATAGGAATCGGCAGAGGCCTCGCAGAAGCCTATCTCTCCCGTTCAAACCACACCCTCATTGGTACCGTGCGCGACACCACAGCCCCTAATGTCGAGTCCCTTCGCTCTCACCCCAAAGGCCCCGGCTCCCGCCTCCTCCTCGTCCAGCTTGAAAGCACCAACCCCGAGGACTATACCAAACTCGCATCAACCATAAAGTCCGAAGGGATCAGCCACCTCGACGTCGTCATCCCCAACGCGGGCGCTGCTTCACCAGCCGGATCTCCTGCTACCGTTGACATCCAGGACCTAACCAAGGTCTTTGATGTGAATACCCTAAGTACCCTTCGCCTGTTCCAGACTACTCGGGAATTGCTGGAAAAGTCACCCGGGAAGCCAAAGTGGGCGTCCATGAGCACTGCTGTGGCGTCTATCGCTTATGTAGAGCAGTATGGGACAGCCAGGATTTCGCCATATGCGTTGAGTAAGGTTGGAATGAACTGGCTGACAGTGTATGTTGATTCCTATGGTCACAATCGTTGTAGCTTCGGTACTATGGGGTGTTGTAAACCGGACTGACTTGTGTTATGCAGGGCTATTCACGCAACTGAAGAGTGGTTGACAGCTTTTGCGATTCATCCTGGGTGAGTACATCACATTTCCCTATTACCTGTACTGGTCGAATTGTTCCATTATTATATTCGAGCTGATGTAGAGGCTAACTACGCATGACAGGCTGGTACAAACAGATATGGGCAATAGGGGTGCGCAGATGATCGGTTTGAAAGAGGCACCAAACACCATTGAGGAGACGGTTACCAAGACAGTGGCTGCGGTGGGTACTCGACATCGATTATTTGGTATAATATGGGCAACAGTGCTGATATGAGAATAGATTGACGGTGCGACACGCGAGGGTACGTCCGGCAAGTTTTTGAACATTATTGATGGGACAGAGCTGCCATGGTAGAGCTGCGATGCAGTCCGTTGAGAAGCAAAGGCAGAATTGTTGTGTAGTTTGATTTTGCATTAGATCTCGGTATTCGAATAACCATATAAGGGCTTAATCCATGGACATAATTGAGTTTGTGTTGGCTGTTATGTTGTAGATGAAGAGACCAGAGTAAGGAAGTACCATCCCCAGGAGGACTATTGCTCGGATCTCTATAGAACACACATCACAGGCCTTGGGCATGCCTCCCCGACAAGTATCGGCCAATTCCCCAGATTCAGCGGAAAAGATCGGACTCGAGTATGTGGATTACTTGTGTAGATGTCGTCCTGATAGATGATAACCTCTCAACCTTTCATGTGGAAATGCATTAATTGGCCGGTAGTCACCCAACGTAGGACTTGCAGTAGTACGTTGGAGGTTGTATATGCGAGATGCCGCTTCCATGGTACCCATCCACAGACGGCGAGTGGTCCAGTAGCCAGTACCTCCTGTGCGAATAAAAGTGTGGCATGGGGATGTGGAAATGATCCGCGAGAGCTCGTGATCAGAGGACTGAACGTGCTTTTTAGGTATCATTCAAATGATAATTGTCCGGGTATAGGTATAAATCCATCCTGCCCATTCAGAGGAAAGCCAGCCCTACTAGGTACAACGCCACTAATAATTTGACATACCTCATACCAAAATGAACCTGTTCGCATTCATCACCTGGGGCATGCTGGTCCCTCTCTCCCTATCATTCCCCACAGAAGGCGGGAAAATAACAATGGTCCCTGAAATCGCATTCTCCCTCAGCTGCTCGGAACTCGCAACAATAAACACCAGACTCGACAGCCTAATCCGCTAAGCATTCCCTCCTGAAGTCCCTGGCGACAAGGCCTACGCTGTTCAAGGCTTTGCTCACTCATATAAGTTTCTGATCAACAGTATGCATCACGCTGACTGCGTTGCTGAGGCGGAGATGGAGACTGTGCCTATGCATACTTCCCAGTCTATGTCAGCGAATGAGAGGGATGATTTTGAAAGTTATATAAGTGGACACCGTGATAATATGAATCTTAAGCGGCAAAGCGATCGGACGACTGAGATCCTCTGCTTGGTGATTAATGCGCTGCTTGTAGGAACTGGAAGTGAGGAAGGTGCTGCGCCTAATTTGGTGGCGAGGCAAGAGACTGGAATTGTGCAGCAGCTGCTTACTCTGCTTGGGCAGATCCTGGAAGTTGTTCTAGGATGTGATGAGTCGGAGTCTGCGTGAGTGGTGGTGAGGGCGGTTCAAAGAGAGGCTAGTTATCAGTTCGGTATATTTGGAGACATACTTCAGTAATTATGCAATCCAGACAAGGTCTAGCTATTTTTGCCAGTTGGATAAAACATAAATGGAGGTACGTTAGCTAGATCATGTCTGTATAGATTGGATCGATCCCAGAAGCAAGCACGCAGGCTTTAACGGCCACATTTGATGTGATGTCTTCTAGTTCAGCCCTGTTGCGAGGAAGACAGACACCAATTGCAGTATCACATCATGAATTCCTATCAAAGAAGCAACGTGACAAATAACGAATCGCATCCAGCAGTAACCGGGACTCGAGGCTGAAGGGTGTCCCATGGCCTGTGAGAACGAACGAGGCGCCGCAGGCAGGATGGTTGGGCCTGCTGTGGGCTGGCCGATATAGTTCTATCACTGCCGGCGGAAATTTCAAGAACGAGAACCAAACCCCGCCCTGCAGTTGACTGGACCCCAATCAGACTGCAATCCCGGAAACATCCCAGGCACCCCGTCAGTGTGGATATTGTCGCGATGAAAGCTAACGATTGCGCCATCACCACACAACAGTCCAAATCCCGAACATCCACACAGCGAGCGCGACAAGAATCCAGAGCCCGTTCACCTCGGCTGGGAAATATGAACATGCTCGCTATAAAGATGGAGCTCTACTTCGTCGCAATTTCCGTCTGGAGACGCAAGCGTTAAGAACGACCAACATGACTCCCCGTATCAAAAGCGTGGCTATAATTGGCGCTGGTCCAGCCGGCGCCATTGCCGTAGATGCATTCGCCCAGGAACAGGCCTTTGATTGGATCAGGGTGTTTGAACGGAGGGAGAAGGCTGGTGGTTGCTGGTTAGTTCTCCCAGCCCTCCTGGCCCCTGGGATATATAGACTGACAGCGCAGGATCTACGATAACGACGAACCACCACCACTAACAGACTTCGATGCCCTTTCTTCTCGGACAGCCGACCTACCTGTCCCTGCGCCAGGTTCCCTGCCTGGGTATTTCCCTCGATCGAGTCAGAACCGTTTCGACGATACACCGGTTTACCCAGCGCTAGAAGCGAATATTGACGCGGGGATTATGCAGTACTCGCAGGAACCTATCCCTGAAGTTCGAAGCAAGGCATCAATTGCAAACCATGGGCCTGATACCCCGTTTCGACATCATACTGTTATCCAGCGCTATATCGAGTCGCTGGTTAAGCGGAAAGGGTATAACCGGCTTGTTGAGTATAGCACCACTGTGGAGAATGCGGAGAAGAGGGCAAGGGACGGGAAATGGGTGTTGACGCTGCGGAAACAGGCTCCTGGTCTGGAGAAGGACTACTGGTGGCAAGAGGAGTTTGACGCATTAGTTGTTGCTACGGGGCATTATAGCGTGCCTTATGTCCCGGTCATCGAGGGACTAAAGGAGTTCGCGGCAGAGGTGCCGGGGAGTGTGGTGCACACGAAGGGATTCAGGGAGCCAGACACATATCGTGGGAAGGTTAGTGCAACCAAATGATCGCCTACGGTGCATATAATGCATATGATGCTAATTTCTCAGCGAGTGGTTACGGTTGGCGCCTCGGTCTCCGGGGCTGATACAGCAGTGAGCCTGGTTGGCATCGCTCAGGATCCGATTTATGCGGTTGTTCGGGGCAAGTACAATGGATATTTCGGCGACGAAGCGTTCAAACACCCACAAGTCCAGCGGAGGCCTCCAATTTCGCACATTGACGGGCAAGGCAGCAGACGTACAGTACACTTCGAGGACGGCACGTCTGTTGCAGACGTTGACCATATTATCCTTGGAACTGGTTATACGTGGACACTGCCATTCTTACCGAATATTTCTGTTCGCAATAACCGGGTCCCGGAGTTATATCTGCATATCTTCCACCAGCAGGATCCAACACTTGCATTTATCGGTGCCGTTGCTGCTGGGTTCACATTCAAGGTGTTTGAATGGCAGTCTGTCCTGGCCGCTCGTGTGTTTTCTGGTAAAGCAACGCTGCCACCACTTCAGGAGCAACGAGACTGGGAGGCTAAACGGATCGAAGAGAGAGGTGATGGTGTGAAGTTTACCCTGATCAGCCCCGACTTTGAGAACTACTTCGAGCTGCTCAGGACGTTGGCTACAGAGCCGAAGGATGGAGAACCTGGAAGACGACTGCCCAAGTTCGATCCAGCCTGGGTCCAGCAATTCGCTGCAAGTCATCAGAGACGTATAAACATGTGGAAGCGAGCCAACGAGGCAGCGAAGCAGGGTATAGTCTCAAAGCTGTAGATATAAGTTATGTATAGTCAGGATAAATGCACCATTAGAAGGTCACCCAGATAGTATTTCCAAGGCAATCCCGAGCTCCAAGACAGTCCACGTGGAGGTGGATATGCCATGAGCAACCGCCAATACTTCCTGACATATTCCAAGAATATCCCGTCTCTCCAGACTCTATTCTACAGTCTGGTTGGTCAATTCCAGTCTATCAAATCCTGCCATGCCCATCACGCCATTTGACGAGCGTTTGGTGAGATCTGCTGCGTCCATATGCTCCACTTCCAAATCCCGATCCTCTGGCCCTGTAAACTTTACTTAGCCGAAGAGGATCCCGAGATTTTCAGAAATAATGTAATTCAGAAAATGTCGATTGAGTCGCCAAAGATCGAGTCCAGCCAGTATGAATCCGATGTGGCCGTTGGCCAGGATTGGACTGTTGCTGAGGAAAGCCGGGCTCGGATCAAGTAAGACCCAATAACAACGAGAGACAGCAGTATATTAATTGGAATACAGAATTGACTTCTCGGTTCTACCTCTGTTAACATTTGGCATGATCATGTTCCAGCTCGATCGGATGAACGTGGCCAGCGCGCTGACTGGGGGTTTCGCTGACGATATTGGCGTTAACCAGAATACCATCAACCTGGGAAATCAATTGATGTTCCTAGGAATTATTGTCCTAGAGATCCCGTCGAATATGCTTCTGCAGAAGGTATTCTCCTATGAGAGATACGTCATTATATGGCATTGTTAACGTGTTATAGATCGGCCCCAGCAAATGGATCCCAGCACAGGTATTCGTCTTTGGCCTGATTGCAACTTTGCAAGTTCTGCTGCGGAATAGAGGAGGGTTCCTTGCTACACGTATGCTACTGGGTCTGGCTGAGGCGGGATATATTCCAGGCTCAATATATACCCTGTCCACATGGTACACCCCGCAGGAACTAGGACGACGAGTCGCAATTCTGTTCTTTGGAATGTTTGGAGGAAACGCCATTTCTCCCCTGATTGGTGCTGGGATTCTGCGGTTGCATGGACAGGGGAGCCTATCGGGTTGGCAGTATATTTTTCTCAGTATGGCTTACCCTGAACATTTTATACCAGTACTGACGGTATAGTCGAGGGAATCGCGACAATGATAGTCGCCTTACTTCTACTCCTCGTCCTCCCAACGAGTCCTCAACGTCCTAAACCGCTCTTCTTCAACGGGCTTATTCGTTTCTCAGACAGAGAGCAGCACATCCTCACAGCCAGATTAGGGCACGAAAGCTCACCATCTACCCACAGTCTCCGAAGTGGAATCCCATTCTCAACAGTACGAAAGACATTGCTTAACTACCGCCGCTGGCCTCACTTCGTCTCTACAGCTTGTGTCTTCGCCACGTGGAGTCCGCTGACAACCTACACCCCAAGCATAATCATGTACGCCACCTAACCACATATCTATATCCAAACTAACCATTCAGGTCCCTCGGCTTCACCCGGGTACAAGCCAACGCCCTAAGCGCAATCGGCGCCTTCATGACCCTGCCTATCGTATTCTTCTTCGCGTGGGTGAGCGATCGCACCAAGAAGCGCGGTCTTACAGTTATAACAGCCATCTGCTGCTACCTGGCTGTGTTAATCGTAGCGAGATGCGTTCTGCCTTATGCGCCAAAGTGGAATCGGTTCGGTATGTGGACGGTAGTTAATGCCTTTGCGGTGTGTTATCATCCTGTGCATAATGTGTGGGTGCAGTTGAATTGTAGGGATACGGCGGAGAGGAGTATTGCTATTTCGTACGTTCCCTTCATTAGTTTTGTTGAATATTTGCTAATTTGGATAGGATGTGTAAGTTAGGAGTGTAACTTTGGTTGTATGTGCTAATAATTGCAGGGGTGATGAGTGCGATTTGTGGGCTGCTGGCTGGGACTCAGATATTCAGGGCGGATGATTCGCCGACGTAAGTAATAACTCGCCAATATTACACCAGGCCAGATACTAACGTGGTATATTATGTATAGATACCTGAGGGGCTTAATTATCATGATTGGGCTGGTATCTGGTGGACTGGTATTGGCTGTATCTCAGGAGGTCATCTACCTTTTGTTGAATTCTCGTTACAGACGTACAGGGGGCAAGCCGTTGTATACACCGTGATAGGTATAGAACACATCATGCTTCATTGGTAAAGACTAGACCACCACAACAATCAACACAGCTGCACCCAATGATCCAGGTTCATATTCTTAATCACAGTCGAGAACCTCCTCACCCCATCAGGATCACACGCCTCCTCCTTCTTCCTCCCTCTAACCATAACCTCATTATTGGTCTCCTCCCCCTTGGGATACTCAATATGAAAAACCGGCTTACCCGCATCAACGAACGGCATGAAATCCCCACACTCATCCCACTCCGCACACTGCTCATTCACAGCCCACTGCATATTCGGCAGCACACGATCAATAATCGCCCCAGCATTCTTCAACCCAATCGCCAGGCCCCGGTTATGAGCCTCCCCAGAAAGCCAGTTCATGAAATCCACCGAGTCGGACTGCTTCAGGTCAAAACCGCCATTCCCATTCCCATATGCATCTACATTATCAGGATCAACCCCGTCACATCCCTTCTGGGCAGCCAAATCAAGCCTCTTCTTCATGATAGCACGCACGTTCTTCGAGCGCAGATCAACCCAGCTCTCGCCCTCCCAGTCATCCAGCGGGGACCCGATATCTGAATCTGAGAAGGATTTGGCGTCAGGGCGCCAGTCCTCGTAGGTGCCTGCGGAGAAGTAGCAGATCACCTTGCGGTTCTGGGCGTGGAGGGCGGAGATTGTAGAGGCGGGGTTCTCGAATAGGTCGATGTCGACGCGCGATGGATTTGTCTTTCAAGGCGCCGGAGAGGACGATTTGCCAGGTTGCTCCTGCGGGGGGTTGCCAGATTTCCTTGGTGGTGCTGCGTGGGACGGCGTTGGTGGGGAGGGCGGTGGTTAGGCAAAAGCCTGTTAGGGCTGTGAGGAGGGTGAAGGGCTTCATGGTGTTGTTGCACTCTGTTTGGTGAGGATATGCAGGGATGTGTTGATGATGTGAGAATGGTTCTGAGGAGGCTTCTAGACTGGGCTGAGCTGTGTATTTAACAGGACAGAATAGTCTGTGGCGAAAATAATGGTAATCTCGTCTGTGATGGACAGTGTGAAGGCCGCCTGCGGCAGTAGACAATAGGTGTGGTAAGGAATGAATATAAGCAGCAAAGGAATGGAATCGCAAAGACCGGCTTTGCTGTGGAATCTGAGCTTGATCGAACAACTACTTCCTTTACAGCAGCGGCGGCTGACGGCCTTTAAATTCTTATAACCTGGTACATCGATCTGCCAAGCGTAACCAATAAGGAAGCCATTTCGGGTATAAATTAGCACGGACGACGCCTTCCTGATCCTTGGGGCCAAAGCAAACTCCCGCTGTCCCAGACGCCCTATGCCGCAGAATCTGTCACGCAGTGGAAATTAACACCGCCTGAAGACAAAGAGTGTCAAACTTTGTAAATGATACAGTGGTGGTGGCTTGTTTCGGGCGATATGTGTGCCTGCGCCGCATGCTATGGGATTGGATCGTGTAGTTCTATCAAATCCGATTGGACAGGACAAGACCAATAAGTGAAGACCATCTTGCCAAGAATCTTTACTTCCCAGGAGGTGAATCGGCGCCAAATGAAACGTCGTTGTCAGCCGAAGGAGGTGGAGATCTTGCTTAGTCATGAGGATCCAGCACCTCGCTACCAGCATCTCTCTATATCGAAATATTTCGATATACCGAATTTATTAGTAGTTGATCCATGACCTAATCGGGAAGGATGTGAGGTCTTTGGAAAGCTATATAAACCCCTAGATAGTCATTCTTTCGGAGGTTAAGCCTCAATTCAATCTAGCTTCTATATCGATAAGGTCGATTCCTGCTTAGTAATCCTCCGTTAAGCGCACCGTAGCTCACAGTCGGGCTGTCGGTCGTATCAAGAGGCGCTGCCATGTCTTCCCCACCATCTGATCGATCGGACTCCATACAGCGGAGTTGCTACATTGGTTGCCGATCTGACAGATCTGTCCAGTGGCCCAGATTAGCTGTTTGAGATTGGTAACGTCCGCTTGTTTGCTGCTTGGCTTGTCTCCGGCTTCGATTGTGGAAATTAGTGAAGCCGGTGAGTGACACTGGTCGTCAGAAGCATGGCAAAGTATGGATAATTCTGACTTTAAAAGAGGCACATAATAAACACCTGCATCAGGGACACTTACTAGGGATCTTGGCCAGCCCTACCTGCATCTGAACGTCTGGATAGCTGCAGCCGTCCCACGATAAACTTGATGATTATTCAAATTTTCAATCTACTACTGGAGCTATTAAGCTATGGTAGAAATGGAGTTTCGAGAAACAACACTTCGCTCGCTCAATATCCTGTAGGGTGTACGTAGATTGACGACGGCTGTATACGTAATATTAAGATAGGATAGAGGACATACACAGCACTTCCTCCGCGAATAACATGTTCAAGCTTCAAATATAAAGAACAGTCGGAGATCAACGAACTGGTTTTGTGAATTACGGTCGCATATTGGAGTGAAAACCGACGTCATCACCAACACCTTAACGCGGGGAGAGCAGCAATTAAGCAGACTATACAAGGAAAAACTGTAACCTGGAAGGCAACAACATATGTACTTGATTTCTACCAGGGAGGTAGCGTTTGCTTTTTATTTTAGTACTTACCCTGACTATCTTTTACTCAGTAAGTAGATCCTAGCGTGTTCTGGGAATGCCCTGATACTCTAGGCAGCCTGAGGCACGGTGGTAGAAGGCCACGCCCTAACCATTAATCACTCAACTCTCTACGTACAGTTAGATCCGCAGTAGAGTCCTTCGAAGCTAGTTCAACGAAATCATAATATATTTCCAAAAGACAGTATCAGTTAGTTACACGTTCTATAGAACCTCCCTCCACATCCTCAAAATCATAACCAATCAAGACATTTAGATGGCAGTCTCAGTAAGCGTAACCTGAATGCAATCCGTGTCGAGAGTCGCACCAGAGCGATCGGCATAGATCATGTATGTATCAGGCCCCTGAGCGTAGAAGCTAACATGAGGACAGGCATAGAAGCTTCCCTGGGTCCATTCAAGGACATTGTTGCTGCCCGTGGTGAAGCCATCTGTCAACCCACCGGAAGCCACACCGTCGGTGCTTTTGAGATCGACATGGCCGTCGGTGCCGACGTAGACTGCCTCAAATTAGCCAACTGGTGCTGTATTTGGGATATAGAGGAAGAGAAGACATACCAACGTCGCCGTTCTGGATACCGAGGGATCCGTCACCGCCGGTGAAGTTGATGCCGTGGTCACCCTTGTTGGCCACGATGAAGGCGTCGCCTTGGGTGATGAGGGCGCGGTCCTGGAGCTCGCTGGTGCGGGACGCAGAGTCGGTGATAACGAGCTGGAACTCATCTAGTGCTCTGGGAGTTGCAGCGGCGAGAGCGGCAGAGACGAGGCTGGAAATAGCGAGAACCGACTTCATTTTGGCAAAGGGTTGGAAATTGGATTTATAGAGTGATTGATTGCTGATGTGCTGTGATGGTGAGAGGAAGGTCGGTACGTTGTGGCCTTATATACCTTTGTCTATGAGCAGTTCCTCGCCCTGTCGGCTTCTACGGTATTCTTTCATCACAAATCAGGTCTACAAGGTACAAGGATGGTGCCGTCGCCTACGGACGTACTTCCAAAAGCAGCTGCTTGTCCCCTGTAGGCTATACTCACGGTTCAGGATAAGTGGAGTGACTGTAAGCAGCCTGCATTCGATGACCAGCCAAGGTCCCTGCGCTGTCTCAAGGCTATTCATCAGTATATGTCAGGTATGTTATTGATATTAACTATAAGGTACTCGCAGACAGTACCCTCTATAAATTAACCACAAGGTTCTCACCATGTCTCAGTCCTGGACGGTTGACCCACTTAGTGAAAGAACAAGGCGATTCCTGAGCTGCCAAGGTAAGCTTGAAATGTTAAGCATCCTTCAATTATTGTCCGATATGCATGTCTTCAAGAACGCCGCTCCACCAGAGTCAAATCACTAGGTCTTGGTGAGGTGATTGTATCTTTCAACTTGTCATGTGCTCTTGATTTACCATATATTCGGGAGAGAGTTGAGTTTTCCTTTACACTTGCTGGGTCTAATCCCAAGTAGCATTGACTAGAGTAGGGTGCAGTTGGAAGGATACGCCTTGTAGGCTAGGACAGAATAGATTGAGTGTGAAGAGAGATAAATTACTGAGATATGAAGAAAATCGCCTTAGAGTACCTCGCTCGCCGGTTGTTCTGATAAATGGAATTGGCAGCATATAAATGTGACGCCTGGTGTCCTGGATCTGTCTTATATCTGATAATCCTCTATTGTAAGCACTGTCTAGTTAATGAATAAGACATTCAAATGTTGCTACTCAGCAGGACCTTCACCAAGACTATTCAAGATTAATACTTGCCCCTCTACGACGTCCGAATCCGCTCCCTTGCATCTGGCCAAGGGGCAGATTTTGCCAGCCACAAGCTCGCCCCAGCCCTTCCGCCCAAGCTGTTGCTATTCTCATATAATGTCCCAATAACCTCCCACGTCAATGGTGGCAGTGCCAGCAACTAACACATCGATGCGTTGAGTGCACCGACATAACACCTATCAAGTACCAAAAGTAACTAATAGCATCTGAAAGAGAAACCCTGGAAGGAGAAGAAAATAAAGAATTATATACTAGATAAAAAATGTGGCTTATTTTACTCATAAAAGTCTATATAGCCTTTAGTTAATGGGTAGTTAAGTAACATAATATACATATAGGTGAACGGTGGTCCCTGAAGGCAAAGCAGTAAATACGCAGACGTCCACGCAGACCATAATATCTTTTAATAGATCAATAGAACTAAAGAAAACTGCTACCTGAAGGCAGCAAGATATAACAGATCATCAACACTGGCCATATACAGGGTGATATTCCCTTATTAAGCGCCCCACGTCGCCACACTTGGCACGACGTCAGGGTCCAACGGTCCGTCCCCTCATCCCAACAACTACTTTGTTGACAACCATGGCCGACAAAAATATCGCCCAGGGTATCCGCGACGAGGACCTCTGGCGTCTCATCCGCCGCTTCGACAAGGTATATTCATTCCACTGCGTCTGCGATCGAGACTAACAGGCGCAGCAAGTGGGCCATGTCCAGTCTGTTCCCCGGACTTCGCAGCAGCTCGACCTGAACCGCTCGGCCGAGGAGCAGTTTCCGCCTGCGAAATTGCAGAAGACGATTGAGAGATTTTATATCTCTGTTATTGTTAAATTCGGGCTCTTCTTCAACCATATTAACCACCTGCGCTCGTGGGAGGATCCCCGCCGGACGGGGACCTTCTTTGCTGTATGTCTCTCTACTCTAATCAATTTTACGGTGTATACTAATAAGCCCAGGTGTATCTGGTAGCATGGCTATGCGATCGCCTGGTTCCGATGCTTACTGGCGTGCTGCTACTCATGACCTTCTCGCCTTCAACCCGATCGCACATCTTCCCGCCCATCTCAGAGGCACAGGCCATTCCTCACAGAAAGGATGAAAAGCCTGCGCAAGCCACTCAACCAAATGAAGCGCATGAAGGCGAAGCAGCCGAAGCCGAAGCCGCAGCTCTTGTTACCGGTCTCACGACGTCTATCGCCGAGCCCGATGAGCCAGTCCAAGTCGAAACGACAGACTCCGGCACTCTGGCTATCACGGCCGGCGACGAGGCCGGCAAGCCCAAGAGTTCCCCGGCTATCAGTGTTACGCTGAAGATTCTGAACGACGTTACGGATCTCTGTGAAAGATTCTCCAAGTTCGTCATAACCTTACCCTATTTCACTGATGAAACTGACACATGCAGTCTCTTGTCGCCAACGCCGCCCTTCACTCTAATTGCGCCGCGTCTGCAAATAGCGTTGATACTGGGCTCTGTATGCGTGGTATCACTGTTCTTGTCCGGCCATATGATCGTCAAGTCTGTGGCACTCACAATCGGACTCGCCTTCTTCGGCGACCCTGTCCTCAGTCGCGCAGTCGGCTTCCTCGACAAGAACATTCCCAACTGGAAAGAATATCTGGATATTGACAAGTGCGTCCTCCCAAACATGAAATAGAAAGCCATAACTAACAGGACCAGAACCCTCCTCAAAGGCGTCCCCACAAACGCCCAGCTCACCCTCGTTCTCCTCCGCATCGGGGAAATGGCCGCAAGTCCCATCCCAGCACCCCCGCCACCAGGCGCCTACAAAGACCAATACCCATCGCAATGGCAGCTCTGGCGGCGACGCACCAAAGCCATCGACGCCGCAAAGAAGGAAGAGGACGGGGACGACGACACCTCAACCCTCACCAGGGAAAGCACAAAGGACAGCGACAACACCGACCCATCCTCCCCGGACGGCCTTAAAACGAAGATCAAGGCCAAACCGAAGAAATGGCTGCGGATTCTGAAGTTCGCCCGTCGCGCTATCACGACCGCGATTAAGGGCCAGATCGCGTATAACCGCGCGATGGCTCTCTCGGGGGCGGGCACGAAACACTACGCCAAGGGGTTGATTTCGGCTGTGCTGGAGAGGAATATTGCACTTATTGCGCCGCCGACGCTGAGTAATGGACCGTTTGTTTTCGACGCGAAGTTTGAGAGGAAGCGCGGGACTGCTGTTATTGATTCTTCGCCGAGGTCTTCAGCAGGTGAAGGGCAAGAAGGGGAGGGAGAGGGAGAGACTGACACCGGACCGATATTGTACTTCACATCCCGCGCGTCCGCAAAACTTAATATGGAGGATCTGAGCATCGACAGCCAAAAGTCCGATAATATAGGATTCCAAGTCCCGATTAGTGAGATCACGGAGCTGAGGAAGACGGAGGGACTGGGGTGGAAGGGCAAACTGGTTGTGCAGTTTGCGGCGGGGACAGAAGAAGCTGCGAATGAGGGTTTAGTTATTAAAGGACAAGACCCGGAGAAGACGTTCCATCTGACGGATATGCGAGGCAGGAATCAGCTGTTTAATCGGCTTGTCGCGGGTGGTGCGCAGTCTTGGGAGCTGCATTGACTGGTAGCATCATGTTTTTAACTTCATTAAATGATTAACTTGAAAGAATAAATATTTGTTCAGTAAAGATCGTTGAGATGAGAAATATCTGTAGACTCATCGGAGTAGATATCGGAGTCGATTGTATGTCGGAGTCGATCGGAGCTGGTCGGAGTTCAATTACGCCATACGCTTGAATATATATACCACCACGACCAACAATCCGACACAAATCGAAGAAAAACAATCTCGGAATAAGTGAGATAAATCAAAATGTCAAAGACAGACTTTCTCTCAACTCTGAACAACACTACCCCGCAAATCCAATTCTTACAGTCCCTCGTCCGCACCCCCTCCCCAAACCCCCCCGGCGACACCACCGCCGCAACAAGAATCATAACAGACTACCTCCATTCCCAAAATATCCCATACGACCTCATCTCCCCAGACCCTTCCAAACCAAACATCGTCTCGGAATTCAACGGCACTGCTCCCAATCCCGGCGATGACCCCAGCCCCAGAATCGTCCTCAACGGCCACATCGACACATTCCCCGTCGACCCAAACACCCCAGGCTGGAGCCGAGATCCCTACTCCGGCGACTATGACAACGGCCGCATCCACGGGCGCGGCGTCGTCGATATGAAATCCGGCACTGCCTCGCTGGTCCTCGCATACGCAGCGCTTTACGCGAACCGCCAGCATTTATCCGGTAGTGTTGCGCTGTGTGTTGTCTCAGATGAGGAGACGGGGGGTAAGTATGGTACGAAGCATCTGCTTCAAGAAGATAAGGAGAGATGGGGTGGGGATGTGATGCTCTCTGCGGAACCGTCTGGTATGAGCGTGCGGTTTTCTGAGAAGGGGACGTTGAGGATGTCCGGTGTTGTTGCTTGTAAGGGGGCGCATGGGGCGTATTTGAATTTGAGGTCAGTCCTATTTGAACCCATCTTGACGTGGTTACGGTGTTGATTTGATGGTATAGCGAAGGAGCTATACGGATAGCTATGGCTTTTCTGAATGACGTTGTTCAAACAGTCGAGTCTATACAGCCGAATCCACCGTCTGATATCGCGAAATACATGACGGATCCGGAGGTCCTGGCTGCGGTGGATGTGGCCATGGGGCCAGGTACTTCGCGTATAATCGGCAAGCCAACTGTCAATATCGGGACTATCAAGGGTGGCGTCAAGGTTAACATGATCCCGGACCACTGCGAGTTCGAGCTCGATATACGGTTGCCTGTTGGATTACTCGCTGAAGAGGTTCTCGATGTCATTAACGAGATCATCGCAGACGAGAAATATGCCAGTGCAAGTATTGAATTGAGGAAACAGGAAGCTGCCAGTAACCCAGCCAGTTTCTCGACTATTGATCACCCTGTTATCGACCTGATTAAGAAGAATGCGGAGGATGTGGGCGGATCGAGACCAGCTATGATTCCGTCTATGGGGGCTACGGATTGTAAGCATTATCGGTATGCTGGGATTCCGGCGTATGTTTATGGGTGTAGTCCGCTGAGTAGTAAGTGATACTATATTGTCATATTTATCTGGACTTAACTGACGTTATAGTGGCGTCTGTGAACGAGTCAGCCTCCGTGGATGAGTCTATCCATGTTACCAAGGTGCATGCACTGACGGTGTGGGATCTACTGGCAGGTTAACTCTGGGGGGATTCAACAAGAATTACATTAGATATAGCATATCATTCATTATATCTAGACAGTGGATATAGATCGATTTCTGCAAGTATGAATAACCTGCATTTACATATAAATTGCACAGATCCCAGCACTTGAAGTTTCACCGTCGAAACCGTCAACCCATATTCTACCGTCAATTTCTGCGTATACCATAGTTTCAATATGAAGAGCTTTTGCCCTCGGTGTCCCTACATCAATTAACCTCGTCTTACGCAGCTTGGTAATTCCTCATCCTTTTAACTGAGGTCATTGGGATTGGAATTAGGTCGACGTCCGTGAGTAAGCGATAAAAATGTAAGGGAATAATATCCAACCTGGTTAGACGGCTATACCTGCTAATAATGCTCCTGGAGTCTCGTTACAGAATTGGCAGGCAGTGGAATGTCGGATTTGACGACCAGTCGTGCGCATGAAAGGCTTCTACAGTTGACTGTCGCTGACAACGGTCTACGTAGTCATTTCCCAGCAAGGCGAACGAATCATGGCAATTGGGTCTTTGACCCTGAGTCTAGAACTCTGCTGGGACCTTCACACGTGGAACTGAACCATACTCTGCAAAGTCTCTGGCGAGTGGAGATCCTCCTGCCCTGGCCCACTGGCTCAAGACAAACGGCCACCTTCCCCTCGCCAACAGGAACAATAGTAGACAACGAAAAGTAACATGGAATAGTGAATCATGGAGTACCACGCAAATTGCAGGATTTAACCAAGCGTTGGCAGGCAATTACCTACGTATTTTCTTGCAGAAAGCTACATGTTCATGCACAGTTCAATTCTCCACACGATCAACCAAAGATCCAGAACCGGGGAAAAAGAAGCCAATACAGGCCAATCAGCACAGCTGGAACCAACCAGAAAACTCTCTTGTGTTTGTTTTCCCTGTTATTGGCCTTGGCAGCTGGGGCAAAACACGCGATTGCCGAATTTTTACAGCGAACTGGACTAGTGTCGATGCAGGCAAACCGCAAGACTGCGATGCAGCAATTTTCTTCACGACTCGAGTCATGCAGCAGATCTAGAGGTCCACTGGTGTTAGCCGAGCCAAGAGAGAGCATGCAAATCGGGGAAATCCCGGCTGAGATCGCATTTTCTCGGTGACCATGGGCCATTAATAGGTCAGTGATTACAATGAAATAACGGCCATGATCTCTTGGCCCTAGTCCTTCCTCGACTTGCCTCTTGGAAGGGAGCTTGGACTCCACTGGCCAGTGGCGTATCGTGTTATTAATATACCGCCAGGCACCCGGCTACGTTCTCAGTCTTTCCCCGGACTGTCCTGAAATGGATCTTCCAAGTTGCGCGGTATGCTCGCACAGGCCCTGCTAGTCATTTCTCAAACTAATTCCTCTAGCTGCCGTGTTTCGTCTCGGTTGTTGGTAACTCAACATGTGCACTGACCGATACAGCCTGTGTCTGCCGGACTCCCCAGATCGCAGCGCAGATCGAGCCATGCATTCTCAGCGAATGCAGTATCAAAGACGCATTAAGTACATGGCTACTGATACCCACCTGCGAGGAGTTATCGGGCTAATGAGCATAGCTTCGAAGAATATGACCTACGCAACGTGTGATTATCCATTGACCAGCGAAACAGAAGCATTTGCGATTGTGGCTATTGTTGGCATCATAGTTGCAAGTACCGCGGTTCTCATGCGCCTGACAAACCGGGTTTTAGATAGGAAAATAGGACTGGATGATTATGTCTTAATTTTCACTCTGGTGCGTGAGCTCCAGGTTGAATGGTTGATGGAGGATGCTAACAGGTGTAGCTCCTGGCTGCTTCAACCTGCGGCATTGGAATCGAAAGTAGGTATTTCCTTGATCATAGGAATTACTCCTGCTAATATGTATAGTGTGCAAAATCGGCCTAGGAAAAGATATGTGGACGATCGCTTTTGATAACATCCAACAGATCCTCAAACTCTTCTTTGTCGACCAAGCGATATACTGTGCCTGTATTGCCACTATTAAAATATCGATGCTCTGTCTCTACCTTGATATCTTCCCAAATCGTGGTGTGCGTATTCCAGCATATACTATCTTGGCCGTGACACTTATCTGGGGGATTATATCGGTGTTTATCCTCATATTCTCATGTAAACCGGTCAGCTACTACTGGACCCAGTGGGACGGCGAGCATGTTGGAAAGTGCCTTAACCAGGATAAACTATTACTATCCCACTCGATTGTGAATATTATCCTGGATGTTTTGGTTATAATCATCCCGATGCCGACACTGGCTAAGCTGCAGATGCCGCTTGAGAAGAAGCTAGGCGTGTGCGCCATGTTTGCCGTGGGAGCTGCGTATGCCACCATTCCTCCTATATCTATATATCTATATCTGACACCAGCCCTCGCAGAGTCACGGTCATCAGCATCTTCCGACTCGTCAAAACAGTCGGCTTCAACAAAACCGCCAATCCAACCCGTAAGCAGCAAACACCCCACCACCCATGGAACGACCATAACTAACACATTGTATTTGGTTGAATAGGAGACTTCGCCCCCGTCGGCATGATATCCACCGTCGAATTCGAGGTCGGCATCGTATGGGCCTGCATGCCCGCCATCCGCTCGCTTATCATCCGTACATACCGTGGGCAGCTCAAGCCACGTCTCGCATCCCTGTCAGACAGACTCACTCTTTCCGGCTCGACACAGGTCTCGAGTCAGAACAAGTCCAAGAATAGCTCCAAGAATGGAAGCAACTGGGGCCGGCATTCCAGATCGCATCACCTCTCGGCGTCGATATCCGGATCCAGAACGCGAACAAAGGGAGGGAGCACAGATGAAGCTGTGGGACCGTTTATTCGGCTCGATGATGTGGGAACGGCTCCTGGGGATTACTATAATGGCACAGCTGGTGGTGGTGGTGGTGGTGGTGGTGGACCTCGTCCCGGTGGACTTGCTCTATCTGGCCCAGCTCCTGGGAGTTCTGGTGTTGGGCCTGGACCTGGGCCCACGCCGAGTCCGAGAAGTGGTCTTTTTAAGCGGTAGAGTATGTTCTTGAGGAAGTCACTAGCCTGCTGCGTTGGCGGGCTCGGCGTATTTGGTGCAGTGATTGTATGTTAGTTGCTTACTGGAGTGGTTGGTTTGTATCGGATTCTGGATGGATATGATATATCGTTTGTTATGACTTTATGAATGGAGTGCGAGTCAGGAGGCTCGTGGGTTTATTGACATTTAATTTGTACGAATTCCAGGACCTGAATACATACAGAATTAGGTTATGATCTGAGCAAGAATAATGCGAAACAGATACATAACTAAGACCGGCTATGCTTCTATAAATGGGGCTGCAGATTACGAGGATTATCAGCATGCTAGAGTGCATGCACCATGGGGGATCTACTGGTAAGCTAAACTATAAGTATCGTTTGATAGTAAATTAGATTATCCTGCCATATAATTCATTACTTGTCAGCTATTACTGCCTCTCAATAAACACCACCTTACTGCCATACTCCGTATCAAACGTATACTGCAGCCCCATATTCATCAATGTTGCTCCTGTATACGTCCCCTCGCCCTCAACCTTGTACTGGGCCTCTTCGTCCAACCCCTGAAGCTTCACCCATGGCGCGGCATGGTTAACATTCGGCTGAAGCTGGAAATAAAAGAGCACAGCCTGTGATCCATCCTCCGCTACAAACAACGCAGCAGGCCACTGCGAATCTTCAGGAGCTCTCAACCTATATAGATCACCCGTCAGGACAATCGGGTTAATCCTCTCCGCAAGCTTGAGCAATTCCGGCACGGCAGTGTTATTCTGGAGAGTGGCCGGGTCAAGTTCCAGCCCAAACGACCCGCCCATCATGGCGACGTGCGCGCGGAATTCTAGAGGAACAGTCCGACCCGTCTGGTGGTTTGGTACGGCGGAGAGATGCGCGCCCATTGCCGAGGGGGGATACGCAAGGGATGTCCCGAATTGGATGGTGACTCTGTCCACTCCGTCGGTGTTATCGCTCGTCCAGATCTGGGGGAAGTATTGCAGGACTCCAGCATCGAAGCGGCCGCCGCCTGAGGCGCATCCTTCCCATAGCACATCCGGGAAGCGGGTGGTGAGGGTGTCGAAGACGCGGTAGAGGCCGAGCATGTATTTGTGGTCGGTGCTGGGCGAGGGTGTCTCGTGGACGCCGCGGTTATTATCCCATTTTATGTAGGAGATGTCGGAGCTATTCAAGAGGTTTGTCATGAAGTCGATGATGAAGTCTTGGACTTCTGGGAGGGCGAGGTTGAGGACGAGCTGGTTGCGCCGTTCGGTGCGTGGGTAGGGCCCTGCGTGGAGGACCCAGTCCGGGTGTTCGCGGTACAGGCTGGAGTTGGGATTGACCATCTCGGGCTCGACCCAGATGCCGAAGCGGAGTTTTGTGTCCTCTGTGCCGTTGACGGAGAGGCTGGTGATGTCTTCAACGACCGGTTCGAGACCGTTGGGGAATCTGTCTGGGTTTGGCGTCCAGTCGCCCAGGCCGGCGTCGTCTGCCACGCGAGGATACTTGTCGCCGAACCAGCCGTCGTCCATGACGAAGAGGTGGATTCCTAGAGCGGCGGATTGCTCGGCGAGAGTCTCGATGCTGCTCTGGTCGTAGTCGAAGTAGACGCCTTCCCAGCTGTTGAGCAGGACGGGGCGGTCCGATGTCGCGAACTTGCTCTTGATCAAGTGGTTGCGGTAGAGACGGTGGAACTTGCGAGACATGCCTCCGATGCCGTTCTTGGAGTATACTGCAACGCATTCAGGGGTTGTTAGTGTTTCGTCGGGGCCAAGGGTCCATGATAGACGGTCAGGGTTGAAGCCGAGTAGGGCTCGGGTCAGCCCTTGGGATCCTTTTTCGACTTCAGCGGAGAAGGACCCGGTGTAGATGAGGTTGAAGCCCCATGCCTCGCCTTGGGATTCGGTAGTCGATGGCTCTACGATTGCCAGGAAGGGATTGTGCAAGTGAGAGGAGTATCCAGTGTTGCTCCCGAATCTGTGCAGTCAGCTTATGTAGACATATAGCAAGAAAGACAGGGAGATATACCCCTGCACGCCATAGTCAATCTTCTTCCGTTGGACATTGGCTTCTCTAGCCCAGTCGCCTCGTAGACTGATCATCTCCAGGTCTTCATAGTTAAAGTCGACACTCAGACTGGCCAACGACTCGATGGTGATATTCCCTTCTCCCTTGTTGGTAACGTTGACACTCCTCACCACAGCATCATACTTGGGAAAGATCGAGTACGACAAGTCCGCCGCAACAGAGCTATAATTGTCATACAGATGCACAATCAACGTCGTCACATCACCTGCATCCCCAAACGTCGCCGGCAGTCCAGGCAAGCCGCTCTTCCCCTCCACCACTTCATGCGAATCGTACTGGAGATCGCTCACAGTATACCCAGCCGACTGCCGAATGCGAACAGCAGGAATGCGGAAATCACCACGGCCCTGGTCGGGGAACTCGCGCCGGATTCGACCGGGCTCACCGACCCAGCCGTTGACTACGGGCTCCTTGGGCGAGGGGATTGCGCCGCCAACAATACCGCCGAAGTGGTCGGATACAAGATCGCCTGTGGTCTCGTTGACGTGGAACCGGTAGGACACGTTGTCGCCATTCAGGGCAAAACTGGTGCCGTCGGCGACGACTGAAACAGTATTATCAGTATCATCTCCCCGCGTATATTGTATAGAGTGGATACGAACCAGGAGCCTGCGCAGAAGCCATCGTGGAGTGTCCGACAAGCGTCAAAAGGCCCAAGGCCACAGGAGAAAACGCGACCATGGCGACAGAAATACTGCGCGCATTCACCTCTGCTGCAAGATAAATTAGGTCGTACAGGCGGGGGAGTGTTCACTATTTATCCCCCAATGGCCTGACTGCATCCGGAGAAATCTCGGAGGCTCCCCTCTTGGTCTCTGCGCTTCCCTGCGCTTTCTCTCCACGTTCTCCCCACACCGATTCCGAACGGGGTGTTGATCGTCTTTCTCCTCTTTGAATCGCCTGGGGGAGCACTTCTTTTGTCGAAGACTAATGTGTGTTTGCCCTTGGCACCGTCATTGCGGGTATATATTCCGGAGCTGCACCGCACGGTTTCTCCACGGAGTCGGCCTTCCTCCGTCTTTTCACTCTTTCTAGTGAGCTATTTGAGCTGCAGCTATTTAAGATTGGGAGTAATGTCGGATTATAAGACCTGGGCGGTGCTGGGCGCGTGTATCGTGGATAAAGTATCGCATTTCTGGTTAACTACAAGTTAATGGTTAATTTAATTAATTAAACCTACTATCCTCGCACAATCTGTATGCGTCTAGCATTTATCACAAATTTGTTGTGCTCGCATATGTAAACAAGGGGTCTCCACCACATTCGATCAACGGTCAAGAATGCGCATTATTGATCCGCCTGCAGGGAGAACATTCACCTCCCCAGAACTGTCCCTCGTTGACACATTGATATTGAAATATCGTGCAAGATCGTCATCACCATTCCGATAACTGACTCGCAACTTTCCTGGGACGGGATGGCGCATTCTTCGCTTGTATTTGTTGATATCTCGCACGCCACCTTTTTCCCTTGCGAACAATCATTGGATAGTGTATGATGAAAAGAATGACAGAAACTTGGGGATTCAGATCGAGTGCTGCGCATAAATAGATTGGCCCGCTGTGGACTACGATTTTTGGACTTGGACTTTATTCTGCCCGGTCCACTTGCCACTGTCTCGAATACATAAGCCTGTTCTGAAAATGGTGTCGTTTAGAGGCACCTGTGTGCTTCTCGCCGTGCTACCGCGGGTCTTTCCTGCTGCAGCTGCCCCGACTCAGGTGGGCAATGAGTTAGGTCTGGCCCAGCATATACCAGACAACCACTTTCCCTGTGGGTCTGGGGAGTGTGACAACGGGGAGGGTGATGAAAATGATGATAAGGATCACTGCAGAGTTCATGGCAAGAACCATGACAAGGATCATGATAAAGGAGAGGATTGTGAGGACGACAATGGAGATGGTGATGGTGAAGATGGAGATGGAGATAATACAGCCACTGTGACAATCACCGACTGGTAAGTAACAGATCTATATCAACGGCACTGCTAACAAGTACAGCCCCGACGTCCCAACACCAACTGTAACTGTCACCATCACCACTCCCACAGACGACATTGGCACCGGCACCGCGACAGTCACAGTCACAGACACGGTGGTCTCAATCCATACCAGCACCGACTGCACTGCTACAACCACCGACTACACAACCCTAACTACAGAAGGCCCCGTCGTGACAAGCACTATCACCACCGCAGGCCCAACAGTAACTTCAACCACTACTGAAACGATCGCCGACACAACCGTGACAGACCCAGGGGTGACGACAACAGAAACAATCAGTATAACGTCTTCCGAAACAGTCACCGACACTGCAACCGAAACAGACTTCCAGACCATCACAGAGACAGAGACAGAGACACAGACGGAAACAGACACCGAGGTCCTAATCCAGACCACCACCATAACTGCAACCGAAACCGAAACCGAAACAGAGACTCAACAGGTCACGACGACAGTGACTGAAACAACTGAAGTCTGCACACCCACAGACGAACCTGAGCCCGGCCCAGACCCAGACCCAGACACCGATTTCGGCAGCTGCTCAGACCCGTGGATCACGTATTTCAACAACGGGTGGACATACGTGTACACCACGACGAACCAGGGTGACTTCCCATTCGGCGAGTCCCCGACTATCCACAGCCCTGGCGCGTTGATCTGTAATAGACTGCAGTCCCCCTGTAATGCGCCTCCTGAGGTTGTGTCGAGGTGCTGGGAGATCTTGGGAGAGGTGGATGGGCTTTCTGGCGCTGATGCTGCAAACAGGTGGAATGAGTTGATGGCTGCTGGCATATAATGCAATAGAAAGACGGTATAATACTGCAAGTGGTTCTTGATGGTCTAATGCCTTAGTTGGGCTATTTAGATGATACACTATCGTAATAATATCTAATAATTCATACAGCGTTCCGTTTGCATTAGTTTTGTGTATTATATATCCATATATGACGGCAATACCTGCCAAATACGAGCAAAGCAGCACAGTTAATCGCTATCCCCACTGGCTTCAATAACAGTCCACCCATGCGTCTTCCTAATCCCATGTTCGTTATGCAAGCTCCCCCGGCTTCTATTCCCAGTTCCACTCTCCACCTGCACATTGTAGTTATCGCCCACACCACGAACTAGCCCACCCCTCGACTCTAAGCGGGCAAGCTGGTGCCCATTCCCTGAATCATTCACATCGGCATTCGCACCTCTGACCAGGTTCGAGCGTGTATTCGATTTCGACCTCGAGCGAGAATTTGTGTTTGAAAGCCCCGTTGTCGCTGTCGTGACTACGCCTTTCGCGAGGAGTTTTATAAGCGGCACGACGGTTGGAAGACAGGCGGAGATTATCCCGGCAGATGTTTCGACGACGCACCAGGTTTGTGCGTCTGCGATTGTCCCTGTTGAATGTTTTGTTAGGGGAGATATGGTGTATATGACTGCAAGGGAGGCGTACATGGGATATCGTCCATGTCAACTTGGAAGATCAGACTGAAGCGGTAGATACTTGCAAAGACCACACTGCCACCGCTAGCCAAGTTCAAAATAACGGCGTGGGAATCGTACAAACTCCCGCTCAGAAACACGCCTATGATGGAAACCCTCTGCCAGACACTCGCTTGTAATTTCCAGATGGACCGGCCGGGAAGTGTAAGGATGAGGATATCCGTAACGAAGTTCGGGATTCCGTTTGCGATTAACGCCACCTTCAGGTCAATGCATGTCCCCGGGGTTTGTGGCAGCCAGGCCTTCTTTATCGGTGTACATTGGAATATAGCGACGAGGTCGACGGAGATTAACCAGGCGAGGGTTATACCGCCGAGGATGTAGCTGCCGACGAGGATGCTGCGGACGGGGAAGATGCGGTTGTACATGAGGAGGACGGAGAATTTTATGATGGCGACGGCGGTGATGTAGAGGGGTTCGAAGGCGTAGAGGAGCTGTTATCTGTTGGTACAACCTTGGAAGTGGGTATGGGTGAGTACCTTCATGTAAATGACCATGTTGAATCCCTCTTGCATGACGGCTGCCATATGCCGGCCCATTCCGTAGTATGTTGCTGGAGCAGTCAGTAGCATAAATACAGATAGAGAACTGGATACTGACCAGCATAATTGATTCCTGCAATGGATATAACAAAGATCTAACAGGGTCAGAACGCAGGAGGCATGCTTGGACATCGATTGCGACCTACCTGTCCAACAATCAAAGTGTAGTCATCTATCCCAAGAGACAGACGCTTCAGTCTCCTGGATATGAGTCTGCAGACGAGAAAGCATATTGCCAGCGCCGGAAGGACAAGCGTAGGAACGCGCTGCTTGCTAACAGTGCTTTCCCCTAGGTACCCAGGCGACATTGTTCCACTTCATGACTCGACGTCGAGAAACTGGCAGACACGCCGAAGAAAAGATGCAGTCCCTGGAAATCCCCATGCTTGAAATCCTTAGCCTCGGGCCGGCTCAGGGCTCTGTGCTCATCGATCGAAGCAGGACTGTATCCAACACGGGACAGGCCGCGAATGACAGACGGCATGTGGAGGCCATCTCGCTAAGAAGCATCCATCGTGGAAGTATCGTGCCAGTCTGCTGGTACGATGGCTTATCAGACCACGTTATGCCGCCGCCACCACCCGAAGTCACCCCCTTGACTCGTGTCAGGTCTCAAATCCCGGTATCCATCATCCTGTCCCTGTTATATAACCAGCTTTAAGTCCAGTCTGGGCCTGGAGAGGTTCTGCAGTTGGGACAGTCTCATACGTCCCACCAGCCCAGGCGAGCACAAACCGTAAGCCAACATCTCCAGCAGTTCCTCTCTGCTGATCTCGATTTCTCCCATCGCTCCTTCGAATCCACACTACGCACACGCCAGTCGTTAGTAGTGCACCTTAGCTCCTGTCAGCTAGCCGAGCCTTCCAAACCCCGGCCTGAATGGACTAAACGGCTTAAGTGGAGAAGGCGTCGCCCCGGCTGTCATTTCGGCAACACGACTAGCCGGGCGAGAGTGCGGGCTCGCCTGTTAAGGACTCGCCTGTTAAGGACTCGCCTGTTAAGGACTCCAGGTCCGCGGGACGTCCCCTTTCCTGTTGCTTTGCTTGCCCCGGCTGCTTGAGTTCGCTGGTGCAAAGAAGCCTGTTCATCTAGAACCTTTCGACATTGCTTCCGTGTATATCCGTATACAATGGCTACCAAACCAACTATCGTCTTCTCAATCGGCGCATGGCTCATGCCGCCTGCATTCAGCACCATCCAGGACAAACTTGCCAAACGAGGCATTCCATCTGAGGTCCCCGCGCATCCGTCCATCGGCGCAGAGCCCCCAAACAAGACCCTCTCCGATGATGTCGCTTCGTTCAAGACCGTCCTGACGCGGTTGGTAGAAGAAGGGAAAGACGTTGTAGTTGTCGGGCATTCATACGGCGGGGTTGTTGCTTCATGCGCCGTTGAGGGGCTAGACAAGGACGTGAGAAAGGCAGCTGGGAAACACGGCGGCGTTATTCGTATTGTCTATATGGCTGCCTTTGCTTTAGACAAGGGGCAGAGCCTTTTGGATATGTTGGGTGGACAGCCTCTGCCTTGGATGGAGATTGATGTAAGCTCTTCTACTCCGGAATGAAAAGGCATGGAACTGATGTGTACAGGGCGACTATGTCCGCTGCAATGGCGGCGCAGAGATAGCACTGCATGATGTGCCAGTTGAGATCCAGCAAAAGGCCGAGTCTGAGCTTACGCATACATCGCGCGAGGTGTTTTCCGGGGCTGCTACGTATGAGCCGTGGCATGACATCCCGTCTGCGTATATTATCACAGAGGATGACCGCGGGCTCCCGGCCCAGATCCAGGAGCTGTTATCGGCTAAATTGAAGACAGAGGTGGTTTACAGGATTAAGAGCTCGCATTCGCCGTTTTTGAGTATGCCTGATAGACTGGCGGAGATTTTGGAGGAGATTCCAGGCAGGTCTTAGGGGATTGATTGTGCAGTGTTTATTCTCGAGTGGCTACCTATTGGCTCTGGGTACTCAGTATATTCCTTAAGCGTTTTTATGATATACATTGCAGGTATTTGAAGTGGGAAAAGTTTTCACACTCTGTTCCAATTCGTTACCTATTATACTGGGTAGCCCTACTTTGCCGCAACCCCGAGCGCAACGCAGCTTTGTCGCCTAGTTGTCAAGCTACATTACGGTCCGCTTCGCTCACAAGCCCCCAGCGGTGGATTCTAGTCGTGCTTTCCCGTACAATGTGGAAGGTTGAAATCTTCGGGTCGAATTCTGATATGACTCGACACCCGAGTACTATTATCTCGACACGGGCGGGTATTGCGCCGAAATACTGGCATTAGACATGATGTTTATAGTAGGTAATTTGGATAGTAAATCGGTGTTCAAAAGATATAAATATTTCTCTGCTACTCTACATTAAACAACTCTCACCAGCGCCGCCCACACCTCGCTCGCTATACATGCATCATTAATCAAACATATAAATCAATAAAATGATCAGCCTCCACATCTAGTGCTCCTCATGGAAGTCCTTGGTGTTGAAAGGCGTAAACTCCTTCACGATGTTGGTGTATGTCCCCTTGAGGGCAGAGTCGTGCGCCTCGCGGGCCTTGACGACCTTGTTCTCCCGCTTAGAAGACGACTTGATAGAGACGGTGGCTGAGTTCTGGAGGTGACGGTCGCAAGTGCCACCGGGGAGGATCTGCTCGCCGGCCTTGTCTTGGAGAAGCTTGTACTGGTTCTCGATCTTCTGGGACTCGGACTGCACGCCGGGGAAGCCGCCGGGGACGACCTTGTCGTAGATGCCGACGACGGTGTTTTGGGCGACGTTCTATATCAATTAGCTATGTTCATAGATATCTGGTAATGGGTAGGGAAGTACCTCGACTTGGTTGGTGCGGGCGTAGTTGTCAGGGACGGCAGAGTCCTTGTTGTAGGCGTCTTCCCATTCTTGGGTTGCTGCTACGCATTAGCTATTTGACGTGGGTATCAAGGGTATAAAGGGACTTACAAGACAGAGCGCCATCGACATAAGCACCGAGCAGGTCAAGAGAGTGTCCAGTCTCGTGGAGGCAGACGTCCAGGTTGTGGGTTGTTGTTCCAGACAGAGCAATGTTTCCGTTGGAGTTGAAGGCCCAGTTGTTACCGGGGATGCTCAGGACGTGACGGACCTAGTTCTGTTAGTTGTGATCATACATAGAGAGGTGGATGCATACCCAGCTGCGCATTCTAACGGGGACGCGGCCGAAGGTGTTGACCAAGGTTTCCAGGTCCTCGGGGGAGTCCTTGTGGCGGCAGAAGCTCCAGGCATCTTGGCACTATACAATATTAGTTTACTGCTAGTCATCGGCGTGGGCTAGGACGTACATCGTCGTAGAAGACGTCGTAGACTTCAAAATCGGCGGGGTTGAGGTCCTGGCCCTCGGCGATGCTCTTGCAGTCTTCGGGCATCAGGCCATCCTCCCACTTTCCCCAGTGGGCACCCCCGTTCTGAGGGAGGTTGGCGGTGTTTCCGTCAAGGAGGTAGTCGAGGTCAGGAGTTAGGGCAGGCTTGTCTAGCGCGGCGCTGGCAGGGATGGCCGCGAGGGCAGCGGCAAGAAAGGCGGATTTGGTAAGCATGGTGACGGTGAAGTGGTGTAAGGAATAGGAATAATAAGATTGTAAAATGGAGAGATAAAGAGTTGATCTTCAGAACGGTGGTGCAGATCGCCCTTTTTATACTCGGGTCTCAGTCAACTGCTGAAAATAATCAGATCAGATCAGGAATCTCACTGCCCTCAAGTCCTCACTCTCTCGCCAATGAAACAGGCACAATCTTGCCAACTCCAAGCCTCATGATCCTTCTCCGCGAATTTGCCAAATCAGGGGCCCTGAAGACACTGCGCCCCTGGCCCCCATATCTTGGCAGACGGCCTTGGAATTTAAGCCTGCACAATCCAGAAGCTGGATGTAACTCATCGCCTAAACCAGGCAGCCCAGCGGTGATCTTTGGCAGGAATGCAGCTGCACAGCCCTAGAGTGGAGGCGCTACGCCGAGCTAAGCTCCGAAAAGCTCCTCAATCAGGCGAAAATCCGGTAAGCTCCGCGTGTGGTTTCATTGTGGGTCTGCACAGCGCGAGGCGGAGTTAACACTTCAATCTATTTTCATCAAGTTGATTGTGGTGGCAGCTCGCTTTGTCGGGTTCCTGCAGTATACAAAGTTGCCATCGTAGACCCCCCCCCAACTCGACAATTCAACCGCTAACAGTCAACAATGGATTAGAACCGTAACGCACACAGGTCAAGAGTGAGATCCCTCACAAGCATCCATGCATTTTATCACGGGTACAAATTAATATACGGTGCGGCTGAGTCCCCGGCTGTCTCCACGCGGGAATGTAACCATCAGCAGTCATCGCAAGCCGCAGCGCTTCCTTCTGAAGTCTCATCGGTGTGCAAATAGTCCCTTGTATAACTCACTGTTGTTGTGAAGCACCGCCCCCACGTTTCACCGTGTTGGAGCCAAAACCCCATACCACTTCATTCCAGGGCCGGACGCCACCAGTTCACCCTTCAGGGCCCTTGCATTAAAGCTGTCAACCAACCTGGGGTCATGAAGTTACGACACGACCAACCTGCTGAATACTTGAAACATTCTGACTGTCAGTTCCAGTTAATATCATTGTCAGCTGCCCCACCTGTAATTTCCCCATACCCGGCGGCTCCTATAAGCACTACGAGCTCAGCCTTGTCAACAGGGCAGCCATCCTGGTTCATTTATAGAACACTGCGAGACTGTCAGGCGAGACCAGGAATTTCCAAATAGCCGAACGGAAGTTGAACCGGAATATTTGCTGCTCAGTCAGACGGCCTCGCTGTCCAAGCCTTTCTGTTATTGTCTTATTGCCCTGTTACTGCTCTTCCTGGTCGTCAGATCATATAAACGTAGTGGACGCGAGATGACCAAAGTCCACCATCGCATATACTAGTGCAATGAAATACGCTGGATGACCAGGTTTCTATTGAGATCATCGACACCGTTGTCGGTGGAAGGAACCTTGAATCCAGCATCAAAACACTCCACCAAAGGGGTTAGAGACCCTCTAAGCGAGACTCCACCCAATAAGCCAATGGCCAATCAATGCCATAACTCCAATGACCTTACCAAAAACAGTCTTCGTATCACGTGTAATGACATTTCCCAGTTAGGCTTAGTGGATATTCCAGGGGTCAACGAGATTCTTCACTGCTGCCACCATTCAATCAACAATGTACTGGATCTTGGATTGATATCTCCTTCTTCGAGATCAATAGCGTCGCTTAGGGTCGGAAAACAGCGCGTACGCTCTTTAAATCAAGTTTAATTGCTAAACCAACAGACTAAAGGAAAACGAAATCGGTGGAATCTATCTCCCTTGGTCGAGGTTGTGTCTCCTTGCTGCAGCTGAAGTTATATCGGTCCTATTAAGTTCTGCCGTTGACAATGACCATCGGCCAAAATACTTCGGAGCTTGCAATCAGCTCCGAATGGGAAAATCGGGGTAATATATTTCACCGGACCTCGGACTGAGAGCGACGGCAATCGGGGGAGATGTCGCCTGATCGTCCTGCAGATCCGGAGACCCCTGACAGCAACGGTCTCCAATTAACCATGGCTTACGTTGTCTCTAAGAGGGAAGAAGACCAATTAAGATACTGGACCATGACGTTTCAGTGCATCTCCCCGCGGGGGATCGGTAGAACTGCTGCAGATTATCATCGGGGAATTACTCCGGAGTAGTCAAGTAGCCCCGCATATTCATCCTGCACGGCTTCATGATCTGTATAAAGAGGCTGGAAGGACCCGTTGAAGTAAACGCATAGACAAGGACAACTACCTTTTTCCTCCACAATGTGGATTACCTCCCATATGGCCGTGGCCACGGCCACTGCCATTCTCTCTGTCTTTACAACCGTCGATGCTCAGCGAGCCTTGGAGAATCTCGGCCGCGGGGTCGTTGCAATCCGTTCCGCAGACGACGCGGCCTTCGTCAGCTGGAGAGTGCTAGGTCTGGATCCGGAGGACATCGGCTTCAACCTCTACCGCGCCGCAGGTGACGGGGACCCGGAGCGCCTCAACGACGAGGTTATCACCGGCGGTACCAACTACGAGGATTCTTCAGCGGATTTGACTCAGGATAACACGTACCATGTCACTACAGTTGTGGATGGGGAGGAGAGCGATGCAAGTGAAAGCTGGACGCTTGAAGCCGACGCCGAGGTTGGCCCGTATTTCCGCATTCCGATGGAATCTGGCGGCGCCATTCGATACATCTGGGTTGGCGATCTGGACGGAGACGGCGAGTATGACTTTGTCGTTGACCGTCAGGAGTCGCCGCAGCGCCTGGAGGCGTACAGTCGCAATGGAACGCGGCTGTGGGAGGTTAACATGGGCCCGAACAGTGAGAACCAGGACAACATCGAGCCAGGCTCGACGGCCTTTGACTTAGGGAACTGGGATGGTGTGACTGTTTATGACTTTGATAGCGATGGCTACGCCGAGGTTGCGCTGCGCATTGCGAATGGCGTGGTCTTTGGTGATGGCGAGACCTTCGAGTATGACGATGATGACCACCAGTTCGTTGCCTTCCTTGATGGGCAGACTGGAGCTCTGCGCGCGACTGGAGAGATCCCGGATGATTATATTGAAGACGGGCCTATGGGTGCGCGGTTTGGTGCTGGGTATCTTGACGGAGAGCGCCCGCATCTCGTTGCCTTTTTGAAGAACCGCCAGGATGGTGGTGATTTCAACCTCATCGAAGCGGCGTGGACGTTTGACGGCGAGTCTGTGGAGCTGGCATGGGCCTGGAAGCGCGAGGACCAGGACTGCCCTGACGGCCACAACACCCGTATCATCGACGTTGATGGCGATGGCAAGGACGAGGTCGGTGAGATTGGATTCATGCTCAACGGCGATGGCACTCTTCGATACTCTCTCGGTCCCGAGGGAATTGTCCATGGTGATCGGTGGCACATTGCCAAGATGGACCCCAGCCGTGATGGCCTCCAGGGGTACGGCGTGCAGCAGGATAACCCGTCGAAGCTGTATGAGTACTACTATGATGCCACCGACGGTACCATCATCTGGAAGCACGAGAACGACGAAGAAGGCGACAACGGCCGTGGAATGGTCGCCGACATTGACCCGAACTACGAGGGCATGGAAGCCTGGTCGTTCCTCGGCCTCTACAACGCCCCATCGGAGGAACTGACCCAGGATGCGGACGTGTACCCCTATCCCCAGCTCAGTGTGTGGTGGGACGGCGACGAGCTGCGCGAGCTCATCAACGACGGAAACATCAACAAATGGGACGCTGAGGCTGGCGACTTTACACGCCTGGTTACAACGTATAAATTGGGCGCAACCACGGCGGACGGTGACCACATGTTCCAGGGCGATATCCTGGGCGACTGGCGCGAGGAGGTGGTCTTCACCAACGATGACTATAGCGAGTTGATTATTTTCACCACCGACCAGCCCTCCGATATCCGATTGTACACGCTAATGCATAACCCGGCTTACCGGAATGCGGTCACCCTCAAGGGCTACGTTCAGGATAGCCATGTCGATTACTTCTTAGGATCAGGCATGGAGACGCCCCCGACTCCTAACATCACCTATGTTGGGGCGTAGGGTAGGCAACCAACTGGCAGGAGCAGCACATAATCTAGTAGTCTTTTTTGTTCTATGTACACTACAGTCATTACCGGTTGAAACTCATTTTGCTGCTATGAAGAAATGTATATATTATGCGGCTAGATTGGACCCTTGTGCTTTGCCAATAATACTGTGTCTCTAAGGTAGTTGCGTGGCCGAAGTTGTCGGATGGTCGTACACACAATACACATCTTTATGTAATCACAATGGTAACATGTATAAGCCCTGGCCCAACGTGTCTGGATCTCCATGAAGCAGTTACTTTGTCAATGGCCTATAATCCAAGGTGTAGGCCTCACAACAACATCGGTATTTAGCATACAACCAATACTTAAATTACCAAGTGAAAATGAAGTAATAATATAGCAAAGGTATACTAAGATACCACCTGTGACCGGTAAATTTGGTATTTTTCGGATTTCTTGGCCATCACCTGACTACAGCACGTGCTCTTGGCGTCCATCTCGTCCCCTTCTCGATTCCCACCGATTCTCCCACTGTTACATCTCGACTATTGTCTCGACTACTGTCGCAACTCTATTGATACCACTACCAGTATTATTCTTCCATCCAGCTACCGCATTCTGTGCTTGCCGTGCAGTTTTATCTCTGATGGAGTCTGTTGTCTCTCTACGTCCTTTACATCTACCACTTCTTTTACGGCACAGATCAAGGCACCAAACTTGATATCAACCAAGAACCCCTTTTCAAGTCAAATGGCAGAATCAGCATTTGCCTACCATGAACCGGCCATATCTACCATCCTGAACCAGTCCGGGTTCCTCCTGGTCTTGAACCTGGTGAACACCTGTCTGGACAAGCTTCTGTACTGTGGCTTAATCGGCCAACTCTTCATTGGCATCCTCTGGGGTACCCCCGGGGCCAAATGGCTCGACCGTGACGTGGAAACAGTAATGCAGCAACTTGGCTACCTGGGCTTGATCATGCTCGTCTATGAAGGCGGCCTGTCCACGGCCCTGTCCTCCCTCCGCGCCAATATGTATCTCTCTGTCGCAGTAGCTGTTACTGGAATCGCCCTTCCCATCGGCTTGTCATTCATTCTCATGGAGTTGGTTTCCGCAACACCGCTCCAGGCATTCTCCGCCGGCGCGGCTTTGAGTGCGACGAGTCTAGGAACTACGTTTACTATCCTTTCCACTACGCAGCTGATCACGTCGCGTCTTGGCACAGTAACTACCAGTGCTGCCATGTTTGACGACGTTGTTGGCCTTGTCATGGTCCAGATCATCTCGAACCTCGGCGGCAGTGGTGACTCGTTCACTCCAGTAACTGTGATCCGGCCGCTCTTTGTTTCCATCGGCTTCGGTGTTGGTGTCGTCTTGGTGTGTCGATTCGTGGCGCGTCCGGCTTTGGTCAAGATTCTCGAGTCAAAGACCAGATTACCCCAGTTTACGCACACGCCGCAGTTTGCATTTATCGGCTACACTTGCTTGCTTGTTGGTCTGGTCGCTGGGGGTACGTATGCTGGAACGTCCAGTTTGTTTGCTGCGTATCTTGCTGGGGTTATCACATCGTGGTTTGACACCTTGGTTCAGCCAAGCCCAAGTCCACCAGCAGCTCAAAAGCAGCAGGAGGACAACAAATCCCAGGCACGGGAACCACCTGTACAGGCATCGGCTTCTGCACCTACACCTCAAGCCACCAGTTCGAACGAGCAGCAAATGATAACCGGGGTGTACATCTACGAGCATTACTACCATGGCCCTGTTACTCGAATCTTGATTCCCATGTTTTTTGTAAGTTTTACCCCAGCCCGCAATTCACTTATCTAATAAATCTAGGCCTCGATCGGTTTCGCGATTCCCATCACCGAAATGTTCCGCGGCAGCGTCGTCTGGCGCGGTGTCGTGTATGCTGTCCTGATGGCGTTTGCAAAGATGTGTACTGGACTGTGGTTGGTCCGAGTCTCACCAGGTTCCGGACTTCGGGCCTTCGTTCGCGTTTTGAAGGCTCCTCTCACCTATACGACTTCCTGTATCTGGGGTTCTCAATCCAAGGAAACTCGGACCAGTGAGAAAAGCTCCAAACAACGGGTTGCCGACAGTCAACAAGAAAACACAGACAGCACTGCAGATTCTGGTCCCAATACTCCCGGCCTCTCCAATTCAGAAACTGATGCAGACGCCATCACGAACGCGGATACCAATACACCCCCTCACCAACAGACACAGGATGGTGGTTCATCTCCTCTCCCCCCAAAGCCGAAGTCGCTCTACCCAGCCTCAATCCTAGCTTTGGCCATGACCGCCCGCGGCGAGATAGGCTACCTGATCGCCTCTCTTGCAGAGTCAAATGGGATATTCGGCGACACATCTCAGGGTTCATCCGAGACCTATCTAGTTGTCGTGTGGGCTATTTCGCTGTGCACATTGGTAGGGCCTATTGCGGTTGGAACTCTCGTTAAGCGTGTCAAAACATTGCAGCAGAAGCGAGCTGACTCTGGAGGACCGGATCCGTTGGGGGTTTGGGGTATTTGATAACTTGTTCTGTAGTCTTTTAACTAGTACGGTGGTGTAGTTGAAGTCTACCCCCAATTTTCGGGGTTCCAAGGAATTCAACATCCTAGCTGGACAGGTCCATGTCTAAGCATTTGAATTGCAGCTGTCTGTCTACGTTCAACCGTAGTTGCAGTGTTTCAGCTCCCAGATTGTATGTCGTTAGAATATTATTACTTGATCATTATATACCATCCTAAACCGTATATCGTGAGAACCTCCAATCTTCCGTCCTGATTACTCTTCCTTATTATTGCCCGCCTCTTTCCTTGGGTCTTTGGCATCTCTAGCCATCTTCTCAGCAATAGCCAACATAGACTGCTCACCGTCTCCAAGCTTCCCAAGATGCGGCTGGATATAGTCTCTTGCTTTCTCCACCATTCGCACCCACAGCATTCGCTCTTCAGGGTACTTCACCTCCAACCAGACAACGATAGCAGTCGTCACAGCAAGATCCCACTGGACACCTTTGTCAAGCAGTTCTTTCACAGTCCCATGTACCTCAGCCCCCAGATATTTCGGAGCATCCTTCTTGGGTACATCGAACACGCCGGCGGACTTTTGGAACTTCAGCACGCGGCGAATAAATGACTCCTCCAGCTCGGTTTGCGATTTCGTTTTGAGGCCCGTCAGGTATTGGTTACTTAAGGATGTCCAGCCAGCTTTGGCTGCCCTCCACAAAGCCAAAGGGAAAGGCAAAGAAATACCGTGCGTGTGATAATTTGAGTCAATAGGATGGTCTACTATATGAACTACCCCCTGCAGCTGGGAATGATGGATGAGCAACTCCTTCAAATCCTTGTCGTGGTTTCTGATCTCCGTAGCGTACTCTTGCTTTTCTGATGGCTCGCTATCGTCTTTATTGCTCTCCACGGCCACGAAGCTCGTCCATTGAGAGAGCAGGGAGTATTTACAGCCGAGGCGTTCTCCCTCTGCTCGGGTCAACTCTTTCTCTTCGCTAGAGTCTCTGGGGATACGGTTGTCTCGTTGGATCCAGCTTTGTCGATTGTTGAGATCGCGGAGGACGGCGCCGGCCGCGAACTGGTGGAGTGTGGAATCGGGCTCCTGCAGGACGTGGAGTGGAATGGTTGTGATCGTCTCCTGGCCGTTGGATTTTCTCTTTATCTTCACCACGGACTCGGCGTTGATCTGGTTCTCGTTCTCAGACAGTATGTAGATTCGATTGCGGATGAAGGGGCTTATAGTCGACAGGTCCCCGGGGGATATCTGAACAGTAGGCGTAGTTCCTGTTTCATCTATATTAGAAAAGTCACCTTAAGTCTTATCTGGGCCCCCTTACCTTTGGCTTCAATAGTGCTGCCATCTATCTCGATATCAACCGCACCAACATGCCCAGTCATAGCAGCCTTCAGCACTGCAACCATGCGTTCATCCCAGGCGTAACTATCCGCGAGAGGAATGATCTCAGCATAGCCACCACCTTCCCCCGCGATGCCTTCAACAAGTTCATGCGAGACCGCGTCCCCGATCCCGATGGTAAAGAACCGAACAGCGTCCCCGGACTCTGCGCGTGTTTTGCGCACGAAATCAACCGTGTCCTCCAAGGGCCAGACCTCGCCGTCGGTGAGAACAATAACATCCATATTAGCGGCCGTTTTATTCCGCGCAGAAACTACGGCCTCCAGAGCTGGTAGGAGTTCTGTACATCCCATATCGCCCTTGAACTTGGAGACATATTTCAATGCTTTGGCTAGAGTCTCGTCGCTGTACTTTCTAGACTCTGGCCACAGAGAGGTATACTCGTCCCCGAAACAGTAAAGATTAAATAATGAGTCAGGAAGTCCGTGGAGGAAGAACTCAAGAGACGATTTCAGTCCGGCTATCTTGCGATCACCCATGGATAATGACCGGTCGGCCAGGAATATGATTTCTCTCTCCTCCTTCATAGGCTGCTGGTCTCGCAGCATGAATCGGGGTGGGATCTCGAGCATCATTGCTGATGATCCGCTGGGGGATATCTCGAGAGTAGCCTGGGGCTGTTCGTCGTCGACTGCTGGATGGGCAGAGATGGAAAGAATAAAGTCTTTGTCTAGACATGCTGTGTCTTTGAGCTTCACAGAGGCAGAAGTTCTTTCAGATGTAGAATCTGCCCAGTGTTGGAGTCTCTGGCCCCCTCCTATCTTAACAATCACCTCATGGGTGTCGCTGTGGATTCTTCGTATCTCGGTAGAGCTCAAGATATCAACACCCAGAGAGAATCGAGTGTTATGCTGTGGTCCGGTCTTGCTGACCAGTTCAAACCCTGGGTCCCCATATCGAGGAGCAATATACGTCGGAATAGTCAAAACAGTCGTCGTCACATCATCGGCTAGGGTATATTTGAGAAAGAAGATAAACGACAATTTAACCTGCACCGTCGTATTTGCCGGTATATTGCCAATCTCCGTCCTGAACACATCCACTCTGTCCTGCTCGACAAGACCAGCAACGCGACCGGTGCTCACTGCATTCTCAAACTCCTCTCTCGCCTCTGGTTTCGGCTTCACCTGCCCCTGCAGAGACTTTTTCTCTCCAATCTGGCATGTGAAGTCAACAACACTCGACTCGAACGGCATGGGGAACTGGTATATTGCCTTGTCGATACTGTCTGGGGCATCGTTGCAGAAGGTCTGGGTTAATGTCGCTTTGGCCATTCCTTGCGTGACATTGATATAAGTGTCTACCGAGGATGGTAGCAGCAACGCTCGTCGTTTTGGGGGCGTTGACTCAGATTCTCTTCTCTCTTCTTCCTGATGCCGAGGAACCCACACCCACGAGCGCTCGTCCAGGGGCGGGCTTGGTGGCTCGACGGCCTCGAATGTGATACACGGTCTGATAGTCATGGTGTGTGATTGATAACCCAACAAACCGGAGTAGATAGTGTATTTCAATTCCCCAGTTTATATCATTGCCTGAATTATGATATTGCCTGCTCTGCAGGGTCTGGGGCTGTGCAGCACTAAGCGCGACGATCTCAGGGCTCTGCCAGTTATCTGCCGGCGCTGCCTCGTACTGAGCAGCGATCTCGTAGCGTTACCTCGTATTCAACAAGCTGCCAAGTTGAGATCGACCGCTGCTTGAGAGTGAAAAGTGGAGTTTCTCTTGAGTATGCTGCTATTTTAATCGAAATATCTTGGTTCGAGCCTCAAGCAGATGGGAGGTTTCCCACTACAGCCTATGTTCCACTTTTATAGATGCAAAACATCTCATTTTATGGACGGAATAGGGTGAGTCAAGACGTGGGCTTGCGATCATCGTATCTAACTCCCTGGAGATTATTCCACCCAAACGGCGAGTATTGGATTCATTGTGCTGGCCTACTTCAGTTCTCATTTATACGAACACAGAGCTTGCCTTTCCACACCAGCAAGCAAACAATTCAGTAGCAGGTGCCTGGAAGTAGAGTATACTTTATTGAGTCTGTCTATCCAAGTTGATGCAGTATCCGCAGCATATCCCCCGTAACTCCCATCGCCGTTACAGACCCCCCAGCCCCAGCACCACTGATAATCAGCGGATCATCGCCATACCGTTTCGTATAGAATCTGATAACGTTGTCCCTGCCTTGAAGTCTTGCAATGGGATCATCAGGCTCAAACCATTTCAAACCGACCTCTGCCCTCCTGTTCACAATGTCAACAATTCCCACATGCCGTAATACCCTGCCAGCATTCACAGCCCTCTCCCTCTCCTCATCCATCCTCTCATCAAACTCCGGCAGCCGAGCCAGGAACTCTTCTGCGCTACCGATGCCCTCCAACTCTTTAGGAACCAGACTCTGCACTGGGAACGAACCCTGCTCAATAGGCAACCCCGCCAATCGAGCAAGGATAGTAACATCCCTCGCAACATCCAACCCATTCAGATCATCGCGCGGATCGGGCTGTGTATACCCACGCTCTCTCGCCTTCTTCACAATCTCCGACCACCTCCCACCGGCACTACCTCCAGCAGATCCAGATACTGCGGGAGATGTAGCCAGCGGCGCAAACTCATTAAACAAAAACGACAACGCCCCACTAACCACCCCCTCAACCCTCATAACCCTATCACCCGTGATCCCAAAATCCCTCATCGTGGAGATAATCGGCATCCCCGCCCCAACGGAAGATTCATGCCCGATCAACGCCCCTCCACATCTTGCCGCGTCGAATATGTCCCTCCATAGCTCGTAACTCCCTGAAAAGGCTTTCTTATTCGGCGTTACGATGCTGATTCCCCGTTCCAGGAAGAGGGGGTAGGACTGGGCGATTGTGTCGCAGCTGGTGATGTCTGCGAGGATTGCCCTGTATGGAGCGTTGGCGAGGTATGTTGCTAGGGTTTGGATAGTAAGTAGACTTCGTTTTGCTCCTGGTGTTTGGAGCCGGTTGAGAGCTGTTTCGATGTCGATCGGTTTGTAGTTGTCGTTGTACAGTGCGCCATCAATTGTGGCGAGGTAGATCAGGTTGAAATGTGTGCTTGGGTGGTGGGTTGATATCCAGGACAGTTGGGAGAGGACATGTGAACCGACTCCTCCGGTGCCTGTACTAATTAGAAGGCTGTTTTCTTAGTGAGTAGGGTAGTAGGCTTGCCGAGGATGGCGATGTTGACGTGTTTTGGGGGTGCCATTTGATGTTTGTTCAGTTGATGTGGTTGAATATGGTGAAGGGAGCGGTTATATATATATATATATGACTTCGGGAAAGGTCTCCTCCCCGTGGGGAAATAGCACAACTAACGGAATTTATGTGACCATGGAGCTCTTACCCAATACAACAGGAATTGAATATTGAACCACCGTGTCTAATTGAATTATTATTACTGTCATTGTGCGGTTCCGCGGGCATCCATCGGGAATGCTGTATATCATTCCCGATATTCCCGACAGATCCACATAATCGACCGATGAGTAAACCAGATTGGCTCCACATCGAGTATTTATTCCGATTCATGGTTCAAGGTCATATATGTATCTATAATCTATCAATGTCTTGTACTGCAACTCCCGCAGCAGCTTCCAGCTCAGCCTGCTCGTCAGCAGTCAATCCACTCTTTGCACTCTCGACTCTCACAAAAATAAGGACCAGGAGCATTGCAAAAGCAGACAGCCCAACCTGGAACCAGAACGCTGACTGATAGCTCTCCCTCAGACTCATGTGTTTCTGGGCATGAACCTGAATGATATCCGCAAACGCTAACATGATGGCAATCCCAAAATGCAGGGTCGAATTAATCAGGGCACCAGCCAGACCCTGTCTTTCCTTCGACAGGGAGGTGGTGATAAAGATATTCGTGACGTTGAAGCTGATGTCGATGCCAATTGTGCAGCCGATCATGGCAGGAAATACAAAGGCCCAGTAGTTGCCTCCAAATGGGAGAAGCGCAAATAGAAAACCAGATGCAAGATACCCGAGACAGGACAGTATCATGAGTATTGTCCCGTTGAGCATGTGGAGGATGAGGCCTCCAGCAGCACTAAGAATGAGTCCACCAACTGCCATGGGTACCGCCCATGCAACCACCTGCAGCGGGCTGGCTCCCATTATCTCCTGCATGCTGTGTTGGATATCAGCAACTGGTCTTCAAAATATGGGACAAAGAAAGCTTACTATAGGCAGGCATAGAGAAGAAAGACCCCTAAGCATCCATACAGGAGGAGGAGAGAAATGACCAAAGGCGTCATATACTTGACTGCAAACAGATCCGCAGGAAGTAAGGGATTTGTGACAACCCAGCCCTGGGTGTACGTGAAAGCGATGAGAAACACCACCCCAAGGATGAAGGTGACAATGATATACGGTGTCCTCCACCCACTTTGAGCATGGGCACTGTCTGCAATGGAAAAAACCAGCAGCACCAGTCCTGGCACAAGCAGGGCACTTCCAATCCAATCCATCTGGACTTTCATTTTTTGCTTCTCAGCCAAATCCGAGGGAATTGAGAACCAACCCGAAACAAGCGTCACTGCTGAAAAGATGGCCCCAAAGAAAAAGTACCATGACCATGCAAGGAATTCACCGCAAATACCAGAAAGGAAGATCCCAAAGAAGAAGCCCATCACAGCACAGGCACCGTAAATACTGAAGACGAGGTTTTTGCGAGGCCCTGGGCGGTATGCTCTACCAAGAATCATGATGCTCGCGGGCAAGGATGAGGCCAGTCCCAGGCCTTGTAGTGCGCGAAAGATGAACAGCATCATCCAATTCTGGGAGAATCCAGCAATAAGTGAGATAATTGTAAGCCAGGCCATTCCTCCAATGTAGAGTACAAATCCGCCATACATGTCGGCCAGACGCCCGAAAATTAACAGGGTGGATGTGATAGCGAGCGACAAGGCCGTGGAGGGCCAGATGGACTGGGCGGGAGGAATCTCCAGCTCCTTCATTAGAGTTGGTATGAGGACATTAGAGCCGGATATGTAGTATTCCTGTTGTATATCATGGTTAGTGATATTTATTAATTAAGGGGATTGGGTGGACTACTGCAAGTATCTGACACATGAATATAGAGAAGCAGAATGCCAGTTCAGACCATATGCTCGAAAACTGAGAAGGGCGCTGTCGTCCCAGCTGCTCGATTGTCTCTTGATCTAGGGCTGACCGAGGTGAAGAACCATGGCCTGCATTGGTGGCCTTCTCTGGGGTAGAGAGACTCGCATTTTGTGCCACCTCAGTAGCCTGCCCGCCATTGGATTCTGGGGGGTAAATGCTCATAATCGTTCAAGTCGAGGGGTTGTAAACTGAAGACAGATTTTGCTACCATTATGATGGCTTCCTACTAGTTTATATCGCATAATGAAGAGGCAAACAGGCTTCAAGCAGCTCTCCGGTCTCTCGCGAGCAACCAGATTAGGAAGGTCATTGGTATGAATGCTTGACAGGCTGAGGCTTAACCGGATTAGGCATTTGACAGGAGCAAGTTACATAGAACTAGGCGACTTACGGCCTAGCGGATTGGGCATTTCCCATTCAGGAAGTTGGCTTGAGTGGGTCTGATGCTCAAATTGTGAATAATTCAGGCAGTTTAGCAAAGAAATGCCCTTATTTTGGAAAGAGAGACAGGCAGAAAATTGGACAGTCAACTTCACGGATGTCCGGATGCATCTTCGACCCAAGGTCTGAAATATGAGATGTTGTTTACGTTGCGCCACTTTGATATCACCGACTCCACAGGCCTATATGTATTGCATATCATATATAATTGATTATGAAAAGTATTTGGCCATATATTGAGATATAGAAAATGGACAACCTTCAGCTAGTATAAATACACTCATTGAATATCTTGGTCTATAATCCGCGCCGCGTAGAGACACTTTTCATCCTGGAAGCGTGGCGTTATTACCTGGATGGCGCAGGGAGCTCCATCAACAGCATCAGGGTCGTCTGTCGGAATAAGCAAGTGATTTTCAAACAACAAAGGAATCTCCGTATAACTTACAGCTAGGCTGCACGACGTCGTCAATAACCATGGGAACCGAATCAAGTTCCTTAGACGCTTTGCCATAAGGGATAATGCACGCAGGGTACTATATTACTAGGAGTCAGCACACTATATTGTTCTTAGACCGGTAAAGTATGCAAGTCTCACATCAAGTAAATTCCACACTACCGTATAAGGAGGCCATCCAAATGTATCATGCGGAACAGCCGTATTCTGCGCCCCAGGGCCAAGAATAACATCCAGTCCGTTCTCAACCCAGACCTTGCGCCATGCATCAGCATATTCGTGTCTGAGTCTATGCAGGGCTTCGATCTTTTCAAACGGCGGTAGATCCATATCAACCGGAAACGGGCCGGTGAACATCGGCGAGGACATTTTAGCGACGGATGGCACGAGCGGCTCGCCGCTGGCCGCGATGTGGTCGATATGTGGCCCGTACGTGAAGTATTGAAATGCTAAACGGCTTACGCAGGCGAGATCTCGCGAGGGTTCGTCTGGGAGGTGAATTATACGGTGGCCGCGCTGGGAGAGAGAAGTTATCGCGGACTGCAGGGACCTCCGTACAGGAGGATGCAGTGGGAAGTCTTTGCTTTCGGGCACAATGCCTATTGTTAACCTTCCCTGCGAGATATCGTGGTGTGGGAGATTTTGCCACGGTGCTGCACTGGCAGTGACATCGTATTTCCAGGGCTGGGCCTTGAGAACAGTGGCCATGAAAAGCTCGATATCTTCTAGACTATGGGCCAGTGGACCTGCCGATGGCTTTATGCCTGGAATGCCCTGTATAGCTAGACCTGGCACTTGGCCGCCCCATGGGATACGGTCTGAGGTAGGCTTGAAGCCGTATACGCCGCAGCAGAGAGATGGAATGCGGATTGACCCTGCGATGTCTGTTCCCACCCCCAGGATCGAGCCTCGGAAGGCTACAAGCGCGCCCTCTCCACCGCTTGATCCTCCGGCTGTTAGATTCGTATTGTGTGGATTAAGAGTCCGGCCGAAGATGTTATTGTCGGAATCCCCTGCCTGTATTCATTAAGCATTGATTCTAATCGTGTGTGTATGTATGAATACTAACCATCATCGTCTGCGGGATATTCGTCTTGACGTACAGCACTGCGCCTAGGTCGAGGAGCATCTCAACTAGGGCTGAATCATGCGACGCCGGCTCCTCCCGAAGAAGCGAGACATATCCAACTGTGCTCTGGATACCTTCCACGCAGAAACTGTCTTTGATGCTGATAGGAAGGCCATGCAATGGACCGACTACCTTGTTTTCTCGTGCTAAGTATTCATCCAAGAACTGCGCGCGCTTAATGGCTTTCTTAAACCAATGCTCTGTTAAACATGAGGTCTATTGGTATCAGAATCTGGTGTCTCATTGTATGGAAGCACGGTATGCAAATATTACTTACCAGCTGCTGCGCGATCGCGGCCCGTTTGCAAAATGCAGTTGTGACATCTACAGAACTAAAGCCTCCACCGGAAAGTCTCTGTAGTAGATCCACCGCAGAGTAGTTCTCTGTGATGTCGAGCTCTTTATCAGCGAGAATCCCACTTTGGCGAACAAGGTCGGCCTCGATCAGATGGCCGTCTGCGGGCACCGAGGCTAGGAAGTCGTCGCTGAGACGCCACTCTAATGGGATTTGAGCGTCCAGTTGCTTGCGTTTTGCTGCGACGAGAGCTCGCCAGTCAGCCTGGGGGACTGGAGATCTGGTCATTTTCACTCCTGATAACTCGACAAGGTACTATCACGACGTTCTTACATGGTCTCCTAAATATAAATACGAGGATTTGAATATGCGAGTCTATGCGGGGTAGAGACACGAAACTAAGAACCGACAACGCAGCCTGCTGTCTTGCCAGTTTCAGGGTTGGAGACTGCGTCGACCTTCCTAAACGGGATAAATGATCAAGCCGCCGGCTGATATCACGGTAGATACACCAGAAGCAATACTCTACCTCGGTATTTCTATTTCTGTCCGATTATAACATCTTCCATCCGGTTTGACCCCCGAAATTCGTCAAATAATACGCATCGACAATAATACGATCGTCCTGACAGGTCATAACCCGGACACAAACTAACCCATTTAACCAGGTATACTTCCCTGCAGCCTCAACCCGCAGGTGGAAGAAGAACTGTGTCTTCCAGCTCTGAACCCTTGAATGTGCCACCTGTTATGTTTCCGATGCTCAGTTCCGGATTATACCTGCCCTAAAAGGAAGCTCGGTGCCCTCGATGGTAGATTGATAGCCGGGGCCCGCGGGCTGCAACAAACACGAGCTTAGATCTCAGTAGCATCCTTTGACACTGTCCTTCGCATGGACCTTCTATATCAGATCATATTCCTTGCTGTCCAAGATATCTCGAGCCGTCGTGCCATGCCATAGTATTAGATATCAGACCGACGAACGTTTATAACATGCCACCTTTTTCACCTAATGGTCACAATCTTAAAACGATACTTCAAATTTCAAACCGTAACTGTGAATATACAATACAATGGCATCCCTCGTCCACTCCCTCCTCACCAACCCCGGAATCCCACTGCAAGACAGACAAGACGCCCTAGACAGAGCGCTCTCCGACCCCGGCCTGCCATCACAAAACCCTACATCATCCTTCTGGCTACGCTCCCCCCACCCAGATCTAGCAGAGATACGGTCCGATAAACTCCCAGAAGAAATCGACGTCGTGATCATCGGCTCCGGCGTAACAGGCACATCCATCGCGAAAACACTACTGGAGTTGGGATCCAGCAGCAATGGCCTGAGACAAGAACACAGAAGCCGTCCCACAATCGCCATGCTGGAAGCTCGCGATATATGCAGCGGCGCAACAGGTCGCAATGGGGGCCATATCCTGGAAACAGCGGAGGAGTTTGCAGAACTCGAACAGGAGCATGGGACTGACGCTGCGAGGAAAATATTGAGGTTTCGGCTGGCACATTTGCGGGAATTGCTGGCTGTAGCTAATGAATATGGATTAACTGAAACGGCGCAGGCGCGCAGGGTGCAGTTTCTGAGTGTTTATTTTGAGAAGAAGGGCTGGGGGGAAGCTAGGGCTCGGTTTCGGCGGTTGAGGGAGGGTTTACCGGAGGAGACACAGGAGTGGAGGGTGTATGAGAGGGGTGAGATTCCGAAGGTGAGAAGTCATTCCATTATTTGTGTATATTTTGCTAATACAGGCTAGGACTTTTGCCTTCCTCATGCTCAAGGAATCGTAGCTGGACCGGCGGGTGCAATCTGGCCATATAAATTCATAACAGGGGTGTTGGATCAGTTGAAGACGAAATACCCCGATGACCTGCGAATAGAAGCGAACACGCCCGTCACCAGCATCGAGGACCACGGCAGCGGGGCACCGAATGGGCTTCGATACACCGTAACAACCCCTCGGGGTTCAATCCACGCCCGGCACATCGTGCACTGCACAAACGCCCATGTTGCCCATCTCGTCCCCGGACTAAAAGGCCGCGTCTGCCCCGTTCGCGGCCAGATGTCAGCGCAACACCCTGGGACAAATTTCCGCAGCCAAGGCGGAGAGCATTCATGGCTCTTCAACTACGACCGCGGCTTTGACTATCTCACGCAACTGCCGGCGTCGGATGTAGGCGAGATGATGATGTTCGGGGGCGGATTCGCTCAGGGCGAGGGCGGTGGAATTTCGGATCTGGGTGTGTCTACAGACTCCGACTTGAGTTTATATGCCGATATCCATCTTTCGGGGGCGTTGAGTGCGGTGTTTGGACGTGAGGATTGGGGAGCTGCCCCTGGTCCTGCTGTTGAGCAGATGTGGACCGGCAATATGGGATTCAGTGCAGATGGCTTTCCTTGGGTAGGACGGCTTCCGGGATCACTTACGGGAAGGGGGGAGGATACTGACAGGGAAGGTGCTGAATGGGTCTCTACGGCGTTTTCAGGAGAGGGAATGGTGCTGGCGTGGATGTGTGGGAAGGCGTTAGGGAAGATGCTGCTGCTTCATGATGAGCTGCTGGATCGGGAGTTTGCAGACCTATCTTGGTTCCCTGAGCAGATGCTGGTTACGGAGGAGAGGGCCAAGAAGGCGTTGTACACGGTCTCTCCTTGAAATATCTCTCATTTGTAATATATGCAGTGCGACAACATACAACCTAGGCAGCCTTTCCCATATTCATTCTCTTATTCACCAGCGCATCAATACCAGAGAGCCACCTTTTCCACGTATCTCCATGCCCCATAGATAACATTCGCTGCATCCGTGTATACGACCGAATGGATTCATCCTGCTCCTCTGTCCGCATAGCCTGGACACTCTCCGGGCCCCAGACCTTCCATTCTCGTTTAGGACCACTCCATGGCGCATGCCCATTACAGAACATAATCCAGGCGGCAGCAAAATCATACGCCATAGCTTTCTCACCCTCATTCATCTCATTGGTACGGTTCTGAAACAGGTAGAGCAGTTCATGCGCATGGTACGCTGTCCCCTCCAGGGCGTTCTTGAGTCGCGAGCGCTGGTCAAAGTGGTACACGAATAGTGCACTCCTGTCTGCCAGATGCGAATTGGCGAGGGCAGTGGCGTAATTGGGGATTTTGAATATTGCATCCCCAGACATATGTTCGACTCGTTCGATGAAGAGGCTGCGAGTGAGGTCTGGGGTAATGTTGTACTCTGCAAAGATTTGGTCCGTTTGGTCTTCCGACCTAATGTGGTCTACCAGAATATCACGGATGGTGTCGAAATTGTCGTCCAAGATATTCAAATGGAAGATGATTCCTTCGTGATACGTATCTCCCAGCATCAAGGCTTCAAGCCAAGATGGCGCTGCCTGGATCTCACACGGATTTCTGTCCTTATTATAAAACCAGCCGTCTAGACATGGATTCCCCGTCCCAGATAACACACCCTGAATCATAGGCGTTGCATTTGCAAGTTCCTGCTGCGGTATCTCTCGAAGACAGTCAAGCACGTCAGACCGAGACTCATTAATTCGGAAGTACCGACAAACAGCCCGAAACAACGCCTCGTGCTGCTCCATAGACCACGGCGGAATCGACACTGACAGGCCAGACATGCATACCGCACGTCGGAAACAGGGCGGACTCGCAGCAGCAAGCTGGTTGCTTATTGAAATCCCACCAGCAGATTCTCCGACGGCTGTGACGTTCTCTGGATCGCCACCTAGGGCATCGATATACTTCTGCACCCACTCGAAAGCAACCTGTTGGTCTGTGAAGCCGAAGTTGCCGCAGCCTTGGAATCCATCTGTTGCTAGCTCGCGCCGTATTGCGTCGCTCGCTAGGAATCCGCCTAGGCCGACCCGGTAGTTGAAGTTTACGCATACAATTGGCGTGTCCATTTCGATGCTCTGGGAGACGAGGTTGACAGCGTCGAAGATGGGTAGGTTGGCTCCTCCGTAGAGCAGGGAGCCCCCGTGGACGTAGACCATTACTGGATATCTCTTGTCGGGAGTGATTGGCTTTGGTGGGACGACGATGTTCATCACAAGGCCGGTCAATTCGTCTACTTTTGGAGGGTATGCGAAGTGAGCAGCTGGCGGGACTGGGACGAGGTCGTCGGTCCCTTCTTCAGATTCCGGGTGAGGGCAGTTGTTTCTGAGACAGTCAGTTCCGTAAACATGGCCAGGGACGCAGTATACCCTAATCTGGTCCCATCGTGCTTCGAGTCCTTCCAAGCAGTCTTCAGCGTTGACCTTGTCCATCGCCTTGGCAACTCAGCGTAGGGGATTCCACAGAACTGCTGCACTCCATTTGCGTATTGCAGCCCTTGGAGTTCACCAAGCGATGGGATCGGGGTCGTACATTTCGAGATGGGCGTTTGGAAGGACATTTGACGTTTGGTTTTATTTTGAACCAGCTATAATGTGCTGTCTCATTCCTGTCATATACTTAACCCTAATTTGCCAAGGAATAATCTGCAGCATCATCTCTGGCGCTACATCCAATATGGCAGGTCGACCCAGAGATCCACCGTCCTTCTTCCCCCGCATTATCATCCCGGCTTTTAAACGAGCATTTCGCCTCCAGACCTTCTTTTCTTTTGCATTCAACCCAAATAGGAATGTCGACCCCCCGTGCCCGTCGCTCTCACGCCGGATGGTAACACCCCTCTGTTGTATTTCCAAGCTACAGCTGATAGATTCCGCCATAGCTGGACATGCAAGGCGAAACGTCGCAAGTGTGACCGTGCCCGTCCGACTTGCCGAGTCTGCACCGACCATGGAATAGCGTGCGAAGGCTATGAACTGCGTTTGCGTTGGGGGTCCGGCATTGCCTCGCGAGGTCACTTTACCGGGGCCGAGGCTCCAGTAGATGCGTCTATTCCGCTGAGGGTTCCTGGTCGTAGGAGAGATCGGAATCGAACGAGGCAGAGGGAACAGGAAGGGGAGATACAGGCTGAGGTGGCTGAGAGGCCTTCTCAGAACTGTTCTCGTCATGGTGTAGGTTTGTATATTCAAGCACCATTCAGCATCAGCGTTCAATTTGTTGACACTTCGTGGTAGAGATTAGATATAGCCCAGAGGCATTTGAGGTATCAACCCCTAGTCAAGGCACCGAGAAAGCACGGCTCTTTCAAGAGTGTAAGTATTAATATACAGGTCGCAGGAAATCTAGGTTAATGCGTATTCTAGTTCAATCATCTGGAATAAATATCCTGCACTCAACGACAGTCCACGACGAACAAACCCTGCTGAAACCACGGCTTCCCGTATTATGCCAACAATCCAAAGCACTGTATCAGATATGCATAGCCCTACAAGCATCAATAAACCAAGAACCAACGGCACGATTCCTCGAGTATCTCGACATCGGCCTGAATAGATTCCGCGCGGAGCTTTCCAAGAGCGAGCTCTATCTAGAAGATGGAACATTAACGGCTGGATTACTCTTGTGTACGATTGGAGTATGGCGCCTACCCTATTTCCCTGTTACTAGTCCATTGATTAGATATTCCCAGGTTATGCACGGCATTCCATGGACAATGCACCTCCGAGGGATGTACAGCATTCTTCGCATGCATGACGTCGAAGGCGCACAGCAAGAACGAAGTGCATTCCGCGCGCATCTCTTCGAGGTAATGGGCGTCATGGACCTGCCCACATTTTCCATTGGTCGCCAACACTCCCATCTTGGCTTTTGGAGACAGTACTACTGCAAGGGTGGCTCCCCCGGAGAAGTCGAGACTGGGGTTGAGGTTGTAACTGGCCTGCCGAGGTCGCTGGTGACGATCTTCGCCTTTATTGGGGAGGGAACTGCAGAAGCGAGTTTTTGGGATTGGCCTGGCGCAGAGGGGAGCTTTATCCAGTGCCAGCTGTGGGAGGCATATCGACTTGCTGGGGTGTTGGTGGTTCGACATGGGGGACCTGGCTTTCCACGCTGTTCAGATACAGGAGCAGTCCCGAATCCTGGCATCCAGAGGGGCGCCAGCTTGACCTCTAGTACAATCATAGTTTCCCGGCTTTTGAGCTCTGTGGATGCTGTATGTCGCGCTTCCCTGGACCCAGAGCGCTGGGACACTCTCATCATCAATGCTATTTCGTACCCAGTCACCATCGCGGGACTACAGAGTGACGTTGTGCAAAAGGATCCGTCATTGAAGGAATTTATACGGAAGGCCCTCCTTTTCACCACCGACGGACCGTTTTGCAACAGGCAGTATGGCCTTCTCCTGGATTTGCTGGAGGAATACTGGACACACCGTGCTAGAGAGGTTGATATTGACCAGCTCGCGCGGGCGAGGGGCGTAGAGTTGGGGTTATTCTAGATACACTCTTAGTATCTGTACATATCTTCTAGATGGCATAATGAAGCGAGTTCAATTGGCTTTGGCTGTCGATCCTTGACGCAGCATGAACCAGAGTTTAACTGCTGCGCCGCTCTCTTCCAGCTCAACTTCTTCGACGACTTTGAACTCCATTCGTTCGTAAAAGGCGACATTATCCTGTCTTGTACATTCCAGAATAACGGGCCCATTGCTGGTATGGTCCAAGACAGAACACAAGGCCTTTCTCCCCAGCCCACGACCTTGGAGATGGGGGTGTACAGCGATGACCTCTAGATACCACAGGTCGGGGACGTAATACTTCTGCTGGACGTTTGCAATAACGCGGTTATGAGCATCCATTAATATCTGCAGTCTCTGTATGCGCATGTTACTCGTGCCCTCAATAGCCCAGTAGCTAGACTGTCGCACGTACCTTTTCATTCGCACCCCTCTCGTACACCGGACGGAGGATATCAAGGAACCACAACTTCCACAAAAGCAGCATCCTGCCCAGAGACCATCGGCACCGTCCACGAGGAGGGAATAACAAGGCTACTGCACCTGCATCCTGTTCAACGTTTAAACCTTCATAGGCCTCGCCATCTTTCTCGAACCCCTGTCCTATCTCACGGACGGTAGCAGCCCTCAGCACAATACCCTCGGCAACAGCCCTCTGAACCCGGCGATATTGCCATTTGGATGTATTGGGATCAATTACAGACCACGGGTCTGCGAGAGGGCGCAGCCAGCAGATCAAGGGGTCCTCTGTGAAAGAGGAGGTTATTGTATTTGCAACCGCATGGATTGGTTCGTGGTCTGTAATTTAGGTTAGCAGAGGTGATATATATACTGGGATGGACTGGTGAACACACCGTCATAGACTCTAGAAAGGGGCAATTTATAGACCGTTGCCATGATTCACACACTCTGTAATCGATACCTTGCAATGTATTGGCAGCAAAGCTGATCGGATATATTATGCTCTGCGTAGCTTGACATGTGCCATGCCACGGATCTGTATATGGACTACCTAGATGGTATTAGGCTTGCACGCAGCTATACTGTATGTCGGCATTAAATAGCGGTAGTTGCAACATTTGATATCCATGGCTCTCGATCATATTGATGTATATCCCTCGGCCGTCCCGATTAGGCAGGTCGACCCTGCACCAGCTGGACTGGAAATGTCCCCACAATGCAAGTTTTGACAGGGACTTTAAGCTTCAGGTGCTTGTCTCGTGCTGCTGTGGCGTTTCCCCGCATTTAGAAACCGCGTAGACTTAATGACATTCTGGAGGTGTTGTCGTGCGTACTGGTATACTATCATCTCGGTAGTTTGCAGGCTGTCAAGTGCCACCAGGAATGAGGCGGTAGTAATGATATATATTGATCATCACTCTCATCCTGGCCAGGGTGTAGCATATCCCATCACACTGTCAAAGACATTCCACTTTTGTATTCACGAAAGAAGCCAATATTGATGGCACAAAATCAGCACGAGACACAGTCCCTTGAAGAGAATCAGCCACCAGGCACTTTTCTCCTTATCCAAAGTATACCCAAGCTCTAGCTCCTCCTTTACTAGGACAGCTCACTGTTAACATTATCACCAGATGAGACTGAAGGACGCGGGAATAATGACCCCCAGATTATCCTGCAGCCCGTGCCATCGAGGGACCCCAATGAGCCACTGGTCAGTCTTTCACTTAGCCGGTAAACAGATACTAATAACAAAACAGAACTGGAGCACAGCGCGAAAAACAATGAACTTTACCCTCGTCCTCGCAATCACGGTGGTGGTGTTCACAACGTAGGCCTAACCCTGTTTAAGGACTCGAAACAGATATTGACAACACCAGTCTCTCAATCCAGGTAATATTCTGGCAATTGATGGTGAAAGACATGAACGTCACCTACCCGCAGCTCAACAAGGCCATGTCCGTCAACTTCGTCGGTCTCTCGGTTGGCTGCATCCTCTTTATCCCGTTGGCGAAGAAGCTTGGCCGCAGACCGGTGTACCTGGCTTCGACGGCGATCATGATGGCTGCCTCGTTTTGGTGTGCGTCGATGAAGTCCTTGCCGGAGATGTATATTGTCAATCTGCTACACGGGCTGGCGGGGGCGACGAATGAGTCTATTGTTCAGATTACGGTATGTACTCTTGCTTCTCTTAATACGGGTGTAAGATATATATATTGATTCTAGGTTGCCGATCTTTTCTTTGTGTATCACCGCGGGGGAATGAATGCATTATATATGACCATGGTTATGATTGGGGTGAGTTGAATCATTGGACTGATATGCATGGGCTAATTGATACAGAGCTTCCTAACTCCCATGGGTGCTGGGACACAAGCCACCCGTGAAGGATGGCGGGCTTCCTATCGCGCACTGGGTATTGTGGACGCTGTTCTATTCGGCCTTTTTATACTTTTCTACGAGGAGACCAAGTATACCCCAGTAGTCATGGGCGTGAGCAGCGATTCACAGCCTTCAACCAGCCAAAGCATATCAACCAAGGACATCAAATCCGACCAGCAGCCGGATATCGAGTGTACCAGGAGACAGGAATCAAACCACGAGCTAGACACCACCATTCCACTCAAGACATGGAGACAGAGACTGGCACTGGTGACATACACCGCAGAGCCAATCTGGCCATACATCTACCGGCCCTTCGTGGTCTTAACCACCTTCCCCGCTGTTCTATTCTGTGCCCTGCAATATGCCCTCGGTATTGTGTGGCTGACTATCCTATCCAGCGTCCTGGGCCTGGTGTTTCCCCTGCCCCCGTACAACTTTACGCCACAGCAAGTCGGGTTTATGAGCATTGGTCCGTTCGTCGGAAACCTGCTGGGGTCAATCTATGGGGGATTTCTCGGCGATAGATCTATCTTGTTCTTTGCGAGACGGAACAGCGGGTACTATGAGCCGGAGATGAGGTTGTATATCCTGCATCTCCCGGCATTGACGCTGGCCGGGGGGTTGATTATGTTTGGAGTCACGATTGACCGGGTAAGCTATATCCTTTCTATAGTATCCCCTGCAGAGAAGCAGCCCAGATATTGAAGTTGATGTTGAAGTTGATGTTGAAGTTGAACGTGCTAATATGGCACGACAGGGCCTCCACTGGATCTGGCCCAGTATAGCAGGCGCCCTATTCGGCTTCGGACTAGGCAGTATAGGCGATGCGGCACTGACACTGGTTATCGACAGCTACCGCGACGTAAGACCCCTTCCTTCCTTCACATGCTTAAACTGTCAAAGCCCGCTAACAAACATGGCCTAGATAACCGGTGACGCATTCACAGGCGTCGCCTTCCTGCGCAACGCAATCAGCATCGGGATCCCGTTTGCGATTAGTCCGTGGTTAGCGCGCTCCGGGGCGCAGGATATGTTTATTGCATGTGGGTTTATCAGCCTGGCTGTTACGTTGACTGTTATCCCGATGGTTCTGTATGGCAAGAAGATGCGCGTGGTGACGGCGAGACGGTATCAGGTTATGGCGTTGGAGTAGATATGAGAAAGGTTAATGTTATTGTGGAGACGGATGAGGTGATCTGCATACAGTCCTGTTTCCAGTAATTCTGGCCTTGCTTTGCCCAGACCCGTGTTCGGGGTTGTTCGGCGACGGGTGGGATGGCGATATCATATGAAAATGACACGCCAGAGGGTCCCGAACAAGCGGAGTCCGGACTTTTCCCGTCGGTATTCGTTAGGGCCACGACGGCACGGCAGAGCCAGGCTGAATGGGTAATAGATTGCGGTTCTGCTTATCAGGATCTTCAGAGTTCGGCCTATTATGGACTACGCGTAGTTCGCCGAGCTAGCTTGAGATAGACAGGGGAGCTGATAGAAGAGCACGCTAGTAGGGCTGAGCGGCGATCTACTGCTAATTACGAGTCAACACGGGTGATACCTCGTGTATTTGATAGTGTTAACATCGGCAATTTTGTGATTGGTCTATATAACACCCGAAAAGCTGTACATGAAAGGAAATATGATACAATGATGGTAGACGGCGCCAACTCGAGCCTGCTGAGTTGGAAACAGTGAATAGCTGTAGGTTGAGTAGACAAGACAGAACGAAAAAATAAAGAAAGAAGGAATGAAGAGATGAAGTAAAGAAAAAGGCTGCTAGCCAATGTGGGTATAGAATCAGTCAACAAGTCAGGCTTATAGGCGTGACGAAACACCCCCGACAAACCGTCCAGGAATGACACTCCCCAAGTTGCTCTTTACGAGCGCCATAAATTCCTCCATCGAGCGAGGATCGTAGTACTTCATATCAAAGCCCATAGACAGCGAAATCCTCTCCCAAAGAGAGAACATGCCAACCCAGGCGGACGGGTTAATCTGGCGTCCCGAATGCAGCATATCATGGACCTGGACCGTGGCCGTCTGAGACGAGAACTCCCTGCTCAACGGCACAGCACCCTGCGGCGAGAATCCAGGGGCCTGGGGCGCAGGCACAGGCTCTCCCTCTGCCGCGAGACCAGAGATGAACCGGTCCGCGGTGAAGGAGAGACTGGCCATGTAATGCGGCGACGTCAAGTGCGGACCCAACTCGCTGCGGATCGCACGGCCCAAGTGCAAGATAGTATCTCTGATAGAACCGGTAAAGTACTCCTTTTTAAAGGGGATCCAGAGGAAGACGACGTCCGAGGCGCAGGGAACGCGATGTCCGCCCCCTTCGCGGAGCTCAGTCTTCACCCAGCGGCGCGCGTTGCGCGTCATTCCGAGCAAGGCCCCTGTTTCATGGCCCTTACCGTACGTCTGCTTTATGGCGAGCACTGTGGCCGCTGCGGCGGCGAATGTGATGCTGAGTTTTTGTTCTTGAAGGGCTGCGAGGAGGGCTTTGGATTCGGCGACCTCGTATTGAAGTCTGATGCAGTAGGTGCCGTGGGCACGCGAGGCAGCGTCCGGTTCGGGGTACATTGCTATCGACTTGTCCATCTACATAAGAGATTTTCATTAGCTTTAGTTGCTGGTTGAAATGATCTGGGTTGAGTACCTTTGAAGAGTAGAGCTCGGCTTGGGCAATTGCGCCTGCAATAGCCTCCTCCCTCTGCTCTCTGGTGGGCTGGTGCTCCTGCTCGTATGGCGTAATTGGGGTGACAGGCAAGCGTGAAGCCAGACCCGAGTAGTCTAGCTCGCTGACAGCCAGATTTCGGTCGCCAGGGACCTGGGTGAGGGTCCGCAGGAGGTAGTTGTTGAAGAGGACCACGCTGTAGGCGTCCGCCATGGTATGCCCAAAGTTCCACACGAAGCAATGTCTGTTAGGGTACTCTGGGTAGGCAGCGCCAGCAGTAACGAGATACAGCATGCTGCGCTTGCCCTTGGTCGGTAGACGGCGGCTGTATGTCATGCGAGCAACGTCGGGAGCCTGCTGGTCGGCGACGACGTGGAGAGTCTCCTGCAGCCAGGCTTCGGCGTCCGCTTCAGACTGCAAAGTATCGAAGGTCATGATCTGGGGGATCTCTGTCCCCGTGGACAGTTGGATGGCAACCTCGGGGTGGGATGCATGGCAGACAAGCCAGGCATTGCGGACGCGCTGGATGAGCTCCGTGGTGGACAAACTGGTGCTGAATGTGAGGCTTGTGGTCAGTTCGGTATGCCCATCGCGTACGTTCTGGTTGTAGGAGATGCCAGTTTCGCCGCCAGTGGTTTCTCTAGTCCACTGGCCGTGGACGACCTGGCGCCAACCGTTGTGGACATAGGGCTGGGGCTCGTTGGGGGAGGATACAGGCTGCTGAGCTGGGGGGGCCATGATGGACAACAAAGTCGACACTGTCTTCACAAGTTGAACTGGCTCAACGAGAAGACAAGACGGAAGATAGGAGAATGGACTTCGAGTAAAACAAACCCCTTGCGGCGTGCAGTGGTGAGCCCTTGCAGCGATCATCACGATCTGCACGGGGAGAACATGGAAGCCGTGGGTCGAATGGCGATATGCGCCTAAGGAATTCGACGGTCGAACCCTCCGATAGCCCGCCCACTATTGACCTTCTTGACAGTTAGACTGTGGCGAATTCGGAGCTGCTCCTTGCTGTGCCGATCTGTTTCATCCCGTCACAACAGTGAGCGTGGCGACGGGCCAGGAGTGATTCTGTCAACCACCACCATACCATGGCTTCTACGCAACAGCAAACTGCACAGCCTGCGCCAGCGTCCGAATGGAGGCTGGATGGGACTCGCCTAGTGCGGCGTCTTCGTGGTGTTGAGCTCGTCGTCAAGGCGTCAGAGAAGTTCAACGACGGGAATGTGAGTATTCAGCTCTCCTGTAATGTAGATTCAGTTCTGTGATGTATGATTCTAACTGTGCAGTTCCGATTGACCACCAAGGCAGCGCTGGAAACCCCTCTGTCCTGCGAGCAGCTGAAACGCCGTCATCAAGCGGCCTGGTGGCGCACTCGACGCGCTCTGCCCGTCGTGGGCGTTGTGTATCCAACACTTGACCAGGCTGCCTTCGAGCTGCATCAGACCGCAGAGGATGCCAAACGATGGGCTGCTCAGACGTGCCCGGTAGCTGAGAACACGACTATCACGGACGTCTATCTCGCCCTTGCCCGCCACGCAACCGATGCCCTAACCAGCATGACGCTGGTTGTCGACCCCGTCCGGGGCCCACGGGGATGCGTGTCGAATATTTCGCATACTCTCATGAGCCTGGATGTATTCACAATAATGCAGGAGTTCATGCACCAGCTCGCTCACCCAGATACTGAGCTGGGTATCGATGGCATCTTCTCCCCAGAGACCGCGTCCAACACCATCTCTCGCCTCCCTCAATCGCTTAGCCATGCGTACTCTCTCCGCCACCAGCCTACACCACAGGAGCTACAGGAAGCTCTCGCCATGCAGGAGCGCTCGCAAGAACGCTGGGCCCGGTCGTCAATCGGCATTCCTCTACAGAAAGACTGCCAGCACCGGCCATCGCGCATCCACAACCAGTCCGTAACCTTCGAACCGTCCGAAGCAAAGGCGGCCTTTGCATTCCTCAAGCAGTCCGGCGTATCACTCACAGCCGCCTTCTTTGCCTGCATGACATCCGGAATTGCACACGCCTTCCCTGAGACAAACTCCTCCGCTGAGCTGGACGGCGCACACCTCGTCTTCTCTGCCAACGGCCGCCGATTCCTCCCTCTAGCTGCATCCAACGGACAGGGCCCGGTAACCATGCCCATCATCCCAGGGAGCATGTGGATCGACGCAAAGGACGTCAACCTCCGCCCGGCCTCGCCACAGGGTCTACTCCGCCTAGCACGCGTCGTTGAACAAGCACAGAACCAAGACCTCACCTCGCCACATCTCATCGGCGTCCTGGACCAGGCGGCCCCTGTGCTGGCCAAGGCACTGGAGGACGTACATAACCTGCCTGATGGTCCCCCGCTACCGGCAGTCGGACGGCCAACACTTACATCCCAAGGCCTGTTCGCCGACCTGCAGAAACGAGTTCCAGGTGCAGGAGCTAGAGACGCTACAGAGATGGATGGGCCGGATCCCATCCGCATGGTGGACTTCAATACTGGAGGCCGCAATACGGATCCCAATGTGTGCTTTGCGCTGAATAGCTTCCGCGACGAGCTACGGTTTAATCTCCTGTTTGATGAGAAGTTCTTTGACCTGCACGATGTTCTGCATATGGGGTGTACGGTTTCTAGGCTGTTTCGACGATTGGTTGGACTGGAGGTGGTTGCTGCACGTCTTTAACCACCTTTAGCCAACCCTACATTCTTTTGTTCTTTTTTTTGTTTCTTTGTTGATAGTCATATCTGTACTTTTTTACGCTTCCCCTGTATCTTATCTGTTTCCTGTCCACTCTCTCATTCTATTACCAATTACCTTTCTTTCTCTGTCGATCTGGTGGATTCAGGGTTCGTTGTGGGCCTCTGGTGGACCTGCAGTTCCCTAGTTTTGTTTTTTTCCACCCGTTCCCTCATCGGTTCCGAATGTTTTCCGATCAAATTGCATTTCGGACGAAAAATTAGAGTTCAGTGAATTGTTTGGGGCGGCATGACTGAGTTGCGAGATCTGATCATATTCGTCATGCTCAGGGGTGATCGCGCAGTCCAGCATACCTGTCACCGCAAATTACAAATTGACCAGTAAGCTGTGCCGATAAACGAAGCTGAGATGAGGACCAAAGTGAAAGTGAATGGAACCAAAGCATAGCCAGTCGTTAAATGTCAATCACGCCATCCCGTTTTATATGTACAGCCAGTCCTAGTCCTCTATGTGCAGATATAATGAATACAACCCAAACAAACAAATAATAACCAATATGGTATCATGGATTACGAAATAGCAATCTCCTTAACATCCTTCTCAAACCCAGAGACCTGCTCAGGGGACAGCGGGGGCGTCAACTCCGTCTCCGTAGAAGACTCAGACCCAGACCCAGACCCATCCCCGGACTCTTTCCGCCTCGCCCCAGCTTCAGCAGCGCAGAGCTGGGCATGAAATAGCACAATCCTGGCTGCCGCAGCTGGCCCACCACCTAGCTCGCTCCGCAGCGCCCACGATTGACAAGTCGCCTTGAACTCAGCCCACCGCGGGCCCAGCAGTTCCAGGATCTTGGCCTCGACATCACATGCCTGTATAGAGGGTGGATGCTCGCTGCGCAGGCCGAGCCCGAATCTGTGCGCGTAGCTCGCGTACTCGTGTGTGTCCAGCCACTGGCTGAGAACCAGCTGGGGCACGGCGAAATGCACGGCCTCGTTGAAGGAGTTGCCGCCGCCGTGGTGGATGAAGGCTTTGAGGGCGCGGTGGGTGTAGACGGCGGTTTGGTTTGAGATCCAGTGAGTGAGGCGGATGAAGGGGGGGAGGGTGAGGTCGAGGTCTTCAATTGACAGTTCTCTTTCTGCTATGTTCTCTTTCTCTTTTTCGGGGGTTGTGTTTGATGTGCTTGAGCGAGACTGCGGCGCCCGGTTGATTTTGAACAAGAACCGCACTCGCCCGTTTAGTCTTCTGTGCGCGGCCTTGAAGCCCTCGATGCATGCGTCGAACTCGTCTGGCCGCCACAGGAACATGGAGCCCATGTTCATATATACCACGTCCTCCCCCCGCGCTGCTGCCTCGTCCATCCAGGCCAGCTCAGGGAATGCCCCAATCGGATCCATAGACGGCGTAGGCGGCATTGTCGGCGGTGGTGTAAAGGGTGAGGGCGAGTGCTCGGCTGCGACGCCTGCGCCGACAAAGACCATCTTGGGCGACTGCTTGGGGCAATCGATGAGGCCCGGGGTGTTGAAGTGGATGCCGGCGACGCAGTTCTCGTCCTGCCAGTTGGGCCCCATGCAGGCCGAGTCGCGAGCGGTGCCATACGACTGTAGTCCCAGGCGTTTTATGACTTTGCGTTGTTCGCGGCGGTAGGGGTGGCGTCGGCTGTGAATGACTTCGTGGAGGTTGAGGTACATATCTATATATATGTCAGTATATACTCCGTAGACAAATGGTTACAGGACGGAACACACTCTCGAAGAAGGTCCCCCATGACCCCCGCCGGTTTGCTGCTACCATATGCGGCTGGAACGCACTACGCAGCGCAGTCATTCCAGGTGAGCAGGGCACCGTCAGTATAAACTCGCGCTTGGTGAGCCGCACACCGGTGATGACGGACGAGGTGAGCGCATCCACGCAGACTGGACCCGTTAGTATCTATTCTTCATATCGCAGGTTTGTAGCATACTCATATCCGGATCAAGCTCGTTAAGGTGATCGCGAACGCGCAACGCCATGGCAGCATGGTCCTCCGCTGGCCCAACAGAGGCATCAGTACAGGTCTGCAGACTGATAGGGTCGCCAGGGACCCTGCGCATCAGGTGCATGCGCGACTGGGCCGTCCGTGTGAAGTCGTTCAGGGCCTGGTTGGAGCCCAGGCTGATGAAGTGGATACGATGCTGGTTGCACGGCAGCTGGGCCACGCGGAAGCGAGAGACCTTGCTGCTGCATGCCGCCGTAGAGAGAAACGTCACGGAATGGCCCTGGTCCACGAGTTCCTGCGCCGTGGCAAGCTGGACGTTGACCTCGCCCGAGGCCGGGTTGGTCAGGAATGCGATATGCATCGCAAATCGGCAAGTAATGCGGCAGATACCCTGGCAGTCTGGCAGTAATCCGAGTAAGTAAGCCGATAGGGGCAGGAGGATTACGATTCAGGACCAACTATCCACGGTGATAAGGTCAAAATGTCCAGAGCAACAAACGGCGGTCTGTTGACAGCCTCGCTTCTGGCGGGGGCTGCTTTAAAGGACCCAGCCAGCTGAGGCCTTAAGTTCAAAACATTCTTTATCTCGCAGCAAGCCGCTCCAGCATGACGAATACGGCATCGACTGCGCAGGGGATCAGCGCAACGTGGCCCGGTTTTCGATCCACCAGATGAGCTGAGTGCTATGCTGGCTGCTGCCGAGCTACAGGATCGGCCATTTGACCGCATCAGGGATGCAGCTGAACTTCGGGATCATTCTCTGAGCTCGAATCGCGCGGAATCAACCCCGATTTGCGAGGCAGGATTGGCCAGTCGGCCCTACGGAGACTGGCTGCTTGATCTGCCTCACGCAGTCCCAATCGGGAAATTGGAATGGGATGCAGATCTGCAGATCAGCGATTGGTTGTTTCCTGGCCCATCGATATTCAGGAGTCTAGTGACCAGCAGACGAGCCACTGTCCCGCCCTTGCTCGGCGAGTCGCCAGGAGTCGGCAGTTATGTGGTTGGCAGGTGGCGTGGTGGCTGCCCGGCTGGGGGTCTGGGGCAAGACGTATCATAATGAGCCGGTCAAGACCTGTCATCCGCAGTGTGACCGCTGCTTTCTGCACAGCTGTAGCAACAAGCCGTTCTCTTTCCATTAGGAAAACGTCCCGCAGGAGTGATATATCATATGTCAACCGGGCCTGCCATGCAAGCCCTAACGGCAGACGACTTTACGGTCGTCCCTGTCCCTTTGCTGGACGCCACAGTGGGAAAGTGAGTATGCCCGTTATTGAGTCTTCTTTCATGCACCTTCGATCTTGAATCTCGCTCTTCATTGTTTGCTACTATTGAATCGTGCTGACATTTCTCAGCGCCCAAATTGTCGTGAGTACTGCGTCATCTCCGTTCCAACTCCTTGCTAACAATCCAGGCCCGACTCAGCGTCGTCTTCGACGCCCTCCTGTGCTTGGACAAACTCAGGGAGTCATGGTACAAAACCCTCGAGGCCAGGCCTATCATGCAGGCGCGCGTTCGTCGCTCACGGACAGCCCCTTCCGGCCTTGACTACCATGTCTTGACCCCCCAGGGCCTGGTTAAGTACCTGGACAGCCAGCGCACGGCCCCTGACCACGTCAAGGACTTTTACTGTCTGGACGAGTCACATCGGTCTATCACAGACTATTGTGCAGGCTTCGGGGTCGGGCCCAGTGCGCCCAGCCACTCCTACCGCACCTTCGTCAGCGATTTCGCCGACAAGGACGATGAGCAGCGCTGCATGGCGTTCAATGGCGTCAAGACCCTCGAGGAGATCCTCGACTCGGATCGACCTGTCATGACGGTCCAAGTGACGCGGTTCTCCGATGCCACGATGATCAGCCTTTCTCTCAGCCACATCATTGGAGACCTCGCCACCCTCAAGTCTTTCTTCAAGGGCTGGGAAAGCACCCTGCAGGGGACCCCGCCTCCGCCTTTTGAGCAGCTGGGCAAGGACCCCTTCGCGGCGTATGGGCCCGGTGGAGAGCTGGCAGGCAAGGGAGTGCATTCCAATAACCCCCCCTTGCCGCCGGGATGGCGCGTCTATGGAATCTTCGACAAGCTGCGCCTGCTCTCTCGTATCCTGTGGGACAGTCGGATTACGCGACCAGAGAATACCATCTCTCAGAAATGCATCTTCATCTCGCACGCCGAGGTCGAGGGCCTGGTCGAACAGGCGCAGAAGGATCTCATCGCTCTCGAGGCCAAACGCAAGAAAAGGGGCATTGAAAGCAAGCGCCCTCTAACCGTCACCAAGTCGAACGTCCTATACGCCTGGTTGCTGAAGAATAACCATACCCACCTCAGCCCAAATGCATGGAGCAAGCCGGTCACCATCGTCAGCACCCGCGTCCGACCCCCAGCGGGGATGAAGCCACAGGACCAGGGAGATGACTTCCCCAAGAGCGACATGTACGGCGCCGCCATGCTCACCGCGCTGCCCAGTTTAAGGGTTGGCAAGCTGCGATCCATGCCCCTGGGCGAACTGGCACTCCACATCAAAGACGGGATCCGCGAGGCGTCGACGCCAGAGTACGTCCGCCGCTTTTTGGCATTCACGCTGCATAATGCGCTCTGGAAGGCACCTACGGGCAAACTCGCTCTCTTTATGCCGCCGAATGAGAACTGGTCCGGCGTCACGGACTGGCGGCTTGTCAAGTTCCATGATATCGATATGACACCGGCGCGTGTGGATGGTTCGGGGCAGCAGGTGCAGATCTGTGCGTTTAATACGCATATGGTCACGGCGGACTCGCAGCGCGATCGCTGGGCTTGTTTGGGTGATGCTGGTGGGGGTGTTTGGTTTATGGGCGTTGCTGGTGAGGAGCAGTGGAAGCATCCTGATGGCTTTGGCAAGTATCCGTTTGTGCAGCGGAGGGCGAGCAAGCTATAGTCGTCGCAGTCTGTTATCTATTCTTTACTTTGTACTTATTCTGAATTGTATTCTCTATTCTCATGTATATAGTGTTGTATGTAGTATATATATAGATTCCTGGTTGGGTTCTGCATATGAGAGCTGCAGGAGCGCGAAAGGCTGAGCATCAAGACAGCTGAACCAGTCTGTCCAATTAGCACACTGTCAAACAGACTACTGCAAGCCTCCATTCCCAATGAGTACACTGTCAAACTGCCCGGGCTGTGCCATGTTATTAATATCACCGTCGCTGCAGATGATTGGAACACCAAGTCCAGCTATCCAGATTAGGGCACTGCTGGGCCACCCCGGCTTATTTTGGCCCCAGAGCCTTGTGTACAGTGTAGCACAACAGGCCGGCTGTGAATACCAAGATATCCTAGACCAGATACAGAGTGTGACGAGGCTGCGGTTGTGCTTCAAATAGCCGTCTCTCCATCGCAACTGCTTGCCCCTTTGTCGAGTCTCATTAATTCCAACAGAATTGCAACATGGCCACTGAAGACTCTCAAGTGGGAACCAGGCTGCTATGCCTGACAGACCCTTGCGACACGGTTAAATTCACCGAGACGAAAGCGGTTGATGTTGTCGCAGTCCACGGCCTCGATGCCGCTGGGGGTGGCAGCTGGAGAACGCAGGACGGGACTCTATGGCTGCGCGATCTGCTTCCTACCGATATTCCATGCGGCAGGGTCCTGGCCTTTCTCTATGATGCCAAAGCCTTGTTCTCTCGATTCCCGGCGCATGTTGACTCCGTGGCTAGAAGCCTGCTGAGCGCGCTGGCGATGAGTCGTAGGGATGTTCCCTCTACGAGACCGCTGGTTTTCGTTGGTCATGGATTTGGTGGATTTATTGTGGAAGCAGTACGTCCTATCTTTTATTTATTTTGATACGGGCTAACATGAGTCCAGGTGGTTAACTACGCCATTGCCCATGAGATATTCCCTGATATCAAAGCCTGCCTCAAAAAGGTCATCTTCCTGAGTACACCACAGCGCTCGTCGCCAGAGATTCCCTGGAAGACGCTGTTGGTGAATTCCGCAAAGGACAGTCTATATGGACTCGGTTCTTCAGCAATTGTGGATATTGACATCTTGAAATGCATCGAACGCAATGCGCAGTCCTTCCAGAAAGTCCGGGCGGAATTCAGGAAGCATGCAATCAACCTTAAGCTGAAGATCCTTACGTGCTATGAAGGTGCTTTGACTCCGCCGCAACAATCCTGCGTAAGTCTCGATATCTTGTTTGATGTGCGCATGCTAAGTCCCTAGACCGTGACCGAGTTCTGCGCAACCCTCGCCCTGAAAGCAGAGAAAGTACATAGGATGAGTGGGTGTAACCACTTATTTACTGCGCGCTTCGAGAATAGAGAGGACGACAACTATAAAGTTGTCATATCTGTTATCAAGAGTGTGAAGGGGACTACTACCGCAGGGCTAACACTGCCTAAGACAGAACAGAACGTGGCTTCGTCTGATAATTTTTCAGTCAAAGTGCCCGCAATTGTTCCTTCACCAGCTGAATTGCCCCAGGTCACTGAGGTCCTGGTGCAGAAAGCATCTATCAACCGCGATGTACCACACCCACCAAAGGCAATCGTCCATCCAAGATCACTCTCAACAACCATCGTTGGGACCACTACTTCTACCCAGATGAACTCGTGCAGTATCACACACGTTGATACGCCCGCTCAAAGACCATCTCTCCCCTCAAGTCTCTCTATCCAGGCACCCACCAGACACTTGTCCCTATCTGGAATTGGACATGATGTTGTTCCACACCCGAATTCCATTCCAGACATACTTAAACCGCGGCCAAACAGTTTATACACCCATACTGCGGCTCAGGGGCAAATGCATCCTCAATCTACTTCTCGGGTGCCAATATCGACAGAGGCTAGGACAACAGGCCCTGAGAAACAAGTTACAAGCCAGAAGTTCATTCCATATAGACCCTTCGCAGCACATACGAGCGTTGCTACACCATCCGGCCAAAGGTCTGTTGGGGGTAATTCTCAGGCATACAAACCATTCAGGCCGCTATCTATGCAAATGCCTCGACAACAGGATCAGATGCAGCGTGGTATTAAAGACCCATCTACTTTACCCATGCAAGATCCGCCGACGATTCCTAGCTCGACCTTTCCTACTCGCCCTATTTCAGCTACAATGCCGAGTATCCTTACATCAGGGCCTCCACTGGATAGAGGACTGTCTGGTCAGTCTATACAGGGTATCGCACCTACGGGTCCAGTTACCAGGGACATTTCTTCCAACGCTGTTCCGCTGCCGATTCCAAGGTCAGTTCAGCCCGGTACTCTACCAGCCCCGGCAGCTATGCGCGAGCTGCCTACAGCGTCCGGGCCTCCAGGACACCAGCTTGCTACTTCCCAGCTCCCTGGCCCTCTTCAGGCCCAAACACCAACATCAATACGGAGTTCTCAGGACCCCTTTAAGCCCATACCTCCAGCGCCTACCACAAGCAGGAGCCTCCCACCCCAGTCAACAAGCAGCGCACCAGTTGTGAATATCGCAGTGCCAGCCTCCTCAGCGACGCGTAGTATCAATGTACCATCTCCGATGCCAACTATCTCAAGTGGACCCATTATACCTCCAAAGCCGGTACCATACCGAGGCCATAAAATCCAGTCAGGAACTGTACCTGAGGGCCCACCATCGAACATGCAGAGTCAGTCTCCAGTGCCCAGATCTCTAGGTATCAGTCGTCCTCCACCTACTACAACCAGAAGCCTGCCAGGGGCATCAGCTACTCAGCCGCCACAACCTCTACCAAAGCAAGGCCAAGGTCCACCGATGCGGTCGTCAATATCTGGCCCTCCAGGTGCGCCCCCAGGACCTACACCCATATCGCGCGGACCACCGGGACCGTCACCAAACCTCGGTCCTCGCGGTGCAGCACCACTTCAACCGCAGCCCCCAAGGCCAGATCCGTCAAGACCACCACTCATCAAGCTCGCTCCACCGCGCCCAGTGCCTCCCAGTGCACCAGTCCCCACCCCCTCTGCCACGCGCGGACTCCAAACAGGCCCTAACCCTCCTCCAAAGCCGCCTGGTATCCTGAACAAACTATTCGGTTCCTCCACCCGTCCCTCAGTCGGACCTACCAGAGGCCCACCACTAGCACCATCACCAGCAGGTCGTGGAATGCCCAAGCCGGCCCCAGACGGGGAGAAATATACACCCTACCCTGGACCTACAGGAACCAAGCAGCCCCGGCCAAAACCACCAGTCCCTCCTCAAACTAGACAAGGTCCAGCGTACCATCAATCCCCGCATGCAAATGACACGGGTAAGGATATGGGCTGGAAGACTACGGGTGAGGGTTCACGCGGGTTCCACCAGCCCCATACCAGTATGGGATCTCAGAATGGACATCAAAAGGACCGGGGGCTCAATTCGCTGTATTTTTCCGATCAGCCGATTCCACCGCCGCAGCTAGTTTTACAGACACAACCTCAGGTACAGGGACCGCCTGGATACTTGCAATCACAAGAACAGGTGCAAGGACCGGTACAATCAACACCCGGCGATCAGAAACCGGAGGAGAAGGAGTCCTCAAGCTCAAGCTCTACAATAAAAATCGCAGCCGGTGTTGCAGTCGGCGCTGCTATAGGCGGTTTAGCCACGGGTGCGATTATAAGTGCGCTCCAGGAGAATGAAGATGAAAATAAGGAACGGCAGGAGACTAAGGAAACACAGGAATCTGTGCAATCGGGCCTGGAGAGTACCAGTCCGGTGTCTGGGTCGGTGGCTGGTGAGGATATTCCTCGAGATATTCCGCCATCTAATCAGGGCGGTGGGGATATTGATCCAAGTCAACAGGAAATGGTCGCTGAAGTCGAGACGGAAACGGGCTCTACGATTGGCTATGACTCTGTATCCACGCCTGGGTCGACTTCTGATTCTTCGGAAGAGGGAGGTGATGAAGATGAATGGGGCTATACCGGTGGGTATGATAGTGATGGCGATGGCTATGAGCATTACGATGATCATGAACATGGTGATGCCAGCTATGACCCTTATTATCATGACGCCCAGCACGATCAGTATAATAACGACGAAGACGGGGATTATGATGAGTATGGAAATACTGAGCAGAGTGGCGACGAGGGGCTGGACAAGTCTGAGTATGAAAACGAGGCCGAACCCACGTACCAACTGGGCGAGCAATACCAGGATGACTACCAGGATGAGGGCGAGGATGAAGATGAACATAACGCCTACGAAGACGGAGATCAGGAAGAGGAAGGGTACCCCGACTACCAATATCTGGACGAATACGAAAATAACGAGCATGGAGATGGCGACGACGAGGAAGACAGTCAAACTTACGAGAGCGGGGATGAATATCAAGGAGAATACACGAGCTACGAACATCAGGCTCAAGACCATGAAGAGGTTGATGAAGGCGAAGATGACGAAAGTGAGAATGACGAACAGACAGGACACTCCGAGGGTGAAGGGGAAAACCAGGAGACAGAGTACGGCTACGAATATGACCATAATGAGAACGACGATGATGAGAATGAAGACGACTATCAACAATATGAACCGGAGTACCAGGCCGAATACCAAGATGAAGTCGAGTATGAACCTCAACCAGATTATCAGGTCAGCTATGAGCCCGAATATCAGCCAGAGTATCAACAGGAATACCAGCCAGAGTATGAGCCTGAGTATGAAGAGCAGACAGATTACGGAGGCTACGGTGACTATGATCAAGGGTACGATTATGACGATGGATATTATTAGATGAGAATCTTTGGATGTTGTTAATTATTCCATTCTAGCTGTGTATAGAATATCATCTTTACCTGACAATATGTAGCACATCAACCCGGAATATAGACTGTAGCAAGCCTTTACTAGTACTTCAACCGTAGAAATAAACAAGGTCACTACTGAAACGATGACTTCATAACTTAAGCATTAGTTACATTCTTAACAACTGATCGTATTTTTTTGATTCCGACTGACTCCAGTGCCTTCCATAATATATACTCCAGTCAGTGATTAAACGTGTTTACAAACTCCAGCACATCTCTGCCTACAGCCTCAGGATGAGTACCGTTGAGGAAGTGTGTACCGCCATCCACAACCACCAGGCGAGCATCTGGCGACCGAGTGAATAAGGAAATTTCTTCGGCTGCGTTTGCAAGAGTATAAATGGTATCCTCGGTTCCCTATACACTCGTTAGTCACCCAGTTTGCTATTTCTGGTGTCCGATCTGGCCATACCTGTATCCAGAGGACAGGGCACCGAATATCCGACAGTCTCGCATGCAGGCTCTCCCTTTCAAGTAAATTAGCTGTAGCCATGCGAATCCGACGACGGCCGTCGTCGCCTTGGTAATGCATCTTGATCACGGCACTCCAGAAATCATGCTCTGCGGCCATGTGATTACCGAAACTGGCTCTGAGGAGCATATCGCAGAAGCCATCGGATAATCGGAAGTCTTCGGTTGGTTGATCAGCTTCCCACTGTTTTGTAAAAGGGCCAACGACACCAGGGCCATCCCAGCATCCCAGCTGGCGGGATCTATCAGATTCGGAGTCCAGTGACGTTGCAAGTAGGATTACTCCCTGGATCTACCCATCATATTAGCGAGAATCGTATAATAAAGACCAGGTTACCTTATCTGGCCGCAGCAGGGCCATCATCACCGCAATCCAGCCCCCCTGACTAGTCCCTAGTATGAATGTCTTATCAATACCAAGTGTGTCGAGGACTTGGAAGTTCATCTCAACACTGTCCCAGTAAGTCCAGAATTCGCGGGATGTCCGCGTCTCGCCATGACCCAGGGGCTCAATCGACAGAAGATTCATGCTATCTGTTAGCCTCTTGTCATTATACTGCGGGCGGAACAGTTCGGAACCGGTGATGAAGGAATTGACAAGCACTACTGTCGGTTTAGCACTGTCGTACGCCCGGGGCATCTGATACGCGACATCAATGCCCCCAAGGTGAGGAACGCGGATGGTCTCGGTGTTGGGCATTATTACGCTGGTAATATTAAAAGAGATGGTTGTTAAAGTGTAGTCAAGGTGAGACGTTATCAAGATGGTCATGATGTCTCTACCAGGGTTGACTGCGGGGCTCGTTTCCGTTGTTGGTTACGAGTGGCGATTCTCTTACAGCAGCAGTCTAAGCGACCTATGACCATGAAGCTATTTGGAACTGTAGGGTGCATTTCATTGTTTTGGTTCTGGTGGCATTTCGGTTGTCTCTGGGCGGACGATCCGAATGATCCGGATATATATATATATATCGTAGGTGTGGAAAACTCTGCACAAGATCAACATAGAAAAGATTGTAATTCCATATTAAATACAGCTATATAAGGCCTATTTAATGCTCCAGCAAACATCATATTATCTTAACCTACTGCTAAAAACCGACGCCGAATATAGTTTCCTCATGGAAATCCAGAACCCACACTCCACTAAGTTCAACTGCCTGGCCGGGTACTAAACGAACACCCCCCTGCTCCCCCTGCTCCTCCTGGTCAACCTGGTCCTTCGACTCGAGGATGGCGAGCTATAATTGCTGTAATAATAACTACTGGGGAAGGTATAACTGGGGCCAGACGAAACAGAATAAGTCAGCTCGCTGTCTCCCGGAGGCCTAGTCGGCAGCAGCCCATGGGCGTGAAAAGCAGGGACAATCAGCATGTACGCCTCTTCCTCGTCGGTGGCCAGCCCGGAATCACGCACTATGCCAGCCAGCCTTGAGAGGCCGCCGTGATGCCAACGAAGCGTACCTGCGTGGTCCCCGCGCAGAGGAGTGCGGCGTCTCGCTTCCCCTTTTACCTTCGACATCGTGGCAACTAGCTGTAGCATAAATGCACTGAAGATCTCTTGTGCGCATAGGCGAGGAAGTGGAGTATGAGTGTTGATTGCCTTTTCCTCGTCTAACGGGTCTGGTGAGTCGCCGTCTTCGGCTACTCTCCCATCCTCTGGCCACATGTATGAATGCAGTCCAGACTTTCGGGCAGCAGTTCCGGGGGTTTCCTCATTGCCTTGCTCTGCGTTTCTTTCCTGCAATGCCTCGCGCCTGAGCTTCCTATGGTTAAAACAAAACGTTACCATAAGCCTGTTGATCAAGGGATGTCGGCCCAAACCTGGAGTGAGAGGAAAAACAAGTCCCAAAGGTGTGACCCCGGGATTCTCGCATATACGACGCAAAGTTGGGAAGTGTGAGTGCTGGTGTCTTCCTCTCGATCCACACGCTATAGAAATCTGTCTTTTCGTAGGGGCGAACATATTCCGGTATTGGGTCTTTGGATAGTACTGAATGGTGATGCACACTCAGACTTCCATATTCATCGGCACCACTTTCTCCGAGGCTGGAATCTTCGTCTGGCGCGGAGAAATCTGATCTATCAGTCTTCTTTCCCGTGTCCCCGGACTCCTCCCCGCTGTGGTCATCAGATCCACCAGTCATACCCTCAACCCCCAGGCCTTTATCGTCTCCTGCTCCAGAGCTACCTGAGTGGATGGACCCTATCCATTGTAAAATTCCCTTATCCTTTGAGTCCGCTGGAACAGGGACCTGCCATCCACAGCCAAGGAGCCGAGTGGAAGCATGGAGGTGAGAAGCAGGTCCAAGCTTTGCCTCCATAGTAAGCATCCATAAAGACAACAATGCAGCGAGAGACCCGACATCAGTTGTCCAGGCTTGTTTTTCGGGGTCGCCCTGGTTGCTTTTTTGCGGCCCTGGGAACCGACTCTCGGAATCGGCATCCTCGTCCTCTTCATGATCATTCTGGAAGATGCACCGGGCCAGGAAACTGTATTTTGCTCCTGTCCGGCGATTGCCAACGCTCGGACCGCTCAGCATCGCTTCAGACTGCCAGGTGAAACTGGCGCCAAAGACTTCGTCAGACTCCTGAAAGTTGTAGAATGAAAATCCAGGTGGGGTGTTGAGGTCACTGTCGGAAGCAGCCTCTTCGATCACGTCCCGGTTCTCCCAAAACCAGTTACCTCTTTCCAGAGGCTTAGCATCTGCTTCTGCATTCTGGCGGGTCACCGGGTGACGGGGGGAAGTGGTGTTCCCTTTCGCAGAGGTCGCAGACGGCGAGCGCGAGTTGCTGGTCCTGCGCCAGTGATGAGTTGCTCTCCCAGCGCCTGGTCTTTCCATTCGCCGAGGACGGCGTCGGCGACGACGGCGACGACGGCGACGACGTCCAAGGTTCAAACGGAAGCTTTGCTTTCCTTCTTTCCGGAGACCCTTTGATTTCTCTCTTTCCTCCCTTTTCTCATCGTACTCTTCCGCGGTGAATACTTTGGACGAAAACTTACCTCCAGTGCTTCTCTCAAAGGCTACGACTGAAGCCACCAGCTTTTCTTCCTCAAAGTCAAAATACCTCAGATCGGCCATAACCCATTGTAGTGTTGTGGTTATAGCATCTGCTAGCTGATGGGAAAGCGTGGTATACTCGTCTTGCCAGGGAACAAGTTGCCTCATTTGCTTGCGCACCTCTACCACCTTCCGAGCGAGGGACGATGTCATCGCAGCACTCTCGGGATCAGTCTCGGTAGCACACCGCTGGCTCGAGCGTTCTTCAGGAGCCCGAGTCTCGTCGACAGCCGTATAGCTACCAAGTTCAAACGAGGAAAGACCAAGCGCATCCAGCGCCACCCAGGAGAGCTCGTGTCCTTCGTGGAGCGTCTCTACCTGCGGATTCGCAGCTAAGCCACGGCGAACATATGCTCTGACACAAGCCATAATCAAGGTCGCTCCAAGGACTGTGATGGCGACGCTCCAGTGCATTGCTCTCACTAGTGGCCATGTCAGCCCTGCGCTTCATGTAGATCAAGATTCTATAACTTACAGCCCACGAACTGCAATATATAACCCCCGAGCGACGAACACGTTGCAATAATCGACAGAAAGCTGAAGTCACCACCATCCATTATCCTAGAAGTGCGGATTGTTGTGTTTCCTTCCTCGTTCATGATCGCGTATGATCCAAAGCGTTGATCGCCCACGGTGCAGGCACATTGCACACGAACCACTTTCGTGTCAGGCTTGCCCTCGACAAGCTCAAAGTTGATTTCTTCTGTGATGGCTTCTATGATATCTGCAGAGTAATTAGAAGTTATCCGGAGAAATGAGAATGTAACATACAGGAACATAGGAAGACACCCGCACACTGAAGGCTTGAGCCTGGGAAATGGTCAGTAAATAATATACAAAACATGCTGGCGCTATACAATTGAGGGCACCCTACCGATGAGAAACAGTGGAAAGCCATATCGGACCCTAGAAAATCCATTTTCGGCCAGGTGCCAATGATAGGTAACCAACGAGGCAATCACAATGACGCCCAGCTGGATTATGACCCCCAGCGCGGCAAAAGCCCATGTGGTACCAGGAGACGTTATTGCCTTCGTGACATTCAATGTGAGGTTTGGTGCCTGCTTCATCAACCTGGTCGCACTTTCAACAGCACGCTTGATCTCTTCTGCTGGTTCCGGGGCTTGATACTGGGGCTGTGAGATCTTTAAGATCCTTTCCTCGCAGGCTGTCTTGAGGTCGTATACAATCTTCGAGTTGAGCAGATCGGTTGATCCGGTGTTCCTGTTCACTGGCTGGTAGACGAACTCCTTTGTCTTCGGTCTCCCCCGTTCTCGCACTAGGGGTTCGTCAGTACTTTGAGGACGAGGGCGAAAGAGTACTTAGGGCTCCGTTTTCTCACCTATCTCCGCCCCGCTCCATAACTCACAGACAGCGTCACTGGTGCTCGACATTATTTCCATCTCTGCAGTGGCTCTGCTCTCTCGAGCTCGACCGACAAGTGCCTTGAGCCATTTCCGACCGCCGACTCGAATTGCACTGACGACGCACGTCAGAATCCCCAGGGGGGCCATCGCCAAAAGAATGTCATCTGCAAATCCCATCTGTGAGGCGTTACTCCGTTACCACTGGCGGGGGACATGAGCATCAACCGGCGCAAAGAAAGTCCTACGTACTGCCTGGGAAAGAAATTGTTTTGTTACCTGCTCTCCGAAAAGCGTCAGCAGCGGCGCCAGGTCGGAAAAGAGGTTGTTGCTGAAGTTGGAGCCGTCGAACTCATTGTTGGATGATCGGGGACTGAGCTTGGTGGTGTTTGTTCTATTGAAGATATCCATGGCGAACCTTTTCGCTCCATGCTGTGGTGCACATCGAGTTCGAGTTCGTGCTGCAGAGGAAAGAGACAGGAGAAGGCAAGAGCTCGTGCGCGGTGTGTTTTGAAATGATCAGCCTCGTTCAGCTCGCTCGGACTGTGACCGACCCTGTTCAGCTCGCCACTGGTCATCAATAGTTCACCTGGACCCCTGTCGACTGCAACCGATCTCGTCTGACGTGGCGGGCCGGCGCGATGTGGGCGTCGTTGAATGCCATTCATTTCCCTTGTCTCAAAATTCAGTCTCCCAAAAAAAACAAAAAAACAAAAAACAAACCAAACCAAAACAAAGCGTTGAAGCAGGACAGTGGACAGAAAGCCAACCCCCTGAAGCCAGAGAACACAGATGTCTGGCATATCTGCTGGCGAACGCAGCCTCGTAGGTTCTTGAAGGGTGCTCTGGCCTCTGTTGGGAGCTGTAAGAGCAATTGACCCTCGCCGGCCACAACTCACTTACCCAGCCTCTTGAGACCGTCTTCACCCAATCAGTAAAACGACAAGACTGATGTTGCTAGGGTCAGCTACAGGCCGTCGCAGGCCCTGGATGCCAAATTCACCAAGACTGGAAAGCGTGTTTGTAATCCATCCTGCTGATTGAAGGTGAACTGTTGGAGAGGAAGAGGTAACACAACGGGGCAAAGTGAGGCCGTCCAGCTGGGTCATGTGAACTCGCTCCTGCGCGATATCGAAATTGCTGTTCAAATGTTTACTTCTGTAAGACAAGCCTTCAACTCACTAATTCTTCATATTCCCTCACAACCTATCTTGTGCTGTATTACTGTTTACTTATACTGCATACAAATGGCGTTCGGCAGCCTCAGAAGAACTTCTGCAGTTGCCTCTTTCTAGTAGCCTAGACTCCAAGATATCCACCCTCAAAGTACATATCGACTAAGATCCAAATTAGCAAAAGAGCGATATAAATCAAGTTAACACTCACAAGGTCAAATTCTCTTTATCAGTCAAATCCATCTGACTATTATCCACAACCTGGGCGACCTGCGTTCCGTCTGAATCCGTCGTTTCGACAACACCGTTTGTAACCACTTGATCTGCAGCCTGGAGTGCGTCACGACGTTTGTTCTCGCGACTTAGGTGGATTCGCAGGGCTATGATTATTATTGAGGGCAGGATTGCGGCGATCTAGGTTAGCGAGGTTAGTTCATTTCCATCTTGAAATGTATGGTCTAAAGTAGGACTTACGACCAGGATTATTATCCATGTTGGTTTATACCGGGGCTGCATCAATCAGTACATAGTAAGTATATGGGGTACTTTAGTAGAAGAAAGTTTACCTTCCACTCCGGCCTGAACAGCTGTGGTGAGATAATATTTCCCAGGCCATACCCAACATGATACAGGGCAATCACTGTTGTCTTCTTGGTATGTCCGGCTGATGCATTTGCGGCCCAGACCATAACCACTGCGTATGGGATACCGGCTGTCGAACGGATCCAGGTTGCTGATATCAGTCCCCAGCGGTTGGACCAGGGGAGGGCTGTCCTGTTAGATTTGCGTACTGAACTTAGAGATGAAACATACCCAGTAAAAGAATGCTAGAAAGTACAGCTGGAATATAGGCAACGAGCGAGATCCACGCGCGGCAGTTCTACTTCGTTAGCAGAATACCAATAGACAAGGATGAGACATACCTTGGTGTGGTATAGAACGATCGCCGCAGTTCCTAGCGAAAAGAATGAAACGACCCCGGAAACCATTCCTAGCAGCGTCGTCTGGAGCACAGTAAACCCGAAGGAATTAATGATCAGGGAATACTGGTTCGTCAATCCGTTGGCCATTTCCTGCGACCATGCGTGTAGGAAGAAGAGCCATGTTTTGGGGTCTTGAAGTGCTTCAATGAATCTGTTACTGTTTAGAATATAACCAGAGTTTAAATGTTGGTGGACGAACTGGTATCTCTTGAATGTCTTCTGCTCGATGCCTGAATGGTTCTCCTTAATTCGTAGAATCGCCTGGGCGCGCTCTTCGTGGGTTAGGAATTTGGCGTTGACCGGGCTATCTGGGAAGAAGAACCAGACGACGACGCCGAAGATTACCGTAAGAAGACTGGTTATAACTAAGATATGTTAGAAACAGAAATGGCCAAGGCATTGAGACTAACCCATGAACCACTTCCACGGTGCAAAATTGCCTGTGTCGATCCAGAGCACCCCGTATGATAACAACCCCGAGGTAATCGGACTTGCATTTCCAATGGACCACATGATTGGCATGATGACGGATTGTTCGCTGTACGTGAAGAACATGGACATTATGAGGAGAAACGCAGGGACGATACAAGCCTCCGCCAGCCCTAGGAAGAACCGGACCACGAAGAGGGAGGCGAAACTGTTGCACGGCGCGTGGAGTAGAATAATAAATCCCCTAACTGTTGTCAATGTACGTCCTCGTTACTAGATCGAAATGCGTACCATATGATTAAATTCCCCGCAAGCCATTTTCCAACAGGGAACCTCTGCAGTGCCCAGTTCTGCGGCCACTCTGCCAGGAGATATCCGAAGTAGAAGATGGAAGACAGCCAGTTGTATTGATTGGAGTTTAAATGCGCGTCGTCCATAATTCCCAGAATTGCAGAGCTTCCTAGCTGCTGATTGTTATTATCGGGCCATTCTGTCAAGACGCATTACATACTGTTTGCTTATCCACATACATCAGATGGTATCCAACACACAGAAACGGGATAATCCGCCACAAGCATTTATTTCGAATTGCTGACGCCTCTTCCGGTGTTGGATCTGAGACTTGGATCTTGGAAAAAAGCTTGAAACTTTCATCTGCGAACTGTGCAGGGACTTTAAGCCCGATGTTGAGATCATCACTGCCATCAGACTCTATGGTCGCTTCAGCGCCGGATTTGACTTTCGCAGACATGGCAGCAGCTGACTGAGTAGGTAATGTCAAGAAGAGCCTGAAATCTCCAAATCTTCATCGGTCCATCTCGGTATGGGCGGCCATACCCTAAATACAAACGGCAGCTATTGCGCCATGGTGTCTCCAGCTGTCACCTTGACAGATGGAGCTACCCGGACACTCTCCGACATATGTTTCTTGATGGAGAAGACTCCAGATAGAGGTATTGGCTGCACAATGCGCAAAGCGGCGCCTAAAGCACGCGTGGATTCGCAATCGTGGCGCTCGCGTCACGGATGCACTGCTGACGTGCTTGTTTGCGATAACTACTCCAACTAGACTTGACAGGAGACTAACTAGGGTATTGATCTTGATAAGCAGCTTCCCCTCTTCTCTTTTTTTATCGTTATTGCGGTTGTGAAATTACATGGTCTGCAACAATGGCCGCCAGCACTGACACCGTCCGAGTTCTGATTGCTGGAGCAGGTATAGGAGGTCTTGCAACTGCGATTTCTCTGTCGCGCGTAACTGCAATTCCTAACCTTGATATCCAGCTTTATGAACAGGCTCCAGAGCTGTTGGAAATCGGAGCCAGTATTGCGCTTAGTCCCAATGTACGACATCCCCGTCCCAAACGTCACACCGTCTAATGAATTGCGGTATAGGGCATGCGTACTCTAGAGAAACTCGATGTACTTAATGCACTCAGCGATGAAGTCGGCTTTAGAGGGCCGAGTGGGATTCCCCAGATCTTTCGGTTCGTGCACTTCCACCTTTAACCTTATAGTGCGATATGCTGATTGCCTGCGAAGACACTGGAAAACAAACCAGGTCGTTTCGGTAGATACGCACAAAGATGTCCCTGATCCTCGTCACCACACGACTCGTTTTCATCGTGGACATCTGCATGCTGCCCTGCTGGAGCATGTCCCGCGGGAGTCTATTCACCTGGGCAAGAAGCTCCTGCGCGCGGAGGTGCATGAACAGGGTGTATCGCTATATTTCGAAGATGGGACTACTGCGCATGGAGATATACTGATTGGAGCTGATGGGTTGAAATCGGTTCGTCTCCATATTGATATTGATGGGAAAGCCAGGGCAAATGCTGATTAGAGTGAAGAAAGTCCGACAGTCATTCATACCAGACTATAAACTCCGATTTACAGGGAAAGTCTTTATGAGATCGACCTTTGATGCGTCCTTGGTGGCTGAGAAGATCCCTAATTTACCGGACGATTCATTGCATTGGGTGAGTTCCAGTTAAATCTCAGTAACTGAATACTTGGGAGATACACTGACGTTGGTTTAGTGGGGACCGGAGGATAACTTCTTCGCATCTCGTCTTGGTACATATATCCTATTCAATATGCTTGACAGACACTGACGCTCCCCAGGAAAGGGCCAATACACGACCGTCGGCGCATACAGCGATCCTCGACCCGCAGAGGAAATCGAAAGTAGCATCGCCTGGGGTCAGAAAGGAGACGTCAAATTCCTACGAGAAAGATACAAAGTATTCTTTGCCAAAATCATATCTCCGGTGACGCAGCCTGCTAACAACAACAGAACTGGAACCCCCTAATCAAAGCCCTAACCGAAGCAACGCCGTATACAAACCTGTACCCGAATTTCGCCGGGGACGCAATCCCAACTTGGGTCTTTGGATCTAGAGTTACACTCGTTGGAGACGCGGCACATGCCCATGGGGGTGCGTTTGCGGCTGGTGGATCGTTGGCACTGGATGATGCGCTTGCTTTAGGCCTTGCTTTTAGGCATGTATTTGGGTCTCGTTCGCAGGGATCTTTGGATATTGGGAGTATTGGGAAGGCGTTGGATTTATATGCTAGAACAAGACAACCGCATACAGACAGGCTACTGAAGATTGTGCATGGTCAGCTGAATAACAGCCAGGGTACCAAGCCGGCCACCGCGGGGGAAGAGAATGAGAGGTTGATATCGCGGTTGAGGAATAGGACGGATACAGAGTGGTTGTCTGAGCATGATGTTGAGGCTGCGTTTGGGGAGGTGGTCAAGCAGTTGGAGACAAAGAGTAGACTTTAGAAGGGTATAGAGTGATAGATATGAGATGGCATTTGTTTGCTATCTCAACAGCTAAAGATATCCTTCAGCAATAAACGAGTCATAACTATTATAGCTTTGGAGGCCCCTGCTGTATAACCACTGCCTCTGAGTCCGACTCTTCCCTGGCAACCTGTTCCTCCATAGTTGCCTTCTTCTCATCCCTCCGAAGCTTAACCTGGATAAAAGCAACATTGAGTAGATAAAGTACACTGAGTACAGTCGCCTACGCAAGCAAGTTAGCATCAAACCAAAATTATACGAGGATAACGTACCCAAATAAACCCACCCCTAAACCCGGGTGCCTTCGAAACAGGCCACGCAATCAGAGGCACAACCAGTCCACAAATCTCAGAGATGGTATTATAACTGGCCAGCGCAATAGCCCTTACCTCGAGATCATTTGCCAAACCCTCTGCTGTCCACGATATCAGAACCGGAATGGTACCATACGACCATCCAACAGAGATATATGCAAAGAACTTGAGTCCGTCTGGGATATTCCAGATCGCAAGTACGAGATTCGCGAATATGCAAAGTACCCCCGATAGAACGATTGGTTCGATTCTTGATCCCCGCAGGTCAGAGTAGAAACTCATGATCAGTGCTCCGGCTGCTGCAGTGCCGTGGGTTATTGTTGACATGTCGTTGACGAGCGAGATGGAGTATTTCTCTGGCTGAGAGCTGAGCCAGAGGATGAACGGGGTTGCTTCAGAGTATGTTTGTTGGCAGAAGACGACGAGCAGGAGGACGAATGCGTATGCGCGCCAGGAACCGAGGACGCGCTTGAATAGGGTCTTGCTTAGCCCGGTTGATGGTTTGAAGCCTTCTTCTGCCAGACGCTTCCTGGCGAGTGCTTTCTCGTCTTCGGAGAGGAAGCGGGATTTTGTGCGGTCTGGCATGTCGGGGAATATGAAGAAGCCACTAGTGAAGTTAGTGGATGTAATTCATGGAGAGATGGTAGCGTACAGGAATGCAACTGGGATAGTGATGACAGTGCAAATGATGAATAGCCAGCGCCAGCCTTGCAGGCCGTGGTTGTTGTTGAGGTTTGTATACGCGGCTGCTTGGAGGACGCCGGCGATCATCTGGCCGAGGGGGTTTGCAATCCAGAAGAGAGCGTTGCGGCGGCCTAGCTCTTTCTTTCTGTACCAACTAGTAAGAGTCAGTATCCCAGTCAGTAGTATCAGCAAATGGTCAGAGGCATACGAGTTTACGACGTGAACAAGTCCAACATAGCAGGACGTCGCGCTCAATCCGACGAAGAACCGCATCACGACTAGTTGTTCATAGGTTTTGACAAAGGCAGTTCCAAGGGTAAACAAGCCCCAGAAGATTTCGGCGAAAGGAAGATAGTATTGAGCACTGTCGCTGTAAGTATGTTCCAACTTGTGTCAAGAGGTGCATACGGATATTTGATTAGGACCAGGTTGCTGGGGATTTGGAATACAACATATCCAACCTCGTCTGGCTATAGTTAGCTTGGTCTTATACACTGTATTATTATTAACGTACAGGCTGCGTTGATATAATTCAGCCTGTCCCCGCCCAGATCGAGGTCTTCCTTCATTCCCGATACATATGCATTCGCTGGTGATGTTAGCAACATACGCAACCCTCGGGAATAACGTACTCAGTGCTGAGACATCAAGATATTTAACGAAGAAGGATAGACAGGCATAAGGCAGCACAAGCAGGTCCAACTTCCGGACAAGGCTTCGCTCCTCGCGACTCATCCCAGCAGGGAACCATCGCGTCGCCTCTTCAAGCCGTGCTATAAAGCCTGTCATTGTGATTGTTATTGAAATCTCTCAGAGTACGGAGAGAAGTAGACACTATTTATTATATTTGTCGTGTATATTTGCTGTTCGGTGAAGCAACATAATCTTAGACTGGATGGCATCATATACTACTCCAATTCTGCAGACACGACTGACTCAGGTATTATCCTTCCATGAAGCTTAGCTGGGCTTACACAAGCTTATCTGCGCCTCATATTAGGGCGCATGGTATCATCTACTCCAACTGATTCCTCATTTTGATGCATATTCACACCACTGATATTAGTCTAAGACGGTTCAAAACAGGGCCAGCACGCTTGATCCACTCCTGACCAGCTTAAACCAAAGTAGTATCTTGTGAGATCTGAGTGGTTGTGTTTACATGTACTCGAGGAGACAATTTGATTATATTGCTCTTTATTATTCGTATAGTAGGCAGACCAGGCTGAGATAAGCCAGTCTCGTATCTGAAGTGGATTTGGCCAATTTGGCCCCATCAGCTAGTCAAGCTTCAACTTCCTCCACATCTCCCACTCAACGTCTAATATGGACGACCAGCCAGATCTCGTCTTTATTAACGCGTCAAACCCAGCTCGCTTTCAGGATAAGGATGTCCGTCGCACCGTCCGCCGCCGTGCCATGCGCGACATCGGCAAAGCGCGTCGTAAGCCCAAAAATCCTCCTGCGGTGACCTTCGTCTGGCAGCCAGTAGACCCTCCTGTGCCTTGTTTAGACTCGTATCCCCGTCCGTGGCCTGGAGGTATAGACTCTGACCCACGGGCCCGTGAGTTGATTCATTTCAGTACGTATCTATTCCCCATTTAGTCTAATGTACATTGATCTAATCGGCCAGTGCACGCCGACGCCGAGTACAATTACCGACCATTCCGAAAAGTCTGGTTTACAATGGCCCTGACTGATCGAAGTGCTTTCATCCTGTGTAAAGCGAATGCAGCCATGTTCCTTCAGAAAGCCCGACTACGAGATGGAGACTTCCGCTACGAGCACTGTGCAGAGACTCTGAGTTATTATGGCCAGTGCGTTAAAGAGGTCACGCATCGTCTCTCGGACCCGGTTGATTGTGTTAGTGAGGGTATTTTCACTACAATCTTAGGGTTGATATGCCATGATGTATGTACTTTTCTTTTCTATCTTTTCTGGTTGGCTAACATGGATGCAGTTGTATGTTGGGACTCTGGACCGTTGGGCGTACCATATCCGGGGACTGGCTCGCATAGTCAGTATGCGAGGTGGAATCACCGACTTGGATACTAATTTGAAGCTATTTGCGTGCTGGTTTGATGTTGTTGGATCGGTTGCGCGGGATTTACCACCGCAGATGCCCCCGGCTTCAATGAATCTGGACAGTTTAGAGACGAGTGCAAATGAGATACCAGCATGCGGTGAAAGGTTCAACAACCTGCTTGACGATATCAGAAACTTGAAGTCGTCGGAAGACACGGATATGTCCTGTCTTGTTAGAATACTCGAGAGAATGGCTGCAGTTGCGGCCTTCGTTAATGAGCATTCCTCACGAGAACCGGGATTCTGGAAGAGTGAGGACGATATGCGTCCTATCCAGTTTATCGGGCCTATTACTCATGCGTTGCTTTCAATGCCTAGAGCTGATACATTTAACTTGAATGGCTTTCAGGCCACTCGCGAGATGGCGCGGCTTGCGATGCTTATACTCCTTGCTGGCGTCAAAGCAAGGTATGGCTTGAGTGCGCCTGAGATGGATTATCTGCAATCAAAGCTTTCCACGCTGGTTTCCGTCGTTGCGAAGAGCAAAATGACTCAGCTATTTCCGGTACTGCGGCTTTGGTGTCTCGTCGTTGCTGCTTTACTGTCAAATGGCCCCGCGAGAAGGACGTATGTTCAGGAGATCTCTTCACAGATCACGAGAATGAATATCCCAGATGGAACAGACGTAATTACGACTGCACGGGACGTGATATGGATTGAGGATATTGCAAGTGAGAAAGCTGTATCATCTCTCATATTCGATATCGACATGGTCTACGCCGACAATCAAAGCTGCACAACACCAACTTCATGATACAACAAACTTCAACCCCCCGTAATCCCTCCACTAACAGAAATAACCTGCCCGGTAATCCAGCGACTCTTCTCCGAGACAAGAAGCAGCACCGCATCCGCAATATCACCCGTTGTGCCAACTCTCCCCTCCGCCCTCGTCATCGGCACCAAAAGCCCATTCACCTTCTCGGCCTGCTCCTTCGGCAAAGCTTCCGTGTCCACTGGCCCAGGTGAGACAGTATTGACAGTTATACCATGGCTGCGACCCACCTCCATTGCCATCGAGTATGTCAGCGCATCCTGCGCGGCTTTTGCGGCGCCGTATATGGCAATCGGCGCCATGCCTAGCCGTGATGCCTCGGAGCCTATGTTTATCACCCGGCTGCCGCGAGGCATATGGGGGATTGCAGCTTGGAGTAGGAATATGGGTGCATAGACGATTGGGGCGAATACGGCGTCGATGGAGTTGCGTGTTGCTTGGAGGGTTCCGTGGGGAGCGCCGCCTGCTGCGTTGTTGACTGAATCAGATGACGGGTAAATCAGTATAATATATCAGGTTTCAATAAGTCTAGAGTAACGAACCGATAATATCAATATGGTCGACCTGGAATCCTTCAAGAGTTTGGTGGACCAGTTTAGTTGCCCCCTCGATGGTGGACACATCTGCTTGGACGACAATAGCATTTCCCCCGCATTGACATATTGCTTCTGCAGCACCGGCTGCTCGTGTTTTGCTGGTATCAGAAACATGATTGATAACGACAAGTGCCCCGTTTCGAGCCAGAGTGGTAGCAATGCAGGCACCGATGCCGGTCTCTTTGCCAGAGCCGGTGACAATGGCAACTTTGCCGCTGAGATCGAGAGTGTCGGGCGCCATTGAAGCAGAAAGAAGTGATTATAGAAAGAAAGATAAATACAGTACGTCAACTCCTGGCCTATTTATGTACAAATATGTTCCCTCCGAATTCTACTCTGATACTCCTCGCGGGTCCAAAAGATGCCCTTTACCGCATTGGGGCAGTGGTGCTCTTTAGCTGCATCAGCTCCACCATAAGCTCAGCCAATTGTATTCGTCGGCCTTGTTGGTTAAATGTCTCGTGTTGGGCCTAAACTGAAAACATAGGATTGGAAAGCCGTGACTCAAGGTTGTCCTTATAGACGGGGCTGGATTATCTCCCACCACCGACGGGTCGGCCTTTTCATTTTGTGTGCAGGCAATGGAGGACTCAATCTCTGGACTTTGGCCCGTGGAAGACCTCGACAAATAGCGGATACATCGGGCCAGTAGCTGATTAGAAGAAGCTTGACAATTCGATTGCGCTGTCTGAAAGCTACATTGAGGGTTTCCAGCAGCGAAGTAGCCAGAGAACGGTCTTTGACCTGTACGACAAGAAAGCATCGATCCATGCGTTCGGTGATTCGCAACAGATTATACTGAGGGGGATTCTCGGCGACTAGAATGGCCAGATCCTCTCGTACTGACATACGTTGGGTCTGCTCTGCGAGGCAATGGACGATATCTTGCGTTGTTAGCGGCTCTTCGTATTCAGGCCAAAAAGCCCAAACTGTCGGCTGGGCGTGATGTCTGAGGAACCGAGTCGCCTCAAACGCAAATGATTCAGCTCGCCCGGCCGCACGCCAGCCCTCCGGCTCGACTACCAAAGTATCCGGCCCCCTGTGCTCGGCCCATTCTTTGAACGCTGCCATTAGAGGCGTAACGTCTGCCGGGATGGGAGCCCATAATTGGCTGCGGCCGGCATACGACTGTGCCTTATGAAATATATCTTCAGCGGTTCTCCGAGTCCTTAGCGCTTGCGTAGCAGCTGTCGGGCAATGCATATCACATGAAACGACGTTGATTTCAAGATGTTTATCGGTCAGCATGCCCGATGTATCAGCAGTAATTGCCGGCGTCGAGATGGGGGATTGATAAGGTCTACCACACTATGTTAGCATTCAATATAAAACTGTCAATAGATTGATGGATACACACTCGTAAGGGACTGCGGTTACGTTCGTACAGGGCATCTGGTAGGCCCGCACTCGACAAAGAAGGCATTTAGCATATGCCGCCGCCGCGGCTGCTGCATACTCTTGCCACAACTTATGCTTGTGGCAATCTGAATAGTCGCATATTCCTCTAATAACAAGACAGGGCATGACGTTCAGTATCCCTGCCGCTTCCATCTCAAAACACAATATATTGTGCGCCTTCGCTAGCCGATCTCGGAAAAGCGCGTTCTTCACTACGCGGTTTCCAGACGCAATGAGGCCATAGTGAATATACGGGGATTCATGATTTCTGACACGCCGCTGAACCTGTTGAGGCCCACCATTCTCCCGGTCAGGCCCAAATAAGACATCCTTCTCTCTCCCTGGAAAGCGATAGCTGTGGTCCCTTTGCGCCACGGTCGCTAAATAGGCCTCGAGGGGGTTATCGGCGAAATCTGGGTCGGATCGCAGGCCGTTGATTGCGCTCAGTAATACTCGCGGAGGCCTCTGAAGTGTTCCAGTATGAATGAAGCAACCGTTGGCCATCTCCTTCCCAAGGTCGTATTGGATAACGCCAGGCCGTGCTTCATTTGGGAGGCCTACCACCACGTCTCCAAGGCGAATGTCCTCCTTACTCGGCACGCCCCCAGCAATCCCAACTAGTAAAGCGAACTCCACCGCAGGGAAACTGATGTACAGCTGAGTTGCTACGCTAGCTGCAGCGTTGGTGCCGTATTCGGCCGCGGGTAGGCAGGTCGCAACGATGTTATGTGCGCCTATTGTGCCCAGTGTATAATCGTTGGTGTCCCGCCTTGAGACTGCTAGTTGTGGGTGGACAGAGTCTAGCAGGTAGCGGACTGCCCGCAGTTCTTTGTCAAGGGCGCATATTATTGCGACGGTATAGTCGTTCACGGTGAAAGCTTCTCGCAAAGTCATCTTCGATAGTCTGGTTTGATTGATTTCAAGTCAGTCGGGTTCCGTTACACTGGGCCAAAATTAAAACGACACCTAAAGGCTTACCAGTAGTCCACTCATTCCACGCTCGTCATAGCCGGTCGGTACAGCCTATGCGCAAGGCTGTTTATTCATAGCTGGTTCGGTCGGAGGTGATGAGATGAGACGAGGCTGCAAGTCAACAGCCCCGCGCGCTTTGCTGCAACTTAAGCGCCGACAACAACTCATCTCCGCGTCACTTAATTTATCTCACACCAGTCTGACCTTCTTCCCTTGTTTCTCGATGTTAGCCCAGACGGCACAAATAAAAGATTCACGATGTCGCTTCCAACAAAACGGAAATCGAGCTTCACCCAGATGGGTCGGCCGTCCAAAGCCCCCAGGTCCTCGTCAACACCAATCGAGCCAAGCGAACCCCACGAACCTCTACTTATCCACCGTACTATGTGCAACTTAAAGAAGAGTCACTATGATCATCCCCGTCTCGCAGATTACCATGACGCCCCTCGCCTTTTCCTTGGGGATAGCCGTGCGAGCAACCTGCGAGGAGAGGATTCAATGGAAGATACAGAGAAATACATGGAGGAACACAAAGATGCCGGCTTCATATGGATCAAGAACTACAGCTGTAATGCTTATCATGATTTTATTGGAGACATGTTTATACCTCTGCGCCCACCGCGCCACCCGATGAATGAGAACATCGCGCGCCATTTCTTCGTGCTCGAAGCTCACGGTGATGAGGCTCAGCCTGACTCGGAGGAAATTGTTATTGTTGCTGAAGATCTTCAGGATAAGATGGAGGACCTGATAAAGATTCCGACCCAAAGTATTTCCACCTCGAGTGATACAGGGGAAACGAAAACAGCAATTGATCGCTTATACGTCCATCTGCGCCAGCACCATAACCCTGCGGGTGAAATTGACGATCAGTTGGAATGTCTGCTGTCAGTCGTGGAGACGGTATTCGCGAATGACTACGAGGAGGCCGACGGGTCCTTTTCGCGGGGTACCGTAACCAAAGGACATCTCGCTAAGCTGTTTAGACCAAATGAGATAATTGTGACGAGCAGGGGAGGTCATCCTCGCGCATATCTGCTGAATGACTGGCCAGGTTGGTTTGGTAACGTCCTGAGTCTTCCTTGCGTGACCTGGTCCTTCGATGGTCAATTCTTTCAAGAGGTTGAACGAATTGACCTCAAGTGGACGTTCGGAGATGAGGAAGAGGTGCCTATAACCGACCTCGCCGTACATCCACTTCGTTTTGACAAGGCTACGGAGGCACGCTTGATCAAGCGAGGGCAAAGATTTTGGCAATGCCGGGAGAGTCGATTCATATCCTATGCTCCTTCCTCGCCAACTATCGCTATTGCAACGGTACACATAATGATATTTTCTGGCTATTGGTCTATATATGCTGACAACCAACCGCTAGTCTCATACTCGTTACATGCTAGATGCGAAAACCTACGACCATGTACATATCGGGGCAATCGATAAATCCAGCCGGGTATACCTCTCGAAAGGCGAACATGATCGGGGCCACCCTCCTAATGAGATATTCCAACTTCTCCTTCCACCTACTATCCCAGGATTCGGCTTTCACGACAAGAAATGGATATCAGTGTCGGTAGAGGATATTCGGGAAATACAATGGAATGAGGAAGCGTTCAATCATCTGGTACTGAAGAGTACCAAAAAGGAATTGATCAAAGCACTTGTAGCCAAGCACACAGCTGCCAATGACCCAAATGATGTGATAGAAGGCAAAGGAAATGGGCTAATTCTCCTTCTCCATGGCGGTCCTGGTACAGGAAAAACACTTACCGCTGAATCAGTGGCAGAGCTAACCTGCAAGCCACTGTACCGAGTCACTTGCGGGGATATCGGCACAAATGCTGAGGAGGTAGAGCGGTATCTTGAATCGGTTCTGTACCTGGGAACGATATGGAAATGTGTAGTTCTTCTAGACGAGGCTGACGTGTTTCTTGAGGAACGCACGCAGCAGGACCTCAAGCGAAATGCTCTGGTCTCTGTGTTTCTTCGCGTGTTAGAGTATTACTCCGGCATCCTAGTCCTCACTTCTAATCGAATTGGGACCTTCGACGAAGGGTTCAAGTCTCGAGTCCAGTTAACCTTACATTACCCAACACTCGACGAAAGCAGTCGCCGGCTCATATGGTTAAACTTCATCACAAGGCTGCGTCAAATCAATCCGAATGCAAAGCTAGACCAGATTCTAGAAAATATTGATGGACTTGCCGAATTCAGGCTGAATGGTCGCGAAATTCGAAACAGCATAAGGACCTCCATGTTGCTGGCAGACTTTCGCGGAGAATTGCTTCAGTATAGCCACCTCCAAGATGTCATTGGTATATCAAACGAGTTCGAGCAGTATTTGCAGGATACCCATGGTCACAGCGCCTCTGAGAATGCCAAATCGTTGGGAATCCGCAGAGACTAGTATCAAGGCTGCTTGGCTCCATCATCTACCATGTTTCGGCCCTCCGGATGCATCTTTCTGTTCAGTATATTTGTGTTGTGTCGCGTCTTTAGTTCCTGTGAACACTGCTTGCATTATGGCTGAAATCTCTCTTCACCAGTTCACCTTCCTCGCCGTCATCTCTCTCGCTGTAACCCTCATCCGCATGATCTGCTTTTAATACAAGACAGTGCCGGCAAAGACACTCGAAAAATTCATCCCATGACCTTGTGGGACTGGGGCACAGGGCACATTCTAGAGGCGGATTGACGGCAACAGTATTCCTTTTCATCTCCTCACTTCGTAGCCTGTATTCCGATGTGTTTATCCCTCATATGCTCCTCAAGTCTGTCCCTTGTGAAGAGTGTCTGGACCGCGTCCACCTCACAGTCTGGACAACTATGGTATTGAGTTGGGTAGTGCTGATACTCGACGTGTCTTCTTGATGATGCTTTATTTTTCATCCACGGGCGTTCCGGACAAAGAACGCATTTATACACTCTGTCCTTCCCTTGCGCTCCTTGGCTGCCCCCCGCTTGTGTCGGCCATCTAGTGTTCCCAAATGAGTGTTTTAGAGTCTCCTTCCCCTCTTCGGTGTCCGGCGAAGGATGCATGAGTGCACGATACCACGGGGATATGGCATCTTCATGGCCTGTCCTTTCACTAGGAGTTATGGACAAGCACGTGGCGAATCATCTCATTCTTCCGTTTGAACCCCTTCCCCCAAGGACCACGTGGACAGCCATCAATTGGGCAGAAGTGAGGTCTATCTTGCAAGTGGACATTCGCATGTGAACTAAGCCTATCAGGATTTGTTTCTTTTTCTATGTTCATGTCAGGTTTTGGTGCTTACTTTAGTAGATACTGCGTTTGGAAGGGCGCTGCTGGACATCCAGGATGTGAGCATTTGAATGTACCTGTCGGAGCAGTTGCCACGTTTCCTTGTGACGAAGGCGTGAAGCTTCCAGGGTCTTGAAGCGCCGGTAGCGTAAATTGATTGCTATTGAATTTGGGATGCTTGTTTGGTGGGTTTGGCTGTTCCCGCATAGGTGGAAGCTGTGGGCGTTCATTAAAAGGCCTGTCCGAACTTCGACCCGTGGACAAACAAACAGCCGGTTTCTTCAGATGGTCCAGACGCGGTATGGCGCGCCGTTCAGCTTCTTTCTGGAGGCAGTGGTATTTCCGGGGTCGCTCGGACTCAGGCCCCTGGGTGCAATCTTCTGATATCGTTCGCTTGGCTAGGATGGAAGGCGCTGGTGTCAGGGATGGAGCTCGATACCCGTTCGTGAGCGTGCTTGGCCGCGATCTCTGGAGGTCACGGTTGGGGTCTCGCATAGAGGACAGTTTGTTCCCTGTTGCCATATCGAGTTGCTGACATTCAGTAAAATGAGATCAAGGACCACTTTGGGGAAACTGTTCGCGGCGTCGGGCATGATGTTGGCAAGAAACAACCTAGGATCCTGAGCCTCGCCAGAGTGGCAGTGCCCAGGTTTGAGGCACAGTCGGGCGTTCCCTGGTAGCTGCTACATCATTGGGTATCTCAAGCTGGTTTGACACTGCATCAGCAGTGTCAGGGCCAATTAAATCAGGAGTATAAATTACAGGTACGCACTTCGTGTCCCTCTTCCACGCAGTTGCCTGTCAAGGCGGGAAGGTCCACGTGGTGTATGTAGTGGAAGGAAGACTAAGGCGTGGTCATAAGAGGTCCTTACTAGACACGCCTTGAAATCCCAATGCATAGGTCAATTGAGGAAATATCTAGCATAAAATACAACGAAGCATCAGCCGATATCAGGTCCCAGATTACGGCTTCAAGCGGATCTCTTTAACACCGGTGGTCTTCTCAATATCATCGAGAATGTCGTGGATATGGGAAAAGCACCCAATATTCCCATGTTTAGGGCCACCACAGCACATTCCGACCACTTCGCCGGTCATGGTATAAACGAGAGCACCGCAGTCTCCTCGCATGGAAAATACTTCCTTGCTGTCATTCGAAACAACAGTGTGTTCCCAGGTTATTTGGTCTTCCCAGTTTCCATCGACGTAGGTCCTTGCAATCCTTGCCTTTGCGAGCCCATTGTATCTGCCTGTCGTGTCTCCAGTCTGGCGCCCGAACTTGTGCAGGATCCACGAGCTGTCCAGGTTTCTTCCGCGAGCAAGGGGTTCCATTTTCTCGACATGTCGAAGCTTGGAGAGCTCGGCGAACTGTCCTGTTAGCCAAACAGCCAACTCAAATCTGTTGCTGACTTACCTTATTTTTTCCCAGGGAGCGCCCTAAGAATGGCCTGATAAGAGCCCAGTCTCTCACAGTAGGAAGCATTGTTGGATTTGGGCTTATGGTGGATGACACCTGTCGAGACCCTGATGCCGCAAACACTGTGCCCAGTCTGTGTCCACCTTGATCAAGGTATCCCTGCATATACTCCTTGTCCGCATTGTATGCCCGAACGAATTTTTTGTGCCTTTTCCACATGTCCATTTCCGGGCCATTCACATATTCGCCCTGCCCCATTGCACGACTAACTTTCTGGTACTCAACTGCGTTTTCTACGCTTGAAACCACATTGTCCAGATCGGAGATTCCGTCCTGGATGTCACGTTGGGTTGGAGAGTCTATGATTAGGAGTCGAGAGGCGTTCTTGTCGGTGATGCGTACGCCGTGGCGGTTCCAGTCCGAGAAGACTTGGACATCCTTCTCGCTATAACGCTCAAGGTCTTTGTCGTTTGGTATGGTGCAATGGTAGCAGGTGAGGGCGAACTCTTCCCATTCTCCTGTTGATGGGTTCTTGAGTTCAATAAAGCTCCCAAGCGTACCCTGGTCCTGTAAACCATTCAGCCCAATGCTAGACCCGACATTGACCTCAGATGTACAATCTTCTGGAAGTAGGTCTTTTGTGAAACGTTTGTCCTGATCAACTGGCGATATATCCCTCCGGATGATCACACCAACGGTTTGCAGGTTGAAGTCCATCAAAATATCCACGATCTCATCGCGAACTTCACTCCAGTCGCGACGACTTTCCGGGACAACCGCTACCAATATGTGCGGCATGCACGAGTCACGACTCTCTTCATTTCCCATCCGGTGGCAGCCCACGGACATCATGTCTCCAAGCCCTACTCTCGCAAGGATCGTGCCGCAGACATCCCCCCAGATCGGATAGATATCGTCGCTTGTTTTGCATGGGAAAATGTATGGTCTTGTATCGAAGCGCTCATCAAGCAATCCCACTGCCACCTCCCCCATACCGCGGCTGTCTAGGTATCTCCAGGCCTTGCGCGCAAAGTCCGCCCAGCCCCTGTCGGTAGGGTTCTCTCTGTGGACTGTAAGGAGCATAGTGGGAAGTGGACTTGCCCGTCTGCTGTCCGGCACTCGCTTAACGAAGGAGAGATCGCTGACGGCGATATTGCTCTGTTCGGCCATGGTCAGGATTGCATCGCGGTGCTCGTCTTGGACATGGAGGGGGCCGTACAGATGATGGTCTCTTGGTATGTCCAGGATGTAACATGGTGCCTCGCAAAGATTTGGTCCACCGGCACGGAAGTCTTCTTCGACGAAGCCATCTATGCAGGCTTTGTCGACTGAGGATCTGTTTGTTCTCTTGTGGCGGAATGCTCCGGCCATGGTCGGGCTGAGAACTGGAGACGCGTAGCTGGCCTCGCAGGGTGAGGGATAAACTATCGCAGACTGCATATTGACAGGAGGCTCTCCAATATGCTGTTTAGATAGTGAACGGTGGACTGTTTCCCTCACAGCAGGTATATCCAGCTTTGGGGACAGGTTGATATGTGAAAGGAGAGGAAGGAGAGAGGCAGCCTTTATATAACCCTCTCATATTATCGCCACCACTCATTCATGGTATATGGAAACTCTGCATTCCACTGTACAGTTAAGCTTTTGTTGAAGCTTACTCGGTGTCACGGTTCAGTGACAGGCACATTAAACCCTACTTCACATGATTGGACAGTCCTCGGTCATGCCCTGTCTGGCCACCATAATATTCTAAATTAAGACCTAGTCTGAGTGAACCAATACTGGAATGACTGCCAGGCACCGAAGTCTATAGTTGTATACAAAGCGGATGGCAAGTTGAACCGACCGGAGGTGCGCATGGAAGGTTTAGACGAATTGCCAGAATAGGTTAATATACGAATATAAACTAACTTGTAATGGCAATATACACTTCACCCCGATAACTATAAAGCCATCACGGCCTCATCTTCATCTCTTCATCTCTTCATCGCAAAGCAATCAGTCAACAATCATAATTAACTCTACAATGTCTTCCCCAATCGATCTCCGCAACCCCGGCCGTCCAATCCACATCGGCGTGGTCCTCCTTAACTCGTACATCTCTACTCCGATACTGTGCAATACTGTCCACTACTAACATCACAGGGTCACCGAACAGCTCGACATCGCCCCCGTCGGCTTCTTCTCCGGAATCAGCGCAAGTTTCCTCAAGGATGTCCCTCCAAACATGTTTCCGGACGAACTCAAAGCCCAAGCCCTAGACTTTGTCTTCCACTGGGTCACCGAGACCGGCGATGCCCCTGCTGCTTTGACTGGGAATATGAATGTCGTTCCAACTGTACCTAATCCTTCCCAACATGCTTCATTAGGCCTGGTATTAATAAAGTACAGGACTCCTTCACATCCTGCCCCCAGCTAGACATCGTCCTTCTCGGCGCGACAAAAATAAATTACCACGCCAGCGAAACCGAAAAGGCCTTCCTGCGCAAGATCCACGAGTCCTGCGCCGCCTTCCTCTGCGTCTGCGGTGGGTTTGACCCCGTCCTTTCTGCTGGTCTGCTGGAGGGTAAAACTGCTACTGCGCCGCGCTTCCTCCTCCCTAGTCTCCGGGAGTCGGCGCCTGGCACGAACTGGGTGGAGAGGCGGTATGTGGTTGATGGGAAGATCTGGACTACGGGGGTTCTCCTGAATGGGCTGGATATGGTGGTTGCATTTGCGAAGAGTGTTTGGGGAGGAAAAGATGGGGACGATGGGAATGGCAAGGGCGGGCTTGTGGATGTTATGGCATCTGGCGGGGGTTGGCCGCAGAGGGATGTCGAGTATCGCGATGACAATGCTCCGCCTCTTTTTAAGGTCTAATATTGGTGTCGATTCGTATAATATTAGTCAATCAAGGCTTTTATCCGTATGTTCTAGATAATATCACGCACCCGCCCAATAAACTCCTCCACATCATCAAGAAACGCCTCCGGCATCTCCAACGCAGCAAAATGCCCACCCTGCGTATGTCTGCTGAATAGCGCCAGGTTCGGATAAATCTCCCTCGCCCATGATTCCGGTAGCATCGCCATGTCATACGGATACTGCGAATACCCCAGCGGTTTCTCCTTCGATATCGGATGCCGTTTCCCGGCTAGGATGTTCTTCACCAGCGCGGCGTGGTAGAGCCCGCGCGGGAATGTCGATGTGAACCAGTAGAAACTGGCCATGCCTAGGATTGTGTCGAGGGGGAGCGGATGGCGCGGGTCTGTCCATTCGAGGTGTTTTTCGCCGATCCTGATGTTGTTAGTTCAACGGTAATATCAAAGGCAGGGGATGGTACGCACCAGGCTAGTAAAGCGAGCGGGTTAGAGGACACGACGAGTCCGATTGTTGACGGTCTGGTTCCGTGTTCAAGGGCGTATGCGAAGCCCGTCTCTTGCCAGCGCTCTGATCGTTCGAGATGCGCTGCTTCTTCGGGCGTTATATCGTGGGTTTCCGGCGCTGGGGGTGTTTCGTCGGTGTTGAGAACCAGCATGTTTACTATACCCGTTAGCTGTTATTTGCAATGTTAGGTGTGAGATACATACCGTGAAGCGCTTTGCATTCCTTGTACTCCACGCTCATCATCCGTGCAAGCATACTGCCCAGGTCTCCTCCCTGCGCGATATACCCATCAAATCCCAGGTCAAGCATCAGCTGGTTCATGATCCGAGCTGCACGGTCGAGGGTCATCTCAAGATCCTCGCTGGCACCACCAGATAATCCATAATCTGGTAATGAAGGTACAATAACATGGTACGGCAACATCTCGGGTGTATACTTCTCAACCAGCAGCCGCATCATAGGAAGGAATTCCATGAATGAGCCTGGGTATCCATGCAGGAAGAGAACAGGGACAGCATCATCTCGTTTCGAGAACAATGCAGCGAAGTGAATACGCACATCGCCTGCCTCGTGGTCGTGGATGGTTATTTTGAAATTGGGGACGCTGTTGATTTGTGCTTCGTGTGCGCACCAGTCGAATTTGTTCAGCCAGGTTTCCTTTGCGTGGGACAGCCACTCGCGTGAGACTCCGAATCGGCCATCGGTTTGTTGGTTCCACCATGTTGATGGGCCGATCTTGGAGAGTTTTAGCAGGTCGTGGAATTCAGCGAGGTCTTTGTCTGGGACGTAGAGTGTGAATGGCTCTGGTTTGATGGTAGTGGTGGCAGGGATGGTGTTAAAGTTTGCCATTGTGGATGAACTGCAAAATAAAAATTAAAGAGCCAAAAATGAGTCACTTAAGTGAGTGTTGAATTGCTGTATGGATCATACCAGGTGAAGTTATATATTTAGGGTTCAGCCAGCACATCTGACTCATGACGACCACAGGACACTGCTGGAATCTTACAGAGCACTCTCGAATATTCTCAAATATTCTAGAAAATAATGTATTTTATTTCAGGTATACCAGCTAACACGATACAGCTGTCTAACAGAAATGAATACCGCTGTTCTCGCCAACAAGCCAGAATGAGAGAGATGAACTATACGCAATCGAGTTAGACCATCGCAGGCATCCACATGGAGCTTCACGTCAGCTCGTCTTACACTCTTGCAACCAACGCAATGGACGTCGACCCGAAGTTTATCTGTCCTCGCCCTCGGAACCCAAGAGCCTGCAGTAACTGCCGGTCTCGCAAGATACGATGTTTCCCTGGAAAGGACCAGAACGAAAAAGCTTGTCGACGGTATGCCTTTAAACACCATATGTAGGCAACCATTAACAAGTTAGATGCACAAAATTTGGCTATACATGTAGCTATACCAATAGTTCTCGATCTCGTCCTCAGTAAGTTGCTATCAATTCCTGTTAGGGCTTTGCTGAATACAAAAGACCAGGGATCTCTTCGCAGTCGTTGAATGGGAGTCCGCAGCATGACGGCGATATCATCTCTGGTCTTTTTCGAGATCGACCCCCGCTATCTGGAGGAGTAGATCAAGTGATGGATCTTCATCGCCGTGTATTCCAGGAGCAATCACACCAAGAGAGTCCACCAGATCCTATCTCTATACCAACCCCTGAGTCTGTCGGTCCATCTCAAGCCAAGGAAGATACGAGCATCAATATGCGAGAAGCAGACAAACTGCTCTCCCTTTTTAGAAAACGCAGTTCATACTTCCCGTTCATATATATACCAGATTCAACATCAGCTGCAGCAATGGCTGTCCACCAGCCCTTTTTATTACTAGCTATTCTGACAGTCTCGTCCTCTCGCACCCCACGCCTTCAGCAGCAAACAGACGAGCGATTCCGTCGGGTTATGAGCGAGCGAGTTATCGTTCATGGAGAGAAAGGCCTCGACTATGTTCAGGGATTACTGGTGTACATCGCTTGGTAAGAATCCGCAAAATCCAGCTCTTGTCAGGTCTGATCTATATAGGTATCCCCTTTACCTCAGACCTCTGCGCAACCAGACCCTGCAGTACCTCCAGATAGTATCAACTATGATATCGGATCTTGGTCTCGACCTAAGCCTCGAAGAAGAGAGCGAGGGCCGAAATGCCTCTCTCGGGTGTCATACCCTTTGTACTCTGTGAGACTCTGCATACTTTGTATAAATGGTCTCTTGCTAACCATTCTAGCATGTTCTCTATCGGGCGACGGTCTTACAATGTGCGCACGAGAATGGGAGCCTACCTCCAGGCTTCTTCAAAGCTTGATAGAAATGACCTTGCTATGCAGCATCTGCGTATCCAAGACCTTTCTGGACGCGTTGCTCGTTACAAGGCGAGTGTGCGAGAAACGACAAAGACGGCTTCTGGTTCTACCGACGAGGAACCAAGCATATCCCTAGAGGAAGTCTGTGAAAAGATGGTCTTGTTCACACATGAACTGGAGGATCTCTACTATGGTTTCCCGGCCGAGACTCGCAGCAGTAGTATGTTCTTCTCCGGCAGTACTTGATATATCTAACCGAATACAGTCTCAATCCGCCTAACGCGACAATTCATCAAAGTAACCATATCATCATTGCCATCATTCACTTTGAATCAAACACCATCAATAACTGATCCAGCCACAACCGACCTCACCCACGCAACCTCCCACTTCACCGAAATCCAGTCCTTCCTCGAACTCTTCCTCTCCATCCCACCAGATGAATACACTCACTTCTCCATCCGCGAATGGTCCCAGCTCATCATAATCATATCTCTAACATCAGAGCTCTGCTTCTTCCAAGTCCCGTTTCTCCATATCCAGGAGCTTATCCAGAGAACTACATGGGTGGAATTCCAAACACAGACACGCGCCAAGATGCTGATATACCTCGAAAGCCTCACGCACCGCATGGGTACCCTCTCTGTGTCCTCATCGTCTACTTACCCGGATTCTTTTTATATGTTCGCGTCTGTCCTAGGGATTCTCGTTCGTACCTATACGCCTGCAGCAACTTGTCCGCTAAATACTCCTTCCGGTACGGAGATACAGAACGGGGACCCGGGTATGAGTTCTAGCCGCTGCCCAGTATTGAACGGGAGTATCCAGGAGACGGACTTTTGGCGGGCGCTGGAGCGGAATGCTCCTGTGAGTGGTTCTTATGAGAATACGGGTAATGGAGAAGGGAATGTGCCTGGAGGTCTTGACTTAAGCGACCTGGTTAACCACCCCCAGGACTGGCCGAGTGTTTTTGAAGAGTGGGTTGTTGATCTTAATAATTTGCCCGAGTAGTGGTCATTATTGTGGTTTCTTGTGCCAAAATAGTGTTGGATAGAAGCTTAGGTAGCCTTACATGGTCATATGATAAGAAACAAGCCTATATATGCAAAGCAAGACAAATCAAGCTAGCACCGTAAACCGGCTTTCGTGGTTTCAAATGGTTGGCCAGAGCATGCGGGGGGGTGGCAAGACGAGCAGGGGTTCTTTGACTGTTTCGTTCTTCATTCGGCCACTCTTCTGAAGAGCAATTAGATCCCGACTGTCAGCCCGAGCCACGATCAGGCTCTAGCCATCAGGCCAGTGCCTTAATCAGGAGTAGGATCCCAATAACCGGGGACTTCTTTGTTCTTTATCAATAGACTTGGTGGGGAGGCTGTGTAACGGTCTATTTTGAAGTCTGCATTTCACCCAGCGGCCTATACTTAGTGGTATGTTGGAGGCAAACTTGCACAGCCTACACAAGGCTTTTGCTAAGCAGAACATCCAGGAGACGGAATGGAAGGGTTCGTTAGATCGTAATAGGACGAGGGCCGGGCCGGAAAGTCAGGGTTCGACTCTACAAGGCTAGATGGGGCCGTGCAGAGGGATATTAATAGAGCCTTAGACCGATGGCCCCAGCCTTACCAGCTTATCTTCTGCAGGGAAAAGAAGAAAGCGCAATATCATGGGGTCCAAATACTGGCGAATCATGGTGTCTGTGGGCGAGAAATGGTATGCAGCCTCTGGAAGAGTTTCCTGAAACCTGCTATTTCTGTTCTCCATTTGGACTTTCCAGGTTCTGCGGGGCTGTGCTTATGCGGGATACAGCCTTTTCTATACTGTAAAGCCTGGTCCGCTCATGAGGATGCTGCCATATCAAGGTATAGTAATGAGAGATAATAAAGAACCCAGATCATGCTGTTATATCGTCAGATATGTGTATTTCCAATTGAATAACCGAGTATATATTCCATCATCCCCCGGTGTCGACTTGGGACTAGCAATATCATAAACCACAACCGGCCGTATGAGTACACCTGGATTGACACCCGAGCAGCGTCAAGCGCTCCTTGAAGGCCCTGCCAGCCCCCCACCACCAGGGCAGGTCTCTAATCTCGATGATCCCCCGAATTCGTATCTGCAGTGGCGCGCTCTGTTCGTAACGCTGTGGACGGTGGCTAGTGCATGCGTTTTCATTCGCATATACGCAAAGGCGTTTGTGGTTCGGCGCTTTCGAATGTCTGACTGTACGTGTTTGTTTTCCGCTACTAAGGAAATGCTGACGGTCCAGATACTATGGTCTTTGCTTGGGTTAGTCGTCGAGATCCTGCGTGCTGCACTGCTAACTTGATAGGCGCTTTGTATGGGATACTCTGCATTAGTGATACTGTCCGGCAACGCCTCCTCTGGTGTAGACCAGTGGAATCTCCGGCTAAAGGATTTCATCTTGTTGCTTAAAGTAGTCCATATCAATTGTCTTAGTCTTGTCGCATGTTAACTTTGGCAGTACTACCAGATCGGCCTGGTGCTATTCGGGGTTTGCTCCTTCTTCATCAAACTCTCCATCCTCCTGCAGCTCATCGAAGTCTTCGGAATGGCACAGAGGGACTATTTCTTCTGGAGCTGTCACTGCCTGATCTGGATCAACTTCATATACTACTTCATCGGCACCTTCATTACTATCTTCGGCTGCAGACCCATTGCAAAAGCCTGGGATCCCTTCATCACGCACGGTTCATGCATCGATCGGTTCGCCCTTGTTGTCACTTCATCGGCCCTCAATGCCATATCTGATATCTTGATGTTTGTTCTTCCCCAGGGCCGCATATGGAGCTTGCGCGTTCCCATTGGGAAGAGGGTTTCTATCTCGGCGGCCTTCTCGTTTGGTTTGATGTGCGTATCCCACCCTCTATATCGCCAAAGTCTAACCCATCTAGGGCCTGTGTCTCTGGCGTAGTAAAACTCGCCTACGCTGTGATCATGAGCAAAACACCCAACAACACCTCCTACTACGTTAACCTAGTCGGTTTGTGGACGATACCTGAGATGGCCGGGGGAATGATCGCCGGATGCCTCCCCTCCGTCCCAAAAGTCATCCAGGGAGTCTTGCGGAGTCCCCTCGTATTGAAATGGCACAGCTCATTTCGCAATCTGATCCCTTCGTATTCGCGGGGTCAAATAAGCGCTGCAGCACATTCCCATGGCAATGAGCCGATGCAGAGAGTTATCAGGAATTCTTTCTCGGGGGTTGATCGGTTTCCGTTGTCTTCGTTTAAGAGTCCGATGGGGACTGCTGCTTCGACGACTCATTCTGTGGATTCGACAGCTGGTTCGACGGTTTAGAAATGAGAACGGGTGATTGCCGCTCACTACACCCTCACTTCGTATCCTCAACTATAAATAGACCAGTTTCAATCCCTCTTGCTGTACTCCGGAGTATGTTCGGACATACTTTAGCCTCGGGGCCGGCCTCGGGAGAGACTCGCAACTATCCACCTGCCTGCCACCGGGTCGGGCACCTCCTGGACTGGCAGCAGCTGCAGCTAACAGAAGGGCAACTGAACCTGCAGCAGGTCCATCGCGCTTGCCTTTAGTAGGGAACTGGTGGCGATGGACTTGTGGGAAAGCGCGATGGGCCGAATCGACCCGCATAGATCCGCACTTTCCTCACAGGGATGCACGGATTTCCTACCACTAGTTAGTACAATGTAGTATATCCATAGGACTCACAAGGCTCCAACAGTACTCAACTAGTTGTAGGTGCGGCACAGACGGTCGTTGTATCACCAATATCGAATCATGCAGCGCCGTAGACACCTTGCTGACGGGTTCGTTGATATTCTGACAGGGCTGATCGACAGCTGCAGGCCGTGGTTCAGCGCAGATCCGCTGGTTCTATTAATGATGTTCCGGGTTCATCAACTCTATCAAGTGATAGTCCAAGTCCGCGCGTTTCTAATTTATTTATTTCTCGCTGGTGTGCAAGTAGTTCCCGGTCGCTCGTGCCCGGCTGTCGAATTAGGAGGCCGGCAAACAGGCAAATGACAACCTTCCTCTCGGAAAACAGTGTGTAAGAAAATCATTGCGGGCGCTCAATGGCGGAACCAGACAGCCACGGACCAAAGGAAAAGGCGAGATCAACGGCGATGGCTTCACAGTGGAGCGGGCGAGCCACGACAGCGCAAAGAGAGTGGCCGCACAAGGCCCAAAAAACGGCCCCCAACGGAGTCAACCAGCAGGTCAAGACGAGGATCCGCCGCTTCTCTGCAGCACAAGGCCCAAACTTAGCCAGAGGATCTGCGATTCGCTGCGGGTGGATTTTCCACTGGAGAGGGAGAGTTCGAAGAGAGTTAGAGAGTCCCACTGGGGAGTTGCGTGAGTCCGTGAGACTTTCTTTGTCTCTCCACCCCGGCCGTCACTGGCGATGGTTATCCTCCCACATTATCTTAATTGCTCTTTCATCCCTCTGTATTTGCCTATTCACCTTTATTTCTTTCTTAATCCTAATATAATGCCTTCAACCTGACCCTCCGCTTTCGGCCGCATTCTCCCACCTGGACTACCACCCGCGACCTCACCCTCGCGACCTTCCCCGCGCGACTCTCGCCCTCTTCATGTCTCTCTCCTTCAGCTCTCCCGTCGGCCTCGCTCTTGCTCCCCATGGAGGCCCGTATGATGGTCTATGAGCCGGCCCAAAACCCCGACCCTCCCCCGCCCGCCGACTCCTCGCTGCCCGATAAGGATAAGAAGAAGCGTGTCCGACGATGGCATCACCGCGGCTTCACGGGCTGCTCGACTTGTCGCCGCCGCCATGTCCGCTGCGACGAAGCTTCTCCCACCTGTCGGAATTGCACACGGCTCGGTCTAGAGTGTGACGGGAGTCAGGGTCGCATGACGTTCAAGGTCTACGGACCGCCACCGCCGCCGCCGACCGAGCAACCTCCCCCGCCCAAGAAACGCGGCAAGTCACAGAAACGAGTGAAGAAGGAGGAGCCTGCGAATGATCCCGTCGACGGTGTGGTCGTCTCGCCGACGACAGTTACCGACTCGAAACCACTGGTCTTTCGCTTCGAAAACCCCGTTTTCTCCGTCGGCTCTGAATCCCCTCCCTCGGACGAAGATAATACCAAGGTGAAGAAGGAGTACGATGATGTCGATTTGGTGTTACTCCCGACCACGGGCAATTCGGCCCCAATGCCAATCCACTATCGTTTTCAACATGAAAAACTGCCAGTTGCGTCACTGGACAGCTTGCAGGGACGCTATTATACCCATTTCGTGAATGAAGTTGCTACGCTGCTGCTTATCTACGATAGCCCAACCAACGTAAACCCCTTTCGACGAAGTTTTCCCGATATCTCCCATTCGTCATTGTCAATGGCGAGCGCAATGGAAGCTCTGGGAGCGCTGCATCTTGCCAACACTTCCACTGGTCAGGATCGGAATGTCCATTTTCAGCATGCCATGGGCAAGTATGGCGAGGTCGTCAAGACCTTTAGAACGAGGCATGAAGTCACTCAGCGAGCACGGCTTCCAGACTTCGCCACCTGTTTATTATTAGCTCTGTTCGAGGTTTGTCTCTCTCCTTCGACTGTTCAACTGCAGCGACTGACTCAACCAGATGATGGACTCGCAGCATCACAACTGGGCGATCCATCTCAAAGGCGCCCGGGAGATTTACAAATTTATGTTTTCCCCGAACAGCGACGCCGCCCAAGAAGCCCAGCGCGTTGCGGAAATGAATCACCCACTCCGACGATTCCTCGTTTCCCTCCTCTCCTACCTCGATGTCGCCGGTGCGTGCGCCACAAGTGAAGGAACCGTCGTTGAAGGAAGCTACTGGAGAACACTAGGCGGCGGATGGGAATACAATCTAGGGATACCCAGCATGTCGGAAGAGAGTGCCGACAGTGGCTCACTGCAGGATCTGCGCCAATGCTGGTCCTCCATGATGGAAATACAGGTGGCCATTAGCTCCTTCGGAAAGGTGAAACAGTCTGGGTGGGTGGCTCCTGAACAGCAAGACCTCGTCTATCATGGTTTGTTGCAGCGACTAGTGCAATGGCGCCTCGATGCCCCGCAGTGCATACAGCAAATCGGAGAACTTGATGACGAGAGCCTAGCGCAGTATCCGCATCAAGGGGTTCTCGAGTATGCAGGCTGCGTTGAAGCCTACGAAAAGGCTACCCATATCTTCCTTCACAAGGTAGCCGCTGTCGCGCGACCCGATCTTCAGCCGCAAAGAGAGGTCCTGGCCGCTCTCAGTACCAGAATCCTCAACCTCATTAGTAAGTTGGCAAAGGATGTCGGGCGCCTGGCCGTCTGCTGGCCTCTCTTTATTGCGGGGCGAGAAAGCCGAGATGAACGTGAACACAAGTTTGTTCGAGAGACCATGATCGATATGCAAAGATATGGGTTTAAGGTACGATTTCTGCTTTGTATCAGAACTGAGCATTGCTAACCGCATTTTAGAACGTGGAAAAGGGCCTCGAAGAGCTGGAAAAGGCCTGGTTCAAACAACGCACATTCCCAGAGGGCTGGGTCGACACCATGGACGACGTCCGTTCATCCATCCTCCTTCCTTGACTTGACCTATACGTCTCTTACCATCGTGAAATATCCCATCATACAAATAAAATAATGGGGCCCTCAAAAAAGGCCTCCCGGCTCAACATGAGCTCGGCCCACCCAACACCAGCTACCGAAATGCTGGACGACCATCCCTCCATACCAAACTAGCCTACCCACCCAACAGGCTTACACTCAACCGACCTACCTAGCATACAATATGCATGAAACAATAACGACTATATATGTCTCCGATTTGAACTTCCAGCGGCGCGGAAAACAGGCGTTCGGGTAGGATAGGATACGGATACTATACGAGGACAGAACCTTGTTGAAACTGATTAGACCTGCTTCCGTTTAGACTTGGTATTGTTACAATACGAGGTAAATTCATAATAATGCCCGCAGTTGGGACCTTTTTCCTTCTGAATGAATATAGATACAGATACCTAGTTGCTTATGTATCTTTGTAATTCATGTTCGGAAATATATAAGGTTAAGTAGGTTGGGGGAGCTGAATGTAGAGCTTGGAGGGCCGCCCCTGGATGAAAGTTAAGGTGGAAATAACTAGTTACCCCCGCGAGGTCCTTACAGTAAGGTAGGTTAAAATTTTTCGAGGATCTGAAAGGGAAGTTGGGAAATACTCTAGGTTTTTCTGAGTTCTTTGGGTTATTACTGGGCTATTGCTGGGGTTTTTTGGGTTTTTTGGGTTAGACCTATAGAAAGGTGGATCTTATAAACCAATCAAACCCTATTACGTTTAGACACTGCCTTTCCGATGTTAATATATCACTTTTACTTTAATTTACCCGTACTCCCTACTCCTAAGGTTGATTCACTCCCTATTATCCCTAGATATTATTGCTTAGTGGGTATCTACCTTCTTCTTTACCTTCTTAGTTATCTACCAGGCTAATTAACCATGTTACAAAGTCAGTACTCTAACTTTATATCCTCCCTCTATAATAGTGAGATAGATAATCTTAGCTATTTAATATTATTAAATCATACTAGTTAACAGTCCGGGAGATGGGTCGCGATTTGCTTCGGGATTTTGGCTCTGGTTCTGGTTCTGGGCGCCTATGGTGGTGGCATTAATCAGTGGGTTATGCTGCTGCTTGCAGCATTCCACGCATTTCAGGAGATCTTCTAGCAGTGTAGTGAGGGTCATCAGGAGCCTGAATTCAAAGGACCCTGGAGCAGGGGTTAGCAGGAGAGAGGAGAGTTAGGTTAGCTCGGCTATACAGGAGCAGTCCTGGTACAGTTAAGCATAAGGAATGTTCTTCGACATGGCGTATGAAGGTGTTGCTTACTGGCTGGTTCGTCCAGGACATCTCTAGAGAGTTGGTGGGATGGAGGGGTTTCTGGAAGGTGAGTATTAACAGCTGCTTCTTATGGTGTTAGTCCTGCAGGGGCTTGGCGGATTAATCCTTTCATAATAAGTCTTTCAATTTATGCTGAGGATGTACAGTAAACATCACCAAAAATACCACACGACCGCCCGAAACAGGTCAAGTTGTGATAGAACAGAGAGAATACTATCTATGGCCGTGGCTACAGAGGATATCGATATGAGACTGACAGCTACGACTTGACGCCATGTAGGTATCTTATTTCTATAAGCCAATGTTAATCAGCCATCTTAGCGGCTGCAAGCTTCCTGCCCACACGGACCGTGCCATCAAATGCGCCCTTACTGGCGGGAAACAAGGATTCCTTAGTCTGGCTGGGCCAGCATGGCGAGACCTGAACCGATCAGAGGCGAACCTGATCACGCACTAGAGATTGTTGCTACCTTGATGTTGATTTATATGCTTAAACCAATCTCTCCTTGAAGATATATCAAGATAATATACACATCACGTGGAAAACTAGAAAAGCATAGTTATAACGCTGCTAATCGCACAACTTTCTTCTAGGAAAGGCCAGTAAAAGCCGTAAGACCTTCAAAGTCCACCGCCATGGCCCGGGCAAAGGCATCGACTATACAGGGCATCCATTTATTTCTGAAAGGCTATTTGCTATTTTATCACCTCGTGAAAATGCGGCATAGAGGCTACAACCATACATAACCGCAGGTGTATCCAATTCATTATTGAGGATGGTTATCTTGTGCATATGCCTCAATCTCGATCCTCATCCCATCCAATGCTAGCTCCTTAACTCCTACACACGTCAAGACAGGCTGATGATTTGGCATCCACCTACGGAGATTCTGCACCAGGAGCTCGACGACCTCGTCGCTCGTGTCGAGAACGTAGATGCGAACTCGGTACACCTGGTCCCAGCCCCTGCCTCCCGCATCCTTGAGCGCTAGCTCGACATTGGAGAACGCTTGCTCGAATTCTTTTGGCAAATCGGCATGAACTTCGCGGGTGTTTGGATCCCAGCCGCCTGTGACTCGTTAGGGAGAAGAGCTTGAGCAGAGGCTGACGACGTACCCTGGCCAGCGATCTCGATACGATCGCCAATACGCACAGCCTGGCTGTATGACAGGACCTTACGCATGTGTTCGCCGAAGCCTTTGTAGTTGAAGTATTCGAGGTGAGACATGTTTCCGTGACCGAAGGTATTAGAGCTGGGATCTAAGCTTCTTAGGTGGGGGAGGAGACTGTCTGTCCTTCAAGGTCTAGAATAAAACTTATATGAATGATGTGAGCTACAGCGACAAGCTCCCAATTTATATTCTTCGACGCCAAGCTCGCGCGCTGACTGCTTTGAAATCCAAATTGATGAATAAACGAGCGATGGGTTTTATTCTCATGCTTATGACTGCCAATGCTTGGCTTGATAAGCCTGAGATGACACAACGCACGGTACGAGACAAAGTTAGGCGTCCGATGTCTTACATTAGTGAGCAGACCCTCAGGAGCTCTTTGGATGGGTGCTGTCTTGGTTCTATACTCTGCGATATATCAGTTTGGGTACTAATCGAGGCGCGACGACCACTGACTTAGCCCTAGTTAAGTAACTAAGTGGTGCTGGTGAATTGCTCCTTACAGGTTCCCACGCCTATCCTCTGTGTTCTCGGCGGAGAACAGTTGAGCGTGGCAGCTGATTCATTAGGGCAGGGATAGACTGCTGGATCTTGCATATATCAAAGTGACGGACACACTAACCCAGGCCCAACCAGGACCCAATACTGGGGCCCCAATAAAACCCATTAAGCCCCAACTTGACCCAACTTTTGCATAATTTTGATCATAAAGCTGCTCAGTCATCAAAATATCATGCTGTTTTTTACATCTGTTCGATGTTATACCAACTATCACCATATGTTCGTAGTATGAATCTTTTGAAAAATTCACGAAATAACTTTATATTCCTTTAGGGTAGAGCTAGTTTATAGCTAATTACCTATTAAAATGTTAAGGTTAAGTAGGTTGGGGGAGCTGAATGTAGAAGCTCTACATTCTAGCTAGTGATTGTAGAAATATATATTTACATAGTAGTGTGCGGATGCATCCCCCAGGGACTCTACCATCAACCAAACTAAAATTTAACTTTATCCTCTGAGCCCGAGCCTGATAAGGGCACGGTTTCACCCCTCCAACTCGTGCAAGCTGACGTGTCATATCAATTGCTAAAGGTCTCGACTTCGTCGTAGTACACTTGGCCAGCGGGTTTTTATTCCGATGCCGCCATGCTTCCTTCCGAGTATAGCCGAGGTCGACGGCTAAAAGCGTAATTCGCTCATACTGAAGAGTGCAGGTGGCTCTTTAGCTTTCCATTACGTGTGCAGTTAGTGTGATGCGCATGTCGATCAACTTAAAAAACGGTTTATCCCATTGATCAGCGATGCAAATAAGTACAGAGGAGGCTTGGTCTGTCTATGGACACGGCTGGAAATAAACAGGAACAAGAGGGAAAAAAAAGAGAATCGCTAATTGCCCGTATGTGCATATGCAACCGGTTCCTACCTCACCCTACTTACGGCCCTCGATACTGGCTTTGATGGCTGCGGCAAAGGTTAGAATTGATTCTCGTGTATATTTTAAGGAGTCCATAGTTAGCTTACCATCGCACGAGGTCTTTGCGTCTCCGAAGAGCATCCTGGTGTTGGGCTTGTAGAACATCGGGTTGGGAACATCAGCTGTGGCTAGTTAGCATTGCTCGATCATAAAGATTTTTGTTGCGTACCGTATCCGCTGGACATGCCACGCTTCATCACGATAACCTCCTTGCTCTTCCACGCTTGCAGCACGGGCATGCCGGAAATCGCGGAGTCGGGTTCCAGGGCGATAGGGTTAACTGTGTCGTTGGCGCCGATCACGAGGGTCACGTCCGTGTCCGCAAAGTCGTCGTTGATTTCATCCATTTCCAGCACAACTGGGATAGTCAGTAACCGAGCCAAATAAAGGAGAATCGAGTACTAACTGTCGTAAGGCACGGATGCCTCCGCGAGCAGGACGTTACACTGCCCTGGCATACGTCCGGCAACGGGATGAATGGCGAAGCGGACTTTGACGCCCTTGGCACGTAGCATGTGCGTGATCTCGGCTAGGGCGTACTGCGCCTTTGCGACGGCCATGCCGTAGCCAACAATCTGCAGGTGTAAGCAGAAGTATAGAACCAAGAGCAAGTGGATATACTTACGATGATGACACTCTCCGCGTTGGCTAGAGAATCTACCGTTTCTTCGACATTGATTTGTGTAACCTCACCCTCGATCTTCTTTTGAGATTGTTGAGGGTTCGATATTCCACCAAACAGCACGTTCGGCAAAGATCGGTTCATTGCGACACACTATATAATCAGTACAGGCCAGCTGTAAGTTTGATGAGACATACCATTATGTACGACAGGATTGAACCGCTGACTCCGATCAAAGAACCCACACTCGTGAGGAGCGGATTGTTGAGCATAAACCCTTCTGCAACCAAGGCGAAGCCGGAATACGCATTAAGCACGGTAATAACAACAGCTACAGTTGTTAGCAAAATTCAATAGAGGTACCGCTGTACGTACGCATATCTGCGCCACCAATAGCGGCAGTCGTGGTGTAGCCCTTTAGGAAACTGAGAGCAGTATTGGCCGACAGGCATGTAGCAGCAATAACAGGGTTAGCGGGTGCCATGGTGACAAATGCGCCCATGGTAGCTATATTGCCTCCTAGCAAGGTTGAGTTCACCAAATGGCGACCGGGGAGAATTGTCGGCCTAGAGGACATGCGGCCGGCGAGTTTAAGGAAGGCCACAATAGAGCCAGTGAATGTCACACCACCTAAGCGAGTTAGAATACACTATAAATCAAAGTATCCGGGCAAAATACCGATAAGGACTCCGAGATATGCAGTAACTAAATGGAGAGTCGAAATATCGTTTATGTCAGCCATCACACTCCCTGCGCTTGTGAGCACTGCTGCGAGGCCAACAACGGAGTGTAAAGCGGCAACAGTCTGTGGGAGTCCAGTTGGAGTAATACGGCGTCCAATCAATGCCCCTGTTGGCTGTTAGTGGAATAAATGTTAACGCGATAGAGTAATACTGACCAACAACTGCACCTGCACTGGCAACACCGGCGAATTGAGTCAATACTTCAGGAGAAAAGCCGACAGCTGCTAGCGACGCGAGAATACCAGCAGCGACGCCGAGAATACCGAAGATATTTCCACGGCGCGCGGTCTGCTGGGAAGCAAGGCCGGAAATAGAGCTGATACATAGGACACTGCTGACTAGATATCCGGCCTGAACGAGTCCAGCCATACCAGTCCCTGCAGCAGCCAAAAAGCCACCACCAAAGATAGTAGCCGGGATAGCATACAACCAGGGGTACTCGGGTGGATCAGTAGGACGCTTGAACATATCAAGCATGCGCTTAGTGATAACGAAACCGCCTGAAACATTCATGAATGCGAGAAGAACAGACACGGATCCTAGCAATTCCGGAACGGTTGTGGGAAGGTAGCCACCACCCATGATGAAGAATCCGCCAACACCAACCATACCTGAAATCGCGTTGGTGACACTCATCAAGGGGGAATGAAGAGCAGGCGCAACACCCCAAACGGCACGATAGCCGACAAGCCCGGCCAGGCCAGCTGTTAGCATGTTGCTCATAAAGATCGGTCCAGTTGCTTTGCCCAGTGCGAGAGCAGTTCCCATTCCGGCGGTGGTAGTTGTGACCTCACGAGTGGCCTTTTGCCATGGCGTCAAGGCCAGCTCTGCCTTTGCTGCGGACGGGGCTGCTGCTGCTTCCTTTTTTGCAGCGGGTGGCGGCGCAGCCCGGGGTACGGGGGGTAGGATTTCACCATTATGAGTCACAATTGATCCTCGAACCACCTCGTCCTTCAAATCAACACCGAAGGACTTTTCCTGGGGGGCCATAGAAAGGAGGTACTTGGTGATGTTGTTGGAGTACAGCGAGGACGATTGGGCTGGTAGGCGAGATGGGAAATCGGTGTAACCTGAAATCATGTTTAAAACATAGTCCCTATCACGCATGTTGAGAACTCACCAATAACGGTAACATCGTTGTAGGTAGTCAATTTTCCGGGAACAGTTGCCTCGCAGTTCCCGCCAGCCTCAGCTGCTAGATCAACAATGACAGACCCGGGTTTCATAGCCGCGACCATCTACTCAGTATTATTAGACCGATATCCTTCAATGACCATATCAGACCTTACCTCTTTGGTGACCAGCTTCGGAGCCCGCTTCCCTGGAATCAAAGCAGTAGTGATAATGATGTCAACCTCGCGGGCCTGTTCCATGAAGAGTTTCATTTCTGCCTCGATGAATGCTGGTGACATTTCCTTCGCGTAACCACCTTGGCCAGCGCCATCTTCCTGGATGTCTACTTCGATAAATTCGGCACCAAGCGACTGAACCTGTTCTCGAACCTCAGGCCTAGTATCGAAGCCGCGTACTATTGCGCCCATGCGCCGGGCGGATCCTATAGCACTCAAACCGGCGACACCAGCGCCGATCACTAAAACCTTGCCGGGAGGGATCTTTCCAGCCGCGGTAGCCTGACCGGTTAAAAAACGACCGAAGTGGTTCGAGGCTTCCAGAACAGCCTTGTAACCGGCAATATTGGCCATCGAACTACATCACATTAGACTAAACCGCGACAAATCATGGGAGAGCTTACCTTAGAGCGTCAAAAACTTGGGCGCGTGAGATGCGTGGAATCATGTCCATTGCGAAGCTAGTCGCGCCGCGTGAGGCAATCTTATCCACCAGCTCCTTGTTTTGGGCTGGGTAGAGAAACGAAATGACTGTACTGCCTTTGTTCAAGGCCTCGATCTCGTTGAAGGCACCATCATGCTGAGGGCCACGGACTTTCAAGACAATGTTACTCTGAGACCATACAGTAGCTTGGTCGACCAAAGTAGCGCCGGCTTGCTCATATGCTTGGTCGTGCAGCTGGGCACCTTCGCCGGCTCCGCGTTCTACCAACACACGCGAGACGCCCTTCTTAAGCAGCAAGGCAACATTCTGAGGTGTAAGCGCGACCCGGCGTTCGTTCGCAAAAATCTCACGAGGCACTCCGATCGTCAAAGAAGCGTACGGAATAACAGGAACTGCAGACGGCGGAGAGGCACTGGTCGCGTACGATCGAGGACTCTGTGAATGGTATTGCCAGACTGACTCATGATGCTGGTGCGAGGGCCGGGAGGAGTGAAGGCGGACAACTTCGTACGAGCAGTGTTAGTAGCTTGTTAACTGACTGAGGACAGTTGACTCACACGACTGCTTGACTGAAATGTACGACCTGCCTGGGAAGGTACTAAGGACCGCTCGACACGGTCCCAGAGCCGACCGCAGGGGGAATAATACACTCATGTTGCATGCAAGGCCTCAGCCAGAGAATGCGCACTGTGTCACCGACAACGGGCAACAGAGCTCATTCCAGAGGAACACTGAGGAGAGGAAAGGGATGGGTGTTGGCAGCCCATCTAAAAAGCAGAGGAGGAGGAAAAGAGGGGAAGCAGTGCCCAGAGGGTATTAAAGGAGCTCATTCGAGCTCGGAGGAGAGTGGAGGACTAGCGGCAGGCTGTGACTGAGCAGGACTTGGAAGAGGAAGAACCGAAGGAGAAGGAGAGGGGACGGCGTTGCGGGGAGATCGCCGGCACAACCGCAAGGGCGAACAAAGGCGCATTCTTCCACGAGTCGCGCCCTGGGACGGAGAATCGCCGGCACAATCGGGCAGCACGAGGCTACTCGATGAAACGGTGCCGCTCACGGTGCGACCAAGACTGGCGCTCAGACATGGGCTGTAGACTTGCTCTGTGACAGTGAATATACTGACCAGAGAGCACGCGCTGGATCTGAGGATTGTCTCGTCTCCACTTGGATTCTGGAGAGCCGAAGAACTCGGTAAAGAAGGACAGCAGATGACTTCACTCTATCAAGTTCTCCGCCACATTATCCTGTAGTTGTACAGTGAGGAAGACTGGATTTACCCCACGACCGATCAGGTGATACAGCATGGTTCTCCGCATTGTGCCACTCGCTGTGCCTCCTCCTGGTGTCACGGTTATGGCGTTATCAAGGCTGCCGGCTTCCAGAAGGCTTCTACTATTCCCGTTTCCAACTGCACTGATTCCATGTGACACCGTCAGTAGTTCTGCCCCACTAAATTGAAAGCTGCTGAAGCTGCGGTTCGGATCTCCGAGGTCCACATCGAGTCATCGACGTCGCTGCCTTATAGCCTCAGGTGTCTATCGGGCACGTGACCCCATCGTCGACGAAGAAGAAGAGTCGAGACCAGACAATTAAATCCCACGCTCAAGTCGAATTAACCCGATGAAAGCCCACAAAACAACCTTGAATTATTGGCCCACACCGTTCTCCATTCTCCGGCCCGCCAATGGCTCCGACTCAAAGTTTTCACGGTGGGTCGTCCTTGATTCTTACCCTTGCTTGCGTGACAGGCTGCTGAGTGCTGACCCTTTGTTGGAGATAGTCAACGCGATGTCGAGATCCTGTCATATTAATCTGATACCATGATCACACGATCGTCGTCGTTCAGCTTCAGAATACCTATAGCTTTCTCGGTCGAGTTCTTGTCCACCGCGCACCGACGCCAGTCTTAGTGGCCCATACTAAGCTCTCGGGCGCGACCCACGGAAGCGCGGGCCATCCATTCGCGCTGCGCAGGCACAAGAGGTGGATGCGACAAACGTTCCTGGAATTACGAGCAGCCAAATTCTGCGGAACAGTCATCTCCGACCCATCTCATCATCAACGTCAAGAACCACGTCAATTTCAACCTCCCATATCCTCGCAGCTCACTGGCTTGTCCGATTCTGGCCTGAAAAGCCGAAACCTTCGGCATGATCTAGCTCTTGTCAGCTAACTAACTTTTTACTTTTTCTGCTCGTGACCGGGTGGGGTTGCGACAGCGTCAATCATCAACTTCGGACAACGCGAAGAAGTTTTCTCTCCTGCGCTTTACCCTCCCTTTTGGCACAGATTGTGCTTTCGCGTAGTATCGCTGCTCGCGCGTTGGATCTCTAACCATGTCGTCACGGACTCACCATGACCAGCTCATCGAGCGGGACCCCGCTGGGGAAGATGTGAGGAGCCAAACGGAATCGCAGGAAGATGCAGCTCTCTTGGTAAGTTTGCGCACCAGATACCTCGGACGAATCTAACGTTTCCCTAGAAAACAATGGGCTATAAGCCGGTAAGTTCACGTCGGATCAACAAAGCGGGCGGGGCTTATAAGAACAGGTCCTACATCGGACATACTCATTTTTCGAAAACTTCGCCACGACATTCGGTATGTGCGGTGGAACATGATTGTGACTTGATTTCTAACTCTATTTCAGCCGCACTATACTTCATTGGTGGTGTACGTGTCACCTTTAGTACCGGTATTGCCGCTGGCGGAAACTTGGCTTATTGGTATGCACCGATCTTGTATACTGCCACGACAAGTCTAACAGGAGTAGGACGAGCTACCTCGTGACGGTCGTTTTCACGTTTATCACTGCAGCCGTCATCGCAGAAGTCTGTTCTGCCTCGCCTTCTGCCGGATCGATTTACCTGTGGGCTGCGGAAGCAGGTGGGCCGAGATTCGGACGACTCCTTGGATTTATCGTCGCATGGTGGTCGACCACTGCGTGGACAACGTTCTGTGCCAGTAACACTCAATCAGCGACAAACTATCTGCTATCCGTAGGCGGCCCAATCGGAATTCATGGATACGTACTTACCCGGCTTCAGGAATTGACTGTGTTTGATGTCGACTTTCCCAAGGATGTGTCAGACGTCAAGTTCCGTGCTGTGCAATGGATCGTCACCGAGATTCTTCTTGCCCTGGCAGCTCTGCTCAACTTCATGCCACGTAAGTCTCACTCATCAACCGACTTGCTCAAGCTAACGTCAACAGCGAGATATTTCAAATATGTCTTCTGGTTCTCCTCGGCGGTTGTTATGCTCGACTTCTTCCTGAACGTCATATGGCTTCCGATTGGGACAGCCAATACCTGGGGATTCAGAACTGCCGAGGAGGCCTTCATGTCCACGTACAACGGAACCGGTGCTCCCCCAGGATGGAATTGGTGTCTCTCCTACCTTGCCACCGCCGGTATTCTGATTGGATTCGACGCCTCCGGTCACGTCGCGGAGGAGACCAAGCACGCATCTGTGACCGCCGCGCGTGGTATCTTTTGGAGTACCGTAGCGAGTGGAATTGGCGGCTTTGCAACCATTATACTATTCCTCTTCTGCGCAGTAAGTCTGCTTGACCGTATTGAGAAACAACGATTAACACAGTTAGCCTACTGCCGACACGCTCTTCGGATTTGGTTCGCCCCAGCCTTTCGTGCCTCTCTACGCGGTTGTACTCGGAAAGGGCGGGCACATTTTCATGAACATCATCTGCATATCTGCCCTCTGGCTTGTATGTATCGCCTAATTCTATAAAGCAAGTCTTACTAACTAGCTATAACAGAACACAGCGATTGCCATAGTAGCTGCGTCTCGTCTTGTCTTCGCCGTTGCCCGTGATGGCGTCCTCCCATTCTCCTCTTGGGTCTCTGTTGTGCACAACGGCCAACCTCGCAATGCCGTTATCGTTGTCTGGGGAGTCGCGTCCTTGATCACCTGCACCATTCTCCCGTCGGACGTTGCATTCACTTCCCTTGTTTCAGCGGCCGGTGTCCCTTCTGCGGCAGCATACGGCCTCATCTGCCTCGCCCGTCTCTTCCTCACCCCGAAACGATTCCCGAAGCCCGCGTGGAGTCTTGGAAAGTGGTCCAAGCCATTCCAGGTGATCGGAGTGTTCTGGAACGGATGGGTTGTTGCGGTGCTCTTCTCGCCGTATGCATTCCCAGTGACGGGCCAGAACCTCAACTACGCCCCTATAATCATGGCCGGCGTGACCATCTTCGCCCTTATTTCGTACTTCATCATGCCGGAGGAGGCGTGGCTACCGAGGAACCGCATCTCGAATTTCGTCGATAGCAAGGGTGTTGTCAGCTCGACGGTGGATGAAGCTGGTGGCACATCAAGCGAGGCACGTACGTCGCCTGAACCAGAACCTCAGACTAAGAACCCTGCCCAGAGTTGATGTAGTCAACTGCACATGGCAGGATATATGGTTGAGCGTGATAATTGAGGTGGATTGCATGATGCAAACAGAATAGACTAATTCAATAGAACTAACAATAATAGTGGTTTTCCACGAAACTGGCTTCAATTCCTTACCTACATAATAGCCAGACTCAATATCTTGGTATAGCTTCACCCCTTCCCACCCTCTCTCCCTGCTATCTCCCCATCAAACGGATCAACAACAAATCCTTTAAATGCCCTAGCCTCAACCCCCCTCTCAAAAAGAACATCCAACTCAGCAAAAGTCCTCCCGCGAGGCTCAGGAACCCTCCAAAACGCCCAAACAAGAGAAACGACGCAAGTGCCCGCCCAGAAATACGCCGTCCGCGCGCCCCGGTCCCACCCCGTCTCCCCATCATCATTCAGCTGGTAGTTCGTGAGCACATTCACGGCAATATTGCTGATATTGTACCCGGCGCGCGCGAGGTTAATTGTCTTCGATCGCAGGCGCGTGGAGGAGAGTTCTGAGACAAGCGCATACGTTACGGGGCCTAGGGTTGTGTCGTAGATGAATGTGAATAGAATCAGCATGGCACCAATACACCATTTCGCTGCAGTGTTTGATTCCGGTGCGAATGAGAGACTCGCCGTTATCAACAGCAGTGTGAAAAGACAACATAGACCCAGGAGGTGGATGCTTCGTCTTCCGAGTTTAGCCATGAGGAACCATGACCCGATTGTGCCTATGATGCCGAGTGCGTATTGCGCCAGCGAGAGGTTGAAGGACTGGACTTCTGGTAATCCCGCCTGCACGCAGAAATAGGCGAAGTAGCCCATGAGATTCTGCCCGCACAGGGTCTGGACGATCCAAACGCCGCAGACGATCTCTGTGCGGCGGAGGTTACCACCTGCGTGTCTGAAGCAGTCGGTGTATGAGGTTCCGGCTGTGAGGGACTTTTCGAGCTCGTTGGTGTGTGCGATCATTGCGACTGTGGCGTCGGGGTCGAATGGTTCGTCTGATGAAGAGGTTAGGGTTAGACGCTGCAAGGCGTGTTTGGCGCTGGAGATATCGCCCCGTCGGACGTGCCACCAGGGAGATTCAGGAGCGAAGAAGATCCCCACGGCGAGTGGGAGGGGCCATGCCCATTGCACAGCGAAAGGGATGCGGTAGGACCATTGGTCTTCTCGTGCGAAGGAGGCGCGGTTGACGCCCGCGGCGATGAACTGGCCCATCACCCAGCACATGTTGATGTAGGTGGTCAGGTATGGGCGTAGCACGACGGGGCACACTTCGGCGGCGTATGCGGCTGGCAGGGTCTGGAAGACGCCCCAGGGGATGCCGGCGAGGATCTCGGCGGAGAGGAGCATGCGGACGTCGACGGCGAAGAAGAAGATGAAGATGATGGCGTTCATGGCGAGGAGGGCGCTGATCATGGTCCAGCGATAGCCCAGGCGTTCAGAGACGAGACCGCTGAGGATCAGGCCGATGACTTCGCCGACGCGCGCGCCGTTTGAGAGACCGGATTGCCAGGATGCTGGGATGTTCCAGTCGTCGCCGGATTGGACGCCGTATTTCTGGTTGAATGCTGGTGATGCGAACAGGGTTCCCAGTAGAGCGAGATCGTAGCCTTCCATGATGAGGGTTGAGGATAGCAGAACAGACCATGCCACAGCCTTTGGATACAGACGGAGACCCTGCCAGAGGGTCATAGTCTGCTCCTGCTGGGCAGCATGTTTGCCGTGGGCCAGGAATTGTTTGTGCTCGTCCATGGTCGATGAGGCTTATCAGTTGACAGGACTGGACAGAGTCAAGGGTCGTATTTAATCCATATATACACAATAAGACTATGCAGATCATCCCCGCACTCAAGACTATAAATCAAGCTGGTTGGCCACGGCGCCTCGTCGGGGGAAAGTCGGGGCAGCAGCCAATCGACATGATAGTTATACGCTGGTAACAGTGCGGGGTCTCATATAAGTCTCATCAACCATCTAGCTCAGTGTAATGATTACCATAGAAGAACTATGTCCGTCCCAACAGGCACCAACAACTGGTGGAAAGAGGCCACCGTCTACCAGGTCTACCCAGCCTCGTTCAAAGACTCCAATGGCGACGGCTGGGGCGATATCCCAGGCGTCATTGAAAAGGTGCCCTACCTGCAGTCGCTCGGTATAGACGTCCTCTGGCTCTCCCCAATGTACGACTCGCCCATGCACGATATGGGGTATGATGTATCGGACTATGAGAGCGTCCTGCCAGCGTATGGTACTGTTGGAGATGTCGAGAATCTCATTAAGGCCTGCCACCAGCACGGAATGAGGATTATCCTGGACTTGGTGATTAACCACACCAGCGACGAGCACAGCTGGTTCAAAGAAAGTCGCAGCAGCAGAGATAATCCCAAGCGCGACTGGTACTTCTGGCGTCCGCCTCGCTACGACGATCAAGGGAATCGCCTGCCTCCAACGAACTACCGTGGATATTTCGCTGGAAGTACCTGGACATGGGACGAGCACACACAAGAGTACTACCTACATCTCTACGCAAAATCCCAGCCCGATCTCAACTGGGACAACCCGGAAACCCGCAAAGCCATCTACAACAGCGCAATCCGGTTCTGGCTGGAAAAAGGCGTGGATGGGTTCCGAGTCGACACGGTCAACAAGTACAGCAAGCATACCGATTTCCGGGACGCGCCTATCACGGACCCGAACAGCTATATCCAGCCTGCGATCGAGATGTGGTGTAATGGCCCGCGCATCCATGAGTTTATACGAGAGATGTATGATGACGTTCTTGCGCCGTATGGCGATGTCGTGACCGTGGGCGAGCTGGCGAATACGCCTGACCCAGAGCATGTCCTGCGCTATGTCGGTGCGTCGGCGAAGCAGCTGAGTATGGTGTTCCATCTGGACGTCGGCCATATCGGGATGGGCGAGAGTCTGGAGGACAAGTACATCCTGCAGCCGTGGAAGTTGACAGAGTTGAAATCCATCGTTAGCAAGTGGCAATCCTTCATTGAAGGAACTGACGGCTGGACGACGGCCTTTTGCGAGAACCACGACAACGGGCGTGCTGTGTCGCGGTTTGCGTCTGATGCGCCGGAGTTCAGGGAGAGGTCGGCGAAGATGCTTGCGGTGATGATGGTCGCTATGACGGGGACGCTGTTCTTATATCAGGGGCAGGAGATTGGCATGGTTAATGCGCCTAGGGACTGGTCGATTGAGGAGTATAAGGATATCGAGGGGCTGGGGTACTATCGTGAGGCGCAGAGACAGGCTGCTGCCGGTGTGAGCCTTGATCGTCCAGAGCGTATCATGGACGGTCTGCGTGTTCTGGCGCGAGATCATGCCAGGCTCCCTATGCAATGGGATGATACTGCTGAGGCTGGATTTACCGAAGGGACGCCGTGGATGAGGACGCACGATATGTACCGCGAGATCAATGTGAAGAAGCAAGAGGGGGATCCGGATAGTGTACTCTCATTTTGGAAGATGCTACTACTCGTACGCAAGGAATATCGGGACCTACTTATCCATGGGGCGTTTGAAGTGGTTGACTATGAGAACCAGCGGGTCTTTAGCTTTGTGAAGTCGAGGAACACGCAACGGGCACTTGTAGTGCTGAACTTCACCCAGACCGAGCAGGCCTATTCGCAGAGAGACATAGGAGGGATGAGACTGCTGGTTAATAGTTATTCTGATGCAGCCTCCGAGAAACTGCGGCCATATGAGGGGCGGATTTATATAGGACACGCCATATAAACTCCAGAATAGTCAGCTATTGGATATTATTTCTGTAAAGCCTCGAAGGCATCCCCTCTCTCCGATTGCCATGTCATGTTGTTTTAATAGTATCCTGTTTGTTAGGATCCATAAGGAAGTGTTAAAGTGTTCTACCTAAGATATTGATAAGGAACAGCGGTATACGGACTTAATTACGGTCAATACCCAGATACCGTTTGAAAGTCGACCAAGATATTAGGATTCGAGAACGAGCAGCCTCGTCCATTGGTCCCATTGATGATTGCATAGGCAGGTTATAGCTGTAATATGTTTCACTCCATCCAGGGCAACCAATCCTGCATGCATATCTAGTGTGTTGACTAAGGATAAGTTGTTAACTATGTGCCGTTTCCGCCCCTTCTTTGGGCCTTAGCCGTATATTATTATCGTATGTCCATTATTATAGCAATTCCGGGCTAGTCTGCCAATCCCTCTGGTTTCTGGCAGACAGAGGGTCTGGTTGGTGGTGGCGTCGTAAGCCAAGTATAGCGCCTGAACTAAAAGCCACAAATTTACGAGCAGGGTTGATTGGCAATTATATCGGATAGCAGAGCCTAAGTTCCATCTCCCGACAGGTTCCCTGGGTAATTGAAACCCTCGACTCACCAAAGTATAATAGATAGACGACGACATATCCAATACTACCATATCCTAAGCCCGCGCATACTCAACCTGCCTCGCCCTCTCAACATCATCATCATCATCATTGCCTTTTTCATGAACTGCAGTCCCCAATACGCCCAAATCCGGTGCAAGCCTGTTCCCATGGCGTCCAACCTTCCACCAAGGCAGCGAGAACAGTTCGTCCGTACTCTCGAGTGATCTCCCCGCCAACTCAGGCACGAAGAACCACACCCAAACAAGCCCAAGAAAACTGACCACGGCACAAAACACGAAGAAGCCGTAGCTCTGCATGGCAAGAAGCATATCCGGCACGGCCTTGGTGTTCCCGAACTGGTTGACAAAGTGCAGACACATCACGAGCGAACTACCCAGTGCACGCAGCCGCAGTGGCCAGATATCCGCGTTGACCAGGTACTGGAAGGCATTCCAGCCCATTGTCCAGCCGATTCCGGAGATGTATATCATGGCGATGGCGCCGACGGCGCTGCGGTTCTGGGATGGGCTCAGGTGTCCCTCTTCGAGGGTCGATTCGCCCACGACGCCTAGGAAGATGGCGATGTAGGCAAGACTGATTGTCTGGATTGTAATTCCGATGTATAGTGATCGTCGGCGGCCGATGAAATCGATCAGGAAGAAGGCGCAGATGTACGCGGAGACGAGCTTGACGATCCCTAGGATGCAGCTTGCGAAGAGTTTCTCTGATTGTCCTGTTTTCCCTAGCGATTTGAAGAACTCGGGGGCGTAGATGGTGATCGATGATGCACCGCTCCACTGGCCTAGAACCTGGGACATGACGCCTAGCATCAGGCGATATCTGTTTGCTGGGATGAGGAGGAGCTCGCGGACTTTGCCCCAGCGTGAGACACCGCGGGACCCTTCCTGCTCGCGCTCGAGCTGCTCGCGGATCCCGATCATCTCGCCCTGGATGTAGGGGTGGCTGCTGTCTAGGTTGCGGAGTTTGACGAGGGCTCTCTCGGCTGCTTCGTGTTTGCCTGCGATGGTGTAGAACCGTGGTGTTTCGGGGATGGTGAACGAGAGGACGAGGAAGAACCTAGCTTGTCAGCACATAGTTAATACTAAAAGAAATACCGAGTAGTGACATACGCAGCGAACCCGATATGCGCAAACTGGGGCGCAACCCACTGCCAGCGCGAGGTATTAGGCAGATTCACCGACGCGCGCCAGTTGCTGAAGAACGCAATCGTTGCGCCGAGATACACCGAGCCGGCGAAGATATTCGTGAGCATACCGCGGACACTCTTTGGTGCAACCTCGGCAAGGTATGTAGGGCCGACCACGACCGTCATCCCGATTCCCAGGCCTGCGATGAACCGCCCGGCCAGGATCTGGGGGACATTGCCGTGGCTGACGACGACGATGATGAACCCGACCAGCCAGAGCAGGCAGAGGACCTGCAGTGATCGAACACGTCCGAGTCGGTCGCAGATCAAGAAGGCGAGGAGGGACCCAGCAATGCTACCGAGCTGGACCATGCTGGTGATGTTGGACAGGACGTTGGCTTGGTGGCCTTCAGACCCTTCTTCCAGCCGGAACTCATCTTTAAAGCTTTGTAGACTGGTCATGCCGCCGACAAGGCCTTCATCGAGTCCACGGCTGAGACCAAGGAGGCCTTGAATGTATTAGCAGGGTTTTATAATCGATTATCAAGGGCATACCAAACACCGCAGCACTCCAGAACAGCTTCCAGTTCAAGACCTCGCGCGGAGTATCACGCAGGCCCTCGGACTTTTCAATACCAAACCTCATTTTGGAGAGTGTATGGGATGAATTTGATGCAGCAGCCTGCGTCGTGGGGAATGGCACGATTTATAACCGGCCGTCCGGGCTATAGCCGAATGCTGGACAGCTGGAGAGGGATGCCGACCTATTATCTAGCCACGCGGGTGTCTCCACTAGAGCAGTTCCTTGGAGACAGGAAGACTCCTGTCAGGGGTGGAAGAATAGACAAATACCCCGTGGAGTGGGCGTGCGAGTCAGGCGTGGAGGGCAGGCTCGGAATCTGACCGAGCTCGACTATGCGCGCACTGATTGGCGACTGGATGTGATATTGATTCTAACAAGCATCAGATCTATTCCTGCCTGGGAATAGACTACCCCAACTTCCAGTGTGGCACTGACATGGCTTCCTGGGGTTGGAGATATCTCATTCCTCGCCTACACTCTACAACGAAACCTCCACCGTAGATTCAGTCGAAACTAAAGGCCTTTGGCACTCTCAGCTATACCGAAGCTCCGTTATTCTCCGAGAAAAGCTGCTTCAGATTCTCGTTCAGGGAATTGCCCAAGTTCTCAACGGTCCAGGTGTACTGATGGTCACTGCCATCACCAGTCGACTTGCCTCCAATGCGCAGATAGCCATGAATGATATCAGAACAGGAATTCCACCGGGTCGAATAGAAATGCCCCGTAAGAAGCTCTTTGCTACCTGCCGAAAACTGACGCCATCGCTATGAAGCTGTTGAGAATGCTGCGATGTGTTCGTCCTCACTTCGACCCACAAGGGCCCTGCATGTGGCGAGCTCGGTCAACTTCCGGCAGCGAGTGTTCAGCATGCAGCGAGATGCGAAGCTGGATCTGTCTGGGAACTTGCTGAATCTGCAATCTGTTTATCTCGCTTGTCACCCTCTTGCTCTGTCTCTTTCAAGGGGATGTTCCATTGTGGTTGACATGGGAAAAGCTAGTCGGACTATCAGATAGTGGTAGTTTCCAGTCCCAGGTACAATCAAATTCAGCTATATAGTACTTAAAAACAGTACAGTTGTCGATTTTGCTTGTCCAGCTAATTCCCAAAAACGAACGATTTGTACTGGTTGCTCGCCTCTTCCTCCAGCTTCGCACGGTAGTTGTGCAGCCCAGCCAGGAAAAAGGCACTGTATTTTGTCTTCCCTTCCACATTATCATTCTGTATCCACGACTTCACCTTGTCGAACACCGTCTGCTTGGATACGGCTTGGACAGTTTGCCACCACTGTTCTTGGGCACTGGCGTCCGCCTCAACTGACGGTAATCCCCCTGGTGCTCTCCTATTTGCCTCCTCAATCAGCTTGACGATGAAATCCCCCTGCAGCTCAATCGAGGGAAGCATATTTGCAAACACCGCCCCAGGGCCAGTGACGCTGAAGAAATTCGGGAAGCCAGCGACGCTGACGCCGTACAGCGTGCTGGGGCCGGCCTTCCATGCCTCGTCCAGGGTACCGTCACGCCCAGTGATATTGATGCTGCGGTATGCGCCATCCACGCCATCAAAGCCCGTGGCGTAGACAATGACATCCAAGTCAAATGCCTGCCCGTCCTGGAGCTCGACGCCAGTCGTTGTGATCTTGGACACCGGGTTGGATTTGATGTCCACCAGCGAGACATTACGCTCATTGAAGGCCTCGTAGTAGCCCTGCGTGCAGAGTGGCCGACCCCCGTACGGTCCTACCGGCTGCAGCAGCTTGGCTGTCTTGGGATCCTTGACGATCTGGGCAATCTTGTCTCGCACGAATGCCGCAGCGGTCTCGTTTGCCTCGAGGCTGGTTCCGAGGTCGTTGAAGGTCTCGAAGAAGAATCGGAACCCGCCGCCTTTATTCCAGATACGCTCGTATGTCTCCCTCCGCTCGGACTCGGAGACCTCGAGCGCAGATTTCTTGCTCTCGTCGAAGCCCATGGCGAACAGTGATGTGAACACCGTGTCCCAGATCTGGTTGTAGTTCTTGTAGATCTCCTCCTTTTCGTCCTCGCTGACGGGGCGGTCATTCACGGGGGTGATATACAGAGCTCGCTGTTGGAATACCGTGAGCTCCTTCACGATGGGATGGATATTCGAGATAATCTGGCTCCCTGAAGGGCCTGTGCCAATAACCCCAACCCGCTTCCCAGTCAGGTCAAGGCCCTTGGGCCACCGGGCCGAATGGAAGGAGATGCCCTGGAAGGAGTCGATTCCTGGATATTTGGGGATCTTCGGGTTCGTGAGGATCCCCAGCGCTGTGACGAGGTAGGTTGCCGAGAAGTGCAGGCCCTTGTCCGTGGTGACATCCCACTTGTTGCGAGCAGCATCGTACTGCGCAGAGGTGACCGTGTTCTCGAAGATATAATCCCCGGCGACGCCGGTCTTGTTCGCGGTATCGATGATCTGGGCCTGGAGGTCTTCTGCGTTCAAGTACCGTGTCTTCCACAGGGGCGGGTCTCGCTCGTCGGAGAAGCGATACACCCAGCTCTCGGTGTCGGTATGAGCACCGGGGTATTGGTTCCAGTACCAGGCACCGCCGAAAGCACTGCCTTTTTCGATACCGACGACGTGCTCGAGATGAAGCTTGTTCTTGAGCAGGCTAACGAGGCGAGTGCCGCCGAACCCTCCGCCGACAACGACAGCGTCGACTTGGTTGATTTCGATGGTCATTCTTGCAAGTTTCAGCGATGTGGCTTGAATAGTAGAATGGTTCAGATACTAAGTGATGCTGGACAGTACCATGGCCGGCATCCCCCTCTTTATAGATCTATACCCCTCAATGATTCGAATAACGACGTCTATCACGAAGATGGTGCCATCAGAATGGCCAATATGTTGGTCATGTGTACTCACCATACAGAAAAACAAAGTATAACGCTGTAGCGAGTAAGAACAGACACAGAAGATGCAACTCGGATTAGGACAGGCATTTCCCACCCGAATCCCACCCGAGTCCCCATCCGAGGCAGCAATATGTCAAATTATGGCGTCAATCCTGGGCAACCCGAGAGCTCAATTTCCCACCCGATCATCGGGTGGGACTGCTAAACTGTGTCGATCAACCACTGGAAATTAAGCAAACTCTGGAATACAGTCTAGGTAGGGGGACCATTGAATTGAGTATCTCTACTTGAGAGGCTGTGGAAAGTCCTGTCATGATAGTCCCAGAAGAAAGCTGTTCAACACGTCCTGATCGTTATCATTAACACAGAAACCATTTAAGCCCTCTGTCCAAAGGGAAGGCCAGGCGCCATCAAGACGGTCCAGGTCGAACTCCATGTCAATGCCGCAATCAGGAGCCTCCGCATCCCGAGGAAGCGCTGCGAGTTGAGGTTTATGTAGTAGACTTGTTGAGGTGACATGTTCGTTAAGCTGCTTTCTTAGCAGGGCAAGGCCTATACGAACGTCAGTAGTGTAGCTAAAGTTCGTGGCGGTTTATACCTCGTAGAAACTCCGCGTCCTGGCCGAGATTCAGATATTGCTGCTCAATGCTTTCTGCAAAGGCAAGGACCATCTACAAGGTCAGAATTGGAATATTTACAATAATGATACCGGGTTGCACATACCGCCAGGTCAGATCCGTTCATCAAGCTCGAGGGAATCTTGGTCACGTAGATGGAAAGGGTCATGATTGCAAGCAACAGCTGGTTGAGCGTAGTGAGTCGTGACCCGTTGCTGTAGAGGGTCATGTCATTGTATGTTTTCAGGATCGAGCGTGCAGATGCTGCCCCGATACAAAGAGAATATCGCAGTCTGCTCCTCCATGGGGTTCCTTCGCAGAGATGGCTAACACGGCTTCTAAGCCAGCTAGTATGAGACGTTAGAGCGGGTCGATGCAAGGCAATGAGACTGTACTGATTAGCCAGTGGCAGGAACTTGTAGCATGGATTATACCTCTGATGGTAGCTCAATGTGACGAATGTCGCCAGGTGGAATTCCTCTGGTGGACAAAAGATATCATGACCAGGCCTACTGTCTCATTAGAGTCTCTCCATTCCTGGTAAAGGGGGACCGACCTGATGTCTTCGGGGAATGTCGCCGCCAGATCCAGCAAAGACCTGTCAATACGTCCCATTTCATGCAATATCTCCTTTGTTGTGCGGCCTTGTTTCCTGTGAGATAGTCGGATTATCGAGTCCTGGATCTGGGCAAGCCGGATCAATGCTCCAAAGTAATCGAAGCAGCGCCCTGGAAGACTTAGAGACCGCACCGGATGTGGAAAGGTCTGGTCACATTCTTCTTCGCGTATAGCCGACGGCCTGCCAGACTCCAGTACCATGGCCTTTTCAAGAATATATGCTGTCCACCAAAGCCGCGAAGAGAGGTCCACTGTCCCGGCCATATCAAATCCATCAGCCATGATCATGGGATTTGGCATATCCCGATGCAAGCCAAGCGACTGTGCGATACGGATTGCCTGGCCCAGGACCTCCCAGCTTGCGCCCTCTTTGCTGCGGCTCCTCAAGACGATGGCTAGTAGCAACAGTGCTTGTACGGACGTGGCGTAAGGAATGGCAACCAGGTGGCCGTACAGAGAGTAAGCCGCCTCGAGGTAAGACGCACCAATATCAGTCGGATGGCCTTCAAGTTCATCGGCAGAGGCACTGAAAAGGCAATAGAGACAGACCAGATGCGGGTAATCCTTTGCAGTGAAAGGCGAGCTTTTTGATGCCAGCATCGGCCTCAGCTTCTGAATCAGCTCATAGATGCTATCCCGCTCAACGATAGGATATATCGGATATATCTTGGAGAAAAACACAACAAGGTACTCGTCGGCTTTGGCGGATGGGGGCAGGTCTGGCAGGGAGGTGAGAAACGGCAGCGAAACCTCCATGGAATAGGCCACGCCTTGCTGGAAATGGGGAAATATTGGACGCCAAAAGTCGCGATTTGTGAACAGGAGGTCGAGATATTGGACGAGAAGATACACACTATCACAGCCGCTCCCAATGGCCTGGCACCTCGAGCGACTCTTGTCGGTCATCACCGCGATATTGGATCTTTGGCTAGGTCTCTCTGCCTGGGAGACTCGACAAGGCTGCTCTTCCCCGGCAAACGGCGCAATGAACATCGATGGCAGGGGAGTTTCCTGGGCGATCATGGGAACGAGGACTTTCTCGGTGGGCGAAGGGGGCGACGAGCCTGAGACTGTATAAGAAGCAGACTCATGCAGTGGCAGAGGACGATGCTCGATAGCCCGCTTGCCTCGACGGCCTACAGGCTCGCGGCGACGACCTACTCGTCCTGGCCGGCGGAGATCGGTCGTGATGCACTCGAGACTGCGAGCACTGCAGTTGCGACAGGACGGTTGCCCTGTATCGCACTTCATTTTATGCTCGCGGCACCAGTTGCACGCCGTCGCCTGTCGAGGCAGCCTTGTAGAGCCAGCCATAGCACAATACCACTGTCAGAGACAGGTGTACTTGCCCAGGAACAGATAATGTGTGCGATTAAGGAAGATCGTTGATCCCGATGTTGTGATTGTCCAGCCAGATGATGAAATAGATGCTTACAATGTCACAGCCCACTGTAGATAATACACTGTATCATAATTCAATGCTAGTAGAAATAAACTACCCGAGCCTTGAATCATGGACCAAATGGCTCCGGGACTAGCTGAATTGATTTGTATTGGTACAGGTCAACTACATCGGCATTCCATATAACTACCCAGCGCTGTATCTCCACAGGACCTCGCCGCCGTAGGCATAGACTAGAAAAAGAACAAGTGAGACTACCCAGATGGTGCTTGAAGGGCTGCCTTGTAGAAGTGAAGCATCAGGTCTCGGCCATTTATGTTTAGAAAGTGGCGGTATAGGATTGTGCAAGTCGGCTTCTATTTCCTCTGCAAAGTCATCCAGCACATAACGACGCTGGACAGTCCCCTTTGCCGTTGTCCTGAAGGGCTTGTCGACAGGCGCAATCACAATCCGAGTCCTTGCCATTCGAGCCTCCTCAGGGAGGCCGCCGTTGAGCCTTTCCACCAAGGGCCAGAGCCTGTCGATGATCTCTTTGGGCGACAGCTCTCTCACCATGGTCCAGTTCGGGTCTATAATGAGCATCACACGAAGGGCAGGGTCGGGTGTCATCACAGCCCTGGAGACTAACTCGTGCTCTTGGAGAGCTCTCTCAATAGGAGTTGGGTGGAGAAACACCCGGTTTTGTAGCTTGGACACGTCGTCCGTGCGGCCAACATGCTTCCAAAGGCCCTTGTTCTCGGGGTGCTGGGTATACAGATCCCCCGTGTAAAACTCTTGTTGATCGGGGAGAACGAAGAAGAGAGCATGCGTATAGCGGCCTGGTGGGCGTGGGATGACCAGCTCGGAGTGCCCACTGGGGTGGTCCCGCATCTGTATCGGATGATGGCAGTTCCATTCCACGTATTCCCAGTCCTTGCAGTCTCTAGGTTGTATGGTATGGAAATAGCCTTCCTCGGTCAGCCCGATACATGTTTGCAAACGCGTAACGCGTGCGACTTTATCACCAACGCTCGATGGCAAAGGCATGCCCACGAAGCTTATGGACTCCAGGCCTCCCAGGGACTCTATTCCATCCGTCGAAGCACTCAATCTTGTTAGCATGTCGGGTAGAAACAGGCCTGACTTTGCACCTGTCTCGGACACAATCGCCTTCAATGTGGCCGCAGTTAATGGTGCATCTGGGCCTATAACGAAATGCGTGTGATGGAAGAGTGCAGCTACCCATGCTAGAATGCCAGTCGCGTGGTACATATTGGTCTTTACCAGAAGGGGGTCATTGGGGTGATTGAACCCAGGAGTTGTCGGCTTTCTCCCCAGAGGCAACGAAATACGGTTGAAATAGTCCAATGCACTAAAGTATCCATGTGGCATAACTATCTCTTTCGGTGCCCCTGAGCGACAGAAATTCAGGTCATCAGCAACAGTCTTCCTTTTAGATCGTGGCCTCACCTGTGGTCCCTGAGCTGTAAAGTACGACAGCCGGTTGCTGCTCCCTGGCCAGGGTATATTCGTCGGAATAGGGAAATGGCTTGGTTGGACCTTTGAACATTTCCCAGAGATCCGAGACTTCCCATGTCTGAAGATTCTTATTTGACTTGCTTATACCTTGAGCTTGGTCCATAAGCTCACGGGCGAACAGCAGCTTGGAGCAATTCCCAGACGTGAGAAGATGGTCAATCACGGAGGGAGCCGTGTTGGGGGACAGAATAAGGAGCTTTATCTCTGTCAGTTGGATATGATACTGCAGTCTGGCCCTTGGCTACTCACACAGTGGCCCAGCTTCATACACGCAAGAACAGCTATAGCGTAGCGGATATCGTTTGGCCCGATATAAACGAGCCTCTCGGGTGTTGCGCTGGACGAAACTGTCTCTTCAAGCCACCACGCGAAATTGTTTACTGCGTGGGCCAAGCCGCCAACTGTCACTCGACGCCACCCGGAGCGCAAACTCTTGAGAGATACCGAGTGGACGCAGAAGAGGCGTTCTGGGTTGGAGAGTGCCTCCTGGTCCAGGGCATACGGCAGAAGGCGCGGCGTGAAATCGTTAGAACCCATGATGGTAAGGCTTGACTATTCGTGTCAGTAGGACAAGCTGAGAGTCCCAAAGTCATTCGAGCATCAACAGGAAATCTGGCGTATATGTATATCTCTGACCCCTGACTAACTGTTGACGTATGCAAGACGCAATTATTGGGCTCTGCTGCAAGATATCACAAGGAAACGATTTATGCCCCTTGCTACTATTGGGGACGCGTAATTCTGGTGGAACAGGCGATGCTGATAGAAAAGACCCCCTTGCCCGTTTTGTCGATTGATATCAGATACCTCATACTGCTCCCTGATCCGCGGGCTGGAAGATCTCATCATGGCAGAATAGAAGCCACCACACCGACCTTTCTCGGGCGTGCTTGGCCGAAATGGAAGCCTGATTATGCATTGCGAGTTTATCTGTGCCTGCGTAGTGTTCCAGCCCAACAACAATTTCCGCCCGGCAGCCGCAGTGATATGTGACACATTGCAGCCGTCGTTTGTAACAGCAGTAATGGCCCTCCCAGTAGCGGTTCGGAGTTGGCTGCTGCTAGGTGAATTGGTCGATGCCGTCGTGGTCGGGCTGGTTAGACTGTCTAGCAAGGGTGCGTCGTCTATAAATCTGATCATGGCGTTCAGTATAGCATGGTCCAAAAAGGGTAAAACGGTGGCCCCATTGCTGTGAGCGATGAGGGTCTGCCCCTGTAGATAAGATATAGTTAAATGATCAAAGCCCCAGGTACGCCGTTAATCGTATAGCCCAGGGCGGATTTCCATCGTCTTGGTATTCAAGTCCGTCGATGGCTAGCATCCTTCATTGTTTCTCTTATTAGGGCTGAGATGGAAGCCCTTACAGTGTTCAGATCTCCTACCTGACAAGCCAGCTCGAGGGAGAACTTGCCAGGCCAGCCCAGAGATATTATACACTAGATAGACGTATACAACCTCGATTTAGTTTGATTTGTGCAGCCCTACATGATATTCAGAGGTCAAAACAACTAACTCTGTTTCTATATCTAGCAATTTTGTGAGTACTCTCCATTCATTGGATATATAATCGCTTGTTACCGGCTTGTATTATTTGCGAACTGGCCTATGTGAACCCAGTGGCCATATATTCTTGAGCGTGTTCAGTCCACTATCTGTCCCCCGTAATCATCGTCATTCACTGCGTTTCCCTTCGCCCAGGCATTGATGGCATCCATGTCACGGCACTGTACCTCGGAGTCCCATGTTACGAAGGACCCTTTTGCCCGTTCTTCAGGTGTCCTTTGCAGATACTCTTGCGTGTACTGCCTCGTACCAGCCTCATCAATGTAGGTATAGTTCTTGTTCCACCAGTATACTAGAGAAACATCCCCGTGGCAGAGAATAGCTTGTCTGAGGACATCAAAACAATGGCCTACTGCTCATTAGAACGCAGCTTGAAGTGATGAGGGAGTCATACCTATGTGGTGCAGTATTTCGTGCTGAGTCGCGTTTGGATAGTACCGCTCAGGATAGAACGACTTCCGCAGTCGGCTCAGACAGTGCATTTGATGGTAAACACCTAGCCCGTAGGCATAATACCCGGGATCCTCATACAGTTCAACGGCCTCAGGAAGGCCCAAGTCCTTTGCTTTCTCCCCCGAGACCCGGACTATATGGTCATGGTCTATCGTGAGGGGCGTTAACACAAGCAAACCAGGACACTAGTGGACTACCTACCCCTAAGCCAATCATTCCAGGCTGCATCTACCTCATCTGACGGAGGGGATTGGAAGATCTTATTGGGCTTGTACTGTGTGTTGACGAACCGCTCGGCGCCGTCTTCGCGAAGGGGGGCTTGTATTGGTCAGTCTTTGCTGATCTGTCTCTGATTGTTGGGATACTGACAGGAAGGAGGTACAGGCTTATCCGCCAACGACCTTGCATGATAGTTGAGGCCAAAGGCAGCTATCACAAGAAATATGCTGAAAATCGTGTTGGACATGGCCCATAGATTCAACCACAAGCGTGGACGTGAACTCAGTTTACCGAAGGGGAATCGGTACCGCGACTGGTGGGAGCTTTTTTCGACATCGGAAATAGACTCGTCCTGGCTCTCTCTTGAGTGTAGGAGAGAGTAGTTGGCACTCATATTGGATCAGTGAACTTCTTTGGCAAGATTCGGCTTCAACAGCCAGCTCCAGTGCGCGACACTCAGAATGAATACATTCAAGAAGATCAGGGTGAATGCATGAAAGTCGCTTAGAAGCAAGGGCAATGAGGGATTTATCTCATTTGAACACCCCTGTTCATGTCGACTGCTGAAAGCCGTGGAGTTCGCTGGAATCATGTGCCACTGGTATACAGTCTCCTGTCAGAATATCCCTTGCAGCTTCCGGTGGGAAACATATTGATCGATATCCAATCGATTCATGGCATATTTCAGGTTGACATACTCAACGAGGTTAGCTACTGGCAAGCTTCGCGTGAACTGCTTGCTGAACTATACTCTAATATCTAGTTTGGCTGTCCCATAGCCCTATCTCACTGGTGGAAGCCATACTTCATTCTGTATAATGTTTCGTACACCGCTAGGCCTATGATGGTCCTGTTTCAGCGCCGCCACCAACTCCCCTACTCTGTACAACCATCTCGAGCAAGGAGCATCGCAGACCAATAGGCCGGGCCGAGTGCAGTATGCCACCCCTCCTATGGCACAATCACAAACAGGAGGATCTACACCCCTTTCGAGCAAGGGAATTGCAGCTTGTTGCACGCAATCATCTATTGTGTTTGTGTCATGGTATTCAAGTCAATCTATTCGCCAAATAACACTGGAATTGCACTACATACATGTATATCTCCTTGCCAGGTGCTTGGATGGTGACGACATTCCATGTAGGGGGCACTGATCCGAACATGACTGGACCTAGAATACAACATAGCTGAGCACTCGGCAGTTTATGAATGGCAACATATAAGTGCCATCATCGTCAGGAGAATCAACTGGTTTGCAGTGAATCTTCATCCTTCAGGCTCAAGCTAGCTCTTCGCTGCTATTACAACTTTCAACCCAATCCAATTTCTCCTATCACAAACACTACCTCTACCTCCATCATGCGCTTCACTTCCTCCACCGGTTTTGCGACAGTGGCACTTCTTGCTATCTTCAGTGCTGCTGCTCCTGTGACTCCCAATGCTGAGGACATAACGCACTCTCCCGGGTCCGACGACTTGGTCAAGCGTTTTGCCCCTGGGTTTGGCTACAATGGAGATAACCAGGAAGCTGATGGCGACCTTTCCAAGCGTTTTGCCCCTGGGTTTGGCTATAATGGGGATGACCAGGAAGCTGATGGCGACCTTTCCAAGCGTTTTACCCCGAATCT